GTATTCAATTTTTTTCTCTCCTTTTTTTTTTTTTTTTTTTTTATTTTTTGGGGGGGGGGGGCCGGGGGGGCGCTTGAAAAGAGGAAAGGAAGGGAAGGGGCGCCCGGTAAAATATCTTCTCGATACTTAATTCGAAGAACGGAAAATTCTTCTTTCTTTTAATTTGAAAAAAAAAAAAAGCAGGCAAAGGCAAATTATAAGAAAGCCGTACAACAAAACCCATGAGGATATGAAACACCAATATTAGATCAGAAGATTATAGGTACGTAAGCAGGGCTTTCCTTCGTAAGCAGTGAGTGAGGAAAAGCAATCATTGAGCAGTTTTAGCCATTAATTAGAAATTTCTGCGTATTCGCTTTTATTCTTGCTTGGAATAAGGAATTAATTAACAAAGTAATGGTCACACTGGGACTATCTGCTTGCTAGTTCCCGCAACTTGCGGGCAATTAAACTCAGCTCTCAGAGAATTGCAAAAGTTTAGATTTTTTTTTAGTTTACCGCCTACATACTCTAATGATCAGAAGAAGGGTCTAGCTAGAATGAGTTTTTTGGTTGGGCGAATATATAAAATTCAGTGAGCAATGATGGAGGCTTAGTCAAGTACTGAACACATACAGACAGATGTAATCTCGTTCAAGAATCACATAGACAGACCCAAAAAAAATTAAATTCGCTTTTATTAAAACGATACCCGACTTCAAAAAAGCGGCAACAAGGATAAAGGACCCCTCCTCTCTCGGTTTACCTCAAACCATGGTATCCATTCCCGCCAACTCACCAAAGAACCAGAACCCCAACCCCTCCCCATCACCACGATCAGAACCCTAGATCAGATCAAAATACTAACCGCCAACCTCGTAGGATCCATAACAGCGTACTCCACAACCCGATCATCCATCGCCTCACTATTCCGCGCAAACACCACCCCAAGCCCCACCAAATCATCCACCAACCCCTTCGCCGCCTTCTCCATGCCCTCGTCGCCGCTCCCCACCGCCCCATCCTGCAGCCCCTTCGCGTACTCGACCAGCGTCTGGTCCTCCGCTACGCCGTAGCTGAGTAGGTACGGCAACTGCTCTGCCATTAGCCAGACCCGTTCATCATTAACGGGTAAGGCGGCTATTAAGTCGCTTTCTGTGAACTTCTGCAGTTCGGCAAGGGATTTTGGCAAGGGGGTCGAGAAACACGGAGGCTTGGCGGGGACGAAGGACATGTAGTAGCATTGGAGGTAGTTGATGGTATTATGCTGCGGGCTCGCGAGGTGGATACACATGACAATCGCGCTGGTGAGTTCCTCCACCGTCTTGATATCCGGGAACGTGAGCATCTGCGCCCCGGCCGGGGACCGCATCTCATTACACCAGCTGCGGATCGCGGGATCGGACTCGACGGCTGCGTCGGTGGGGTAATGAGGTGCGAGGACGGAGGAGACGAATTTTTGCAGGACGAGCCACATGGGTAGCATGTTGTGGGCCCAGGCGTAGTTGTGGAAGCGCGGGTGCGAGAGCGTTTCCGGCGTGAAGCCGCGCTTGGAGAGGTCGGCGGGGATGTAGGAGTCGGTGAAGTGGAAGTTGCGGTAGGCGGACATGATAAAGTTGTAAGTGGCCGGTTTGGAGATGCCGACTATGTCGACGACGATTAGGGGGACGAGGGCTTCTCGGGCGGATTTGTTGAGAGAGAGGGTTTTGAGCCTGGGGATTTGTTAGTGGGTGTCTTGGGAAGAAGGGGGTTGGATTTACCAGTGAGGTTCGAGGAGTTTGAAGACGATGTGGTCGGCGGTGAAGGAACGGTATGCTGCTACGATTGTCACTTCTTCGATGAAATGGCAGTTGTTGAGATGAGCTCCCAGTTCGTGACGGCAGTAATCTGATATCATGTGGCAAGTCTTTGCATATCTCCATGGCCAGTCATTCTTCTCTCCTTTCGTCGGGTCCGTAGATCGAAGTCTCTTGTTGAATACGACTACCGAGTGATCCAGAGACATGACAAAATCAATGCATATCGAGATTGGATGTAGATTTCCAGTCTTGCTCAGCTGTAGAAGGGTCACAACAGCGCAACCGTATCGCTTTTTGAGCTTGTCATCCGACTCGAGGGTTGCGCCAGGAAATGCACCACAAGCATCGCGGAAATAACTATAGTCTTGGATATAGAACGATTCTGGATCTGAAGTAGTGATCAAGGAGTACATTGGCGTATTCTTCTGTTTCTTGGCCTGATCCGCAAATCCCTTGACCCAGACTGTTGATGCTCTTTGAATGCTAGTAGGGTTCGGTCCAGTGAAAGATTGTTGTCCGAAAACAGCGTCACTGAACCAGTCTGGACGATTGGCAATACTGCTTTCGGAACCAATGTTTTTATTCTGTTTAGTGAGGCGTATCATATCGGATTCCAAATCAGCCATGGTCTTCCCACCCGTTGGACCGAATAAGTATTGTGAGAGGTAGTCGGGGACTACCTTGGGAGGCAGTATTGACAGGCCCATATCGACGAGTCTTTCTGCGTTGAAGATCGCTAATAGTCCTGTTGTGTCATCTGGGGGAATGCTTTTCAAACATGGTGGGTATGATGGATCCGTTTTTCCTGGTTGTTGCCATTGGTATGTTTGTCTAAGTGTTACGATATCTCTGGCATCCTTGATAGCTTGATCCTCGGGTTCGAGGTCAGTTGTTTTGAATAGGTCGGAGAACCTGCATGAGATGTTAGGAATTGGCAGTTTGATGTAGATGAAAGATGAAAGATGCCTCACTTTGCATCAATGAACTGGAATATTTTGACCAAATTATCAAGACCCCCTCCAGGAGCTGCAGGAGCTGTAGGTGTTGCAGATACTGCGGGCGGAGTAGGTGCTTGACGTGGAGTAGCGACAGGCACTGGCGAAACCTTTTGAACTGGTGATATAACCGGTCTTGGAATTGGCTGCTGAGAAGCCGTGAAATTTCGTGTCCACCGCTTAGAGCCTGCAGGAGTTGCAGTCTCTGGTAGGAACGTGCCAGAAGCTGTAGCTGGAAGCTCAGTCGCGTAATGTGTGACAATGCCCGGAGTTGGTGGTGCTGAATCTGGAGGCGTTGGAGGTGATCTTTTATGCGACATAGAGATTGACCTTAGGCCAGATATAACATTGGAGAAACCCATATCGAACGTGAATATAGTCGGTGGTCTTGATTGCTCGAGGATTTGAGTCCAGACGAGAAAAGGTTAGAAAATAACGTAACAGAGGACAACCGCGTTTTGATCGGCTGGCATTTCAGACTAAGCAACGGGTGGAATGAGTGGAGAAATGTTTGAGGAATGGGTGTTTCCGAAATTTGACTCAGACGAATATGCCGCCGCATTCTTGGTATGATAAAAGCGGACAACGCTCCTGTTCAAGAAAGATTGCTTAGGCTCCGGAATGGTGTCTGTTAAGGGTCGGGTCGTACAGGATAACTTGATCGAGTGTAGTCGTCTTGATCAAGACACGATATGTCGAAATATCTCGATCCGCTCGTCGAAAATCTCATCGATCCATAAGAATGACTTGGCTCCGTCCACAACATCATCCCAAGATCGAAGTGTAGTCCTAGCCATAATAGCGTAAATGGATTCGACATACCAATCCTGTTCTGGCAGCTTCCAACTTTCCAACAGCCCAAAGAACATGATCCACAGTAGGAGCAAATTCGAAGATGTCCAATCGATTGTGCTACCCAATCCTTCCATGAACACTTTGAGTTTGATAACGTATAATTTCGTAGATACACCGAGAGCACCGCATTGTCGTCGCATTTCACCCAGAAACAACGAGATCCCAAGTCGCGAAGCTTCTTGGATTATGCTCCATCGGTTGTTAGGATCCACGTCCATGCTGTGTAACCTGTGAACGATTGGGTATATGCGAAAGATGACGAAATTGACGACGCGCCATTGCTGCTTTCTCGCGGTTTTCAATCTGGCTATCTCGACTGCGTGATGTAAGTCATCGAACGCGGAGACCGTAGGATGATCCGGTGGGAAGATATGTTTCCATGGCGATGAGGTTGGTGCTTGAGGAAAGAATACGAAGTCGTCTGCGGATTGGTCGTTCTGTGCGCTTAGCATTCGTTTGGGCAGAGGAAATAGAGGCTTTGTGTCTTGTCGTAAGCTTCTTGTCATGTCAACCCTTGAAAAAGCACAGTAGTTAGATTTTCAAAGATCATTGAAAGTAATGCATGAAGCTTGCATACCCATAGACCAACATTGCCAACACTGGATTGTTTTCGATAGTCTCGAAACCTCCACGAAGTCGAATAACGTTCTTGAGGCCATCGAGATGGATTGAAACACTATGGAAGTCTTCTTTAACCGTCTGCCAATGTTACACGGTTAGTGTGACTAATCTGAGTGTCTTCGACCGAAGTGAAGGCGTGTCACTTACACTGTAGCAAACAAATGATAGGATACCCACAACCATGTCATCGTTAGTCCTCAGATTAGGGTCGGAAAGCTTCTGATTGATGGATTGAATGGCGAGAGAATGGTGACCAACAGAGACCGCATTTTCAAGGTCCTCTCCTCGGACACGAGAGACGTTCAGCGACACATTTGCGAGAAATTGATGGAAGTTTGCGGCATCTTTGACAGCGACGGGAAGCCACCGCTCCCGTAGCGTTCTAAAGGTAGGATCTTGGCTTGTATTTACTAAACCAATGAGCTCTGGTCAGTCGTTGTTTACGTGCATTGTTTCACAGTTAGGTAATCACGTATTTTGGATTTACCTTGGTCTATCAGCCACAGCTCACCCTCGTTCATCTTGATGGGGTAATCGGCAAAAGGATCAATGCGGCCAGCGCCTAGCACAGTCATCGGGCTGCTTGGTGCTAAGCCCAAAGTGAGTGATTCTGGTGGATCGACGGAGCTTTCCAGAGCACTTTTAACAATCTCATTCGCTGGTTCGCTAGACGAGAAGTACGATTGCTCAGGGGAAGATACTCGAGAGCGTGACCTGGAGTGAGCTCTGGGGTCTTGTAAATCTATTTCAGGACCTTTCCCCTTGTCGGCCGACATTTGTGGGGAAAGGAATTCGACTGGAATTACGAGCTCTATCCTATTCGGGTCAAAAGATCTATTCATCCGAGGTAAGTCTTGTATAATTTGCCTTCTCATAGCTCTTTGCCTTTCTATACTATGCACATCAACAGATTCGGTTGGCGCCAGTACGGGCCTGCGAGCACTTTCGGAAACATCTGGTACTCGGCGTCGTCGAGGGGGCCTGTCGTTGCCGCGAGACGAGCTTCCTTCTGGCTGATCTGACATTGGATGCTATTCAGTCTGGGCTGCCTGTTCACGGAGTTGATTCCAGAAGAAGGGATTTGAAAACTGTGGCAAAATCTGTTCGGAAGAGGTGATATGCATAGCTATAGCATGCTGTGAGGTACTTAGCTTCTTGCTACCGGCCTCATCGCCGATCAGCCATCAACGCAGTATCAAAGTCAAATAGGTGTACACATGGGTTTTACACTGTCGTCGATGACAAAAACAACCCTGGTACTCTGCTTCGTTCCCGAAGCCAGGAGGATATTCGGTGTTTGTTGTCAAGCCATATGAGAGTGAAATTGGTCGCGGCTAACCGTAATCGGATTGCGGGATGGATGCTGGCCCGCATCCCATGCCTGCATTCCAAATTGACTCTATTGGAAGAATTTGCTCACTAATCATTTGCTGTGAGATGACTTCAACCCACCGAAAACCTTCACCCATGACAAATCCTCGTCGAGCGTTGCAAGCGAATCTTCCCCAGACGATCGGCGTGAGGCTCAACGAGAAACGAGGATTAGTGATCGACTGATTAGTGATGCATCGATTCTCCCAGCTCGGGGGAATGATGTATTTGGATATCGAGATATACCTGAGTTTGGGAGTATACCAGTTGCTCCGCTACCGATCTCGATCGCGGGATGGATACCATAAAAAGGAAGACATTCAGATTTGGAATGAGCGATAACTTAACAGGCATTGGGAATCAATTGAAATAACGCTTCGTCAGAGGATGATGTTGCCCAGAGTATTCAAAGACTTGACGCAGACTCCGATACGATGGACTGTGAGCAGGGGTGCCAAAGCCCGAGAAGAAACCGCGGAAGTGATGCAGGGTGAGATCGTGAAGATCCCGAACGCAAACACCGATTGAAGGCGGTCTGAACATGTTCCTTGGCGGTGGAAGATGAATGGATCCTTCAAGCTGCACTTGCTCGTTGGAGGGGTTCCGCAAGTAATCTGGAAATGTGCTCTTCGGCTTGATGATGGGGTTGCAAAGTGGAAGCAGTAAGAAAGAGAGGATGTACGGATGGCCCCAGACATGTTCGCTTTAAGCGAGACACAAACACGTCTTGGAGACGATAGAGAAGGATATCTCAGGTTCGATAAAAGAAACAAAGGAAAGAAGGAAGGAAGCTTGGAATTTCGGATGATTTGGCTTTGAGCCATAGTCACGTGTTTATGTGGAGCCGAATCTCACTCCAAGTTTATATCCATCAATCGGCTTCTTCCTAGCCTGAACTTATACCGGCGTATTAGTCATGTCTTTGGCAAGTATCTTGATGTACAATCATCTGATGAGAGAATCATCATCAGCTTCCCCAGAGATCATGAGCAGTATCCACATCAACATGTTTCTCGGAGAAAAGCCGGCATTCGTCGACAAGAAGGCTACAATCTCGACATCGCTCCGTAATAAGTTGCACCGATATTTCCGAAGTATGGATCAAGAACAACATCATTATGTGGTATTCCGAGAATGTTGCGTAGTCTCTTCCGATTCACGGGCAGATTGTGGTTCTTCTGGATGTCTTTGATGGTTGAATGTCCCCGATATTTCGATCGTCCTTGATCTTAGGAATGATCATGATGATTTATGATGATTTTTCTGTGCTTTTAATTCCTCCTGCGTAGCTTTAGTAACCTCAACAGCTACTTGAGAGTCAATGGCGTAGATACAATGGGTTTTGCATGAAGTGTCGCCATACATATGTACAATTTTATTCTGATCCGCAGACATGATCTCGTGCCTTAATTAATGTATCGATCCAACATTCAATAGCTCGATCACCGAAAACTATAACATCTCAATCCCTCAGATTCAAATATCTCGTTCCCTTTTCTCTCCCCATGCCAACCACAGCAGAAAGAATGCCCCCAGTCCCCAAATCTCCGAATCGACTCGGAACAATAAGCTACCCGTCAATGTCGGGCGTGGCAATAGAGTCGACCCCGCACTTGCGTTAATGTCCGGGATGAAAGCAAGACAAATCACGCGAAGTACCGGGTGGTGTTGTTCGAAGAGACCGCTCCAAAGGCTGAGATCGAATCTTTGGTGTGATATGGGCGACATTTCATTGTCCTTGTGAGGATCAACCAGCTAATGCTTAGTTGATGAGATTCGACGTGCGATGGGGTGTCAGTAGAGGAGATGCGCCACACGACGAGCTCCAGGATTGCGAGAAAGATGGCGTTTAGAGAATTCAAGGATAGTGAGGAGTGATTGAAGTCGGCGTTGAAAAACTAGAAGCAAGTAAGTTGGGGAAAGAACAACACACAACTATTGAAGGACAGGAAGAGAGTGGAGAGATCAAAAGTTGAGTTGAGAAATATGTTGGCGATTTGGGGGATGAAGAGGAGATAGAGAAGACTCACGAGGTTTGGGATGGTGAGGGCGAGTACTTGTGTTCTCGTTGTTTTCGAAGACAGGTAAAAGCTTTGGACATTTGATATACTTTCCATGAATATAAGTTGGGACTTCGGGCTGCACTTTCTTATGGGATGGATGTCGGGAACGAATAGGGAGTGGTATGGTGATGAATTGTCTGGGATGACTGAGGCGTTCATGACGGACTTTGTCAACAGTTCGGCCTTGATTTGGAGTCTGGGACATTCCCGAGATATCTTCATCCATGGAATGTGAGGTGAGCAAGAATGGTTCTCAATCTATTCATTTCATACAATATATCTCGTCTGCTTGGGATGGGTTTCCACGACTAGCCGGCGCTATGGAGCAAAGAATGGATCTATTCGGCATCAATTCTGGGAGGCGCAGAGATAAGCGAACTCCTTCCAACCTTTCGGATTCACGCAGAACAGTAAAACCAATAAACGACTTGCCATATCTGATTGGCCGAGCTCTGGAAGCTTTGGCCTTGCTTGTCGAGATTGAAGATTTTTTCAACTAGCAAGCAAAATGCGAAGCAATATAACTTTGAGGTAACACAAGGTACCACAAACTAGGAAACGAGGGAAGCAAATCTCACAAACACGTACAGAAGCACACAGACTATCTTCGATGACGTGAAATCGAAGAGCGCAAAGTTCTCGAAGACTACCAACGAAGACAACCATGTAGGCGCCGTTATAATATTGCGCAAGTCGACAACATACGTCAGGCTCTCCTCGAATCGGGATAAGAACAATCCTTAACAAAATATCAAGCACATTTGCGACAACAGTACTTGCTGCGCAACACACATCGAACAGGGAGCCGCTCGGTTCCATTACCGTCGAGAACCTCGAGCTCCGCTGCTATGCTGCCAGAGTTGGGCGCCATCCTTGTCATCATCGTTGTCCATGGCGGACACAGGCACCGTCTGAGCAACCTCTACACATGGCTTGGCCATATGGCCTTGAGGGGTCTCATATTTTTGGCCTTACTCTTCGCCAGAATGATAGGGGGATTCTTCTATCTCCTCCTCATCACTTTCTTCGACTTCCCTTCATGGATCCTCTCGTTCTTCAGCACTCCGCATTCGCCATCATGTCTTGAACGTCAACGGGAACAGAATCTTCGGAGGAAAAGATCGAATATCCCAGAAGGTTGGGTGAGGATCTCGATCTGCGATACGTCTAACATCTCGCATCTGGATATTGTTGAAGGACATGGCCGGCATAGCACGGAGGATCCCGAAGCCCCTCGAGGTCCATGGGAGGAACGAGAGCTCTTTAGTGTGACCAAGGAAGAAGTCAAACGCAGAGTGATGCCGTGGTTGGACCAGATTATTGAAGAGGAAGATCCCGACAGCGGATGTCACTCTGACGCTGGAGTTGCTGAGGGAAGCATGCTTGAGAGAGAACTGTCGTCCTCGAGCAGTGAAGCACGTGATCTAGCAGATCCTAGCATCCACCTGAGTGTAGTAGAGGATAGCAAGTCGTCTCAACTGGACAAATGAAATGAGGAAATGATGGTCGCATCTGCAATTGGAATATGCTGCTGAGTGCCGTATACTGTTGTTGGTGATTGGAAGCAACTTGGGTACGACCCGCAACGCCGCAGCTTCACATGCACAGAAATCTCCGTCGTACTCGCATGCGTCCCAACAACCAGCTTTCTCCCACCATTTTCCCGTCATCCATGAAATGTGCTGCCGGAAACAAGTCTTCTTCTGCTCGATGTCCGTGTCAATATCGGTACTCGTATACTGCAAGGAAGGATTGAGCAGGATTCGGATGACATTAAACGCGAAATGAAGAAGCATCCGAGGAAACCGAAGTCGTGTGTCGTCGAGGTCAAAGTCAAGTCGAGCCAAAAGTCTCCACAAAGTCTGGAGCTCGTTAGACAGTCTCCTCTATTCCCAATCAGTGTATAGCGTCGGTGATCTTTCAGCCTTGGCGCCGATGTCTTGGCGAGACATGTGAAGCGCATCTGACCAGCGAACAAAACCAAGAGAGAGAACGCAATTCGAGTAATACCAAGACGTAGCAGCTGTACAATACTTCTCTTCTTGCTTCTTCCCCACCTTTGCGCATATTTCGCATGTGCTTCTTCTTCTTCTCTTATATCCTTTAATCTACATCGCCAGCTACTTCATCTTGCTCTCAACATCTGTCCCTTGCATTGAATAAGCACACACAGCACGGCATAGCTCTGGAAATTGGCAAACGGAAAGCATAAAACACCACAACGAGCGCCACACGAAGAAGCAAAACAAGAGACATTTTCTCCTGGTACCTGATGACTGTTTTCTAAGACATCTTATCAGCTACAAAACCTCACGAACCCCGCATCCCATCTCCTTATAACGAACCTCAACAATGTCCGCCCCATCGTCCCCCAAGATCCACCGACCCAACCCCCGCAGGCCCTACGAACAAACCTCTCCCTCCTTCCTGCCAGCACATCAATCTTCCGCGTCCCTCCTCTCGCCATCCTCCTACACAGACGAATCGCCCTCCCGCACACAGTCCATCCTAAACCTCACCTCCTCCACCTTACTCGGCATATACTCCCCCACCGGCTACCAACCAGACCAAGAATACGACTTCCCATCCACGCCCTGGGGAACCGGTGCTGAGACACCACAACGGACAAGTTCAATCTCCGACCCAGTACCCATACGCCGCCATACTGCCCCTTCACAGCCAAGTTCGGCCTTTGGTACAGCTGCTGCATTGGCATTGAGAGGGGTACTGTTATTTGGGATTGGAATGGGATATGGTCTTCTGGTGCGGCATCTACATAATGATAGACAACTTGCTCCCTTTCAGGTGGAGGGCATCATAAAGCCTAGGAACGATTGGCGGTATCTGGTATTTTGGGGCGTGGCAGGAGTGTGTTTGGGGAGTTTGATGCCGTGGGTTGATACATTGTTCTCCTATCCTGCCGGTATGGAAGAGAAACAGAATGCAAGTTCTTCTGTTGCAGAGAAAGACGAAGTGGAAGAAGAGAGTGGATTATTTGGTGCGGATTGGACACCGGTTGTAAGGAGTGTTGGAGCTTTTGTTGGGATTGCTTATGCTATTGTACGCCTTTCCCCTGTTCCTAATATCTGCCCAGCTAACGCTTCTAGCGCAAACTCCCTTGGGCAACTCCCCTCCAAGCATCTCTGACACTCTTCCTTGTCAATCCCGTCCTCTGGTATCTGATCGACCGATCCGCACCAGGCTTCATCCTCTCCGCATCTGTAGGCGCAATCGGAACCTCCCTCTTGTTAGCCTCAAATCCAGACATGATGCCATCGCCTGCTTCCTCAACCTCTACCTTCCGAAACACCACATTTAAACCCACCACGCCATATACAAGTGGAACAGGAATTGTCAACAGAGAAAGCTTCGAAGTCGGGATATGGATTCTGAGTGTCCTGTTTTGCAGCTGCGTTTGTTTTGGTAACGTAGGGAGACGATTAGCGCTTAGTTCTGGAGCAAAAAGACGATGATGGGTAGATGTAGTTTTTATTTTGAATAAAAAGTATGGGAACTGGAAATGGTTTGGGTTTGCATTGGATCTAGGCATAGTTTGGTAGGATATACCACAGAAGCATGATGTCGGCTCTGCTTTGGGCAATGGGGAACTAAAATAATCTCTGCACCTTGAATATTATGGGGGGTTACTCCATTCTTTACCGTTATGTCGATGTGGGTTTTTCTTTTCTTTTGGTTTTTGCCTTCTCCTCCCCTTCATGCTGTTCAATCAAGAGCGAGTGCTCCTCTCGTGGTCGTGTTTTAACGTTCTTGAGATTCGTCATTCTTGTTATACATTTTCTGTTTGTGTTTAGAGGTTTCTCAATGTCGAACAACACTCTTGGTCGAGCTTGCATCAAGCTAAGAGTTCTATTCGAGCACCTCCGGTTTTGAGCTCTCGGAGGAGGCATGAAAAAAAGGAGCCTCCAGGTCAAAACAAGCTGATCAAATCTAGTAAGAGCATTTGGTGAGGAGAAGGCAATGGGAATATGCGATGCTTGAGCCTTCGATTGCCTTTCAGACGGACTTTCTTTACACGACAATTCCAAGACTTCAAGATAATGAGAAGATCGAGGATGAACCTCAGAGAAAGATCTTGAACTGCCGTGTCCATTGGCACGTGACCCAGAAGGCAAAGCAAGTTGTTCAAACGCATGCTTTTCCGAGATTTATTTCCTTCTTCCTCAGCCGAGATAAACAGTAGCTTGGCATGTGCTTTCTTTCATCAGATACTGTCGTCGTATCTTTACTCACATCCGAATTTCGAACCTCATCAGAACAAGCTCGCTTGATCAACCGCCGGCAACAAATCCGCGCTTTAGTGCAGATCCCCATCTGCCGAAAACCAAAGTGAGGAGACGGCGGTACAAACCTCCAACCAACCGAATACGACAGCTAAACTCACTCTGGACAACGAATTCCGGCGCCTCCCTTCGTAGCCGCGTTTCTCGTGGGGGCCGTCGAGTTAAGTACCGTTGACACACGACTTCTTGTTCATCAGATATCGAGAACATCGCCAATCATACAGCGAGATAACAGGAATCTGTATAGATAAGGCTATTGCTTTGTTTTTAAATTGCCAAGGGCGCTGCGCCGTACCTTACATACATCTATCCGGCAGATCATGAAGCTACGCTTTTCTCTATCAAGACTTTGGATCCCTTTCATCCTCTTTGAGCAGCGTCATTCAACCCACCAGTCTGATATTCCTTGGAGCGATCGTCAGCCTTGTGCGATTATGAGGTGCAGTTGGTAGTGTCGTATCCGGGGCCGAGAGCTGAGCTTGAGGTACCTTTTGTCCGTCGAGGACCGGACTTCATTCTTTCAGAAAGTTTTGACGAGAGAGAGCACGGCGAGGCGGGAGTCTATCGTTGTTGTTCGAAGTGCCGACAAAGATAAGAGTGCTCTTCTTGTGTTGAAGTATTCTTGACACTACTACGAGTCCACCAGAGGTGTTCACCCTCTCTCTAGGGGCTCATCGTTTGTGGGAGACGAGGTTCACTGATCAGATTTGTAGCGGATTTCTCTCCGTTCTGTCCTTCCACAGCCGCTCCAACGCCAAGCTGCTTTGACAGCATCCGGTCTTGATATATTCTCCTATCTCAACCTCACTCCACCGCTATCATTCACAGCATCATGTTTTATTCGTTCACGCACATCGCTATCTCCAAATCACCTACTAGAACCTCCTAGTAGAGGAAGCTTTCCTTCAAGAATGTCTAGATGCTGACTTGGCAGATACGCTATGCCACTGCCTATCTCGTGTTTCAATGCCTCGCTTCTTCTCGTCGGTTGGAGGCACCGAGTAGAGATGAAGATCAGAGATAAATATGCCGATCTCTCACGATGCTAGTTTCATTGTTGGATCTCAGAGTATACAAGAAATCTATAAAGCTTCCTCAGACTCCCCCAAAAACAATTTATTCTATTCTCAATCATTATCAGCTCAATTCTCAAACCATCACCACCCACCCATCCACCTCCAAAACAACTCAAAATGCACCTCCACATCCACCCCCTCCTCCTAACCCTCCTCACCAGCCTCGCAGCCTCAACAGCCGCCACCCCGCTCCAGAACCGCCAACTCGGCCTCTGCTCCTCGGCCCTCGACTCCGTCGAATGCTGCGACGTCAGCGTGGACGGTGTCGCGAACTTGAACTGTGCTTCTCGTACGTCCTCCTCCTCCTTCCCCCTCCCCTTCCCCTTCCTCTTACCCTTCCTTTTCCCTTTCCTTCTCCCTTATTTGGAAATTCGATTACCGATTACTAATGTGTAATATCGTAGCTTCTCCCGCCCCGACTTCCGTTGCGGATTTCAAGAAGGTTTGCGCTGCGGACGGGCAGGCGGCTTATTGTTGTACTTTGCCTTTGGTGAGTTTTTCTTTCTGGTTTTGAGAGGGAGGGAGAGGGAGGGAGAGGGGTTATGCTGATGCGGTGATGTGATGTGTAGGCTGGTGATGCGTTGCTTTGTGAGGCTGTTTGAATAGGTGGAGAGGGATGTGAGGGGTGGTGAGGGTGTATATGATGGGAGAGGAGGGTTAGAGACGGGAGTAGGTGGGGTGATTTAATGAAAGTGGTTATAAACTTCTGCATCCTCTTTCTATGTCTAGTTTGAGTGGTCTCAATATATGGTCGTCGTGCTTTTGCTTGATGTGTCCACTCTTTCACATCGGCCTCCAACCGAGCTGGCATTTTCATCCAATGTAAATTGATTCTAAACTACTCTACATCGCCATTCTCGAATGGAACCAGGACGCCACAACGAATTTCCAGCTAAGAATTCTCTATCGAAGCTGAGATATCGAGTTAGGACTTTGGAACTCCGATGGATTAATTTGTTGAACACTGAGCCAATGGTGGAATATCGGGATATTACTGGTCTTTCAACAGTTGTGGACGTTGAAGGGGGCTGTGATACCGGGACAAGTTGATCTGAAGGATCCGGATCTTGTAATGTATGGTATTCATTTGACTTTGTTGCACGTCGCAGTTTCTAGACGGGCTGGATTTAGACAGGCGGGCTCAATCTGAGCCCGAGTAAGCGTCTAAATTTGGCTGTGCGACTAAGTCCAACTGACTTTCGGCATGCTTAGAGTCTTGCTACAAGCTCTTTGGTATATATTGCAATAGTGTATGTCTTTTTGGTTTTGTTGCATGTCGCGCTCTTCATCTAAGTCCGCCTAAACCTCTGGAGAAGTTGCTCTGGGATATGCAGAGTTTGTGAAGAGCAATATTTCTTTTTAAGCTGGTTAAAAGTCGTACTTCGGCGTAAGCCAGCCTCAGCCCGAGTAAGTCTAAACAGGTTGCTTTGGAGTAAATGGAAGAGTAATGGGTAGTGGTTTTATTCGGGTTTGTTGCATATCGCAACCCTATGTCTGAGCCCAGACGGTCGTCTTCTTGACCCTGGCTGAGTACTGAGGCTGGATATCTGTCTGGCTGAGCCTACTTGAACTTGAGTACATCTGAATTGAACTTGGAGAGTAGCAATCGTCTTATGCTGAAGAGTCTAAAAAAAAGTCAAAGAGAAAACCGTCGAAACTTCGCGCCACGCTACAATGAAAAGCTAAAGACTACAGGATACCTCGAATACGGATGAGCTACCATGAAAACAGTCGGCCTCGCTCATCTTTATCCTCTAGAATTCCGAGAGAAAGATCGAACAGACATCTTTCAAACCATCTTGCCTGTTAACCTTTTCTCGAAAACCCTTCTTCATAGGTACGGTTGGTGCAACAAGCTTCCCAATGACTCGCCAACCCCAACAAGCGAGAAAATCAGACGCCAATCCGAACACTCCGGACGTCAGGCTGAAACACGATTCCTGGGGTAACCGTAGCTGGAGAATGCATGCCGTGAAGAAATCGGGCGCAGAAAAAGCGAGAGGTGACGACGCCCGATGAGGTGCAGAATAGGCAGCCGTGGAATGTGGTGTGGTGAGGCTGGTGAATTGGAGGGCTTGTGAAAAATCGATATTTTGAGAAGATGAATAGAAGGGACTGGATAGTAGTAAGGATTGATACGGTGATTGAAGATTGAATGATGTTGCGATGTAATATTGGTGAGTGTAGTGGTGAGAAGTGTTCCTTTGCGAATAGGGGCTTCCTTGAAGCGAGGGCGATGAATGATACGCTCAGAGTTGAGGTAAATAGATAAAGCAAAAGGAAAATGTTTTGAAGATGATGCAAAGGAATTATCGTCGAATGAAAACGAATCATGAAATTGATGTTTGAGATCTTAGGAGATATATCTTCATGAAATGTTCGTAATTGAATTCTTCAGGAGATTCGAACCCCTTTCTGATGCTGATCACCAACCATGACTTTGTACCACTTGGTCGGAAGAAGGTGTATATCATTTTCCTTTCGATTCTTCTTAAACCAGACTTCTCGTGAGTAACATCATAAAAATGCGATTGATGTACTTTCCATAAAATATAGAATATCTAATTGCTGAAGAAAGTCTGAGGCTCTCGAGCAAAGTCTCCCGGTAATGCAACGATCATCACTAGCTTCGTTCGGCTGGACAATTTGTGTATTACGTAGGATGATGACTGGAGGAACATCAGACAGCCCAACAATGAAACCTCAATACAGAATATACACAACCTGCACCAGGACCTGTGATGACGATGAACATGATATAAAACTGAATTGCATAAATTGTAGACATCATCATTGCTTCGCCTTTGCGTACATTCACCTTCCCTCCCCTTCTCTCAATGACGTCCCAAACTAGCTTAGCACAGTCCATCAACCCCGTCGCGTACCGAGAGCAGCGCATGGTCATTGACGAGAGCACTTCAAAATCGTGAGGATAGCGAGCAGCAGCCACCAGACGAGGACCCATCCCATAAATCAATCACCACGACACCAACCATCGACTTTCCATCAAAAAGACCTCGAAATCCATCTCCGCCACCCCCATTAAGACCAGAATCGCATCCGTTTTCTCGAGAAACGGATGTCGCGATCGCAATATTATGAGTGAGGTTGGGGTTGCCGACCGCACACGGCTTTTACGATCAAAACGAGCGGAACTCAGGTACATCAATTATCTCCCTACATGCATTCGAAAGCGCGCGATATCGCGCGTCGATGCATATATATTTCATGGTGCTGATGATTGTAGTGGCATTGTTACGTCGCGCAAGAGGAAACTGCGCGAGCTGTATGCTGTTTGCGACAATAAATTCCCCATTCCCCAAGTCGACCTCTCGAATCCCGACGCGCCGCCCGCCGACTTTCACGAAGCTCACTTCCTCGATGTCACTGACATTTTACAGTACGTTTTCTCTTTCGATCTATACCCATATGTAGATGTTCGGGGTATTGGGCGTGGTTCACATGTGGTTTTACTGATGTGTGAATTGCAGAGATCGACTCTTTAATGCAACAAATCTCCCCAACCAAGGTCGATCACGATCGTACAAATTAAAGGAGACATCTCCGGTAAGGAAGGGAAGCACCGATGCACGAATAAATGATGCGTCGCGAAAGGCGGCCAAGTTGCAGCGCGATGGGTCCAGGTCGAGACAGAGTCGAGCACCAACTCCAAGCTCGAGGAGCGATGGAGGACTTTCCACAGTGCCAAATGATACTATTATCGATGGGTCGACCGGCAAAGGTGTGCCAATGCAAAGATCGTCTTCGAAGGGCTCGCAGACCGATTTGCCTGCCGAATCATCCTCCGTCTTGAACGAGATAGTAGAGGAGACTTTCGAGAATGCGAAGCAGCCCACACCTTCCATGCCAGATGATGTTGTGCCAGCAAAGGACTTGGAGAGTGACAGGATCAGGACGAGAGTAGAGAGTAGGCCGAATAGTCCAGGCGTGGATCCAAGAGAAGCGATGCCCATATCTGCCGAGGACGCTGCTCAACTACCTGGACCTATCGTTGAAGGACTTGGTTCTCATGATGGTCAACATAAGGCTGCTACGGCTCACTTACCACCAAGGGAAGTTCAAGAGACGCACTTGCATGAATTAGAAAAGGCAAGGCAACTGAAGGAGCAGCAAGCACATCTATCGATCCATCCACCTCGAGATAATGGAAGAAATGCAGAAGCCCTCTCGTCTCCTGGCTCGACCATCGATGCTCTCTCAGCCACTACTCCTGCTATGCATGAAGCATCAACGGACACCAGCCCAGATAATGAGAGTCGCTATGATGCGGATAGGATGGACAGAGACGATGAAGCTGCAACCCCTCCTCAGCTGAAGCCTACACCAGAGGAAGCTGCCGACAAAGCTGAGCATGATAGGATCTTGCAAGCCCGAATAGACATTGCACGAGATGGGATCATGGGAAGTAGTCCCATTCCAGCGAGGGAAGAATCACGGGAAGAACAAGCTCCTGTATCTACACCTGCTGGTGGTTCGCTGGAAGACACAAGGCCATTTCAGAGTACCACAGACCAACTCACGAAAGCAGCTAGTGAGATTGTTAACGACAATGTGGATGCCGAGAAAGAAACGATGGGAGGTCCAGCCTCAGACATGCCTCTGAATATGTCAGAAGATACTGAACCCACGTCGAATACCGGAAAGCAGACAGAGATTGCGGATTCCGAGGAAGACCAAACCCCAGTTGCAGACCTAATGGATGTGGACGAGAGCGAGAACAAAGTGAATCAACCAGCGCCTGATAAGACAGTAGTCAACGATTCCTTCGAGAGTACTTCTGCTGGTGGAAGCACAACAGCAACACCGGCTCCTATTCCACAATCGACAGATCTAGCAAAGGAGGTCGATGATTCACAGAAGAACTCAGTGACTCCCACATCGTCTACTCCACGTAGGACACCTTCGACTCCAGCAGTTCCTCCTCTGGAGAGAATGACTACAAGAGTAGCTTCTGGAGCTATGCGTCACAAGTCTGTATCTGAGATTCTGGGAGAGATTCCAAAGCCAGCAACGTCGTCGAACCAGGATCGAAGGACCGAATCTGAATCCGCCGGAAATTCTCATACTCCATCAAGAAGCACTACTCCTCAATCACCAGGAGCCCGACTTCGGATGATGGAGAAGAACAAGGAACGCAGCAAGCTATCAACAGTAGTGTTTGCGGGACGACCATCGAAACCTGCAGCACGTGATAATGCATTGACCACCAATGGATCGTTACCACAGAACCTGAAGGACGACTACTTTATGCCCCTATTTCTCGCAACAGCATCGGCAGGAAAGAGCGGTGGACAATCTCTTGACGCTCTTATAGGCTCAGCTCACAAGACCATTACAACCTCGAATGGATATGTTCCCATTCACGAAAATCAAACAGCAAAGGTGCTGAAGCGAATTTACAATCTTCAATCCTCGAACAAATGGGCATTGAGACAACCGAAGCGTGCACCAGAACCTGTCAGACAAACAACTCACTGGGATGTGTTACTTCAGGAAGCCAAGTGGATGCGAACAGATTTCCGAGAGGAACGAAAGTGGAAGATGGCTGTGGCAAGGAATCTGGCTTTTGCTTGTGCCGAATGGGTGGAGGCAAGTTCAGAAGATCGGAAATTGCTACAGGTCAAAGCAATACCTCCAAAACCTGTTGAACCCGAGTCGAGAGACATTGAAATGGGCGAGGCATCGAGTCAAGCTGCTGCACACCCAACCCCAGATCTAGTCGCTTCAGGAGAGTCGGATTCTGCAATGGAGGATTTTGATGAGGCGCCGAGTTTGCATTTGATGGAGACCGTTGCACCAGCGGCGATTTTCGCTCTACAAGATGACGAGGTGGTGTGTGCTTTGAGAAGCTCACCAACTACTGACAAGTTGTTGGCTGAGTTGCCTATGTATGGTGCTCCTCTTGCAATCCCGCAGTCGATTTTGCCAACCTCCGACCTCGATCCAGATCGCTTTTGGCGACGACCAGCCCTTCCTCTGAGCAAATATGTTGAGGGGCGAATGGAGTTGAAAGTCGAAGGACCACCGAGGAAGAAAAGCCGATATGACTATGACGAAGAAGATGATGAGGAAGACCATGTTGTCTTTGGGGAGCAGGGAACTAAACGACCAATTCTTCCTCCTGAAAATACAGACGTCGCCTTGTTCAACCCAGAGCACAAGCATATTCGAGACCGCATTCATTCTTCACATCAGTTCAGACCACCATCCGAATTTCCCATGCCACTCCAAAGCTTCTTTGAGAACCGAATGGCTTCTCAATGGACTGCTGATGAGGATGTTCAACTCAAAAGTCTCGTTCGCGAATATCAGTACAATTGGTCTCTCATCTCTAGCATGTTGACGTCCAAGTCAATATGGTCTTCAGGCCCGGAACGTCGAACTCCGTGGGAGTGCTTCGAAAGATGGATCAATCTCGAAGGTTTGCCTGCTGATATGCAGAAGACTCATTACTTCAGGGCATACTCTACCCGTATCGAGACTGCTAACCGTAACGTGGTGGCGCAGCCAGCTCCGGCGCCAGCCCAAGCTAACCCCAATGCACAACTACAACAACCAGCTCCTAGGCGTAGACCGACCACTAGTCTCCGGGTCGATCGCAGAAGAAATAACAAGCATCTTACACTCGTTGATGCGATGAGAAAATTGGCAAAGAAACGAGAGACCAACATCCAGAAGCAGCAACATGCAGCTGGAATGGCAGCTATGAGAAAGGCACAAGAGCCACATGCTAATGCGAATCGGATCCCAATCCAGACACCGCAAGACTTTAGTCGAGTCAAGCATGAGCGTGAGGAATCATTCAGGCTTCGTCTTGAAGAGCTCAACCGGCGGCAGGAAGCACAGAGAAGGGTTCGTACCAACAGGGTCTCCCAATATCTGAATATTCGTAATTAATTTGATATCAGGCGTTGCAACAGCAGCAGAGGAACGGTCTCCCAAATCCTCAGCAGCCGCCTCCCAACGGAGCTGCTCCTCGACCTCCAGCTCCAGGTGCACCCGCAAATGGAGCTACTCCTTCTGCCAATCAAAGTCTCGCCGTGCCTGGTCAAAATAGACCCCGTCCCATGCCCCCTCAAATGCCTAACCAACCTATGCCAAATGGTCTCCGTGTTCCCCAAATGGTCCCACCTGCACAGATGCAGGGTCAAATGCCACTTCCAAACCCTGCGCTCGATGTCCAACTTGTAACGCGAGCTCATCAAATCTCACAACATCAACAAGCCATGATCCGTCAACAACAAGGCCAAGTGAATGGTCAATCCCCTCAAATGCACAACTCCCCTCCACGAATGAACGGCATGCCTGCTCCAGGCTTCAACATGCCACCAAATATGATGCCTTCCTTCAATCCGAACGTTAACGGCGTCTCAACACCACCTACAAATAACCATGTGCCATCGCCAAATCATGGTCAAGCGGGTTCTCCACGCATAGGCCAAAATCTTGCTCCTCCAACTGGCGTCAACGTGGTCCAGATGCTAGAGATACAATTCAGACAAAAATACCCTCAAGCCACCCAAGACCAAATCACCCGCCTCATCTCCGAGCATCTCGCCAACCAAGTTAAACAGCAGCAGCAAAGACAAGGTCTCGCCCAAAGCGCAATGAATGCTGCTGCTGGTGGATCGACAAATGGAATGACTGGAATGCCCGGTATGCCAGGAATGGGTCCTGCGCAGAGTACACCACAGATATACGCCCAAATGCTTCGACAGCAGCAAGAGAATCAGCAGAAAGCTCAACAACAAGCTGCTCAAGCTGCGAATGCTGTCGCCAATGGACAGAACCAATCGTCAGCGGCTGGAAATGCAGGACAAGGACATGCGCATAGAGCTAGCACAGGAAGTTCGCATAGTGGGAAATAGGCTACTCTTGGAATGAGATTCTAGTCAGCGCAGGATGCAGGATGAGCTCAATGTCGAAAATCGTGAGCGTTGTACATGGCGTTGCGGGCTGGCTGGCTGGACGGATTTGATAGAGTAGAGCATACACGTCGCATACCTAATATTGGTACAAATAGCGTGCATGCAAGTCTTTTACTGTATGAGCTATCATGAACAGGAGAAGACAATGAACATAAACTAATACGCTACCATTCTCCATTTTGTGAACTCAAACCAAATCGTCAGCCTTGCGCCTCTATCTCACGTGCTTATTTTAATGCCTAAGATCCAAGGCCTCAACATCTAGCGCAACATTCCAAATTCTATTTCGAATCTCGTTGCCTCCTTCAAACACACGACCACACCTCTTTCCACCACAACGCCCGCACAAAATGTCTCCCTCAAAAGACGACCCTCCCGCGCCAAAAATATCAATAAAAGGCTTCTCCCTCTCCGCGAAACCCTCCTCTTCAACCTCAAAACCCAAACCGCCACCAGCAACGCTCCTAGGCAAGAGACCGCGCTCCACGTTCGCGGCGGCGCACGATGACAGTGATTCGGATGGTGAGCACAGCAGAGGGAAAGTAGAGACTGTTCATGGGTTCGAAGATGGCGGGGCCGTGAATGGGGAGAAGAAAGCTAGTGGTGCGTTGCTTGTTATCCCCAAGCAGAAGAATAGGGATTGGAAGGCTGAGGCGCGGGGGAGAGGGAGGGGAGGGAAGAATCTGTTGCCGGCAGAGGTGCAGGCTGCTCAAGAAGCTGCTAGGAAAGAACGAGAAGGAAGAGGGAGCGGGAAGGAAGAAGGTGTCGATGTTGTGAATTCGAAGGATGGGGAGATTGAGTGGGGATTGAGTGTTAGGAAACGGGTTAAGGTTGATGAGGAGGAACCTACACCTACATCTACACCTGTAGTTGAAGAAGAAAAGGTCGAGGGAAAGGCGGAAGAGAAGCCCAAAACCGCAGACGAAGAAGCTCTCGCCGCGCTCCTAGGCCAGAACAAAGAGAAAAGGGGCCCCGACCTAATCATCAAGTCCGAAACAGACGCCTACCGCCAAGCTATCGCCTCTGCGCCCGAGGCCTCCACGCTAGAAGACTACGAGCGGGTGCCCGTCGAGGAATTCGGCGCCGCTCTGCTGCGAGGAATGGGCTGGAAGGGCGAAAGTCATGGGAAAGTGAAAGATGTGAAGCGGAGACAGAATTTACTCGGCTTAGGAGCGAAAGAGTTGAAGGAGGCGGAGGAACTGGGGGCGTGGGTGCATAAGAGTGATGTGAAGCGGTTGCAGGCCGGTGGGGATAAGAGGGGAGAGAGGAGGCCTAGGGTTAGTGAGTATAGACGGGAAGAGGAGCGGAGGAGGGAAAGGAGAGGCGGTTCGGGGTATAGAGACGAGAGAGAGCGAGAGAGGAGACGATAATTTCTCTCTTTTTTTCGTTACATTTCTTTTATTTGATAGATAGAGCTGCAATGTAGTGCACACCCAGCTCTCTTCACCAATAGAAACCCATCAAATTTCGCATCCGCTTAAAATGAAAGGAAGTGAACCCGAACCCGACGGAAGTAGAACACGAAAGCGAAAGCGAGATTTTTGCGACGCGCAACAAAATGGATGGTTTGGTGGTTGTTATTGGGGGATGGAAAGGTGCAGGTACGTTGTACGTTGTTTGATGGAAGAGAAGAACTGGTAGGTTGGTTGATTGGAGGCGGATGCGGGGTACGGGATACGAGGTTGTGTACGAGGGCAGTTACACGAGGGAGAGGGATGTTGGAGTTGTCACGGACAAAGCGAAGCTATACTACCTATGCAAGTATCATTGGAATAACTATGCTTCATGTAATGTTACAAACGTGCTTCCGGCTGGGTCGAGAAATCATACATTGCCTCAAAGTAGACTTCCTCCATTTGAAAACTTCTCGACTTACCGACTAGGAGACAGGAATGTAGAGCTTACATAGCATTGAGATAGAAGATGAGAACGAGAAAGAAAGGGGTATATGAACATCGAACATCAATCTCGTGTAGCGAGAGAATGCTACTCCAAGCACCCCACCTTTCGGAGATACCAATAGTGGGATCTCGAGCCGCTATTCATGGACCTTCCAGACCTGGATATGACGATATGGCTAAATTTCGACAATACTCATGCTAAACACCATCACACTTCACAAATCCAATGAGCACCTACCAAAACAGCATCTTCCAAACATAAGGGAACAGAAACACCAGAAAATGGACACCCTTCTCAAAACCCACATCCCAACCCTCACCCCCTACGAAAAAATCTACAAAAACCTACACCAAAACCCCGGCCTCTCGCTCCAAGAAACGCTGGCTGCCTCCGTTGCGGCCTCACGCCTTCAATCGTTGTCTGGATTCGATGTCCGGACCGAGATTGGGGGTACGGGTCTTATTGGGATCTTAAAAGGGGAGGGAAAGGGGGACGGCAGGACGGTGTTGGTGAGGGCTGATACGGATGCGTTGCCGGTGGAGGAGTTGACCGGGTTAGAGTATGCGAGTAAGAAGAGGGAGGTGGATGTTGAGGATGGGGTGAAGAAACCGGTTATGCATGCTTGTGGGCATGATATGCATGTTGCTTGTAGTGAGTTTGGTTTCTTTTGTTGGGTGTTTGGAAGTTTGATTATGTTTCTGGGTCTGGAGGTTTCTTTTGTGTTTTGAGATTTGGGGGAGACAGATGTTGGTCCCTGAATGATGACTTTGGACGGGCTGGGTGGTTTTGGTGTTCAACTCACAGTTGAGACTTCGAATGTTGGTGTTGAAGTTGGAGATTGAAGTGCCTTACTTGTCGTGGACCAGTGGTGAAGTTTCACACCGTGTCAATGTGGGAGCGAACGAGCATTATCTACGTCTTGAGGATGTTTCATGTTCAGTGTATCTCGCTTACTTTCCAACTTTATGTTGCTCTTGAACGTCAATTCTTGAAGCCAGACATGAACACTAACACCCTTCAGTGCTCGCAGCAGCAACTACTCTTCACTCCGCCCGCAAAGAATGGTCAGGAACCCTAATCGTCCTCTTCCAGCCCAACGAAGAAAGAGCGGGAGGTGCAAAAGCCATGATTGCCGATGGTCTCTACACCAAACACGGTTGTCCACTTCCAGACGTCGTCCTCGGCCAACACGTGATGCCCTTTCCTGCTGGCACTGTTGGCACCAAAGTAGGAAGCTTCGCATCAGCAGCCGACTCTTTCCGAGTCACAGTCTATGGTAGAGGCGGTCATGCTTCGCAACCTCATCGCACGATCGATCCTGTTATCATAGCTGCGCATATCGTGGTGAGATTACAGACTGTTGTGAGTAGAGAGGTGGATCCTAGGGAGGCGGCTGTGGTGACAGTAGGAAGTGTGCAGGCGGGACAGACTGAGAATATCATTGCCAGCGAAGCGTTGCTGAAAATCAATGTCAGGACGGTGACGCCAGAAACGAGAGAAAGAGTCTTGGCAGCAATAAAGAGGATCGTCAAGGCTGAGTGTGAAGCAAGCGGGAGTCCGAAGGAGCCATTATGGGAATCTACCTCACAGTTCCCTTTCACGGTCAACGACAAAGATACCACAGAGCATGTTTCAAAAACTTTTGAGAAGTACTTCGGAGATAAGTTTGACCCAGAAGCTCATCCATTGGGTGGCAGTGAGGATTTTCCGATCTTGGCGACGGAAGTCCCACATAAGGACGGGAAGGGGAAGGGTGTTCCGTATTGCTATTGGACATTTGGAGGTGTTGATCCGGGGAAGTTTGAGGATGCGAAGAAGAGGGGGAAATTGCAAGAGGAAGTTCCAATCAACCATAGTGCATATTTTGCTCCTGTTATACAGCCTACGATGAAGACTGGCGTAGAGGCGCTTGTTGTTGGAGCTTTGAGTTTCTTAGGAAGGTGATGATTAGATATTATGAGACCTTGAAAGGCATGTATACTAGTACTCCATAAATCACTGCGTTCGATATTTCACAGCCTAACTACGTGCTATATCGTCTTCTCTTCTCTTAGATAGAGTGTATCAAAGTTCTGACGGGATTCTTCTAAGTAGTCGACTACTATGATCTAGTAACACAAGTTTCATGAATATGAATTCAAAGTGATCACTTATCAAAATTCTTCCACCAACTAAACTTTTGGACGACTTGACATCGCACTTTCTTGATCCGAGGGAGACTGTTCGGGCCCTTTTCCATCAGTGGTATGATTACATCCAAAATAGTCTTGCGATTCAAGATCCACACAAGGCTTGTTACACTGAGCCTCGCCGCAACATGCACGCGGAGAGATGCATTTAAAGTCGCCGCCTGATAGCGCCTCGTCAAATCCTCGTCACGCTTTCTTGGTGGTCCCGTCTTTTGCATGAACGATACCAATGGGAGCCCAACTTTCTGTGGGACAAAGGTCTTTGCATGACATCTTACACCAGGCTCCCGTGTTATCTACTTTGTAACGTAGGAGTTTATATTCCATAGGCTTATTAAACGAAGAGGTTTTGGCGATCGAAAGTTACGCCCGAAGGATTACGCTATGACTGTTGATAGGTGTGGAAACGCACTCAGCTGCGCCTCGTTGATGCCCAAATAGATCATGAAGCCGGGTCATTTTCATTATCGTTAAAGATAATTTTTCATTGCAGCAATCAAGGACTCTGAAATAGTACTTTTTGACGAAATTGAGCAACAATATCCATTTCGGTTTCAAGCAAAGCTCTTCCTATTGGGAGGTTCAGTGTAGCCATCATGTCGCTGTCAACGCATAGGATAAGGCGGAGCGAACAGCGCGGAAGAGAGAAAGCTAGGCTTGAACCTATTGGAGAGGCTTTGAACAAGAGTCAATGGACTGTTGGTGATTACGATACATCGCCTGCCCTTTCCGAGGACGAAGTCGGAGATCTAGAACTACAAACGCGAATCAATAGCTCACGAGTCCCAGCGAGAGAGTCGAGGCTTGCAATAATGTCTCCGATTGTTATTGCAAGCTTCACGAAAGAGCTTCTGGAACATCCCCAGGTGATTGAATGGGCCAATGAGGCAGCAACCAATACACCCGCAGATGTCCTCAAGGCCCAGTTATCTAATTTGTTGGAAGATTATTATAGGAAATTGGTACCATTCGCTGCCGAGTTTCTGGGAGACGGGACGCCAGACTTGGATCCTGGTGATATCATACGACGAGGGAGACTGACAATCGTTAGATACTTTAGAGAAGGGGCCAAAGAATCTGGCACAGTTGTAGATCACGGTTTCTTGGATGATGCAAGAACCTCAACTCGGCACGATCTTTCTTGGAAATCTTTGAGTAATTGGGGATTCCCTGCCCACAGCATCGACAGCACCTGTGATGAAGTCCCTAGCCACGGAAATTCTAGCAACATAGAGATACTCATATACTACTCGGAAGTCAGAACACATCTCATCGAATCGCAACCCTTTGAACATCTGGTCGCGCAATTTCGAAATTGGTACCTGACACAGATCGATCAGCATCCAATGCCATTAGTAATTTCTTCTGAAGGGATTCCGACTGATAAGCCAGATTCGCCTAAATCTTTGGTTTCCCTGAAAATGCACTGGGACCTACGGTCATTCCTGGAAACTCAATATGGCCCTAATAGTCATGTAAAGCTTGAGTCAGTGATAACGATCAGTGGGTCGGCAATTTGTTGTCAAGCACTTACAGTCGCGGATTATCTTAAACAAAAGTGGCCAGGATATGGGGTCACTGTCTTAGAAGCTCTCCAATCAGCTCTAGATAGTCCTGAAAGCCGTGCTGAAGTATCAGATGGAAGGTGCGTCTGTCACGGGAACCATATGGGCAGAAAGAGTAGTATTGATAAATCTGAAGAATCTAAGTGAGAGTACAGGAGTGAGGATATATAGGCATGAAAGGTTTCAGCACTAAGAGCCCCTGAACTAGTCCTAAACCAGCGAATAAAAGTGGAGACAACCGAATTCCAACTGACATGAAGGTACGTAAAGTTTTGATTTCATTTTGCAGACTTCTGAATCCTCCTTAGCTGGGACTTGATATTAGTGACGAATAAAGATAAAGGATACTCAGTACTCGTACACATAGCTGATCGAATGCTAAAGGTGGTTGAAGTCAAAGTGCAAGGCTCGTCCGACGATATCGTATTGATGAAACAAATATTTTCCTGGGTTGGAGCTGCGATACGGACTTCAAAATCTTCACAGGCGGAGTACTCTGAGTGTGTATCTTCTCCTGACGGCGAGGATCAATTTTTCATGGATTTCGTTCAAACGCCAACACCAGAAGCAGAGACAACTTGTTGGTTACCTTTGTTCAAAAATGCTGTGATTGCGACAGGCTTTCCTACCGCCGCTCGTACCAATCATGAAATTGGTGTGGAAATCCCACTGGAGATGATGGCTGTTCTAATTGGAGCTGAGCGGGCCGTAGAGCATGACGGCGGTATCCTCATTAAAGGTTTTTCGAGTGTGCTTGTGCCCGTCGCCCGGAAAAACGATTCAGTCCAGTGGCACTTGCTTGAGAATTCAGACGGAACACGTTTGAAATACAGCGATATACGAGAGAGGTGTCAAGACAGATTATCTATAGATGAGCTGAGTCAAGAGTCGCTTCGTGAGATGAGAGTTTTTCTAGGGTGGTTGAGGCACGCGAAATCTTTCTTCGGGACACCAGAGGTTGCATATAAGAACATTACCGCATCCAAAGCCGACAAAGCTTCAAAAACCCTCAGTTTGACAGATATTACAGTTGGATTCTCGAAATTGGGTTCTGCAAGCACAAAATTTGCTCTGGGGGCAAGAGAAGTTCGCTACATTTCTCGGGCCAACCGCCTAGAGAGGTTGCTTGACGCAGCGGAAGAGATGGATATATGTCTCTATGATTTCGATTTCCAAAGATCATGGATGGCGTCTGGAACTGAAGTACTTTTGCACCTCATTCATACTAAACATACAGTAAAGCCTTTTTGCATTGCGGGACAGGAAATAACCCTGGAATTTGCAAGTCCGGCAGAAAACGGGCCTGATGCTTGCAGAGCTGCTATAATGAGCATGGCTTCGCTTTCCTTGTACAGCAGCACGTCAGTGTCTGTGACAAGTTATTGCGTTCAAGATCTCGTAAATGATCTATGGCTGCGTTTGGAAAAGCTCGAAGAGCCTGGTGACCAACCCGGAATACCAATAAGCATGAAATTCAGCACAAAGCTAGCAGGCTACGAAATTATGGACATCGTTCTCGACAAAGGAGTTTTGAGACAAAAAGAGGTTTCTCTCAAAAACACAAGTGGAAAATGGCTCGACATTATCAAAGCTTGCGATGGCGTCGTTCTCTTCGGGAGTCATTTTGGACATCTCATCAGACCCGCGTTGAGTAACAAAGGTCTCTGTCCTGACTGGACTAACTTGCCGGATGGAAAAGACTATATGGCCACAACCGTTCAGAAGCTGCTTCGTTTCTTTGGGAATGCCAATGAAGTCGGTCATCTGACTTCGGCCGGCTTGACCCTCCACAAAGTTTCCGTTCTGTTCGAAAGCTGCCGCAATCAATCGTCATCGTGTTGTTGCCAACGTGTTCTTCAAGTCATTCCAAAATCACGAATCTCGTTCAAGTCCGCCACTCCACCTGGATCGTTGGGATCTACAGGCTGCGTCATCATCGGAAGAGCTGCCCGTGTTCTAAGGTCACGAAAACTCACTTCTCGCAATACAGCTTCTCGTTCGTTTGGGGCTGTCGACTATAGCTGTGAAGATATGGTCAGTTCTCGTGAAGAGTCTCCGGAGAATTGGACTTCGGATACTTTGGAAGATACAACGATAACAGTGAAGAGGTTCTACCAGACACAGACGGAAGATGAATGTCATACTTATTCTGGTCAAGAAGTAGCATTTCCGCACCCTCAGCTTCAACAGGAAGAGCTGGATGAATCTTATGAGGAGAATCTTGGAGCCTGCTTGGAAGGTGCGACAGCTCAGCTCTCAATTATGAATTCGGGCTTGCCAGCGTCACAAAGTCTGCCAACGAATGAGGATAGGGAAATATCAAGTACATATGGTTACAACTGTGCTTCAACCAATGATCGATCTGCTGCTATTGACAATATGCACATTGATAGCATTGAAGAGGATGACAACCTAGAAAAAGATCAGCTCTATCGTCGTAGGGTAACCATCAACACCTTTGGCAAGGTTACTCGTGCTCAAAGCCAGGATTCACCTCGAAAACTTAGACATGTGCAAAAGAAGTCACACTTGAGAGCACGAGAAAACAGACAAGTGAGCGCTATAGACTGGGAAGAGGACAATATGGACACTTCTTGTATTTCAAACTGAGTTCGAGGCCGTGCTGTACACATCTTTCGTCTAGTCAGCGGGCAAATAGACCCAGGCCATTGGCTTTTTTTTCAACGAGCGTTTTATGTAGGATCCCAATAACTAGAAAGCAAGACAAGGACTCTTCTTTCGAATTCATGCAACTCTTGTGCTTGAATCATCTGCATGCTCGCAGCGTTGCCAGCTGCCCAGCCACTCCTTCGCGGGTGTTCAGGCTGAGCTGGCTAACTTGAATCGGCTGGCGAGGAGTAGGAAGGCCGAGGTTTTAGATTTTTTGGCGAGGCTAATGAAGGCTAATATATATTTTAGCGAGGAGTAGAAAGACTAAGCAGGTTGGCTTTAAATGCGATTTTCAAGGATTTAAACGAGATTAAAGTTTGATTTTTAATTTCCGAACTAGCCACCTTTTGTCTAGCTGAGCTAGCCAATTACTTTTTACTAGCGAGGAGAAAGAAAGTAAAAATTAAAAAATCGCTGGCGAGGAGAAAGAAGGCGGTAGCGGGCTGAGGAAGGCTGTTTATTGGCTGGGCGGTTGGCATCGCTGCATGCTCGAGAATCAAACGATGATTTCTTTTCCCCAATTCGTAAATAAATCACGTTTATTTCACCTTTCTTGAACTATCGCGAGATAATGGTTCATAAATCGACCTTCTAAATATGGATTGGCCTGAATTTGAAACTTCAAAGGAGACAATACTCTGCTGTTATATCTAACAAATACGATTATAACGAGGATCGTATAATTTAATGAAAACAAAATACATCAGGCTGAGGAATTACTTTATACTCTATAAACCCAGAGTGGCAGATCAGTCAGTTAGACAGTCGTCAGCTAAAGCATTTTTTGCCAGCTGAAGACTGATAAGAATCACGATATCTAGCTGATTTAGCCAGACTGGCTAATCAGCTAGCCAATTAGCGGTACTGAATATGAGGATATATTATTTGAAATTGAGATACTCTAATAAAAACCTCTCAAATGCTACTTTTTCTTCGTATTGACTTTTTAAACGTGCTTGATACTCTATGCAATGACTTTTAGAGTGTAATTATGATAATGAAATGAGTTTTGTGTATATATATATATATATATATATTTCAAACTGTACTCAATACATTAGGCTTGCAATAAGGGGTCTAATTGCGCGCATAGACTTACAGGCCTAAAAATATCTAAAACTAGCTAATTACATGCTTTCTACTAGGTTTTTCTGCTCCGAAAACACTAGAATCTGCCTCTATTATAGCTTCGAAATCTAAAAATTTATATCCTCAAAATGATCAGTGAGTTGATTTGAAAATTGTTTGCTAAATTACTAACTGATGAAATATTTTGAGCTAAATGATGGATGCAATGTTATTTTAATAGTTAGCGTTGATTAGCTAGCTGACTGCATGCCTACTCTGTATAAATCAATAGTCGCCAAAATATTGTTTATGACTCAGTAGCGTAACTTTAACAGCCATCAATGTCCGTCTGGTGGTCCCTGGTACACGAGATCCCATACCGCGCGACCTGTTTGATCGTGAAGGATATTTATCCATGGGAACTGGCAAATGGAGTCACAAACTCTTGACCAGCTATCAATTTGAAACCGCACAGCCAATCTTCTGATCCTCAAAACGAGCCAGTAACTAACACTCGTGGTCTTGAACCAGAGACTTGCAACAAACAAAAGCCACAGAAGCAAATTGTCATCATCGCGAGCATCGAATTCTTCGTCAAGAACCTCCCTTAGCCGCCGAGAGATTAAATGGTATCCTTGGATTCGGCGGTTATCCCACTGCAGGAATAATGTTGTCATGAATGTTATTAAACCGATATGATATGCTGCTTCCCTCCTGCATTCAGGTTTCGGACTTTGTAATGGTCGAAATCGAATCAGGCGGCAACATATAGATATCACTATCTCTAAAAAGGTCTTGATATCTAAGTTCCGGCGGGAAGGAGGGCTATTAAATAGAGCAGCGATACTCATGACATCAACGAGTATGTCTCGAAGATCGGTGTTGATTCCGTCGTATTGATGCTGTCCAGAGGTTGCACCAGGAGAATAGTTGATTTCTATTGATGGAAGCATACTTCGAATCTCAGACATGCGGTCTCGATAAAATAATACTGGCTCTCCGTATCGGAGTGCGTAGAGTATATCCATTCTGAGAACCAACACCACATTAGATGAAAATGTAAACTGTGATTGGAAAGCACCAACTTAGACATTTTCAACAAAAGTGTAGAGCAGCTCTTGAGGCGAGAGAGTCCACCACGGAGTTCGATCAATTTCCTCAATCCTTCGTAATGAATACGCGAAGCCTTCTCATGCCGAATTTGCTCTTGAAGGATAAGCATCATCACCATACAAAGCGTGGAATCCGAGAGAGCTTCTTCGCCTTGCATCCTTCGCTGCACAAGTGAAAAGGTGTTAGAAAGATAGGACAATGCTTTCGATGAGCTAATGCCTCCGCTACTGAAGAATGCATTGGTTGATGCCATCAGTGCGAGACTGCAGTATGCTGCTGCGCTAAGTCAGTAAAGCTAGAACTAGAACTTAGTCTTGTGAGTGAGATATATACCATCCGCATCAATGAACGTTGTTACAAGCCAGTCATGTTTGTACCCATCAGATGAAAGCCCAAGCTGAGAAGGGTACATCTTCTCTGTTATGAAGATGAAAACTTAGGATAGCATGTCTTAGTAGTACTCTTAATTGACTTATCAAGATAGGAGCTGTCATACTTACACTGATCAATACTTTTCAGTGAGCTTTCACTTAGCTCCACCGGAAATGGGAAAGTGCGCAATACATTTCCAAGATTCCTTGCGACCGGCCCTGAATCTTCCTCGTTGGATTTCCTTGCCTCCTTCCTTGAATCGTCACATGGAGTAGGCAACTCAAGTCTTGAACGACGATGTACTGTCTTTCCAGCATTTCTATCCTTCATGACATGGCTACGGATTGACTTTCGAGTGACTTTGTCGACCTTGGCCCCGCTCCCATCCACGAACTGGAATGTTTTCTTCATGTTGAGGCAAAGACAAGTCGGTATTGCCAACTGCACTTACTCTCCTTCAAAGACAGACCGAGGGTACCCCAGGAAGAGATCAAACCACATTAGGCGGTGTATATAATAATATTTCACACGATCATATTCGTGAACGAGGTACCAGCCCGGTACGTGACGTTTTGGTGGGGCATCTCAGTCAGCAGCAGGGGATCACCGAAAGGGCTGGAGCTTTAGGCGAACGGCGGGCCAATAGACATCTGGCAAGGGTCAAGCGGCATGATGAGCCTCAAGATCTTCGTTTGCATACTCCCTTTGTATATCAAACATTGTCTCCAGGACGGGGGAAGATGAGGTTTCAGGTTCGTTCCGAAATCGTGTCTCAAACTGAAGAAGATATTGAGTAGTTTATGGAGGTCATTTACTACTGACACTCTCGCCCCACCACCAAAACAGAACTACTACTGCTACTGATTGAAACAAGAATTGCATTGCATTTCTAGCTTCTTCAACGCGTCTCTGTCAATTGTCTAGCTATGAAGTTTCAATAAGCAGTCACAACCTGCTTAAACTACTTACAATTCCACCACCATCTTTGCCGCACTCAAACCCGCCTTTGCCTTCTTCAGCGCATCCTGAATACTCTCCAAGCCCTTCCCAGCCACAATCGGCGGCGGCACGCACAGCAGCTTCCCGGCCTCGAGAGCTGGAGTCAAATAATCCCTAAATAAAGGTATTGACGCATCATTGACAGAGAAGATCATGCTGGCCTTCACGTTGGCAGGAACATCAGCGGGAGGAGGGTGCGTGCAAGCCAGGTGACCTCCACCAAGCGCGGCGAGGATAGCAAGGGCGGTAGGATAGGTGTCGGGAGTGGCAATAGCGACAATGATCCCGATGAAGCCTCCATATTTGGCTACAGCAGCTCCGACTTTCTCTGTGATAGCAGAATCCTTATGGTCAATGACTTCGACTGCACCGCAGCGTTGACTGAGGCCAAAGTTGTGCGCTCCGGTGATAGTGATAACGGTGACACCAACTGCAGTGGCTAATTGGGTGACTACGGCGCCCACGGTCGAGGAACCGCCGTACACGACAAGAGTCTTGCCCGAGGATGGAACGGGGCGCTGCACAGACGGGTATGGAAGGCCGAGAAGCGCGAGGGGGACACCGGGCATCACTTCACCGGGTTGCTGATTGAAGAGGGCGCAGGCTGCCGCTCCTACAGCTAAGGGTAGGACGACACCGTCTTTGAAAGCGATGGAGTTGGGGAGAATGGCTGCTCTATCGGCGCTCACGATGGTATATAGCGCAAAGGCGCCGTCTTCGGGACGGCCAGTAACGAGAGTCATGCCGTGTCTGTACTCCGAAAGAAACCCTGCGTTAGCCAGGAAATCTAAGAAGTGTGTCTATACGCTGAAGAAAAAACCCGAGAGAATAGAAAGAAGACTTGCGAGATAACGTGAACTGACTTACCCAATGACTCGATCCCCCTTCTTAAAGCGTTCTACGTCTGAGCCAACGGCATACACGGTGCCAGCGACATCATTACCGATGACAGTTGGCCACTGCTTCACAAAAACGCCTGCCTCCAGCATCCAGTTGTCGACATGGTTGATGCCCACGACCGCGTTGTGTACGACCAGCTCACCGGGACCTGGCGTGGGCATCGGGGCCTCGCGGATCTCGAGAGGGGTGTCGGCTTTGATCAGCCATGCGGCTCGGTTGGTTGGTAGTTCCATCGTTCGTTCCTTTATCCTTTTTCGTCGTTCCTATAGTCGTGCAATCAGTAACATGGTTATCATATGATGGCTATGCTGACGTGAATGAAATGAGATGTAGAAGACACGCTGGTGGACAAAGAAGACGCACTTCTCTTAAATATAATGTAAATCGGCAGACTTAGTCAAGGCCTGCAAATGTGATAGCGCGTATGAGAGGTTGGGACGATAAGTCAGGTATAAAAGTGATGTCCACAAGCTCGTAGAAGAATGCCTTTATTCCGAGGTCTAAAGCTAAGGAATGAAAACGATGAGGAGAGGTGAAAGCCCATCTATATACTAGAGTAGAGGTTTCCAGGGGGTTGTAGGAAGTAGTTAGCCGCAGGTGACGGCTCGATGAATTGTCAGAATAAGGCAGCATAGACACAACATCCCATCAGCAATTATAAATCGTCAAGTCTAAATTACAAACATGGGGCATCATCGGAGACATACTCTTGTCAACGTTCCTTGTCTAGTGCTAGCTTAGCCATGGCACTGAATACTTTCTCTCCGCCAGTGGACCATTTCTGGCGAGCCAAGCCGCTTGACCAATCGGGAAATCAATCTCTCATTGGTCAGTCAACATTTCTCAGCGGCCCACTAGATTTCAAGCCACATCATATGCTCGATAGAAATCGTTATGTCTCGTGGATCTCCGGATTGAACTAGGAGGACAAAGATCCTTCATGATGACAGCGGTAAGATTGATGCATAACGACAATAGGCAGGAGCTTCCTGCTGCATTCTGCATTCTGCGATTGACTGATATTAACGTAGATCCTGGTCAGTCAAGTACTTCCTTCCTCTGTGTCTAGTCTTCTGAATACACATTCTCTCGGAGAAATCATGATGCTGAACACATTTCATAATTCTACAGGCGGAAAAACCCAGGATTACAGTCTTGATCCACCTTCCCGAGTCATACTTATCTCGAGCGGGGTCACGTGAAGCAAGAAAGAGGACATCCAATGCTTTTGCATCTAAGATATGCAAAGAAATGCTGACATTAAATATGCGGATCCGTACAAATACTCCTTGTCACACGTTCTTGAATCGTATTCGAAGGTTGACAATAAAGCAAAACTGCTACTTAGAACCTTAAAACAGACTACAATAACTTCAGCAGCTGCAATTTAGGGGAACACGAAATCCCATTTGCTCGCAATGTGACATATAATTGAACTACATGGTATCCGCAATTGAAAGTACAAAAAACAAAGGACACCAATTCCGGCTATTATATTCAGAAGCATCGAGGGTATATGGCAATCAACGAACCGAGAAACTAGACCATAACAAACTCAAGAACACGCTCACAACCGAGTTCATCTCTTCGTAATGCCTGAGTATCCTCCTTCAAGGGTACAGTTCGTTGACATCCTTCATACATCGGATCCTGCAGACATTTGTGGGCGGCTTTTCCCAATGTAACGATGATCATGGTATTCGTTTGAATCATCTTCCGATTCCTCTGGCTCACCAAACAGCACGCTTGTAGCTAACTTGTATACCCCGCCAACGGGCTTCTCTACTGCAATAGCTAGGGCGAGCAGGTTCGGGTTTCCAAAGTCGGGAACTGACAACAGTAGCAGACCACTAAAGACCACATAAACAGTCAGCAATTTTTCCTGTTTCTACGCATTGTCGTCCTTAAGATATACTAACAAAGTAATGAACCCCAAAATCACAGCAGCAGTAGTCGAAGGCGGCAAATCGCAAGGCCCACCACAGACATCAACCTGATGCGCGATCAAGCTCAAAGTGATCAACATCCCCAAAAGTATGATCCCATCTATGGTGGCAGCCGCAGACTTCTGGATCCACGATTCTTGCGCCCTGGCGGAAACATCCTTCAATCTCGGATGCACCACCTCGATCTTTATGAGCACGAACTGACTGCCAAAATGCGACCCAAGTACAATGACCTGTCGTGCAATCGCGAAAGAGAGGAATACGATTACACCCGCATAAAGAGGACCATGTGTGACAAAGATGATGAATGCGGGGATCGCGAGGACGAGAGCGAGGGCTCGCAGAGTGAGGCTTGGTTTGAAGCTCGTCGCGAACGGGCGCGTAGGGGATGTGGTCGCGAAGCCGTAGAGGAAAGGGGTTTCTTCGTCGTCTTCGTGATCGTAGTTTGACTCGAGGGAATTGCGATGAGGATCTGCAAGGAGAGGAGTTCGTGAGGAGGCCATGGTGTGATGTGCTGGTGGAGATAGGAGAACGGTAAGGCTTTGAGACAGGAAAGGATTTCCTTGCAATCGCAGTCGGCGGCGTTCAGGGTCCGTTGGTGGGTAACGGTACGTGGGGGAAGTGGCCTGAGCTCCAGCTCACAGCACTGATCAGCCTTATACTGTAGTACTTTCACGCATCATGATTGCCTCACAAGATAATGGAAATGAACAGTCATGGAATTGCGCAGTTTTCAGCACCAAAAATAAGACTAGTTACCGAGATGATAAGCGAGTCTTGAAAAAGGGGGCTTAATCAATGAAACCACGATATGAGAGTCGTGCAGCGGATGGAGGGTTTCTTCTCTCAGGTCACAGAGAAGTAACACTACTGTCTTTCGTTGCCAAGATCTTCCTTTCAAACTTTATGCTATATAAACTACACACATCTCGACATTCCTCAGCCAAGCAGTTTAGCAGATGGTGATGCGAATAGTGGAATTACATGAATCAGTATCTGTAACACAACAAATATGATTCCGTGCTCATCACGTCCGATACTTTCACATTAGGTCCAAGTCATGCGCAATTAAAAACGTCGTCTAGAGAGTAGGTAAGGCTCGAATTCCCTATTGTGTCGTTACCGTACTCCATCAACCTGCGCTGCGGGAGCCTTTGTTGCCATATCCACCACATCCTATCCATCTGAGTGTGTTGCAACAGAAATATAGGATCTGTGAATAGCATCAGCACGGATTTCGCTGATATGACGAAGTCAAGCAGAACAGAATGCTCAGATCACATTTCATGGTAGTTGCGTTTCATTTCCATGCAAGGCCATTGCATGTGCGGGGAGCATCAGGTGGATACGACTGAGAAGACATGATAGGGTATTCGTGTTGATCCGTATATTGAATGTCAGCAATTCTTTGCATATCTCGGATGCAAGAGCACATCCCCGCAGCGAAGCCTCATTTACCTGAACCTCAGTACAGTAGAGGGTCTTCAGTCACTTATGCCAGGATCTGGCCGAACTTTATTGCAAAATATTTTTTACATTGCAGATAGAGAGAAACCTGTAAATCACTGCAAGGTCGAATTATGGGAATATTGTCGGAGGGTGGGAATAAGTTTCGCTGACTTCATGTTCCAACCAACACGTTGACACCCAGAAACCCCGAAAAACCAACATTAGAGCGACATGATAAGTTCCTCGGAACTGCCAAACTCACTGTTTCTGGCAAGTTCACAACTTATAAGATCATTTGAAGAAGATAACCACTATGGCTTACTATCTCCAAATTGCTGCGACTTTGATAGCCATTTACATTGTATCTGTGGCCCTTAAGCAATAGTCACTCCGTCGTCGCGCTGACAGGGCGGCCCAGCAACACGGCTGCAAACCTGCTAAGAGATATCCTAACTGGGATCCTTTCCTTGGACTTGATGCTTTCGTTCTCTTCGGGATCAAGGCAATTCAAGGCAAGAGCTCTATTGAATATCGGAAGCTCCAGCTGAAGTATGGGCCGACCTTTACGATGAAACGCCTCACTAAGGCATCTTTTATCCAGACATCGAGTTCAAAGAACATCCAAGCCGTTAATACGACTAAGTTCGACGATTGGAGCGTTGGGCCTTCGCGCCAAGACATTGCCATACCTTTCATGGAAAACGGTATTTTCACCGACGATGGAGAATCCTGGAAACGTGCTCGTGCGCTGGTAAGACCGACCTTTACTCGAGCTGAGGTTGCAGATCTTGAACACTTCGAAAAGCACCTCGGGCGATTTCTGGAATTGATTCCTAAAGATGGGAGTATGTTTGACTTGCAAGACCTGTCGAGGAGGTTGGTAAGCGCATATCAAAACACACATTTCCTTTGTCTTTCTAACAAACAATTAGTTTCTTGACACTTCTTCAGAATTTATCTTTGGACAATCAATACAGTCTCTTCTCCCGCAAACACCTGCCGAGACTTTTGAGTTCATGAAAGCATTCGACTACTCCTTACTTGGTCTTGGACTACGACTTGTGTCGGGACCCTTTCTACCCCTGTTCTTCTTCGATCCAACATGGAAGAGAGCCTATACGAAAGTCCACAGATTTATGGATAAGAACATAAAGATCGCTCTTGAGCGGCGGCGGAAGATAGTGGAAACGGGAGAAGACACGGAAGCTCAAGGGGTCAGAAAACCATACATTCTTCTCAACCAGATGGTCCTCGACACCCAGGACGTTTTCAGCTTGCGAGCACAAATCATCAACATTTTCTTTCCCGCTCGAGATACGGCAGCATACGCTTTCAGCAATGCCATGTTTGAATTAGCCCGTCACCCAAAAGTCTGGGACGAGCTCCGCGCCGAAGTCTCACAAATCGGCGACTCAAAACTCACATTCGAGCTTATCAAGAATTTGAAAGTTGCGAAAGCAATTGTGAATGAGACTCTACGGTTGCATATTCCAGCAACTCGCCTTTCGCGTACAGCACTGAGAGACACAATTTTACCGGTCGGCGGTGGCCCAGACCAGCTGTCACCACTTTTTGTACCAAAAGGTACATATATCGAGATGGATATCAATGCTTTACATAGAGATCCAAAGATCTGGGGAGGTGATGCCTTGGAATTCAATCCGTTACGCTGGGCTAAGGGGCGAACATTATGGGAGGCGAGATGGGAATATCTCCCTTTTGGTGGAGGTATTCGGATGTGTCCAGCACAGCCAATGGCCCTCGCGCAGGTAACTTACTTACTTGTTAGGATGGCGCAGGAGTTCAAGGCAGTGGAAAACAGAGACCATGTATCTGAGTACGTGGAAGAGATCAAGATGACCGTTTCAAGCAGAAATGGCGTCAAGATCTCTCTCGTGCCTGCCTAAGAAGCCTTCGATCTGGACTCACCACCATTGATTGCATGCTTCTGATGTTGGTATCTTCAGCGCACGAGTAAGAGGTAGCGCTGCTGGGAAATCTCCCGTATTGAATAAATTAGAGTTATCAAATAATTAAAATACATCTCAACAATACAATTTTTGGACACGCAATAGGTCCCAGCTCATCGGATTCTGTCAGTATTCAACAGCAACGCCTTATGGATTTAGAAGACTGGGCCCATCTCTGCCGGCGTCCAAGAAAGCACCACCATATGAGTAGAGTTGCGACAGTGAAGACACCGGTCACTAGAAAGTATATCCACAAATAGCTTGAAACGACAATCGAACCATCACCAGAAGCATTCCAATTGAAAAAAGTCATGGAGAACAGGGTCTGAAGAAGTTAGCGATCTATTTGTGATGTAATATGAATATTAAGGAGCCGGATCATTCCTTACAGCGAAGAAGGTACCAGGTAGGAAGACCATGGTCACGAGCGCGATCGATCTCATTTGACTTGAATCTTGTCCTGCAGCGGTTGCAATATCGACATTGATATCGGCTTGAGACTGTAGAGTATTGAGCGTATAGTCCCAAATGAGAGATCCGGAACTTACCCATTGGGTAGCGATAGTCATCCCATCTACCCTCATAGTGCAATCTTCGATCTTGTCCTCGAACTCCTCAATGAGTCCTCGGAGACGATCTTTGATCATTATACTAGTCCGTCTTAAAGAAGTATCTTCCACTTGCGTTTGCAGTTGCTTAATTTCGTCTTCCCCAGACTTTTCACCAAAAGGCTCAATATCAGAACCGAAATCTGTTTCAGAAAGTTCGTCCACATGAGCGATCATTTTGCTGAGCTGCGTCTTCCAGATCTGTAGACGGTGACGAAGAAAGGTTGTATTCAGCCAAACAGTCCTTCTTACATATCTAGTACCACCAGGATGATAGTCTTCAGCATCTTCTATTGACATTTTTTCAGCGTTGGTGCCACCGCCGGTTCCACTATCGAGCTCAAAGATAGCCCCTTCGATTTCGTCTATTGTTTTTTCGACGATGTCTACCATTCTTGTCCGCTCTAGTTCAGCGAATATTCCTGATAATAAAAGTGGATGAAATGCGTGTTCTTCGTTACTGGCAATTCTGTTCAAGACTTGTCTTTCAACAGCAGCTGTACATCCGAACAAGATGCCAAATACTAGCCTCCTGCGGGGAAAGTAAGTAACTGTCAATGCGAGGTCGTTCTTCCAAGTGTTTGCTGATCTGCAATTATAGACTTAGGTAAAAAAAAGTCAGCATTGTGGTAACGCGTAAAATAACAGGCAATGAATCGATTTTGTATATACCATACGCCGGCTGGCTACGACCTTCTGAGTCAACTGGGCCCATCTTGACTTGAGCCCGTGAGAAAATAGGGACATCTGCTCGGCTTATCACCCGAGATATCGAGGAATGTACGAAGAACTTCTTGCAAATCTTCCGAAATGTCTCTTTTTCAAAAGGTAGTTGCCGGACGTCGTGAGATCCTCCTTGAACATTTCGAGCGCCGATGGACAATCTTCTACCGACCGTTGCTGGGCCAGTAGTGATCCTCTCGCTGCTCTTGGGCCAGCTATACGAGCGGTTCTTCTCACTAAAGCTACTCTTGAACTCGCTATTAGCTCGAGACGAGCCAAAGCTCGCTGCTCCATCCAAAATCTCTTGAATCGAGCCCTTAGTCTCGCCCCCTTTCCGTGCGAAACTGAGATGGTATTAGTATGGCCCTTAAGACTATTATATGATGTATTCGTACATAAGAACAAGGCCAGAAGAATCTTGTATCGAGGGTGAACTCTGAGGCGTGAATAGTAAGCCTTTGTACTCAGACGATAACGGTGCTCTCACATACTTGTTCAAGCCAGTCATCCCAGTCCTTTGCATTCTCATGCGACCATAGTAATAGCTTCTATTTCACGCTTAGTAAAGCCGAAAGGGAAAGCTAGGCAAGGGAATAAAGTTACAGGATCCGCTGATAGCCGCCTGACAACAGTCGTTTCTTGCGGCACATACTGAAACACTCTGGACAGATCGCTGTCACTCAGTCCTGCATTTGGAGAGGGCCAGTCCATTGTTTCCGGATTACAAGAATAATAGCAGCGGTTTGGTTTTTGTTGAAACAGGAGTTCGAAGACATGGAGATAACTTGCAAATTCAATCAGGTGCTTGAGAGGCTGAGCCAGCCGCCCAATGTGGCTGAGCTTAGGTTTGTGCTTGGTACCACTGCGCAATGAAATTTTCAAACTCGCCCGAAGGGCGGGTGATTACATGTGCCTTGAATGCCGCCTCGCATATACTCACATTTCATTGGTGCTCGTGTCTCACTGGCGTGCGTTGTCTCCGATGACAACAATTTCTCTCCAAGAGAAATTTGCCTCGTGTTGCCACGCTCCACAATATGCTCCTCGATCTTATTAGTTGCCATCCGTTCAGTCATGGATAGGTGTGCATTGAGCAAAATAGAGGCAGACCATCGAAACGTTTCGTAAATAATTCTTCATCAATATCCTGAAAGCGCCACGCCGAGCCGAAACTAAAATTCATGGCTACCGAAATCTTTCCTGCTCGGTACACCGAGGAGCGAATTATCCTTAAAGAACTAAGGAAAATCTTTCCACAGGGAGACATCCGTATTATGGTATGCCAACATCGTCAACTTCCTTGCTGGAACAATGGCAGAGACCGAAAACTGACTGACAATTATAGTTTGAACGGGCCCGGTTCTTCTGTACCGTTCCAGCTCGATTAACGGCGGTATTAACATCAATTGTTGATTTCGCAGATTACCTTCTAAGTGCTGACTTCTGTGCAGGCACAGCGCGAAATCGTGAAAGACGCCATTTCTGCCGAACAACACTACTCTCGAGATGATGACTAAGAGATGTGAGCATCCCATAAGGCATCGATTGGTCGGTGGCTGGAAAGAGCGAGTCGCAGATGGAATACCTCATATGTCGAGGTCGATTCTTCACAATACCGAACATTCCAGTTGGGGGGTACGCAGAGGGCCATATATCAGGTTATTTGGACACAAAATTGCTATGCTATAGCCAAGAGAATGCTACTTTCAATTTCTTTTTCACTAGCCAATACGCAGACAGAATCTGTTCGAAAACATCATGGAGAAGTAACTAGAGATCAAACCAAGGAACAAGTTATTGTCGTGAAGTCTCTCAAGGTGACCGCGCTCGTAGATTAGCAGACCGAGTTTTGCCGCTGTATTTCTCCAAGCAGATATCCATACGATTATCGTCAATCAACTCCAATGCCATCCTGTTGAGAGCAGCCAGGACTGGAAGATGTGGCGTGTGTGTACTTTCCTGGGGGCATTTCGTTAAGCAGTATGCTCTATCTCTGCATCGTTCCTGGAGTGCTTTCATCTCTTGGAGAAGTTCCGGTGCTCTTATTCTTTTGATGCGGGGCTCATCGGACTCAACGATCAGCATGCGAGTTTGGATAATGTTCAAGATATCATGTAAGTACTGAGTACAGTCTGGATGTCCGTGAAGATACTTTATATGCTGTAAAAAACGTTAGAACAAGTATTAGTGAAGGGAAAGTTAGACTTACTTGCTCGACTTGGTGTTTGATCTTGAACGCATATTTGCTCGTTTCTCCGGACACAACCATGATATCAAAAAAGATATCGGTCCTATAGCTATTGATATATGGCGAACAGCGGTCGTTCCGGAATTCCTGTCTCCCTCCCCAGCCGTCCAGAGACCATACCACAAATTCCAAGAACAGACAACCAAGAGTCCAGATATCAAACGAGCGGGAGATATGACCATCTCGACCAGCCATATCGCACTCTGGTGGCCGATAGTTGGGTGTCCGTGGGATGTCAAAGCCAGGAACATTCGATCTGCTTTCTTCTCGGTGAACAGCAGATAACCCCAAGTCTGAGATTACCAGAACTTTCACGCCATTAGGCTTGAACAATAGCACATTCTCTGGCTTGATATCTCCATGTCTTCCGTATAGGTTCTTGCCATCATCGGTCCGCATGGTTGGACCGGGCTCGTGAATAAAGCGTACCGCCTCCACGATTGCACAGACCTGCGCAGAGATCCACTTGGTGTTTTCATGGGTCCTTCTTGGTTTCGCTTCTTCTTTCCAATAGGCTAACAAGTCTCCCTCGGCCCAAGGGAAAAGGAGATGATATTCTTCCCTGCCGAGTATCTTTTTGCAAGTGATAGCTGCTAGTAGGGTGACTATGTTTGGGTGACCACTGAATCTCTGCAGCATATCCGTCTCCCTTTCGAAGGTACTCTTGTTTGTTGTATAGAGACGTTTGAGAGCAAAATGGTTTTGATGGGCGGAGAGCTGAATCAGACGATTAGTGAGTAGCACGTCTTCAAACCCAGACATCATCCCTTAGATTGCTACGGAAAAACTTACAGATCTCAGTACCTCTTGAAAATTGTGCTGCCATGGGTGCATGAAGATCTTGTAGACCTCTCCATAGCCACCAGCTCCAAGTGTCATTGCTTGTAGCTGCATGGCGGTGGATGATATTGATCCGGCGTTCTGGGACAACGAAGACCGCTGGAGGAGGTCGGAGGTTCGATACCATGGTTCAATGTCGTTCTCTTCCAAGGTAACCCGAAATACCTTACCAACGATTGTTGACGTAGAAAGAAATGGAACTTTCATCCCTCTCTGGTACGACTCAAGTCCATCAAGTTCGACTTTTCTCCAACTGCCGAAATCATACTTGCTCTCATTCAAAGGGATACTATCATCATCAAAGTCCAAATCCAGGAAACTTTGAACAGAGTCTTCCTTCCCAACTAAGATTAGCAGAGCAAGCAAGCGACGAGAACCTTTCTCTTCCGGTCTACAACCCCATATTCGGTTAATCCAATGTCTTTTTGCATCCTCAACCGAAGTCCCTTTCGCTATCGCAAGTTTACTTCTATCCAGAAGAGCCTCCACAATAAGCTCAATAGTTGTCCTGTCCAAAAGGTGATCGAAAAGGGCTCGAGGCCAGAATTTCTTTGTCGTGTCACCGGGATGATGAACAGCATAGTCTCTGAGTCGTGTCTCAATCGCTTGGACAATATTCTTTTCATTTCTTGAGATAGGTTCAATATCAGGTAGCGATTCGTCGGTCCAAGGTGCGGGTGGCTGTGACTTAACATTCATGGAATGTGTCAAATCGGTTGGAACAGTTCTGAATACAGTTCCATCCTCAATTTGGATGCTTGGTATGTCTGCCATGGTCTATGGTTGAGTTTTCGAATTATATAGTTTATAGAGCAGGAGTTCAACATGCCAAAAAATAATTCAAAAGCCCTCCAGGACAAGGGCTATTCATACACCAGCACGCAGCCTTGTCGCGATAAGGCTTGTGCAACAGATTGGATGTCACCGCACCTATCTAAGCCCTTCCCGTCAACAGCTATAGTATGTTTCAGGCTCTAAGTTATGTCCAGAACAAGACACATTGTTTGTCAATGCACACGATTTGCCCGGAAGTGAGGCGAAGTCTTCCTCCATAGAAACATGGGTCTCAGGCATGCTGGCATTCATTTTTTTTACTTTGACGAACAGAAAAGAGAGACCTCCATATTCCCCATTACTTCTCATACACTTTATTGAAGAGATAGTTGCTGATTTGCCCACATACATCAAAGAAATGGCGCAAAGCGCAATTTGTTTATTCTGCCACCCGAATCGATAACCTTGTATCCCACCATCACTAATAAGCTTCACAGTGTCACCTTTTGCTCAGCCAGCTTCGTATATGAGGCTCTTCCTTGCATTCAAAAGGTCAGACAAACATATTTTGTGAACATGGGATAATCCAGACTTACCGGATCAAGAGCAACCATATTTCCTGCCAGTTTGATACAATAGAGGTTATGGCGCATCTTTCGGGGTCAGATGGTTTCTCTCTTGAAGCCCCAAGGAGCAGGATGAGTGTATACCTCTACTTCGTAATTTCCATTTCCGTATTTATATTCCAATAAGGAAGACAGATGAGACGGATTTTTGACTAGTTTGGAGTGAATGAAGTGTAGTCCATCTCCGTGTTTTAGCGAGCTAGCATGTTCGCTCATTTCGGACACAAGTCTCTGTCTGGATAAGGTTTGTTCTAAGGTCAAGAAAGTTGGTGCGAATATTTGCATCGAGTTTTGCTTGCGTTCTTGAAGAGATTCCACGAAGACGGAGACGGGGCGCTCTCGGCACTCTAAATATTTCTACTGTACAGCTTCTCGTGTTATTTGGGGCAAGCATTGGCAGAAATTCGGGCACGGGGGCATTGCAATCACCCCGTCTCAGCCAGCAGAGCCTCCACTACAGGGTTCTGATCAGTCAGACATGGCTGTGACAAAAGGTGTGGTGGCACGAGGAACGCCAGTGGTCACCGATAGTTCAGCTCACTTTTGTTTTTACAAGCGCTCGGCAAGAATCACCGGTTCAAGATACCAACTCCAAAATCCTGCATTATCAGCCCCCCAAACGCTCATGGAGTGCAAATAGTGATGACAGAAGCAATTATGAAGCCATCTCTTTGCTGAATTTAAGACTTTAGGTGTTCTCAATTTCCCAAGCCAAGCTTTCCAGAGACTTCCGAAATTGTTACTCAAGGCTAAAGCGTTGAAAACGGTAAAATACATATGCATTGCAACAAATGGGCGAGGCTTTGGCTGCGAGTGATTGACGCCACCATGCACCTTCACTGCAGCCGGGCACGAACTCGGCGCAGAAATGCCTTGCCGCTCGCCGCTAGCCCATGGTTGGACAATCCCTTGAATGAGGTTCTTTAGTGTCTAGGAGGGCATTTTCACACGGAGGTTGAATCAGCCGCATGGTCGGTCGTTTGATTTCATTATTCTGACAGCCTGACATATCCAAATTGTCATCCGGTGGCTTCATCGACCTGTATACAAGACTATTCGCTGTCTAAGATCTTCGTACGACTCAGTTAAATGGATCCACCAGATGACAACAACCATGAGCAAAGTGTCCGAGATACTGATCCACCAGCATTAATAATTAATGGATTGGAGGTACAATCCAGATTGCACAAGCTGCTCGTACGCTGACTTGATGCAGCCACCACTTTTGGGTTCAGGAGTAAGTCGCCGTATGTTACCTGCTCCAGCTGGATGGACTCTACCTTTTTCAGCTCGCGATCTATCGCCGAACCACAGAAGTCACCATAAGCGCTCTAAAGATCAGGATGACAGAACAGAGTCAAGTTATTCTCCCAACTCTCGGAAAAGATTTGAGGATGCCAAGAACCGGCCAGACAAGCTCACACCAGAATCGGCATACAATCAAGAATCACATGATGGTGAGGATGAGATCAGCATCTATACGACACTAGATCGTGGCTATACGGTTGCCCAGCAAATACATAGCAGCTCACCCAGTTCTGTGTATCCCACGACGGCAGAACTGTTCAAAGGTATCGGGGCTCATTCCAGCGCAGGCTTTTCACTGGACTCACTTCTTCGATCTTCTATTCAGCCATACGGTGGTAGTAAAGAATCTGGAACCAAGAAATGGTTGCCTTTTGACAAATTATTTGAGCTTGTCAATGAGAGTTTTGTTAATCAGGAGTTGTTGCAGGCCTTCAACAACGAACTGTCAGCAAATGAGCTTGGAGCCTATGTGAAGGAGATTTGCGGTCCTATCATATACAAGGATGATAGAGATAACAACTTGAAGTCATCTTCAAGAAGCATCTTTGCTATTCTGACCCTCATGGGCGAGCTTCGAAGCGTGCCACATTTCGTTGATCCTGAATCTAGGCTCAGCGACAAAGACTTGCCCCTGGATTCGCGGAAAAATCCAGGAACCAATACATACGAATTCTTCAGCGTTATGCTTCCTGGGTCTGTCTGGCCAGGCCCGAAAGACTGGAAGGGCAAAGAGTATGATTCCTTCATGGATTACCAATCTTATATGCTTTCGCCTTTCTTCAAACTAAGGCAAAAAAACATTGTACCATTTTACGACTTGTATCGTAATACTGTTCTGCCCTTCATAGAAGATGGAGAAAAGAATCGTCGTCGAGAAGGTCATCATGGAAACGTATGGCGCGTCAAAATCCATCCTGCTCATCATGATTTCAATATGGTATTTAGTCCTGACCTATTTCTTGAACCCTGCTCGATCACCAGAGGGCTAACTTTTGATTATTAGGATAACCACGGCAAAAATCCATACTTCGCTGTAAAATCACTCAATTCTGAGAACGATGAAGGAAATGGCTTCAAAGGTGAAGTAAATGCTTGGGCGAAGTCTGTGGGAACCACTGGCCACCGTCACCTCGTTCAGCTTCTTGCCACTTGGCGTCAAAGAGGTCGATGGCACTTGCTGTTTCCCTGGGCCGTGGGGAATCTTCGAGACTACTGGATTACCAACAAGCCCCCCAACACAGATCCGGAATGTGTTCAGTGGATTGCCAAACAATGCCTTGGTGTTGCAGAAGGTCTGAGGAAGATCCACCGGACCGGGTCCGAAGATCCAAATAGCGACCATCACGATTGGGGCATCCATGGTGACATCAAACCGGAGAATATTCTCTTGTTCGATGATTCGGAAGATACCCTTGGGATCTTAGCTATTTGCGACTTTGGCTTTACAAGGTTCCACAGCAGGGAAACGAGATCGAATGCAAAGCCAGAGGGCTGCACTGGCACATATCGTGCTCCGGAATACGATATGAAACGTGGAATATCGAGACTCTATGATATGTGGACCCTCGGATGTCTTTACCTGGAGTTCATCACATGGTATTTGACTGGATATGAAGGTGTGGATAGGTTTTCTGTGGAGAGAAAGCGAGCGGACAGTGAGGTAATCCCCGCTGATAAATTTTTTGAGTGTATCAATCTCCATGAGGAAGGTATGCGTGGCGTTATTATCAAGCCATGCGTTCTTGATGTAAGTTGAAAAAGATAATGCTAGCTATATACGAACGATTCCTGACCAATTCATCAGTGGATTCGCTATCTTCGCACCCTCGAACACTGTAGCAACTTACTCCACGACTTTCTCGATGTAATAGAAAAGGATCTTCTAGTCATCGACACTCATTTCCGTCAAACATGTGGTATGACTGTACAGAAATTAAGGGAAATTCGCGACAAATGCATGGCGGAAGGAAAGTCGTACTGCTTCACTGGAAATCCAACGCCCATGACTGTGGCACTAGTCCGTGTCCAAAATGACCCAGTTCCTTTTCGTCTTCCAAAAGTGGAGAGATCTGACTTCCAGCCAAATGCTATGCCTCCTCCATATTCAACATGGATGGCTGACAGTGGGTTGTCAGGAGAACCTGAGCAGAACCATGCTTATGATAATATCGGGAATGTCCTAGCAGACCAAATAGCAAGACGAGACGGTGCGCCCATGAAAATCAATCTCCAGAAACAGATTGAGGACGACAATGAGAATGTCGATAGATCTGAAGGTACGGAGGAAGAAATGGATGAAGAGTACAATGAAGAGATGGTTGGACTCCAAGGCGACTCCCATGAATACGAAGAATTAGACGAAGACGCGCCACTCCTATCAAGCCCCGGATCTTTTCTACAGATATCTCCCCAATCACAAGATTTCGATTATCTTACGGCATCTCCAGGGCCGCTCGACAGAGATGTCTTCATATCAGATCTGTATTTGCCGGCGGCTCCAACCCAATCAGCAGAGCGGACCACTCATGGGAGCACGGAAACACGGATAGAGCAAATTGGCGGGGGCCCTGAAACAGCTTCGACAGAGAGGTCGATACTTCTCCCACGCGGCGATGATGTTTTGGGTTCTTCACCGGCGCCAGTCACATCTGATGGGCGTTCTAATCGCCGTCATGAGCCCCGTTCTTGTTGGAATGGAACAGTGAAACTTTTGCGCTTTATAAGTAGCTGGCTTGGAAACTGGCTTGGATGTGTGAGATCTCGGACTAGATATCGGAATAGATCTCGGAATACAGAGCGCTGAGTTGCATTTGTAGTGTGCTGTATAATATCATGTAATAATAACATGTGAGGAAGGACTAGGAGGTTGCATGCCGCCGCATAGGTAGGATGTGGCATAGATGCATTCCAGCTTTCATGAATAATGCGGATATGAAGACCGAACATTCAAAGCATCACTACGCTTCTAAAAGTGACTCAAGAAATGGCTAAACATATGACACTGCAAGCAACACGCAAACTCCGTTTAAGAAATCTCTGAATACCAATTGTATTTGACAAGGAGCAAAAGCACGAAAGGAACCTCGCATCCACTTCTAGCTTGTTTCTTCCAACAACAGGTGAACACTATTGCTGTCCATTAATGAATATAAAGATTCAATGCCCACGGTCCACCACAGACTTCATTCTTATTCCCAGCACAAGCCAACGTACACCCAACCCAAGAAGGATCCTGAAAGATCGCTCCAGTCGAGAGCTGAGACCCACAAAAGCACTGATTCGCTGACGAAAGACGTCAGTTTAAGCGCGTTTCAAAGGATTCAGGAGGATCTCACCATCTTCAGTCCCAAAAATAGGGTAGTCGTTGCAGAAGCTGGCACATAGTTCCGTCGTCATATCGCCGGATGTTAGCGAATTTGCTTGCAGGGCACGGTTTGCGTTGTCAGTCCAGCAGCCGATTCCGGTGCTGTTTGATATTAGCCTTTAGACACAGTTTCAGAGAAGGGGACTTACATGGCTACTGCTGATTCGATCGTGACGGCGAGAGTCGCGAGTTGAAAGATTTGGTTTCCGGAGAACATTTTGAGATTTCCAAATGGATTCAACTTCTGTGAACTCTGATTGAATGCTTTGTTAGAGAAAAACTTGAGGACTTCCTTGTCATTTTATACTCTCCTGGTCTGAGTTCAAAGCTCTTGTTCATCACCGAATATCGTAACTCAGATCCTTCCTCTCTTTATCTGTGAGTAACGTTGTATTCTGAGTTATCTTTTTTTTTTGGTGCGAATGCCTTCCTTCTTTCCAAATGTAGGTTACGCGCACACAGAGTCAAAAGGATTACAGCATATGATGTACGGGACTAGGTAGGATAAGTAGGACAGCGTTAACTAAAGAGCGCCCCTCAAACACAGAACTAGTGTATGCAATTAAATTGATCCTTCCCGCCAATAGTGCAAACAGTCTCCACAGTTGGAAGTATAGGGTGTATGACCCATGCATCCTAACCTTTCACACTCGTGGAATCTGAACAAGCGTGTTGATGGAGACCAATTCAAGGGATGCAATGGTAGAATCTTACGCTGCCAGTGGAAAGAGCAGAATTGATCGTGGAAGAAGGGCCGAGCAGATACATGTGTGACAAAAGGAATCAAAAAGGCTTGTGGTACGGTGCATCCGTGACAGAACGGGACATTCTACCATTGATAAGCCATCAATGTTGGGTTTTGGGAACCCCTGGTCTTTGTCCTATTACCGTACCGTAAGCCCTAGAGTTGCAAAGTAAACCTATGGAGAATCAGGCCGTGTTGTTTAGCACCGAAAAAGGATCCCACAAAGCGGAATATGCGATTGATAAGCTGGCCTAAAGTGTCTCCCCAAGTTTTGGAATCCGTCCACCCTGCTCTTAGAACACACTCTCGCCCTGAGTAGCCTTTCCCATCTATCCCCGGGTACTTTGCGATGGTCGATTTTTTTACTTGGGCATCACATAAATACATATGTAAACGTCGACAAGCAGCGTACAGTCAATCGCATGAAAAGTCATAAATGGAAAGAGGCAGATGGAAGAAAAACAGTCAACTCCGCATTAGATTTTGCCTTGGAACCTTCCACTGTGATAAATCAATAGCATATGGAAAAGATCCAGTTCCGAGGAGCGAAGCAATGAAACTCTCATCTAATAGTAGTCGTTGGTTATTCAAGAAAACTTGAGATCATTTCACCACTCTGATTCGATTTTGCAGTCGCGCAACCATAAGCCGAAGAGAGTCTAGGAAAGTTGTTGGCGTCGAAAGCACTCGACAATAATGGGTATCATCATTCGCTGTCGGACTCATTACTCTCTTCTCCATCCTCACCTTGCTCCAACCCCTCGAGGTCTCCAATATCATCATCCTCTGCTCCTTCTATCTTCGGTAGCATCACGAATGCTTTGAGGCACGTGATCCGATTACCAGTCTCGCATGTCCCAAGCAGCTTCCCAATTTGCTTGACCTTTTCGTCATGCGATGCCAAGTCTTTGGAAGCAGATATCCTCCACAATCGGAGAGCACCATCGCTACCTGCGGCAACCACAATGAAATCTTTCGTGGAACCTTCTTCTATTGTCAAAACAGAGAAGTCCTTGATTCTCCCAGATAGTCCAATATCCTTCCCGCCAAGCTGTGCAATCAATTTCGCAGATGGTAGAGGCGTGTCTTTTCCTTCCACTTCCTTTCCCTCAACCAAATCCTTCTGCTTGGTGGAATAGAATAGAATTCGGCCGTCTTCCGTCGATAGAGCCATAAGCTGCACGTCGTCCTCTTCTTCAACCTGAACATAACATAACTCCTGTATCTTTGTCCTCGGCTCTGGAACAACTTTGCATTTCGGCTTGCTGTCCATACCAAACACCAAGACACCTCTCTCAAAGCCAACGCAGAATTCATCCCCAGTGTCCGTCGAGCCCCAAGCCACTTTCCTTCCTTCGCCACTACTGTGTCGGTCTTCACCAACCTCTGTTAATATACCACGGTCGAAGTTCAGCACACCAGCCTTCTTCCCAGTAACCAGATTCCATAATCTCATAGATTTCTCTCCCTTCCCAACCGATATCATGAGCTTCATGCTGGGATGCACAGCGAAATCATTGACTCCATTTGGTGCGGTTCCCATTGGTGCAGTATCTCCACTTGGTCTGCCAACTGGTTTCGGATTTGGAGCTTTTATAGTTGACAGCAGACTCCAATCCCTAGTCCGCGTAACCGCGATTGTGTTGTCTTCTGCTGAGCTCAGAAGCTTGCTTCTGTTTGGAAAATATAATGCGGTGACAGAGCTTGCATGATGAAGCAGCGACCCAAGCTCTCGATTCTGTGGGTTCTCGACCACGGCTTTCGATGTGAGAGACGGTATTACAGGGACGGTGATCTTCGAGGGCGCATTTGCGGAGAGGTGGTAGAGGTTTATTCGCTCGTCAGTGCTTCCGCTTGCGAGAATGACCTTCTGTGTCTGTTTTGGTGCAGGCGCAGAAGCTGGAGAGATTGCTAAGCATCGTATCGCGGAGGCATGTGCGTTGAATAGGAATGTATCTGCGAATTGGACCTCGTCCTTTGAGGATATGGTCGCTGTAATGCCGTGAAGGACTCGATCGTAGGACCCCGCTACAATCTGGATTGTGATGGGGCCATTTGATGTCGACGTTGCTGCTTTCACTTTCTTTGCCGGTATAGGAGCATTCGTAAATACGGGCTCGCCATTGGTATTACGCTTTCTTTTGGCCATGTTGCATTTGTGGATAGGATCGATTCTTACACAGATGTTGACCAGAAAAAATGTTGATGCAGATAATTTTTGCAGGGATTATTTAGCGTCGCTGCAGGTCACGTGGAGCGCGTACTGTTTTGGTCACTTCTGCGCGAAGCTCTCCCTCCAATTGTAATTGAAGTCGCACTCAATCAATACTCAATCATTCAAAAACAAAGGTAGGACGCAGATATTATTTTCTTGAGCTCCAAACTCTCAAAAACGCGATCAGAAAGATCCCGACTGGCGCATCCCTGCTAAAGCTTTCGACCGTGCGCGTCTCGTCGCGTCTTCCAGGACAAGTCTGCGACGTACCATTAAGCAATCGAGCTTAAATTTTCTTCAAGTTGCGCTTTTGGATACCAGATATCTTGCTATTTTCCATTGATCACACAGAAAGATTGTAGCACTTGCAAACCATGGCGAAGAAGCCCAAAAAGGTAGCCTATGTTGTCTTCCGCGGCAGAAAGACCGGCATCTTTCCTTCATGGGCCGAATGCGAAGCTCAAGTAAAGGGATTCTCAAAAGCTAGCTTCCAAGGATACGAGACACAACATGAGGCTGAGTCCGCATGGAAAAATTGGACTTCTGTTGTACAAACGGAGGTACCTTCGGAAACAGCCGGAAGAAAGGGAAGACATCTCCAAGTGGTAGGGCTTAACAAGCCTCAGGGTAGGTCCTAATTGTTATTGTGCTCACAAAGCCTACCATGCTCACAGAACCCAGGAAAGCCTCGAGACGACAGCCCCAAGAGACCTTCAGCAGTCATTGATCTCACACTCTCCGACGACGATGAATCTAACACAAAACGACCTACAAAGAGAGTACGCTCCAGTCCAACTTCAATCGACACAGACGAAATTGTGCTCCACGATGCGGATCCCATCATCCTCACACCTGAACAGCAAGCTGTTGTCAACATGGCATTGAGAGGCGAAAATATATTTTTGACTGGTGCCGCTGGAAGTGGTAAAACAGTTACTTTGAAGGAGATTCTCAAACGATTTGACACAAATCGAGTCAAATATCAAGTTGTTGCGCCAACTGGAATTGCGGCACTTCCTCTTGGTGGGAAAACGACGTATTCTTTTATGGGATGGAAACCCGACTCTTTAAGCAAGCCTATCTTCGAATTGCAAGGAAACATCAAGAAGTATGTGTACGACGCCATCAAATCGTCAGACAGGCCGTTACAAGTCCTGATAGTCGATGAGATCTCTATGGTCGAGAATCAATTCTTAGAACGGATGAACCTCGTTTTGCAGGCGATCACAAAGAAAGCAGCTCCGTTTGGTGGCCTTCGAGTAATATTTCTTGGCGACTTCCATCAACTTCCTCCGGTGAAACCATTTCAGTTCTGCCTTCGCTGTGGCAGGTTCATGTCGAAGCCTCCCATCTCTACCTGCGACATATGCACGAGCGAGGACGACGAATACACGTTCACAGACTCAGACAAATGGGCTTTCAAAGCACCTGTTTGGAGCAAGCTTGGTCTGAGGTTGGTAAAACTTGAGCAAATACATCGACAGAAGGATGGCCGTTTTCAAAACATCTTGAATAAGATTCGAGATGGGATCTCGCTTGATGACGACGAATGGAATGACCTCGAAAAAGATAAGGTTCTGCCTGCCGGTATCAGAGCCGTGAGACTTATGTCGTTGAGAAGACATGTCGATGAGGTCAACTCAAGGGAATTAGGTCTCATAAAGTCCCCAGCCAGAGTATGGACCTGTTTTGATTCTTACCGTTGGCTGAACAGTGAGCGGATTTCAGCTCATCTACCATGGGAAACCGAACAGCCTTTGAAACAGAATAGGCTTTCAGACACGCTAGTCCTGAAAGTCGGTGCAAAGATTGTCCTTTTGAGCAACCTGGGTGACGGACTAGTCAATGGGTCTCAAGGGGAGGTCATTGGCTTCGAGCCTCACAAACTGGAATCAGCCAAGGAGAAGAAGGCGAATAGGCGATCAATCTTCGACCAAGAACAGTTCTCGTACTTCCAAGAGCAAAACGTGAAGCCACCAGAAGAGGTCCTGCTCGAGCCTGTCGTACGCTTTGCGAACGGAACCACGAGGGCTATCACTGCAATCACCTCAACGAGCATGTATGGCACCAATGAAGCTCGATACCTTGCATCTCGGACTCAGGTGCCATTAGCTCTAGCTTGGGCTCTGTCGATCCACAAAAGTCAGGGCATGACATTGGACTTCGTTGAAGTCTCTTCCAAAGATATATTTGAACGCGGTCAGTTGTATGTGGCGCTTTCAAGAGGCACTTCACTTGAAGGACTTATCGTCACTAGAACCTCACGAGAACAACTAGAAGTAGATCCAGACGTGGTGGAGTTCTACAAGAATCACAAATGGGAGAATCTAACACTACCGGCTCCGACAAAATACATAACGCCTGCGATTGGAAGAGAGACCATTTATCTTGATTGAGAGCAACTTTTTTCAATGCAACGCCTGTCTGACACTCCTCACCCAGCCGAATCCATCGCAAAAGCACCACTTCGTCCATCTAAAACTCCAGGTCCAGAAACTCCGGATCCTTCGCTGCCTCCAGAATCGCATAATACATGTCCATTTGAGAAGAGCCATATACAGCTTCATCGAAGTAATTCGGCTCCTCTTGATAGCATCTCGAACATCCATATATCATCATAAACGCATTTCTCATTTCAATGAGTATGAGTTGCACATATTTCGAAAGGCAGATCTCGGGTTTCGGGAAATATTCTTGCGACCAAAGTGTTATGGTGGCATAACCATGTTCGACCGTGGTATTCGAAGGATGTTGGAAATTGCAGGCGGATTTGAATACAAAAGTCGCACGCCCGGTGAGCAACTTTTGGAATATCAGCACGTTGATGAGATATGCGTAGACCAGCGCCTGGTCATCAAGTTCGAGATCAGGGTTCCTGAGTCTCAGGCACTCCCCTTTCAACGAGTGGTAGTCGTTCAAGACTGAGCGTTGTTCCCAGGTCAAAGCGCTGCTTCGGTTTTGCAAGATGGCCATTAGCTCTCCTGCTAGATCGCGTGGATCGTGTTGTGACTCCACCAGCGGATGTTTCAGGTCAACCGGAAGATGATTATGTGGATTTTGAGGAGGAGTAGGAGGAGGAGGAGGAGGAGCAGAACCGTCGCGCCCCTCTTCGGAAACCAGTAACAAGTGATCTTTCTCGGTCTCGATCTGGGACACCATTTGGTAGATGCAGATCAGGTCGGGTTGCCGGATTTCGTTCCAGGTTCAGGTCCTTTCTAGGTATTCTCGTCAACTCCGTCTACGTTGGTAACGTGAACCAGTCATCCTTTCCATCTTCTGTGATTCACATCGTCATTCAAACCTCATTCACCTATATATTTTCAAGAACGAATCTCGCTTCATTCTCCACTGAATGATTTCGACGACACGGAGGGAGAATCTTTGCAATGAGTTGCGAGCAGTATTCTCAATTCGGTGAGAACATTTGTCAATGGCTTCGTCTACGTCTCTGCCAAGTCGAGAACTTCAGACAAGTCAAACAAATGAAATTCGATGTCGCGTCGCTTACAGAACACACCTCGCTTCGAGCCTATGAATCTGGACCCGGAATTGCTTCCCGAAAATGACTCCACAACCGTCGCTAATGTTCGGCCGTTTGTCTATCCGAATTACGACGTATGTATGCGCCTGTGAGTGGCTGCCACAGTGGACCCTATCCCCGGATTGGAAGCTACTTGAATATTTTCACACGTGGAAATGTGCTGCCGCTGTCTTATCGGAATAGTGGCGTCAAGTAGCACTTGTCATTGATTAAGTGTCCACGATGTTTATTCTTCGTTCCCCTCTTTATCTTCTTCGTTGTCCATTTTCGCACAGGATTTATTCTCAAGGTCTACAGTACTTGTGAACTTACTCATGGCGACCTTGATCCTACAGACTTAGAACACGACGCGCCGAACCGCAATCCCTTTCATTGTCTCAGACAAACAGAACTGCGTGATCCGGATCAAGGCTTGCGCCATAATCTTCAACATCCCACCTTCACGATGACCAAATCCCACTACGACCTCTGCACCTCGGTGACCCCAGAGTGCCCCGTCAACGAAACCCTCTATGGCTACTACCCTAATTTGGGTGCGAATGCCTTCTTCGCAGCTCTCTTCGCCTTCCTCCTCATCGCGCAACTCATAATCGGAACATGGACGAAAACATGGACCTTCATGCTAGCCGTTGGCCTCGGTGTATTTGGAGAAATGGCAGGGTATATAGGACGATTGATCATGCACCAGAATCCATGGTCGAACGCTGGGTTCGAGGCGCAGATCTGTTGTTTGGTTCTCGCGCCTAGTTTTCTGGCTGCGGGTATCTATTTGACGTTGAAGCATATGGTGATCTATTGTGGCCCGGAATACAGTCATTTGAAAGCGAAGTGGTATCCGTGGATCTTCATCGGAAGCGACCTTGGAAGCATCATCGTGCAGGCCATTGGAGGTGGTGTTGCTGCCAGCGCGAAGAATAGCACGAACAAGAGCCTCTTATCGGCGGGCGATGCATTGATCATTGCAGGAATTGCTCTGCAAAGCGTCACCATGTCTGTCTGCGGACTTCTAGTCCTAGATTTCTTCCTCGCAAGAAGGAAGGCGAGAACAGAGCACAAAGCCGAATTGGAAGGAACGGCGAGTCTGGATGCTACGACGCTGCCGAATGATGTGCATACAAAGAGTCCCTTGAGATTCAGGATCTTTTGTTGCGCGATTGGGTTCGCGTTCTTTACGATTCTTGTTAGGTGTATATACCGCATTCCTGAGATGGCGGGAGGATGGGGCAACCCGAGGATGAGGGACGAGCCGGTGTTTTTGGGGTTGGATGGCGCGATGGTTGCGATGGCTTCCATTGCGTTTACGGTTGCACATCCGGGGTTTATGTTCCCGCCGATGAGGAAGGGGAGGAGGAACCCGGCTTAGTTGTGGACTTTCGTAGTTGGTTTAGTGGAATATATGTGATGCTCTATGTTTGACTATGATCACGATGCTGGTGAATTGGGTAGTGCCCAAGTCAAACGCTCCTTCAATTCTTGCAACTACTTCGATTGAATCAGCAGGAACGAGTTCCAGTATATGCTACCCAGAGTATCGAAGCTCGATCAGCAAACATCCGCTTCGTAGTGCTCTGTAGGATCAGATCAATGCCATGCTACCACAAGATCAGGAGGATACAGGTATTTGTCTCTTCCAACAACAGCCCAAACAGACTCAGCTTCTTGCATCATCAGCGTCACAATGAATACATGACACGTCGAAGAACATCAGAAGATAATGAGCAGACAAGAAAGGGTGGATTGATAGTGGCATGTGTGGCTCCGATCACATGATGTCTCTGTCCAAAAAGGGAAATTTTGACAAGCCACTTGTCAGCAAGAACATCTTCTCAGCTCGTAAACTTTCTCCAGGCTGATCAGACACGACAATTTGGTTTTGTTTTAAAAAACTTCTTGAACTTGATGAGCAACGGCATAATTTGGCCGTATCTACAATTCTTTGCAGGATACGGGATTGAGTAAGAATTAAAATCTGCTACATCCGCGCCGTACCTCGACCATCCAATTAGAGCTGGACAGCTGCGTATATCGGTGCCTCAGGTCTCGATGGTACCCTCCTTTGTCAAACACGAGATCACGGAACAGAGGAGTAAAAATAAGCATACCGCGTGGCGCCATGGGCCCCAAGAAGTTGAAACTTGGGAAATCGCCCCGTACATTTGTACCCTATGAGAAATGCTCCAATCTGATCATGACCTTTGCGGAAAGCTGACAAGAATTCTTGTCGGTGTTTAGATGCCATGCCAAGGTTCCCCAACACGAGTTTTGCTATTCGATGGGACCTCGTGTTCTGCTTTCAGGGGTTCGCAGGACTGGGCTGGTTGGCGGGCAGAGATGGCTGTTGAGAAGTTTCGACGCAGGTTCCCGTATGATGGTCAGATCAGCCCAGCATTTTGATGGCGTATATCTGCACGCTTATTCTACTTGTGTTACACTGTCTTTGTTTGCAAAGCCTTTGCACCTTGCTAAATATCAATGTTGACGATACCTGTCAGGCGGTAGCCAGCCACCATGTTACTCGCAAATCGACCTACGTCGTTCAAATTCTTTTCTTTAGCCACGCTTATTGGTTTGTTTTTTGTTCTCTGCTTCAATTGGTATATCTGGGGTTTAGGTAGCGAAGGGAGATATTTCGATCCGTTTGCGGACTCGAAAGATGGTTCAGGATCCAGTCTTGCTGCTGCTGTGTCGGCAGAGGTTTTGAAAGCAGAGACTACTGTCACTGTTGAGCGTCAAGTACTAGTTACTCCGACTCCAGTCACAGTCACAGTCACGGTTACCGTGCCCGAGACAATGATACAAACACCGACCGCTATTCCCGAGAAAATGTGGTACAAACTTGGACCTAAAGGTCTCAGCGACGACGCAACTAGATGGATTGATTCTTGCTTGACGAAGAACCCTACCTACCGTCACGAGTTTCTCACAGATGCCTCTGGAGACTACTATGTACAAGAATACTACGCAAACAGACCCGACATTGTCGACACTTACCTTCAGCTTCCCATCCCGATCCTGAAAGCCGACCTCCTTCGATACTTGATTCTGTATGCTGAAGGAGGAATATGGAGCGACCTCGACGTCTCCTGCGAGGACGAGCCGATACACAATTGGATTCCAGAGCAATACAAAGCAGAAGCGGGGCTTGTTGTAGGATTAGAGTTCGACTGGGCCTGGGAAGATGACGATTTTCTACATTCTCAATTCGCATCCTGGACCATCATGGCGAAACCTGGTTCACCACACATGATGATGGTAATCAACGACATTCTGGAAGGGATGAAGACAAAGGCCGAAGAGAACAACGTTCCGATTTCTGGGTTGACTACGAAAATGGTGGGTGAGGTGGTCGATGCTACTGGACCGAAGAGGATGACGAGGTCTATCATGAAGAGTATGGAGTTAGTACTTAGGGAGACGTTGGATGATAGGAATATTTCGGGTCTGCATGAACCGAAGTTGATTGGAGATGTGTTGATATTGCCGGGGAATGCGTTTGCGGCGAGTCAGAGTGGGTATCCTGATGATCAAGGGCCCAAGCTCGTTACCCACCATTATGCTGGTACTTGGAAGAATGACCATGGAGGAGAGATGGGGTGACGAGAGCTGTTGGCAATGGTTATAGGATTATTCAGTAAGGGAGGCCATTCAACGACTACGTCGGCCCGCGGGGCTGAAAAGAAAGGAACTGAGCAGCCAAAGCACAAGAGCCTTCAGGCAGCTCAACGGCACCGCTTCCATCGAGAAAGCAGAATCACATTGATAAGTTGAGACCGCCCACATAACAGAAGCCGTTCCATTCATCGTACGACATCACGGAAGAGCAAGTGCCATCGCGCATGGGAATGGGGACATTACCTTCCGAGGATGGTACCAAAGTCGCCGAAAAGATACGGACGTCCGTCACGGTCAAAATGATCATGCATTTGCGGAATAAGAATACATCCTCCCCAGCAGCCTTTACTTAGGAATAGTGTCTATCTTGGGTATCGAATATTTGTTTTGCTCCACCAGACCAGCAGTGTGGCAGAAGTCTGCGCCTCCGCTCATTTCCACCAACAACTTTCACCTTCCATCATTTTCAAACTTCTTTCATGGCCCATTCATAACAACACTCGCAATGCAACAAGTTGTTGTTCCCTTCTCTCGATCAATACTCACACTAGGTGTTGAGAAGGTCCATGCAGACTGATGTGTATTTTCATTCGGTGGCCTTCACACTTCCATTAGCTCATATCATTCTTTTTCGGGAAACGGGAAACGAACTTCAAGCACCAGTCTGTTTCTATGGTTTGAGATTCGATGATAAGGTTCTGGAATGATACTGTGCCGTAGTTCCATGTTCCGTTGTTGTGGATTTCTACGTCTACCAATGCCTACCGATCCTTGCTGTCAGCTTTCGTTCTTTCTTTGTTTCAATCTTTACTGTTTCGAATCAATCATCGGGCAGCGTACCATTGTGTATTCATTATGTGTTCCTAATTTATTCTCATTAGCTACCACGTCCGCATGAGCGAAGGGGGTACCCACCGTATTGTGAAGGATCAAAAGTAAAGGATCCTTGGAAGGGAGGGAAGCCAGCTGCTGTCCCGATAGAGCCTCGAGTGATGATTGTGCTATCTGTCCAGATTCCTGAAGTGGTGTTTTTGGTGAATATGCTGGTAACCAAATCTCCGGTAAAAACTGCAACACACATCAATCAGTCCTGTTACTGAAGTTTCTTCAAGTACTCACCATCTTGCTCATCCTGCAAATGTGTATCAGGCGAGCAACAAAATTCAGGCCAGAAACTCCAGTTCCCGGTCATGTCGGCGATCACATTTTGTAACACTGCGTCTGTGGGACTAGGTTGGAGGCCAGGCCATATGCTGGAGTGATTGATGATTCCAGGAATTGTCGGTGGCGACGAAGGTACGATGAGTGTTGCTTCGTACTGTCAAGGAGTAAGTTTCTTTGATCGTCTGGAAGTTCAGTGGGGAGAGGATTTACACGAAGTATTGGGCTAGGTGAGACCCAAAAAATACCAAATCCTACTGTTCGAGTCGCCAGGCAGACTGGTAAGATTGTTTTCCAAAGGAAGGATTTCCTCATTTTCTTGCACCCCTTTATTTGTGGGTTAATGATAATTCGTCGAGATGAAGATATCAAGAACCGGGAATAAAGAGGTTCTCATAACTCAACAATAGGTTGTTTTCAGCAAAAGATATTCTTTGTCAAAAATCGCTGCCTTGACTCAAGACTGTTAGTGAATAATGAATTGTTTGCTCATCACGGCGCAGAATATGCGAATCGTCCAGTGAATGAGGAGCTTCTTGCGTTTGCTTACTCGATGTCTGCCTTTTTGCTTACCTAGTATATTATTTAGTGGAGGATTCAGTCATTGTTGGGACTGAGCCACAACAACTCCAACAGCGTTTCAAAAAATAATTCAGGCAACCACGTTCAAGACTTCAAATACTTCATCGAGGACCCTCTGCGATTCAGAAATTTGAGACTAGGGGGGAAATACAGGATGTTCTTTCGCAGCGAACTATTCACGCTCACACTCTTTCTCCTGAGCCACATATTCACAACCGCCTCAGACTTGAACAATATGGGCACCATCGCAGACGTACCAACAGTCTCTGCACTTCTAAGCTCCGCCACGACCCGATCAACGAATCATCTTCGTCGCGCGACTCCTTCCTTCGAGCCTTTCCTTTGGAAATCATCACCAAACAGAATTGCCTTGACTCTCGCACCATTAAATTCATCTACGCCAATGAGTCAAAATCCTGGTCCAACATGGGATCCAATTCCCAATTCCGTCTTGCAAAGTCGAGGCGTCTGTCCGGTCGGTGACTCGACGGCGCCGACTGGTACAGCTTTCCCGCCAGCTATTGTGACTGGAATTCAGTCTAGCGATGGGACAAAGAACGAGGCTAGCAGTAAGGTTGCTGCGACGGTGGCAGCTGGTATGGTTGTTGCTTGGTTTGCGGTGAGGGTTTTGTTGAATGGGATTGTGGATGTTCCGGTTGTGCATCTTGAAGGGCTGGAGCTCTGAGTATTCGAACTGTGGGCGAGATGACTTGAAATGCTAGGTGTAAGATGCATGGAGTTAGGATTGAATTGAAAATCTGGGAAATGGGAAGAGGGAAACGTGTTGGAGGATTGTACTATGTATTGTACCAATAGTGACGTTGAGATTGACGTTGAGCTTATGGTTGACCTGAAAGTTATTGACAGGCTCGATTGACTTTTGAGTTTTATTTGAAGGAACTTGTCTCTATCAAAGTCCTTAATGTCGATTGAGTGGAGATAGAAGGAACATCAATCACCAAACAGATGCCAGACATTCGATCAGGATCGTGAGGAGAGCGCGCTCAGCGCAAAATGCGCAAAATGTGCAGACTTAAAGATTGAGGTGCTGTTTGAGTTTTAAAACTTTATCCTTGTAGGAAGAACATGATCCAACATCTGTAGCACTTCTTTACTCCAAAGCCTTTCAAGTCAAGATAGCGTTCACATAGCAGACTTAATGCCAAGGTCCCCCTTTTGATAAGCGAGATCAATGCCACGACGCTGTTTCCATACAGATCAAGTCTCTCGCTTCCAATGCTCCACCACTCCAGACCATCGCCTCAGCCTCCCATGGTTCAATGGTGGAACTTTCCATCCCCAAAGCTCTTCTCAAGCCTATATACAGCATATTCACTCTTTGTCGCATTCGAAAAGATCCTCTTCGCCCGTTCCGTCCCAATCGTTTTCATCGCCGCTTCATTATCAAGTTCTTCTATCGAGAACTCGTGAACTGCATGGAACATAGGTGGTTCGGTCTTTTCTATCGCAGTATCATTTGGTCTTGATGGTAGGCCTTTGATTGCTCTTGCTTCCGCGTTGGTACGGTGATTGAGTAACTTGTATCGTGTAGTGCGGAGATAGCCTGGGAGCTGGGAGAGAAGCTCGAGATGCTGATTATGGTGAGTAATTACACGAAGAGTAAGGATGAAAAGGACTGACTTCCTTGTCGTACCAGTCGTGAAATTCTTGTTCCGAAACTTCTGGTCCCATATCAAATCCACCAGTCACAATCGTTTTCGTTTTGCCTAGAGTTCAAATTTAGCATTACTCGACTGCTTTGCAGTCAAACTCCTTACCTAAAGTTGCTTCACTTCCATTCGGTTCATACTTCTGTATCAATTGATAGAATCTATAATCCAAATCCGCACAGTCATGCGAGCTCCCACCCAGAACTCCACTATCATCCGGGAGCTTTTCACTCTTAACGCTCACTTTCCGAAGCTCTCCACCATCCGCCATATCTTGGAGCGGGCATGTTGCAAGGTATGGTCGCTCAGCATTGGGATCTAGATTCCGGAATCGAAGAAGGGAGGCAATGGGCGTTACAGAGAGGACTTCGGGAATATGTTCATTGTCGTACCAGTTGAGGTAGGTCTGCTCGGAGAGGTGGTCTGGATGGGTTATTTTTGAGGTTACCCAGAGGATTCCAGGGTCTGTGAAGAGAGGGAGTGACATTGTGGATTGGTGGCGAGAAAGCTTTCAAGGTTGGAAGCAGTTCTTATATTGAAGCTCCCGCTGTCCTTTCTATTTCTTGTTACAGTTTCTTTACTAGTGATATGAAGAAACATGATTTGGAATGAATCTCACTGCACAGCTCAGTGAACATGTGGGGCCGATGATTGCCCCACCAGGGGCATACAAAATTTACCCCGCACTCGAGATATGCTGACCCCAAATCAATTTTACAGGGTTTGAGATTGATCGAAGCCTAAAATAACCACAATGGTGCTTCAGCTTCCGTTTTTCTGGGCCCTGAAATGCAGAAGATGAAGATATACTTGTTTTCAACCTCGACTAAGCAGTGAAGCGTCATACCCTTTTCGCAATGAGCGCACGATTAGTTCAACGATAAAAGTTGTTTTGAACTCAGACACGATACATAGAGACTCTTCAACCAAACCTGTGGATCTTTCTCTGATAGTAGACGGTGTAGATTTCTCTGATCCATTCAAGTCAATGAGACATTCGGTCAATTCAGGTAGCGAAGCGCACATCAGCCAGAAATTCAAGAAGAGACAAAACAACCCAGGGAAAGAACATATGTCATGCTAGCATGAGTACTTGAATTGAAGTGAACAGTCAACCCAGATAGAAAACTGGAAACAGCTTTCCAAACAACAATCCCTCTTACAGCGCTGGTATATGCCCCATTTTGATACCCAGCCTGAACTCCAGCACATCAGCTCACAGATACCATCTTACAATTCGTCAACTCGGTTCAACCTTGAATATTGCAAGGAACCTCCAGAAATATCGTTACAACACGGAGCAGAACCCTTTCAGCTCCTCGGTCTTCATATCCTACAATAGATGACAAATTCTGCACAACGGTAACCCCTTCAATTGCAATATTTGAGAAAGCAAACCTATCAATTGACGTTAGCTGATAAGTCAAAGGCAGAAAGTCATGTCCCTTACAGCATAACAAGTCGGAGCCCCAGTACATCTCTATTTGCGAGGTAGAGGTCAGCTATTGATCCAACGTGCTGGCAGGATGGTCATGGTTGCTTACCATATAGCATTTGCGGAAGTTAATGTCGCAAGCCCGCTCGGTTTGTTCTACCCCGGCTTGCTGTAACACTGCGTTTGCTAAGTCGATCGTACTCTGCATCGCGGCAGTCAAAGCGACATCTGCTGTGTCATCGACAGGAATGGCATGAGCCAAGGCGAGAAAGAGCGCGGTGACGAGGATGGTCAAGCGCATGGTGAAGTTTGTTCCAAAGACTTGAGATGGAATAGAGTTTCGACACTTGATATCAAGGAGGATTTTCGATGGAGACCAGCGAAAAGTTGGAGGTTCATATCCTATCTTGAGATATAAAAGGGGGGCCGTATGCTCAAATCTTGCAAACGGAGGCCTAGAACCGATCGGATTTGGCTCTCACATTGTACAATTCGGAAGCTGGGGCCGCAAAATATGCTTGATTGCGCCGCCGAAGAGGGGGGTGCATATGGATTGTGGACGAATGATGTATGATGGTGTGCTAGAGAAAGTGAGCCGTGTTCAAGCTATGCAGGAGTGAGCTGTAACGAGGCTATGCTTCTGACGAGCTGAACGCCAGGAGAAAAGCAGGTCCATGCCGACGTACCTTGACGTGAAATTCGATCGTGCATTCAAAGATTTTCATTAAGATCTCGTGGGAAATGTCCAACATTACCAATGCTCCTTCCCGAGAAACTCGAGGACGTCCCCGTTCGACTAAGTTTTCAAGACCAATTTGGGGCACAGAAGGGGCATTTCGGCCAGGTTACGAGTCCGTTAATTTGCGCATCTTATGCAACTCCCTCATTGGGATGAAGACACGAGCCACAGCATAAATTACTTTCCGATCTCCCCGTCACCTTGTTTGGCCATTCGTTGGAAGAATAGGATTATATCCTGGCAATCGTGATAGAAAGCTTTCCGCAGTATGTTCGTCCGTGCGGTGGATAAATAAATTAATTACATCTGCAGTATGTTCACCTGTTCTGTGCACAAATCAACTTGAGTTATTCTTGCATGTGTTTTGCTGAGCAGAAATAGACCTCGACGTTTCGTTAGCTTACACAGGCACAGTCAATATCTCACGTTGCTGAGGTGAAAGCTCGGTATGATTAAGTCTCTGTGGTTCAGACTTGTATACATAAGCTGGAGGTGGCCACGTTCTTCAATCTGGGGTGTATATTGTGGCGCATGAATCCCCTGCAAAATAGAATCGAGCCACGTGTCGTCAACGGGCCGAATTTGGCGAAGTTAAGCGTGAGATTTCGGATTCACAACTTTATAGAAGATAAAGGTTCGTGGATGTTTTCTATCAGAGCCTCAAAGGTGTATAAATCTTTGCTTTCGAAGTTTCGAGTCAGCTCTGTCACGAAAAACCATTTCGCCATGAGTCCTACACTGGATCGTGAATGTTTTCACGACTCTGCCCAGGAGGTAAAAAATCCATAAAATGGACCAGAAATACACGGAACGAGTATTCTTGATGCTTTCAAAGCTAAGCCGCTTTTTTTGAAACTACCACAGCCCAAAGAAACGTTTCATCGTCAATCATGCGCGAAGCTACGCCCTTGAGAAAGAACGTCAAGATTGAAAGCTGGACTTGTCATCTCGTGAGTTCCCGTGCCAAGCCTCACGGCGAGGCATTTCTGTAGGCTGACCCGACCGCGCTCTAGTGCCTAACCAGTGACAATAAATCTGACAAGCGTTGCGAATTCAAAATCAAAGGCACAGACACCACATGTGGTCATACGAGATGCGATTTCTGTTCTGGGAAAGAGACGATCTCAGGACAAGAAATGTTGGACAAAGTCTTGGGGTGCACTCCTAGTTGACTGTATTTCGGAGTCTTATCAAGCACATCTCAAAACCAACCAGCTCATCAGGTGCAGAAGCATTACACGCCAGGCTCCTTTCCAGTCTTTCGGGTCGTACTGTATCTGAAGGTAATTGTGTAGTTTGTATTCATGCCTGGTCAAATGGTATCCTCCGTTAGGCAGTGACTTTTATCAACCTCTTCGTGATCCGTGACTTGCCTTTTGACGATCACAAGGGACAAACGATTTCGATAATCAATCATGAAGAATAAAGTCCTACTTCTTCTTACTCAATATAATTTATTTTCCCTTCCTAGTAGGCTCTATCCATCCAGGCGTAAGAGTTAGAATTACAATCACGTGCTCTCCTCTCTTTGCCTCCTTGCGACTGTTGAATGTCGCACTTTACTTTGATAACCTACTGGGCTTCAGATAGTGCGGTGTTACTTTCAAGTTTACAATTGTAATACAGTTAAGTTTAAATTGTGAAACTACATCACGCTGCCGACAAATCTTCAAGGCACCAAAATATGTTTATTTTTAAACCTGAACGTTGTACGCGGTCAATTTTGCTGAGGTGTCTTTAAGACTGTGATATCCCAGAGCACACCGGCCTTGAGGCCTTCGAAGCAATAGCTGATATCGCTCAAGCTTCCCATCCGAAAATTGTATCTTATGGAAATCTTATAAAGTTAGGAGGCGTCTTTATTCCTGATTGAGGGGCTTCGGTAGACGCCTTCCTGCGAGTGCGCGCGCCAACGCGAGCTGAGCCTCCGAGAGACTCGCGATTCGTCAAATAATGAATGAATCACAGAACCAACAATCCAACATTCACAGTGCCGCTCGGTACTTGCTGCTCTTGCGGCACAGTCCATGAGTGGCTATTTTGAGCCTCATTTCTTCCGTAAGTCACACAAGAATCTCACTTTCATCTCCATCGATTGTCCCAGAACCGATGAACCCTCAGTTACAGTCACCATCTTCTCTGCTGCCAACGGCGTAAGGGCCATGAACATTCCACGCCGACCAGTGCCTACGACTCCCAGGGCTGGGAGCGACCGACGGACCGCCTTTCCCTCGAATGGCACGACAATCTTGACCGAGTTCGAGGAACCTGAGAATGAGCCCTTCATCCACTCTCACGATGCGGAAAGTCGCAATTTGGATCCCGCAAACCTCGAACATGTGACCGAATCAAATCTGAAGCCGCATGGTAGAATCAGTATTCGCACTCCAACAAGCTACCAGAGCCTCTCGCTGCCATCCATCAAAGACTATCCTCTCAGCGACCATTACAGTTGGCGACCAACTACCTTGGGAGGGATCTACCTTTTCTTACTTGGCTTCATCTCGACAGCTCTCGCCATAGTCGTTATCCTTTTGACCTGGTTATCCTGGTCGCGCAGCGGACTAGGTGACGACAACGGCACTTCCATACTTCTTTTTGGCTGGAGGTTCACACCAACACTTGTGGCTGTCCTCATTGTCATCTTAGAGTCTCTCTTGATCGAAGATGTGCGCCGTACGGAGGTATTTTCCAGGTTGTCGAGTCCTTCTCCGGAAAATGCAGCAACTACTGTGTTATTAGGCTCTCGTTCCTGGTGGCATGATCCGATGGATGCCTTGAGCCGCAGGAAAAACGGCGGTCGCTGGAGTCAGACATTGTTCTATGCAGCCTTCATGAACATCATTGGGTCCTTTGTTCTGTCTCCACTGTCAGCAGCGTTTTTCTCGTCCGAACTGACCCTTATGTCACAAAGCATCGAGTTCGCGACCTTCAAATCGATACAAAATTCTACTTTCAGTATCAGCCCAGATGATGAGACATACTTTAGAAGTGTGTCAGCATTGGTCTTGAATCTGAGTACCTCGGTCTGGCTGACAGACAACTATGCCATCACTCCGTTTTGGCCGACGACGTTGAACGAAGTGCCGCTAGGAGCTACAGTGCCTGAAGCATCTCAGAACTGGACTGCAGAAGTGCCAGTTCTCCAAGCTCAACTGAGTTGCATGCCAATGACGCTCTCCAACCTAGGTCTAACGTCCTTCCAGCTCTCATCCTCCGACGGTTGCCAGGTCGGAATTGAAGTGGCTGTCGGGCCACCACCAGTTTCGAGCGCACTTGAAAGTGCTCCTGATAACGAAGAGGAGGTAGCAACCTATTATCCAATTATGGAAGAAGGTGCTTGGTGGGTCAATACCGGCATATCGACGTCAAACTTCTCTACGATCACAGAATCAATCACAAATAATCAAACATCTTTGGTCAATGTAACACAAAACTGCCAAGGCCGTTATATTCTAGATATCAACACGCCTTTTAATGCCACCTTCAGCAACGAATTCAACGATACAGGAATTGTCAGTAACACATCAACGTTCCAACTCCGGAGCTATCTATGTAGCACAAGTTATGTCTCAGCAGATCTCAACGTCGATCTTTCCATCTCGGCTCCCAATACTTCAGTTGCCTTTAGTGAGGAAATGTTCAACAAAAGCACGAACGCCATTCCTTCGACGAATTTTGATTCTGGGATGTTCAACGACGCTTTCTTCAACAATTATTGGATGAACAAGCTCAATGTCAGTCAAGAAGGGGGATCTTATGTGGGACCTGCGCTCCCACTCGCTGCTAAGTATGGCTACAATGTGACAGCTATGCTTGCCGACCCTGATCTCATCTCAACCGCACAACAGGTACTGCAGCGTTTCTTTGGGGAATCAGTGCTTGCTGCCTTTGGTGAAGCCACGCCTTTGATCTCACCTCCCCTAGCAGGGTCCATGACAATCCAAAAGCAAAGGATTGTGGCAAGTTCCGGGATTGGTATCACTTTGGCCAGCATACTCTTCCTGACCACAGTCATGACTTTTCTGGTCTTCTTCCATTCAAGAGCTTCACGCCGGAATTTGAACTTAGATCGAGATCCTGCACCAGCAGTAGCAATAGCCTCATTACTGAAATCCGAGAAAACGTCCTCTCTGTTCCAAGGTCTTGACGTGTTGCCTGACCCACTGATCAAGAAAAGGCTAGAGACTTTGACCTTTGCTTTAGATCGAGGGGGCCTAATCATTCAGAATGAGAACCTCGAGAAAATTGGTTTGTTTGTCAGATTCCAACCCAGACCGTTGACTGACGCCTTTTAGCTTCGAAGAAAGATCCACCACCACCCACTAAGACCTACTCAAAGGATTGGCGTCCATTTGTCCTCCAAGGCTGGGGCGGCTTGGCACTTCTTCTGGTACTGGCATTTCTGATCACAGCCATCAGTGTTCTCTTCGCCAAGTCTTGGAGCCCTGGACTATATGAAGCAGGTCTAGTATACTCACACGAAGTAAGGTTCAAGAACAACTATGTTGCTTCTTTGGCTCCATATTCCGTTGTTCCCACTCTTGTTGCTATCTGCATCAAATCTTGGTGGAAAGCGCTCGAAAGTGTCTTTAAGCGCGTGCAACCGTATGTGAGCATGGCAAAGCACCCCGTTACCATGTCCACGGGAGCGACATTGTCCTACAACACCCTTCCACCTGTTTGGTCAGTATGGAAAGCGGCACGCAATCGACATTGGCTACTCGCTTTGGTGTGTGTGGGTGCCGCACTCTTAGATATATGTCGTCAAAATGATTAAGAACAGGTCGTGGCAACTGCTTACTACGAATAGTCACAGTAACTATGTCTGCATTGTGGGAGCGAAATATTGGTAGTCGACGAAGCAGTGTTCAGCTCACTCGAACATTGATGCTGCGCGATGTCCCTGAACTATTCAATGTCCCCGTTCCCGCAGATCCCGATTCTGGAGACACTGAAACTGCGACGATATTGTCACAATTATATGGAGACAGCCAGCAGTATCTTAGTTGGATGTATGGGGCGGTGAATCAGCTGTCTTATGCGGGAGCAAATCTAGCCTGGACAGAGTCAGATTGGAGCTTCTCGCCTATAAACATTACCGCAGCGACGACATTTGTAATTTGTTTAGCTATTCTCGCTTGCTTAGCAGTAATTACAGTGATCATCTTTTTGGTCGATCATGATTACTTCAGAAGGTTGCCCAGGGATGTCGATTCACTGGCCTCGGTTCTGGCGTTGGTATACGACAGTCCGAAATTACGGGAACTCTTGGAGCAGAATCAGTTATTAGGAGGCCCCAAGAAAGCCGCGTCTGGATACACAGATCTCAATAATGAGGATACGAAAGCTTTTATAGGACACTTCACAGGAAGTCATGGGGATATTCGGTGGGGAATTGAAGTTATAGACTCGGAAAATGGGGATAAGAAGACCAGGCACAACTCTGATGATGGTTATGAAATGGAAGGGTTGAGAAGAAGGAAAAGATAAACATATACTATCTTTATTGGTGCAGGATACTGATGAGTCTAAAGTTTGGAAGGAAATGTAAAGGATGAAACTCAAACGACAGAAGACCTGCGCTAATGTCTAAGCGAGAAGTAGTTCAGGGGGAATTCCGATCACTTGTTTCCAGCATGGAAAAGAACGCCGTCTAGAGAACCACCTCCCGACTTATCCTTGCCTGTCAAGTATTTTCGGCTTGTACGAAAGGCCTTCCATCCAACAGAATGTGGAGCAGCTACTCCTTCATCCACGCCCTGCGTCTTCCATTCTTGAGCACTTGCTGATCAAATCCCAAGTAATCTTGTCAGGAAGGTGCCACCAGCTTTTCAGTCTCCGATTTTCGTGTCTCGTGAATCTCGTATATTTAATGAACCAATGTTGGTATTGTGAAATTAAACTCGTGATGCCTAGGTTTTTGACCAGTAGACGTTTGATCTCCAAATCATTTTCTTGCATCTCATGCTTCTTCAGGAGGCAGTTGCAATTACACTTTTAATTAAGTCCCGGAATTGCAACCGTGTTGGATATCGTTAGCAAGTAACACCTGATGCAACACTTTCCTTCTTTCAATTTGTGAAGTATACACCAGTTCGGCGGAGAGGATGTCTCAACCACGAATCATCGTGTGGTTGTCTCGATGTTTCTGGACGTGTTTGTCATGGATTATTACTGCTTCGAGCTTGTCCGGGAATGTAACCATGTTGGGTTTCCTTGGCAATCCGCCGCCCAGGGAATCCCGCACCTGACGCATCTTTATTTTCTCACCACCTCGGCCCTCGTCTTCGGCGATACTCGTCGGAAAACGGACCCATCACGATCTCCAAATCCCTTGTGTCTGGACAGCATCAGCACGCCCAGCTCACGATTGGTGCTGTCGCGTAGTCATGAGGTCGGGCTTCGGCCGCGGACGACCCAAGAAATGGTAGCAATTCATTACGAGGCGTCCCAGCCGCTTGGACCAGAGATTGCACCAACCCTCGTGTGGCCGTTCTGGGGTGCTTGGCACCGTTCCCCGCTTCAACACCAAGGCACTAGGATTGGGGATTTGTTCAGGCTGATTGTTTGGAGTAATAGCCGGTGCGCCCCCCTTTGTTCGCTTGTCAAGCGAGTGCGCCGCAGGAGGATGGCCGAGCCTTTGCGGTGAAGGGTGCGTAGGATGGGGTTTTAAGATGGGCTTCTTTTCTTCTTTGCGTCTTCGATAAAGGCGACTGAATCGGCAAGGAAAGTTGATTCACTTCTTTTATTGTGACTTTGGACCAAGTTTTTTCGGTCAGAGAATTGCAAAATGGGTGGCGCAAATGGTCTTTCTGATCCCATCCTCACTCGCATTGTCGAGGAGGATAAGGTAAAATGGTTCAGAAAGCCGAACCTTCGATTGATGTATGTCTGTTTGTTCCTCTGCTGCATGGGAGTAGAGATGACATCTGGCTTCGATTCGACGCTTATCGGAACTTTACAATTCTCTCCACCTTGGGAAGCTTGTATGTTGCACTAAAATCTCCTTAGTGAAGGCACTTTCTGACCATTACTAGATTTTGGAACCAAGAATCCTAAGGATCCAAAAGCAAAAAAGGCTCTGACGGGAGGGATGCTGGGATTTGTTTCGTCTTGCTATCAGCTCGGCTCGATTATTGGAGTACCAATTGCTCCTTGGTTCAATCAGCGCTTTGGTCGACGCTGGTCCGTGATGATGGGGTCTGTACTAATGGTCATCGGAGCTCTCCTTCAAGGTTTTGCCCAAGATCGTTAGTGAACCCTCTCACTTTTTACCCAAAGTGCCAATGCTAATTCTCTTCCAGTCGGAATGTACATTTTCAGTCGAATGGTTCTTGGCTTTGGAATCGTCTTCGCCATTATTTCGGGATCATCTTTGATTGGTGAGCTGGGACATCCAAAGGATCGTGCGACTTTGACTTCAATGTTCAATGCGTCGTATTTCATCGGCCAGATTACTGCTTCTGCTATCGCTCTCGGGACGGTCAATATTCCGAATGACTGGAGTTGGAGAATCCCATCGCTGCTCCAGATGTGCCCCTCACTTCTTCAAATTGTGTTCATCTTGTGAGTTCATTACTCAACTATGTCTACAAAGTGATCAAGCACTGACAACTATTGTAGCATGCTTCCAGAGTCCCCCAGATGGCTCATCAGCAGAGACAGAAGCGAAGAAGCCTTTGCAATTCTCGTCAAATACCATGCTGAAGGCGACGTCGATTCTGTTCTCGTCAAAGCAGAAATGGCACAAATCTCATCGACCATCAAAATCGAGATGGACAATGCCAAACAGTCTTGGTGGGATATGGTGCGAACCTCCGGCATGCGTCGTCGTGTTCTCATCGCCAGCTTCCTCGGTCTCTTCACCCAAATGTCTGGCAACACCTTGCTGTCTTACTACCAGAACCTGCTCTATATAATGATGGGATACACCTCCTCTTACGCTAAGACGAGAATTAACCTCGCCAACGCATGCTGGAGTCTCATCACCGCCACCATTGCCGCATTTGTGGTTGCTAGGTTTAAGAGAAGGTTCATGTTCTTGCTTTCATCCGGAAGCATGCTCCTGGTTTTCATCTCAATGACCATTTCATTTGAAAAGTTAAGAGAAGCAAAGAATCATAATACGACCAATTCGGCTGCTGGTGTGGCTGCTTTGTTTTTCTACTTCGCCTACTCTCCTTGTTACAATATTGGGAACAATGCACTCACTTATAGTAAGGACTTTCATTCCTCCCTTTCTTCTCTTCCTTAGATCTGACAAATATTAGCTTACCTCATCGAACTCTTCCCCTATTCTCAACGTACCCGGGGTATCGGCATCGAGCAAATCTTCGGCAAGATCGGTGGATTCTTCTCCAATAACGTGAACCCCGTCGCATTGGATGCCATCGACTGGAAATTCCTTGCTATCTACTGTGGTTGGATAGCGTTTGAATTCATATTCATTTATTTCATGTATCCTGAGACGGCTGGTAGAACGCTGGAGGAATTGGCGTTCTTGTTTGAGGATAAGGAGCTGGCTGATCAGGCGGTTGTTGCGGTGGAGAAACAGATCCATCATGAGGATATGGAGAAGACTGCTGTGGCGCATGTGGAGGAGAGTGGGGTTATTGGGGTTTGAGGTGACAAGGGATTGGAGGAACGTTGGAGAATTTGAGCTTGAGCAGAGTTCTGATTGTCATCACAGAATAGTGCATCAATTACAGAGTGCAAATTTAACAACTTGGAAAGTTTTAATAGTGATGTGAGCCTGTGAAGTCCTGGAAAGTTAATGGTGCGCCCCTGTAGATTTAGTGACTTGCAGCTCCACCCCGCCCATCTGAAGTTTGGCGCCTAGTGCACTGATTGGAGTCACTCCATAAATTTCGACTGGTTTAAAACATTTGAATTGCAAAAGCCGCAAGCAGCTCGATGGTTGGCCCTGAGAAGCACATCATGAGCGGACTAACGCATTCAAATTGAATAATAAACAAAACACTTTGCGATGTAGTAGCAGACAGTTTGGGAACGGGAAGGACCGAGAACCTGAGAGGGCGGAGAAACGCGCTAAGGTTAGCGGGCACTAAATCTCCTCCCTCGAAGCTTCCTCTCTATCTCTTTCACTCTTCGATCCTCGGATCCTACCTCTCATAACGTTAATATGTCGATGTAATTGATGCAACACTCTAGAAGGATTCTTCCGTCATCTTTGCCACACCTTTTCATCAAGCTGCAGCCCTCTCCGTCGACAGATGATCAGGATCGACAGCATAACGGGAGCCTTGTGGAGGCGCACAGCGGATGCGGCACAGTAGGGGCGATGTGAGACGTGCATTAGCAGGCTAGTGAAGCCTATCACAGCGGCAAAAGATGCCAAGATGATGAGCTGACGGCCCGCAGCCTCGATGCCTGATTTGCCTAGCATACGACTTCCACCACCACCTCATTTAACAGCCCAGCTCAGACCTCGACAATGATGCTCCGCACGATTTTCCCTACCGTGACAGCGGGTGATAAATCCTTCTCTTATGGCTCACTGAGATGTCCTGAGAATGGGCCATGGCCTCGGACTCAGCTGATAGCACCTTCAGGGACTTGGACTGGCTTGCGGATCTCCACAAATGTGAGTTGAGGCTGCAGCCTTACCAACCCAGCTTCTGACATCGAAATAGCCCAATGCTTTACGACGAGTGAAGTGTCGTGTCCGGCAAAGTCGAGCGATTTTGGAGCTGATGGCTATACGGCATCATTGACAGACTGGCACGAGCTCTTACAATTGACAGCTCCAGATGAGACATGCGGTCTCGTGTTCCTGAGGGGCCAGTTCCCTAACACCGCTGATGCGATTTTGGCTAGGGCTCAAAGACGAGACGACAGTGGAAGTAAAGGGACTCTCGGAACGAGACTTCAGCCCGCAGAATTGAATACTGACCTGGAGCTGGGAGAACGACGGGTTCAAGGCTGGATTAACCTGAAGTGGCCTTATTCGCAGTACGAACTCAAAAAGAAGACCGACATCTGGGATGGGAGCGGCGGAACTTTGGAACAGATCTCATTCATCCGTTCTGGAACGATTTTTCAAATTCTGCGTCTTCAGTGGGGCCATGGAACCTCACTCAGTGACTACGACTCAGCTGATGCTCAAAAGCACACGATTACGTTGAGAGCTGGAGGAATTGTTCAATTCGGATGCCCATGCTCCAATGGTGGGCCTCCAAATAGAGATACTTTCACGTCAACCTCAGACCACCATGGTGACCACAAGCTCAGCTGTCTCAGCGGTCGATATCAGAAACGTTTGGAAATGCGCCTCTTCATCAATGGCGTTTCTCAAAATCTAGCACCTTCAGCGACTCATTTGGATGTGGAAGAAGTCGATGGGCACGAGATTGATCTGACTTCACACCATAAAATCGAACTTTTAGACAATGAACCAGTCTTTATTGTTTCGACGTATGCTTTAAAGCATGTTGATGATGAAGAAGAGTCATGTATTTCAGGATATTTTTCCGAGATCGAGGATCATCTAGGAATCTCGAACACCTCCGTTAACATGACGGATCGCCTTTGGACTGCGTGTTGCTCAACAAATTACGAAGCGTATGAAGGTAAGCTTGTTCCATACTCGTTTTGCGTATTTACGTGGATATCTTGAGGCAGAAGGTTGGACTGGACATGGCGCCAACTTCAAAGCAATCCGCGCGAGTTGCGCGAAACGAGCGAAATGCGCGAAATGCGCGAAATGCGCATGCGCGAACCTCGCCCTTCCCAAGCTCCAAGAACTCCTACCACTCTTCTATCATTATAATCATGCTAATTTATCTGGATTAAAGCTGTAGAAATATGTGTTATCGGACGTACAATCGAGCAGATAATCTCTGTTGCTGCTATTCCATTTTCTGACAAGTCTTCCCAACATCGCGAAACTCAGAGCCGGCAGGTTCTGGAAATAGCTCTCGTTGACAACGTCATAAGTTCCCAGCATGTTGACGTGCAGAGTGCTTTGTAAGGTATATCCTCGCCATCAGGAAATTGTTTTAACGATGGTCCAGTTTCCAGATCAGAGTGCTCGTCAAGGTGTATAATCATATTGCAACACGTCATTTTGAGCCAGATCTTTTGGAAAGATTCCAAACACTAGACGCAATACGAACAGCTTATTTGGGAAAGCTACGCAATTTCACCCGCGCCAGTCTGGCTTGGTTGATTAACACGGAAATAAAGCCAAGCAAGTTGCTTCTAGCTCTTGGAAGCCAGGAACCTCCTAAGGACACGGAGACTCATCCATCTGAGCGACTCGCACAGTGTGAGAGAGACAGAGTCTCGGTGACCCACGACCAATCGTACAACCAAGCATGCTACGCCACCCTTGCTGTCTGGTATGTCATCAAACACTGCCCACAAGCTATCGATGATGATTTCAAGTCGACGGTACTCCTTCCCAAATTGCTCCGAGCTTTTGATGTCGTTCAGAAACGCGCTTCGCGTGACAAGGAACCGACGCCTAAGAACGATGTTCTGCAATGGTTTCATCTCAGCTGCTTCTATCTCATATGCAGCGAAAATTTTCAAGCAAACTCCGAGGGAGAAGTAGCAGACGGTTTCAATGCTTCTGGACTTGACTCTCATGAAGTTCTCAAGACGCAGCAAAAGTTTGAGAAATACGTCTCTCGTTTGAAGACAAGTCAAATCGAGGCATACTCTATCGAGCACGAGGAGCTTCATCGAGTCATCTTGCTTGGAGAGGAGCTGGGCTTGGATGCCATACCGACGCAGTTTACATCGAGTCTTGCTGCATCAAGGGCACTTCAAACCAGGAGATGGTTGGCGGAAAGGAAACGTACTACGAAATTCAACCCTGGACCGGCATCGTGGAAGACTTCCAGAATCACCTCTAACGGTCCTTGGGAACTACTTTCAACTAATCATCAAAGCTTTCTCAGAATCACGGATGATGCCAACATCATAGCTGCCAGGAACAGATTGTTTGAGTTCATGATGTCTGACTTCACGTTCATGGCCTCTTGGGATTATGCTGATAGCAACATGGTTGGATCATGGTGGAATCAGGAGCCTGGGAGCGTCATTACTGCAACTTTGATTGACTTAAGAATGGAAGGTAAGTCCTGCTCTTTATTTGAAATGTGGAGAAGAGGATGTCCTTTTTCTTGCATCTAATTATTCACAGGCAAGATGAAATGTGCGATTTCTGAAGCTGCTGCGGAGGAACTGAGCGAATCGCTACATGACATACTAGCGACGCCTGTGGAAGTAAGCCCAACCGGTCCACCTGATGAGACATCAGCGAACGATTCGATTCGTGACATTCTCGTGCAGATGAAACAGCATCAAATGGAGTCAAGTCGAGAACAAATGCAACAATTAAGACAACTATTGGTCCAGGAAGAGGTTGGGGCCAATCTTTCGATCAAAGTATTTGATTGGATGACTTACAAACCGGCTCGTGTGTTTCATCCTGTGAGTGAACCAAAATCAAGGCTCAGTACTTCTTCTAACCTAATTCAGTCTTGGTGGGTTCATTCGTTGACCGATACACCCGAATTCTATCGTGTCAAACAAACCAAAGACGTGCCTCTTCGAAGAGACCTAAGGAGGTATCTCGTCGCTCGAGAACACTCTCATATCAATGCATCGGACCATTTATTCTACACGACTTACACTACAGCAAACATAACCCAAAAGGTTCATCCCGAGGATGTACAATTCTTGAGTCTCTTCGACATCCGACTGACGGATCAATTCGCATTTGAATCCAAAGTCACATCCATCAAAGATTCCCTGGGTAACGCTCCGAGCATTGCCAATGCGATCAGGGAGACCGCTACTATTTCTCGGACTCGCTCAAGCAGGCGTAAGCAAGCTTCTACGGTTTACGGTCCCAATGAATTGGAAGTGTACCAAAAGGAGCTGTTTGACAGACTGAATGACAGCGTACGTAGTCTCAAATAAGTTGTTCGGGTTGCAGGCTAATCAAAGTAGTTGGTGGATCTGGGCGCAAAGCATCGCATTCTGTAAGCATCTCCAGGCACGTGATGCTTCCCAGACATTCGCTGATTGGATTGTATAGCTTCGCTGAGAAGTGCACACCTTCACTTGTCAGATCTTTCATCTACGTCTGGCATCCAGATGCGTTGGATACGTTCGATAATTATTTTGGATCAACTTCAATTTTCTCTGAACATCGAGAAGCGGTTATGTGGACAACGAGCATTACTGTTACTCAGTCAGTATCTCCCTACTCATCATCTCTCCTCGCTCCTCTCAGATAGCGAGTTTCGCAATTTTTCGATTAGTCATTGGTTTCACTGCTGACATTTATCAGTTGGAGCATTCGCCCGACGAGTTTGTCCAAAGAGCATATTGAAAGGTTCAGAGAAAATCGGAGCAACGGAGACTTTCCACCTCTCAGTATTGCCCAACTAGGTATGAAAAAGAAGCAAAGGAAAAACTTTGAGTCTCGTAATACCACAGACGTAGTAGAGGAACGTTCTTCGTCACTGGTCATTACTGGAGATCCTTCCGGACATCTGTGGATTTGTTCGATCTGGTCCTCTTTGACAGATGCCGAAGCCATGTCGGCATCTGTGAAGTCTGTACTACCTGTTCTTGGACAATTCATACATCAGCAAGTGTGCGCTAGGTGTCTGGCCTTCTTGATTTTACTTGGTCATTTGTGTGAAAAGCTCGCAACAGAATACGATACCATATTGACAAGCTTGGACGGAATTGTGGGTCTCGGGGTAAGTTCTCCAGTGTCTGCGCTAGATATGTGACTGAATGAAATGTAGGAGAGAGTCCTTCTTGAAGGATTGGAATGGGGCACGACCGAAGCTGTGGACAAGTTGAAGAAGATGCTCTGGGGTCTTGAAGCTCTACGTGTTTTCGATGACCGATTGTCTGCCTCATTGGCACAGATTCAAAAGGGAAGAGAATCCATGGAGCGCACGATCAAACAGGTAAGTCGGAGATCTAAACCAACGGTTCTTAGCCCTAACAAAACATCTCAGGAAGCGGGGCAGCAGCATGTTGACCTGCTCGAGGCATACAATAATGTAATTGAAGAGTTCGAGAAGAGATTTGGAATGCTTTCCGATGTTCAGATTAGGACGCAGCTGAAGATCCGACAAGTCACTGGATTACGAGACGGAGTAGGCGTTCAGTTCCTCATTTTCTTCCCAAACTGACAACCTAGATCTCAACAGTGACGAACGTCGAAGACAGCCAAACGGCATTGAGGGATAGCAAAACAACGATCAAGCAGGGCAACAATATCCGAATACTAACATACATCACGATCGCATATCTGCCACTTGGCTTCGTTACCGTAAACTCCCCTTTCCCAATAACAAGCACATGCTAATAATACGCCACAGGCTCTCTTTTCCGCCCAATACTTAAAATTCATGGAGAACGCCAACACAACTACCTTCGCGATTCTAGTCGTGATCTTCGTCCTCGGGACCTATGCGCTAGCTCTAAGCCTCGAAAGCATCATCGACTCCTTCTCGAAAATCGCAGACCGACGAGAAAGGATGCGCTCTACGCAGAGTTCGACAAGCAAGTCAACTCAGAAGGACCAAGAAACACCTTCTGTTGATTCGAGTACGAGTTTGAAATGGTTCGGATTGCGAAAACGACATCGTGCTCGCGAGGACGACCAAGTTGCTGAGAAGATTTCTTTTGCTGCTTAATGATGATTTCTTTTCTTTTCGTATATATATACGTATATAAATAATATAATATTTGAGCATGTGAAGATACCGGCGCGCCCCGAGAGTAAGCGCGTGATTGGCCAAGTCACGATGCGGCGTTGGGCAGCCTCACGTGGGGCTGTGCTGAGGCTCGGGTTCCCGGTGAGTGAGAGAGAATGATTCATGACAGCACAGCTGCGCAGTACAACAAAGAGGTTGTTGCTCGTGACTCGTTTCCTTCGCCCTTTAGACATTCATAAAGTATTCTCTGTTTCCTTTGTACTGGTGATTCAGTCTTTGTATTAATGATTCACGGCGCATCGTCCATGCATTTCGATACTTTATAACATTTATCACAACACGAAAATTATGTCGAAGCCGAAATCAAAACATAAGTTTAAATCCAAGTCATCCATCGTACGCGGAGAAGATATGGTGCAAGCCGTCGCGGAGAAAATCAGTTCTAGTCACGTGGTTACGGCGCATTTTAAGAAGGGCGGCTGGGAGTGGCTTTGTTGCAAGGTATGTTTGGGTTTTATGCTATTTATAGTTCGTGCATTTGAAGAGCGGAGGTCGAAAATGGAGAAGTGGATAGAGACTGATGTTGGGTAGTGCCAGACTACGAATAGGATCGATTATGAGGGCGAGAGGGGGGTTTGTATGGGGTGTAGGCATGAGAATGCGAGGTGTTATGAGTGTCAGGATTATGAGGTCGGGGGGTGTTAGGATGGGTGGAGGAGAGTAAGGAAGTGAGCGGAGGGGTTGTACAATATGGGTCGGCGTTTGGCTGGGGTTGGGAAGATTTGGGAGCGAGGGCGGTGTTGGATTTGGAGTTTGGATGTCTGGAATTAAACGGGCATGGGGCATAGTTTTGCCATCTCAGTGCGATGTGGATGCATCTTTTTGATATTATAATGGAGTTCTACATTCCTCTGCTCATTCGTATACTTATTGTGCTTACTTTTAGCGTGATCCACAATGCAAATAAGAGCAGAGCTTCCATACGAGCTCTTTCCTCTTCGTAAACAGTCTATTATCTTAAACAAACCAAGCGACCATATCGTTGACTCTATACTTTGACAGACGCCTGCTGAATATTGCCGGGAATGGTAGTTATGATTATAGCCCATGAGGACAGTAATCTGCTGAGAACCGTGATTCCAAAATGTGCAAACCATTCCCACACTCTCTCAGAACCAAGTCATGCGGTTTCATAAAGTATTATATAAACTCGGCTTCTGTTCCCGCGCTGACAAGAATTATCTAAACTCAAACATCTCCAAACCTCTTACAAACCTTCAACTACAGCAGATATCCCAAAACAACATGGAGTCAACCAACAATACTGCCAGTAGATCGGAGTCAGTTGTCGTGATGATTGATCTTCTAAGATTAGCCAGAGAGTTCCAAGGAGCCGGTGAGAGAGTGGAAGTGAGAGGTATTACAAAGTCAACCAGCAACATTACCCGCGAAGGGGATAATGAAAACAGAGGAATGATCCTTGAGTTCGCTACAGGAGGGCTTATGTTTGTCTTTACCCACGTTGGCGACAAGATGGCAGCGACTTCACTTTCAAGCAGTCTCCCAGACACAACCACAGCAGAGAACTTTTCGCAATCCGTTCTTAACCTCATGAGCTCGGAGCGGATTACATCGGATCCCGATAGACTTCTCTTTCAAATTGAATCCAAAGAAAGGGTATCATTGATCGACGTAAAGCAAGCGATCGAACTTAGAATGCTTGACGACAAAGTGGAGAAGATTCGAGCAATCAAGCCAAGATTACCTTATGGCGCTCCCAAATTCAGGGAGATGTATGACCTTGCCGTGGTATGCTCGAATGCTGGCTTCATGCTTCCAGGTTTCAGCGCACAACTCTCCTTCCCAACGTCGCCGAGGTTCGAAGTCAAGAGGGCCTTAGGGAATTTGTCTAAGTTGACATCTGATGGAATCAGATTTGTCCCCTTGTTGAGATCAATGACGGACTTACACAAGGAATGTGACATCAGAGAGGGAATGTCTGACGAGGAAACCTCGGAAATCAGAAATTCGACTCTCACAACTCCAAGCGGTCAAGTTGTTCCTCTTGAAGAAGTCGAGGAATTGCTTCGTGATGCCGGCTTCGGCGGAAAGGATGATGCAGATATCCACTTATCGGAATGGTCTGATGAAGAAATGGTGCAGTTGGTCGAAAGATTGGCCAAGGCTTCTATTAAGGCTGGCTGGATCTAGGAGGTTCTGATGCATTGTGGAGGAAGCGGGGGTGAAATAGAGTTGGGGAATTTATCGCATGTACTGCGCGGCACCAGCGACGTCTTTCTAGTTTGAGTTGAGCTACACTGGTTTGTAGTTTTTATGCAGCTCAATGAACTTGTGTTTATTGACTAAATCATCACATGAAGTTGTCTCTCGGACGAAGGCTAGCATTCACTAGTCAAAGATGACAACTTCTTAAAATATAACTTGGGTAAACCAACTAGTAAGGCGGCATTCCCAAAGAATAGATCAAAAATACAAAGGCCCTTTTTAACTTTTACTTTGCGAAGCATTCGAGAACATATTATCTGATGTTCTTGATACTTTTCCAGGAAGTCCAGGACAGGATTAGCCATGAGTGAGTCAATCACTGTAAAACTCCAGAACTGTGGATAGAAAGATTGTCTTCAGCCAAGTCGATATATAATAAAATACTCTTAGAGAGCCGGCCGAGCTGAAACTCTTTAATGAGACGAAAAGAGCTCAATACAACGGCTAACACTCCGAACGTAAACGCAGCAATGGTTTTGCATCATTAAAGAAACATTCGATAATTTCATTATAAGCTTTTTTTTTTTTTAAAAAAGATGATCTGCCAACAAAGTGGGGGCTGATTTACTCTTGGACCAAGGCAGGAAGAGCAAGGAAAGAGTTGGGGGCTTCGGAAGGCAGGATTGGATTGGAACCTGAAGATCATCGCAGTCTCATTCTTGACAATGAAATAAATAATTAACTTCTCAACTCTACCTTTCATTCCCTTGAGGCCTCAACCTACTCGTCGCCAACTTTCCTTTCTCTCATTCTTCAGAAGGCTCTCTCTACTTCCTGTATGCCAGCCTGCCCTTCCAATTCGAATGGCCTTTGATAGGCCGTGGCTCATACAACTCCTCAAGATACTTCTCCTCATCTTCTGTTAGCACAATCTGATTGGCAGCAAGAGCTTCATCCATCCTTGCTACGCTGCTGAAGCTACTGATGGGGCTTGCAACCCTCTCATTTATCCATGCAAGAGCAACCTGACTCATTTTGCAATCTTTCTTTCCCGCTATCTCCTCCACTCGGTCAATGATAGCAGCATCATGCGTCGTCACTTTCTGATTCTTTGCCCGAGCTGTTGTCTGATCTCTGGATGGACGCGCCAATCGACCCGTATTCAGCGGTCCCCAGGGAATCAGCCCCACGCCAGTTTCATCACAGAACTTGTTCATCTCGCGCTCTTCCTCGCGATAGAGAAGGCTGTAATTGTTCTGCATGGAAATAAATTTGGTCCAGCCGTGTTTTTCGGCACAGAATTGCATCATAGCAAACTGGTAGGCCCACATGGAGCTCGCGCCGATGTACCGGACTTTGCCCATCTGGACCAGATCATGCAGTGCTTTCATGGTCTCCTCAATGGGAGTCTCGGGATCGTAACGATGGATCTGAAGCAAGTCGATATAGTCTAACTGCAGTCGTCGGAGGGATGCATTAACGGAATTGAAAATTCCTTGCCGAGATAATCCAAATTGATTGACATAATCAGGATGAACTTCTAATTCCTTCTTGTTCAGCGCTAGTAGCTCGGGAGTATTGCTTTCGCGTGCGGGATTGTAGCATTTTGTCAAGATGATCAGTTTGTGTCGTGGGATATTGTACTCGCGAATCGCTTTGCCGAAAATCTCTTCGGAGACACCGTTGCTGTATGAACAGGAAGTATCCCAGGTGTTCAACCCTCAATCATATGCTGCCTTGAGAATAGGTAAAGCCTCTTCTTCCTCAAGAACCCAAGGCGCGTACCTTTTGTCTCCCATACCCATTCCACCCAGGATCGGGAGAGATACCTTTAGACCACTTTGACCAAGTTGTCGATACTGTGCTCGTGGTACAGTTTCAGAATCCATGATCGAAGTAGTAAGAGGCTAGTGAAAGAAGTGAAGCTTTTTGATTTCGTGATGCCTCGGATTTACTGCAGCACAAAACCTTTCGAAAGACTTCTCGAATTGAGGATAGAGATTGAGAAGGGCGTTGAGGATGTGGGATACCACCGGCTCTTTATAGAAGGGGCGGCTTGTTTATAGCCGCCAGAGTGATGTTATGATGAAAGTAGTACTATGATGATCTGTTCGCATTTGGACAGGTGAGTCATATGCGGTTGAATGCTGGATAAGTAAGCTGTCGCTTGACTAGCGATGCCAAGAATATAATTGGAAGAAAGTGCGATGCGCAGCCAATGTATCGATTGTCAAGCACAAGAGTGGGGGTGGGGCCTTACAACGGCCCTCAGACTTGATTTGGAAGGTGTAATTAGAGAGACGAAGCTGGAGACAAACATTCCGTTACATTCTTCCATCCCAAAGAGAGTCGTGTACTAGTCAAATGGGACAATTGTCAAAAGAGGAACCACCAGATGGCTTGTGTCTCAGGCATCCTTTTTGATCTACGTGGAGTTTAAAGGTCTCAATCTGAAGAAATCGCATCACATGCAATAATGGTAAGTCGTGAATCTAAAAGCTCAAAAGACTCTTTTCACTTAGAAGTTTTCATGCCGTATCACAGTATAGTCATTGTCCATGCGATTTTTATATCTCTGTTGAATCAAGGGTGGAGTAAGGGGCAAAGTGCGGGGCAGCGTTTCGGCTCGCTTAGCTCTATCGACCTTGGCCAGCGTCGTACTGCGATGTCTGCATGTGAAATCAAGAGTTAAGACTACACACATATTGGTTGACGAATGAGAGGTGATGTTGATCAGTTTGTATCATAGTTTTTGATTTTCAAGGTGCGCAGACGGGGGTAGCCTAAGGGCATGTAACAATTCCGAAATCTTGAAAGCAAGGAGGCCAATAAAAAAGACGACGAAAACGGTGACAATCTTAGCTGAAGAAGTGTATCACGCATATCTAGGTCCTCAAGCAAAGATGATGAATCAGAAGCGTTGACTTTACTGTGATTGAGTGTCTGCTCACATCAAATGATTAACATATCTATTTTAACTCGGGTATAAACAGTTTCAACTCTACAGAGGTTCAGATATTTTTCACAGAAGTTGGTAGACGCTATCACATCCCACATCCGACTTTGACCTGTACAATCTCAAGAAAATGTCATCAAACGGCATCCCCAAAGAGCCATGGTTGGCTTACAATATCAGCAAGGAAGAATATTTCAAACTATCAATCGAAGAACAACTGGAGTCAATTCTAGTACTCATACCAGAGCCTGAGCGTACGAAGCTTCTTACCTTCTTCAAGTCTATCGATCAAGCGGTAGCTGAGTCACAGCGAATGGAAATCGATCCTTGGAAGCAAGAACACGAGGATACCTGCGGCTGTCAAGACTGTTGTGAAGACCCTTGCGGCTACGACGACGAATGGCCTTTCACACCGGAGTCTGATGCTGATTTTGAGAAATGTTCGCTTCGGCTGACGATTGCAAGCGGTCAAGAAGTCGCTTTGTGGAGTATTGTCAAGGACTTGTGGGAAGTGGATGTGCCTACAGGAGATGAAGAAAGGGAGGTCTTTGCACAAGAGATTGTCAAATTGAGTCAGGACAAAGGATGGATCTGAAGATGGAGTTGCATTGAGAAAATATGACAAGCGGTCATGATGATGACTGTACCAGTCTATAGAACGTACCCACTACGATGGACTCTACGAAATGAGATAATATCCCTCAAGTATCTAAAGACTTTGGATTATTGCAAGTCACTTCCATGCAAGATGAACGTTCTCTTCGTCCATTTTAATGTTCCAGAACATTTCTACCATTTGCCTTCGAGTAACTGGTTCTTCTGGAGTTGCAGATATGGGTACAGCATTGATGTTTGACAGGTGCGGTTTATGATGCAAAAGTAAATCTACCTATCGTTGCACTCATCAATAAGTTATCATCTGACTCATGTGCGCGCACGGCAACAATTAACATCATTTTTGCTACATGGGATTGTACTGGATGCTCTCGAATCATCGCAAAAGTTAAGAGGTGGGTATTCCATGTTTGAGCCTCCGCCGATGACTGTTCCGAAATGCTTTTCACTCACTTGAGAATTACTTCTCTCCCAATGGTATATCATTACCGTAAGCCTCTTTCATATGCGCCTATCATTCTTCAAGTTGTCCTCTCTCTTCATTCCATATGCTCAAAGCTCTGAGGAAAGTCGTAGGTGGCAGGACCTCTCCACAACCCACGCCAGCTAAACGCGATCGTCATCATCGTCATTATCCTACAACTACTTATTGTAGGGGCCGCCACTCGTCTCATGAAGTTGCAAAGACAGTGATAGATTTCGCCAAGAGAAGAGGGTCTACTCTTCACGAAAGACAACGAGTAGCTATTTCTCGCTACCGGAGCGACAATGTCTTCAACACCCGAAATGCAGGCAACCATAGCGAGGGAGCCATCTTCGAAGCTTATTTCAAATTCTTCGATCTCATGTTCTTCGGTGGCATACTCAAACTTGGATGCAAAGTTGTACTCACTGGGAAAGATGTCGAGAAGATGAATGCATATGGAGTGGCATCCACGCACGGAAAATTGGTCAACGGTCGACCGAAAGGAGTCTACGGGAATATTCGAATTCATAATGCATCACATTTGAAGAACCCGCGAGATAGGAGACTTGCAGGTTTAAGCACACTACTACATGAAATGCTTCATTGCTTCCTCGACTTCTACACATGTTTCAGATCCGATTGTCGAGACAGGTTCGAGGATCTGGGCCAAGAACACGGGATTGCATGGCAAGATGCTGCTTATGCATTAGAAGAATGTGTCCGGGACCCAACATTCATCAATCTGCCTTTGGTCCTCGGGCGGCGGCTTGCGTTGGTTAATGAGCTGAATGAGTGGGGCCACCCGAAGATCTGTGATCTACGAAGGTGGGGCTTCACGAAGAGAGAAGTGAGGTTCATCAAAGGTAAATGGAGGCTCCTGAAGTTGGATGATGCTTGTGCATCTTAAGTTTCACATTAAATGGTAGGAACGAGTATCTTTTGACAGATATTAAAGTCCTCCTTAGGTGCCTCGTTGAGAATCTGTGATAATTGATAAGACAAGTCTCTGAATCACTACATCGGAGGCTGATATAAATGCGTGAGAGTGGCTTGGCCATAATTATTTCGTCCGCGATCCTGAGTTTATTTGACCGCAAACCTGCTACGAGCGCCGTCGACAAGAAGACTTGATTTTCTCGGACAACGTCCCAGTCTAATTAAATGTATCGAACGCAACTACACCCGAAGATTACGTCTGCCCGGAACTGGAAGACTTCCGGACCTTGTCAACACTTTCCCATCTCCAACGGCATCCGAATTTGTAGTCATTCACGCCGAGATCTCGCAAGGTTCATCACGAAGAACTCCAATTATCGTCATCCGAGCCTCTGTGACAAACTAAAACGACTTTGCCACGACATGGTTCGTGACCAACGAGGTGCTACACAAGTCTACCTCAGGCATATTGGAAAGGTCTTCGACGACATGTTCTTCGGCGGATAATTGTCCAGTCGCTGCACAGTAAGTTGTAGTGGAATACTTCACACTCGGTCAGGGTTCTTCGCCATAACATACCCAAGGCTTGGGCCGGGATTTGCAGAAATTGTGTTATATACGCGAGACTCGAGAGTAAATGGCGAAAGTCGGAAAGGTGGATTGCAAGGCTACATGGCAACCCTACTTCACGAAATGGCTCATGCCTATATTATTATCTATCAGTGTCCGCCATGCTTGAACAAAGATATTGAGTCAGATCCGGTGAACCCTGGGCACGGGTGGCCCTGGTCGGAGATCGTCGAATACATTGAGAAGGCATGTCTAGATCAAACAGTTGGATTGAAGCTGTTTCTGAAAACAGGCAACCGATAATGGTGAAGTTTATTCAGACCAGTATCTCTGATCTCCGTTTTACTCCACTATGCACGAGATTGATTTTATCTAGTGGAGCGAACCAATCCACAAGAGAGACTTTTATCTTTACGAAGCACATGACAGAAAACGCCTTCAGAGGTCGCTCGTACCAATATTCTATTGTATTCGAGCTTCTACTGGTCCTCACTTTGGCGACACAATGTCGTTTGCTAATCCGAGTGAATGGCAGTGGGACATTTGGAGTTAGTGTTAAAGGAACGCCTTTGTGACTCGGACGCTTACTTCAAAGAGTCACAATACACCCGGGCGGCCTTGAGGTTCACTCAAAACCAACAAAGGCTGTCTTCAACTTTTGCCTTGCTTCATTATCGTCAACGACATCTGTAGCACAATGCCGTACACAAACCTGGGCCAGCTGCATGCGCATGAGCAAAGCTCCTCTGACTTGATCTCAAGAGTAACAGCTGCCGCTACTTTTTCTAATGGCATCACATCGGTTCAGATGAGCGGTATCGAGCGATTCGGCAAGGTCATCAACGAGGTTTCGGGGAAGGTAGCTTCAGAACAACTTGTGGAGAAATTCTTTCACCTATTTGATGATATTTTCTTCAATCGAAGTCTTAGATACGGAGTCACACCCAAACTCGAACGCAAATCGCTACCAATCAATACATGCTGCAGAGGTCTGGCACCGGGCGGCAAACTTATCGTTCAAATCGGAGATTCGTTGACCACCTCGAAGGTTACTTTGTTGGGGCGACTCCTGCACGATATGATTCATGCTTACCTGTGGCGGTATGCTCATCGGTCCTTCACCGACGACAAGCTCTTCGAGAACGGATGGGGCTTCTCGGGTCATGGAAAAGCGTGGCAAGACATGGCTCTTGTGGTTGAGGACTTTACGAAGCAATACCTCCTACCTCTGGATCTTGGTCGAAATGAGGCTTTACTCATGGAGCTTGAACAATTTGCAGAGGGGTTGAACGCACTCAAGGCAAGCCCTGCTGGCGTCAACAAACTTGAGAATGAAATTGCAAAGGAACAGCTAGAGTCGGAGGTTCTCGGAGCTTCGGGGAAGGCCGTTTCAAAAAGTAAAATGCCGACTACGGAAGAGCGATCACGAAACATGCGTCGAAGTTCACCAATGCGAAGAAGAACGAACAGACTCACGAAGCAAATACCAGCGCATATCGAGAAGGCGAGGGCTCAAAAACTTTCTCAGCAAACGCTCCCGTTGTCAGGCCATGACCTTGAAGTTCGAGAAATCTTGAAACAAACTGCAGATGATTGCATTGGAGTTCTGAAGGCATTGAAAGTTGAAGCTGTATAACTTCTGGGTCTAGAGACTTATAATATGATAATGCATGGTATTATCCACATGATGACCCTGTGCCTCGGGGTTGGGCTGTTCTTGAGAAACTTCTACCAACATTATTACTTTACGAAAGAGTTCCTCCACCCAAACACATTGGAACAGGGTAAGTATCTCCCGTGCACAAGCTTATAGTCCCATCAACCCAAGAAAGACCGCCGTAAGCCTTGCTATTGTAAGAATCTGCCTGAAAATATGTCCTCTCAGTTGATCCAATGCACCCAACATCAACATAACCACTATGTCTTGTTGTCATGGAATTGCTGACCACAACGCCGTATTTGCCTTCCGGAATCGCGAACGTGTACGCCGCAGAGTATGAGGAAGACCAAGACTCAGAGTACTATAGGAAAATCAGTATCCACTTTTGACACATACCCGGTAGTCGAGGAGAGGTCTTCTGAGCATGGAAACATGTCTTTCTCATAGGTAATCCCGGAGTTCTGAAGATCTCATTTTGAAGACAACGGCAAAACGAGAACAGAAAACCTGACATACATTGATGCTGAAAGTTGTGCTCAAAAACGACTCAACTATAGTAAGGGTAGAGCTGACACCAATCTGGATAGTATTGCTGATTGTGTAGCCCTCGGTGACTGAGACAGATGTGCTTGGGCTGGTGGCATGGAGAACAGAGGACATCGGTACATCCCAGTTGAGAAAGGTTGAGGCTGGGTTCATCGTAAAGTAGGAGTCTGAAGAACATGATCGACTAGATAAGGCGCGAGACGAAAGCGAGTGGTTGAATGCAGTGTTGTTTAACAAAACCGGTGTTGATGAGGTGAGATTAAACGACTGGCTCGACTCGCTGGCAAGGAGAGCGAATTCGGACTTGTTCATTACTTCCACTCGCCCATTACTTCCCCAGACAATGACTTCGTTTTCAGTCAAGTTTCTTCTAGCGAGCGTGAGATCTGGGATAACGGCGGCTGCGACGAGGCTGGCAGCCGAAAAGAGAGAAAGAACGGTTGAAGTAAACATCTTGATGGGAAAGAGTGAATGTTGTTAATGACTGAGTTGAACCAATTTGAAAGCTGGGATGAAATGAAATTTATAGGGAAGAAATGGTGCCTATATAGCACTTATCATTTTCATGGACAACATTGAGGAGGTATGCTTCTATCAGCAAGTCTCCACACTCCAATTGTTCTGATGAAACAAGCCAGAAAACATTATGCCAAGGTAAGGCAGGCTGTGTAGAAGGAAGTAACCTTGATTTCGTCTAAAGAGGATAGGAAAGAAATGATACCAGCGATCCGGGAAATGAATCTTCTCGTAACAGATCTTTATCTTACGACCGTATAAGCTTATTGCATTCTTGTCTGCTTGAATCGGGCAAGGAGATATATCATGCGACGATTTCCTGAAAGTTCAAATATAGTACCGAAGCTGTGCAGGGTTCGCTTCTCCTCCTGAGCTCAACAGCCTCATCTCGTATCGAACCCACGTTTTCTGTTCAAGGGTCAATGAAGTCACTTGGAACTTTCCAGATTGAGATATTTTCAGGCATGATCAGTTCATGCAGAATAATGTCTGAAAGTGGTACCTCGCTTATCACGCGGCTGAGGTTCGGGACGAGCAAAAGGGGAGAATATACTTTCTCGCTTATGTTTCACATCCGAACTTTAAGTATTCTTTAGATTACTAGTTGGAGAGGATGTGGTCTGAGACCAACATTTGACCTCTTTCGGTTGAGACTGTGGATCCAGAGAATGAGGCTGAGTGTTCGAGATATAGGGTCTGATGCTGATGGATACAAACAGACTTTTTGATAATCTGTCGGGACACCCTGTGACCCGTATCTAGCATAGTCTTTAGGAGATTCTCCACAACTCAAAGTATCTAACGGCTGTTGAGGCTGGGTCTGTAATTTAAAGTATTATGCAGCTCTATTCGGGTCTTGGCGCTTCCCCTTTTCTTCGCTTAGCACTGACTCGTGTTTCACGTGATTATGTATAGATTCAGGATGATACAAAGATACAAAGAGGCTGCGAACGCCATAGGAGAAGACTCTTCTCATCAAAAATAAAGTCAATATCTTTCAGCATTGTCTTCATTTGCTTCGGCCTCAACCACATTCTTTAAAAAACATATGCACTCGCTCAAATATCCTCAACATGCAATTCTCCACTCTTTTTTGCATCTTTTCATTGACTGCCACGTGAGCAAACTCCTCTTGTCTTATAGCTGCAGTCAATTCTAACACTACTACCAGAACACTTGCAGATCTTCATTACAATGCAATCTGTGTAGATCAAACAGATGCCAGTGTAAGTCAAGATGTTTCAAGCCTGGAGATATGCACTGACAACTCTGTAGAATGTCTATAATGATGCAGCGACAATTCAAGCTTGCGATTGGTATAAGCTTAGGAATAAAGGCGATGATTGGTGGAACACTTGTCCCGATTGCGTCATGGTAGCTATTTCAGAACCTCCCCGTCCAAATGTACCTAGTTCTGATTCGTGTACATTAGATCACCGACGGATCACCGCATTGTAACTCGGTTGCGCAACACATGGGAGGAGATGAGGTATGTTTCCTTCTAGTTGTTCTAAGATATCCAGGCTAACGGTAAAATGATTAGATTACGTATTATTGTCAACTAGCTGGGGCGGGCATAGCTCTGACTAGCTAAATGTTGTTTAATGCAAACGCATAATGGCATGTAGGACAAATATGCATGTTCTCCATTTAATATCGCACTAAATGTAAACTTTTGTCATCCAAGATTCTCGCCATTGTCGGAGACGACAACTTGAGGTGAAAATACATGCTCATCACATGCCGGACTTTCAATTAAATTATTCATTGAACATGCCGAAATCAATGGGACCGAAAATGACTGAGAAGGAAGAAAACGCTTTTCCTGAATTTCAAGAAATTATTGAACTTTCCAATCCTCTTTTTTCACATCTACCTTCTCCACAATACTCAGATACCATCACAATCCCACCTCAACAAGCTTCGTACTGCGGGAATCCTTCCCCGTCAGTGACAAAGCCGACCTCGTAGATAACATCGCTAGTGGTGTATATCTCCCCTCCTTGGCCATCATCCACACAAAGGGACAAAAGGTCGGAAAGCGTATTGCCAAACCAGGTGGTGCTAAACGTGTACCCACCACATGGTGTCGAGCAGACGTAGCCGACACAGGTCTGGTAGCTGATCTCGAAACAGAGATTATCAGGAATAGTAATGGTCTCGTTGTCATCAAGAGCCGTGTTGATCACTTCGTTACAGTCATCAACATCGGGCGCATCCTGTTTGTCTCACGTTAGTATAGCTTCGGTGTCCACCTGGAGGGGATTTCATACCCCGGTGCAGAAGTAATCATCTCTCTTGCGAAGGATATTACTTCGGGGTAGGAGCTTAACAGAAGTGGAGTTTGGAACACTGCTGCCTGGCTTTGGTGCTACGAATCCTTTCTGAACGCCAGCGGAATTGAGGATGATTGGCTCCGTTACTGTAGTATCACCGTTGACCGTAGGTGCAGAGACAGAGATAGAAGCACCACAGCTGGCTAGGAGGCCAAGAATGGAAACCCTGATGAGTGGGTATTTCATGATGATTGGAAGGATGATTTCTCCGAAGTGTACGTCGAGGAGGTGTTGGAAGATGATAGTGAGACCCAGACAATGTACTCAGCTGTTGAACGAGGATGAGATTATGCTAGTAGATGGATCGTTTAATTTATATTAGAATGAAGAAGTACAAGCCGACACGTAAAAGGAAATTCGACTGCCGAGTATGCAAGTTCGACCCCGCCGTGAGCTTGTTTTGGTCACTATTCTGCATGTCAGGTTCCCGATACCTTGTACTGATCGGCATTCAATGGAAGGTAGCCTCAATGACTGGATCTTAATCCCCGAAAGAAAGCTTGATGCAGGAGTTGTGCAGTGATGTGCCACTTTAGCGCGGTTGGTTGCCATCGCCATGGCTTGAGAAACATTCCAGAATGTCAGGATATGTGGCCCGTGAGTGAGTTTGTCGCGAACGAGCTTGTCAGGAGATGTATAGATTGATGTAATATAGCCGCTGTGCATGCCGTCAAAGCGTCGTCCTGCATAGACGGGAATTCAAGAAGCCAGGAGAAACAGTGTGAAATACCCAAGATTTTATACCAGACTCTAAGTGAAGGCTTCAAACTTGAGACCGAAGCTAAAGAGCAACTCTTGATATCATAGAAATACTTTATCCCATACCTTTGGTTCAAACAATGTATGCATGTTAACAAGCACTGAAACACTTGCGATACTATACTCAACGGGCAGACTCTCTTTGTTTGCAGACATCTCTGCCGTGTACCAAACTATATTTTTTACGGTAAGGATCAGAGGTTGCCTGAACATCTGGCATGAGATTTTCTCGATCGTGGAGAGAGACGATGCTAAAGCAATGATCACGCCACGATCAAGCATGCTCGGCTCTCGAGTAGGAAGCTGTATTCAACGGCCAAACATTGGGAAAGATTTGGCGGAAAGAACGCAAACATACCTTGGAAGGCTTAGGAAAGGCAGCAACGATGAAGAGAGTCTGGCAGACCGAGCAATTGACATGCAACGATCTGCCCCACTGTAAGATCGACACCGTGCCGAGAAACAGGCCAATGAGGTGTATGATAAAATAAGCTTAAGGTTGTTAATGGCAGCTTGAACCTGAACTACGTGCTTGGTAAGATCGAAGTAATGGATGCACCAAGGATTCAATGCTCGACAGCTCAGTTGAAGAAAACAGGTCAACATTCCTAAAGAGGCAGGTGGGGCAAGGTAGGCCTCAAGAGAGAGGCTGCTGCAGGGAGTTGAACTCCCGGTACTTCAGGCAAAATCGGGCAAAATCTCTTCTGTGGCTCGCTTTTGTGACGTTACTAAAGTTGGCCCGTTTGCTGCCTTTCGTGTGTAGGATAGCAGGAATTCTCGTGAATGCAGTCCCTTGGAGAATTAGCTGAGTTGTGCTGGATAGGATTGACATCGCATCACCTGAGCAGTTCCTATTCTTTGAGCAGAAATGTCTCTCGGAATGTAAGACTCCATCACTGTAATTACTTTGACCTCGGAGACTATCTTTTGTCCGCCTTACAAACCATGCTGCACAAACAGCATTTGACAGAACTTACGAGAAATCGTATGCATGTCGTATAACTGATCCAAGCAATCCAAAAACATTTCCGATATAGAATTCAGATGCAAAGCTTACGACTACCCTAGACAATGCAGATGTCCTTCACCATCATAACCAGTAGATATGAGAACCTTCATGGTCGCTTTGTTTACGAGGAAGAGCTTTTTACCCCCGAAGACTACCCAATCCCTGAACTGCCATGTGATGAAGCATGACTCGGCCACTTCACCGCCTCCCTGCAGCTTAGCTCAAACACACCATAATCCGAGTTCCCTTCAAACTTTAAAGAAAAGATTCACAGATGTATGACTCTGCTAATTATAATCTGGAAATTTATAGTTCTATTTAGACCTGATCACGTGAAATTATCAACATCTCTTCAGCGAAGTCCATCGCTCAGGACAGCGAAAAGATATTCAGAGATAGTTTCAGAGAGGATAAAATAAGTCCAGAGCTGCACCAGCGGGAAGACAGGCATTCAAAAATCCTCCTTGAAAAGACAATTCCTTCATAGCATGTGCACAGATGTACAGACATAAGACAGATATTCCAGATGATAAAAGTAGAAGACTACTCGTTAGTTCTCCGATGTACAAGCAGGGATTACAAAAATCAAAACCAGAAAACTGCTAAAACACAAACACAAAGCATAGACTTATGTGCCTGAGTTTATGAAACTATTCATAACTGTGCAATGTATCTATCACTCTAAGCAGCTGAAAATTGAATTATCTACAACGTGACAACAACACCTGAAGGAGTCGAACTCCATCTAAAGGGGGGCCTTAGATCTAAAGCGATATACTGCATAAAGCTAAGAAGGATTCTAAAAACGCAAAAGGTGGCAGAACAGGAAGGAACATCATCACATTGAGAGGAGCAGAGATGAGTTGAGCAAGAAGACCACTTACACCTTTGTTCATATAATCGCGCTTGTCAATGAAGCCTTGAGCAAGGGTCCTCGGAAGTCAAGCAATCCGAAGGGTGAGGTGATCTTAATGCGGCTCGAAAATCCCAGCACTCGCATGTATGGCTTGCTTGGCACTCCAGATTAGCTCCAGATTTAAAAAGTGTTATTGACCTTCCTTCATAGATCTAGAGATAGATAGTGTCGTGCATGCCGTTCGTCACTCGAAACCTTATATTTTATGAAGCTCTAAAGTCAGTCTATTGCATTCTCATGTATCGTTTTAGAGCAATGTGATATCTAAAAACCAGACAACTGTGATTCTGTTCTTAGACCCCACAGAAGCTGTAGTAAAACTAATGTCTCTCCATAGATCATAGGATAAACTACTATATCAATGTGGATTAAGATATCCTAACGCACGTACCGTACCTGATATCTTGGTGGGGAAGACGCGCGGCTCAAAGACGCGAAGACTTGGCATCACACGACAAAGAGATTCGCTCGGATTGCCGATGTCCCCGCAGTTCGGTACTTGAATGCCAGCTCTGGCAGCTTTACTCGGGCGAGACAAGAATATCGCGAAGGTTATCTTTTTAAGGTCTTCTGGAGCCTCAGCTAGCCTCCTCTTACTGGCGAACGCAGTATCTCGTCCCTCGTCCACAACTAAACATCACACCAAAATCTGCACATCAGACAAGAGTGGACAATCAGCTCTTCTCCAATTCGTGAGATCCGCGATGGAGAAATTTCTCGTCGATCATTGCTACAATCAGAACGTGCATTATCAGGCCATCCCCGCCAAACGCAGATTCGTATTCGCTGTCTGCAAGAAATTATACAGAAGAGGCCGCAGCGACTCAGTATCAGACAACTTTAAATCTAGGTGAGATACCTGAATATATTCGGTAACATTGACTTTACTGGTTGCTAAGTCAATCTAGACCTGATATAATTTGGCCTAAGCATGGACATTCCTCGAGTCCCTACAAGTGAGACACCCCATATTCGAGTGGATATGACAGTTGAGCAAATTTGAACCCTTGACGAAGATCTCGGAAGAAAATTTGTGCTCAGGGCTAAGGTGCTCGAAAATGCGGTAAAGTGGAGCGACTTTGAGTGCTTTAGAGGCTCACCAGGGCAGAGCTAGCTTTAGCGAAGAGGTCAATGCTAACAAACAATTCCCCGGTACCCACTCTCGTCCTCTCTGTATTTTTAACTTCATCTCTTCTCAGTCAATGTCCTCCTTGTGCATGCGCGAGTGCTGCGTCCCTCCAATATTGAGGGCGTAGACGTGCAGCTGTGGATTTATTTTGGCATGGTTAGAGCTGACAGAGCTTGGAGAAAACTGCCATTGACTCGCACTTGCATAGGCAGAGAGCCAATAGGGAGTGTTGAATTTCAAGTCGAAGCAAGCATCCTCTCTCCGTCCCCGAGCACCTTTCAGGAGCTTCATGAGACTGACGATCAGCTCATCTGACTGTTTGTCTTACGCGGCTTATCGAGCGAGTACCACCTTGAGGGAAACCTTTCAGTTCCATCTTTCAAAATGTTAGTATATATATGAGCTGTAAACTCCATTTGCGTCTGCATCCCACAGCTTCTTGTCGTTCATTCTTTCACGACGCCAGCCTTCCTCTTGTTGTTATCTATTCACAATGTCTTTATACTCCTGTCTCTTCTCACTGACTTCGTTTTCGATCCTTTTCGGTATCGTCAATGCTCAGACGAATGGTATTTCGCTCAGGGACAAGATGGAAGAGATGGAGCACATCTGGGTTGACAATGCAGGTATTAACAGCGATGGATTTGTCAATGCAGTGACACCATGCTCTAATTATGTTGGATTCGCCAGCGACGCAACTGATCGGGGAGAGCAAAGTTCAGCACAATGGGTTCGAGTTGCATTTCATGATTTCGTTACCGGAAACTTATCCACTGGGCTTGGGTTGGTCTCGTCTGAAGCAATTTTTGTTCCATACTAACAGATCATAGAGGTCTTGATGCATCTGTTGGTTTCGAGGTTGCTCGTCCTGGAAATGAAGGCCTGTTCATCAACGATACTTTACAATTCATGTTGCCAGTAAGTTTCCTCGTGCCCAACCTTATAACATCCTGCTTACTAAATCTCAAGACTGTCACTGCATACCTCAGCATGAGTGATAACATCGCTTTGGTATGTACTTCGATCCAATATTATTATCTGGCTAATCTGGACAGGGTGTGATAGCATCGGTTGCGGAATGTGGAGGGACATCGACTGGCATACTTCCCAAAGTAGGTCGTATCGATGCCGATGGAGCTGCTTCAGGGCTCGTCCCAGTCCCAGCAACAAGTCTAGAGAATACTCTAGCACAGTTTGAGGCTGCTGGTTTCGACCAATCGGATACAATTGCTTTAACGTAAAGTCTTCTCAGCGATCACATTCTAGTAGTCTGCTAAAATTATCATAGTGCGTGCGGACATTCACTTGGGCGTGTACACTATTCGAACAATCCAACCATTGGTATGCTTCTTCCCCCAAAATCTAAGGACAAACATTCTGATAATTGCAGTCAACGAAAGCTATGTCACTTCCACCAAGTAAGTTTTCACTCTGATGTTGCGAGAATTCACGTCTTGTGCCCCTCGTCTTTCACTTCTTTATTTATTTGTACAATCCGACTTATCTCTGCTTCTTGGATCTAAACATGGTATGGACGAGATCACCAACTAACATTGAAACTAGTCTTGATGGTGGAGAAGAATTCGATTCTACACCAGCTGTCTTTGACTCCACAGTTGTCAACGAATATCTTAACGGCACTGGTCAACGTGGCGGACCACTGGTTACCGCACCACTGGTAGCAGACCGATCTGACCTTCGACTATACGTCTCAGACGACAACGCTACCGTGGAGAGCATATCAGAGGAATCAGCTTTCCAAACAAAATGCACCAACCTCTTCCAACGCATGATCGACACAGTACCAGCTGCTGTCACGCTCTCCGACCCCATCACCCCCATGACATGGAAAGCAGTCGATCTTATGCTCGATATATCCACTGCTGGCGTCGTTTCCATTTCTGGCTTGATCAGAAATCTGTACACCACAACCGCACCGCCCGACACCGTATCCTACACCACCACTTCCTCTGGTACCAACTCAACCGCCCAGACCTCATCCACCACATCTGGAAACGGGACTTCGATCTTCGGATCCACCATCTACTGGCCCTTCAACAATACTCTCAACTCCCCAGGTACAACGTCTTTAAACTTCGAAACGATCACCTATCCCGTTGACGACACCCTCTTCATACTCCCCTCACAATCAACAGTAAATAGCAGCACAAACGAGATCGTCCTTCGAGCGGCCGCCTTGACAAGTTCGGCCTCTGGAACTACCATGACCGGTGTATTCTATGTTCCGACAAGTCAAACGGGGACCATCACAAAGAAGATCACGAACACGACGCTGGAGATGAGCTCCTATGGGACGGCAGGGAATTATACGTTGTTTGAAGGGAGTGCGACGGTTAGTCAATCGACGTCTATCGTGGCAAAGGTCTTGCTGGGAGGTGTGGGGAGTCAGACTGTTAAGACGAAGATTTTTGTTGGAGGTGTTTGAGTGTAAGTTGCTGATATGAGTCGATGTAATCGTGATTTCTGTCAATGACACGGATCATATGAAATTCAAATGTCTGATATTCAGGTGGGACATTGAACTATCAAGGAGGTCCCCTCCTTAAAACTCGAAAAGTGTCCCAAGCTGCTTCCAGCAGCATTAGACATACAAGCAAGTCCATACTTCGTATCACTTTCAACTTCACAGATTCGTCTAAAGCAATTCGTCACTTTCAACTCTCTAAAACACCAGCTTGGCCAATCAGAGTCGCCCCACACTAAACTCCCATATAGATCTAAACAAGCATTTCCTTGCCATCCGGAACCAAACGATGTTGCATATCATGGGGCCAACATTAAAATCGTTTGGTGGATCACGCCATCGCGACGGCCAGACTACACACCCCCTGGTGCCCCAATAGTAGAAAGCACCAAGTCGTTTTCTTTTGTCATTTCATTCTAACAATTCTGCTCCTTCATTTTCGTTTGCGTTGTGTTATTTTTTTACATTTTTTTTGGTGGCCGCAATTTAAGCGAGAGGAGTTTTTGATATTCGCGAATGCCCACTTTGTTATGTATGTTTCGAAGATATGCTCCCCTTCCGAAGGGTCTCTGACTTATCTCACGTTACATAATAAGCTCATTCGAGTCAGAAATTTTCTTTGGGTGCTCAGAGCAATGACTGGCAGCTGGTCACGTGTTGGATCTCTTTGGCTTCAAGTTTGAGGTCCACTGATATTTTGGCTCACTTACTTTGCTGATTGGATTAACTGACATTTCAGAGATGGTTCGTTCGCAATTGAAGTTATCATGGAAAAGCGTCTCGCCTTCAATCTCTATCTAAGCCTAGATCATTGTCACGCACACCTCTAGAAGTCGAGGTGCAAAACAGAAATGATATCCTGAACCCTCTCAAAGTCTCACAACTCTGTCTTAAAGTACGATCAATCGCACACGCTTCCTTGTATAAACGTATCTATAGATATCATCTCCTTCTCCGACAAAACACTCACCAACAATTTTGACATATTTGAGCTCATGATCCGACTGCGCTCTTAACATTTGAAATTCCTCATTCTCAGCCAACGTCACATCGACTTCCCTCACCACGAATAACACCGGGCAGCCTGGAATAAGGCAGACACTGTCGCCATTCCTGGAGCATCTTGGGACCAAGCAAATACCATTGCCGTCAATGACGGCAGTCCTACGGCATCAATGATACTCCTTATTGAAGTCTCGAATCTCCTCTTCATGAAATGATCCATCATACATCGAGGCGGTTGTCCTGGCACATAGTCATAGACGCCGGGAAGATCAAAATGATCGTTCCAGATCATCTGTGCAGCGCTATTTGTTAGTCCTGGTATGTCTGTCAACCAGCTACTCTGCTGCTTATCGTTCCAGGACTGATCCTGCGGCATGTCGATCGAAGGCAGTACTTCGATGTCCTCCAAGACGGGACCGATGTCGCTGAGTACGCCGGCAATTCTAGCAAACTCGAATAGTAAAGCTGCGCAGTGGTTCAAAAATGAGCATGGTGCGTCTCGAGGTTGTCCAGAGACATCAAAATCTAGTCCCACATATTCCATGATGCTATACGGAAGATTTTTCTGTGGAGAGGTCCAATTTGGGGCCCAAGAAGCAAGTTTATCTTCTGTAAACTCCCCGGTACCGCACTTCATAATCCCTCGTTGATCGAGATCGGCATCTGTCAAGTAGCCAAGAATTCTGAGACTTCCGAATCTCCTAACTGTCTCTCGCGCTAGATTATTGTACACTTCTGCGATGGTCTTGGTGTAGTCGACTTGGAGATTTGCATCTTTAGCAAGACCAAGGTGGGCGTAGACCATATCTCGTGGATCGTAAGCTCCAAATCCGGCCCGTGAAGCCATCACTTCGACAAGTCTCATGAGATCCCGGGCTCTGCGCTGCTCGGGAAGTCTCCGAAAATATTCTCGATTACCACGAAGATGTACTGCCAGATTTTGAGCATCTTCAATCTTGGCATGTTGGTGTGCATCTCGAACGGCTTGCATATTTTGCAGGACATCAGTTCCTAGCCAGAAACTGCCTTTGGGTAGACTTCCAGTAGACTCTCTCGTAGCTTCAAATATCTCCGCTGTAAGCTCAGCCGAGGATAGGTAATGAGCCATATTACTTAGCGCTCTCCAACTGCAACGGTAGCGTCCCCATTGAATTATTGGTTCTCGAGACAGTACCAACTCTTGTAGTATCCAGATCCTGAAGAACCAAGGAGCTCCTAGGATTTCTCTGAGGCTGCGTATCAGAATGGCATCTCCTGGGGCAGCTGAGTAGGTCGCATTATCGCAGCTATCTGCAATTCTGCGCAGGATATCTCCAGCAGAGGGGTCGCCCGATCCGAGGTAAATGACAGTATGATGTGCGCTTGCGTAAATCTCGCCCATAAGTAGGACTTGATGCGCTCTCTCATCGTTGTCGTACTGATTGATACAAATGCCATCCGCCCAAATGTACATCAGTCTCGTTTCATCTCTGATGTGTCGGAGAGCAGCCTCCAGGCTCGTTGTTATGCGAAGACTTGTATCGTCAACAATGATAATTGAGGTATGCCCGGAATCGCCCCAGACGTAAGATAATGCAGTATACGGCGTCACTATATCATCTCGGGCTCGCTTCAATGACTTTTGAACCAGTCTGCATTGGATGGTGTCCTTTAATGATGAAGAAGACCGCAGTTCGATGAGGCGAATAGAATCGCCAAGATCGAGATCTTGATATGCGTATGGGTTCCTCCCATCCATGTCAGACATTAGCCAGGGTCAAGAGGTATGAAAGCAAGCGACACGGAACGAGGTAAAGTGAGCAGCCTGGAAGTGGAACATCCAAAACGTTTCCTTTTCCGTGTCGAGACCTTAACTGAAAGTCATTGGAAATTATTACACGTAATGTACCGAGCAGCTCAAGTTGAGCTGACGAAGACTGCTTTCGACGAAGCGGCTCAAGATCAAGGCAAGCGACAGATGACTTATGCGGCTACTCCACTCTTAACCTTATCCGGCGGCATGCATACGGCACAACCCTGTGGCCAATCATATATGACTTGACAAAAGAAAAAGACAAGAACGAGTAATATACTGAGGCTATTCAATTGAGCATTTTAAACACCGCTTCTATGCGCAAACGGACGAACGAGGCTCATAGACGCTCGTTTCGAGCAACACGGCCAAACAAAAGAAGCCACAAGAGAAGCGGTAGCCGACGAGATAGTAATTTCGGGAGAAAGGATATCTTATCAAGATTTTCCAGTGTAATAAGAAAAAATGTTACTTCCTGAAATAGAAGAGGACAGCAATGCAAAGACAGATTGTTTGTTCATCGGTTCAGTGCAAATGCGCCTGAGTTTGGCCACACTAGACCAGACTGGCATAACGCCTAAATGCAAGATTGAGCTCCCATATCGTGGCAGAGCACGCGAATCTTTCCCGCAACATGGAAGCCAAAAGAACTCCGCTACCTCCCAGGTCAGATGACTTAATCCATCATGCCAGCCAGAACATGATCCTCAGGGCAAGCTTCCATCAATGCCTTCACTGCATCCTTGACGCGTTGACCAAAATCAACTGCTGGACCAGAATTGCCTGTCATCATGGCAGTTCTTCCACTCGTATCATTCACCATCATCTCAAGCATGACAGTCCTACTGCAAACATCCCGAAACACTTTCACGGCCGCTGCCTCTCCCGAGCCTGAGAAATTAGTTTCAAGGTTGAGAGTGAATCAGGCGAGATCATACCTGCACCTCCTTGAAATTGGCTTGGAAATTGAACGGCACGTCCAGCTAGGATGCTATCATACTCGCTCAACATGTACTTGGACCGCATCACAAAGTCCCACGTGAAGAAGAGTGTGGGATTTTGGTTGGGTGGTGAGCGCCACAGGGGATGCTCAATCAGGGCACTTTGCTTGTTAGTTTCAGCTTTTCAAAGAGAAAGATATAGAGCTTACTCGATGAGATCTTCAAGACGCAGGGCGACTTCTTCTCGTTGTTGGGAAGTCGGTTGCTCAGTTGCCATCTTGACTTGAGGGCTTCAAGATCTGAATTTGTAGGCTTCTGTTGCCGGTTGAATGTTGAATGAGTTTGAGGTCAATATTTATGCTTTACAACAAACGCGTGACGTCGAATGTTTGTAGATCCCTGCATCGCGTTCTGCACGTGTTAGCAGGAGCGTTTGTTGCATGACGAGAGTTGTGTTTTTGTCAACATTAGCTTTTGAATTTGAACTTCTTTTAGTTCGTCCTATATATACTAGGTATGTAACTCGACCTGCCGAGGTGCTTCAAAATCATGCTTAATCACGTGCTCATCTCCAAATGTCCCGACAATTTCGGGACTTTGGATCTTTCATGATGGCTACTTTACAATGCCTTTAGCCTTTCTGATTCAATCCACAGGAAGAATTGTCAATAATACTTCAAATATTATCCTGCTCCAGCTCAAATGACCCTGACGCAGGGGAAATCTGCACCGCAGCTCTGAAGCGAAAACACTCGATTAAAGTGGGGAGGCTAAGTTCACCGCCTGGCACTTTGAAACAGAAAACACAATTCAACGGTTGAGAACTGTTCTTTCTCTACATTGCAATTGAGAAGGACAGCAATCATGTCCTCCAAACCTCAGAGCGTCAATGGCTCTGAGAGCGAATTCGAATTCATCGAGACTCCCAAAGCTCCAACGCCTACATTCGAGAAGTTTGAGGATTGTGGAGTCAAGACCACTTCCGTAAGTACCACCACCTAGCCTCCATGGAGATCGCATGCTCTCGAAGCTATCCTTGAGTCACTGAAGATACCTTGTAGCTTCTGCGAAGTTTAATTGAGCATCTGCTAATCTTTTCCGATAGTATCCTTCAATTAAGAATGCTCCCCTCCCCGCAGATGGCCCTGGAGGTGACAGCTTCTCCAACCTCGTCCTGTTCTCCCTCGTTGCAGGTGTCCCAACATACTTTGCGTGGAAGATCGGTGGTGGGTTGAAGACAAGTATCTTCTTCGGCATCTTCACTACAGTTCCTATCCTGATCAGTTTCTGGTACCTGGCATCATCCTTCAGTCCTCGCAAAAATGAGAAAGTCAAGTTCCCAGGCCGCCCAATTGAGCATTACCTTACCTTCAAGAATGCTGAGGACAAGGCCAAGTACAGTGGACACAGCAAGATTCCTTACGAGACCTTCTACACCAAGTTCTTCGACGGAGAGGTTGACGTAAATGGCGATTGTCTGGAAGTTTTGGAATATAGACACGACTGGGCTAGCTTCAGATTCACTGTGGGTCTGTTCAAGCATGTCTTCTTAGGTTTCGCACCAGAAATGATTATGCACACTCGGTCTCAAGGTACGTCTGACATACACATTGCTCAAATCGTCTGCTAATTCCTTTCGCAGATGAAGAACAAGTTCGAGACCACTACGATCGTGGTGATGACTTTTACGGCTGGTTCCTTGGTCCACGTATGGTATATACATCTGGTATCATCTCCGATGAAAACACTGAAGAAACTCTTGAACAACTCCAAGATAACAAGATGGCCATTGTCTGTGAGAAGATTGGCTTAAAGGAAGGCGAGAAATTGTTGGATATTGGCTGCGGATGGGGAACCCTTGCCAAATTCGCCTCTGTCAACTATGGTGCTAAAGCAACCGGCATCACTCTCGGCCGCAATCAAACAGCTTGGGGCAACAACGGACTTCGAAAGGCTGGTGTCTCAGAGGAGCAGAGCAAGATTCTGTGCATGGATTACCGTGATATCCCGGTCCCAGAAGGAAAATACAACAAGATCACCTGTCTCGAGATGGCTGAGCACGTTGGTATGCGACATCTTACCAGCTTCTTGCAGCAGTGCAATGACATGATGGATGATGATGGAGTCTTCTACCTACAAGTTGCTGGTTTGAGAAAGAGCTGGCAATATGAGGATCTCATCTGGGGTCTCTTCATGAACAAGTACATCTTCCCTGGAGCCGATGCCTCATGCCCTCTCAACAATTATATCTCTGCTCTCGAGAGCGCCGGATGGGAAGTCAAGAATCTCGATACCGTTGGTGTTCACTATTCTGCTACTCTCTGGAGATGGTATAGAAATTGGTTGGCCAACAAGGAGAAGGTAGTTGCGAAGTATGGGCAGAGATGGTACAGAGTAAGTCTTCGCTTCCAGATTCTCCGTCTGATGCTAATATTGTGTAGATCTGGGAGTTCTTCCTTGCTTCTTCAACCATCACTTCCCGCCAGGGTGGAGCTACTTGCTATCAAATGACTTTGGTCAAAAACCTCAACTCTACCCACCGTGCTGATGGGATTCACACCCAATTCTCTCTGCATGGAGCTCTCGCTGCCAGCAAAGCTGCCAACAAAGCTACTTTCCCAAAGAATGTGGCGGTGTGAGTTCTCAACAAAAGGCGGTCTGAGTCAATATAGAATGGATTGAACATACTGGCAAATGGAGATAATGAATTGATCCTTTAGATCATGATGCAACGTATGGGAAGCAGGGAGTTGGCTCTGGCTGTCTTCATCTTGCTCTGGCGGGAGGCTATGTCATGTGACTGTAAAGAATGTAACGAGCATTTCGTGCCTATAATAGTCCTCAATTCCAAAAGATAATGCTGAAATGACCATTTTCTGAGGTGATGGTCACGGCATATGCGTGAATTTAATTGCCATATATTGTACAGCTTGAGATCTATTTCCGGCGCAACGATATTCCGTGGTATCAAGGTTTAAGTTTAGCGGATGCCTTCTCTTACAGCTCGCTAGTTGCGTCGTCATTTACGCCCGAACATCAAAGACAACCACCTCGCATCTCCGCCATTTCCTTGTGATACCATTTCATATTTTCCTTGAGCGTGCATTGCAGTGCGCAACATGTTTTCCGGGTCCAACTCGTATTTGGGAGGCCAGAGTGGTCGTCCAGGTGGTCCCCAACAATATGGCTCGTTCCAGCCTCAGCAGCAGCAGCAACCACAGCAGCAGAACTTCTTGAATCCGAATCCGACAGGATATGGACAACCTCCATTACAGCCAAGTTATACCGGATATCCTATGCAAAACCAACCGACAGGATTCCAGCCCCAGCAGATGCAACCACAACCCACAGGCTACGCCGGTCAACCATCTCCATTCAACAACGCTCAAGCTCCGCAACAACAGAGCTTCCAGACTGGAGCTCCGCCAATGCCGCAGATACCACAGCAGTATCAAAATCAAACCCAGCAGCAAGCTCAACCCCCTCCAGCAGCTCCGGTCCAAAAACCACAACCTACGGGCTTTGCGGCGATGGCCGATAGCTTCAAGACTACACCGTCAGCAGCTCCTGCCCGAGGTCGCAGAGCATCGAAATCGAAGGGAGCAAGAATACCAAACATACGATTGTCATTCATCACAGCACAAGATCAAGCAAAGTTCGAAACATTGTTCAAGTCTGCAGTTGGTGATGGACAAACTTTGTCTGGTGACAAGTCGAGGGATCTACTGCTTCGATCCAAGCTAGATGGGAATTCTTTGTCGCAGATCTGGTGAGGCATATCACGATAGTATAACATAGCGGGGTAGCATAAGCTAATGTCTAATGTAGGACTCTGGCAGATACCACTCGATCCGGGCAATTACATTTCCCCGAATTCGCCTTAGCAATGTACCTGTGCAATCTGAAGCTTGTTGGGAAGCAATTGCCTGCCTCATTACCCGAGAATATCAAGAACGAGGTCTCCAGCATGGTGGATATAATTAATTTTGGCGTGGCAGATGATGCTGTAGACTCGGCACCTCGAACGAATGCTCCAGATTTCAATATTCGACAGAATGCTGCCTCTCCACCTACGATCCAACAACCACAGCCAATGCAGTCAAACTCGTCACTTCTACAAGCACAAATGACAGGATTTCCAGGGCAGCAGAACAATTTCTCGCAAGGAGGATTTCAGGGACAGCAACCAGGCTTCCAGCAGTCAATGCAGACAGGTTTCGGCCAGAATCAACAAGGAGGGATGCAATCGAATCCAACTGGCTTCCAGAACCCCGCTGCTACTGGATACAACGGACCCCGCCCACCAATGCCACCAATGCCCACTGGATTTCAGAATCAAGGACTCTCTCCAGCTCAGACTGGTTTGGGAGGCATGGTTGCACCATTGAACAGTCAGCCTACAGGTCGTCCTGGACAATGGGGTCTTGTCAATGCTCCGGCTAGTGGATTGCCTAACATTGACTTGCTCCAATCACGGATGATGCCTCAACAAGGTCGCGAACAGGGCAACTTTACCACAGCTGGTCTGTCAGGCAATGCAGTTATTCCTTGGGCTGTTACAAAGGATGAGAAGACTCGATATGACTCCGTTTTCAAGGCATGGGACGGATTTGGAAAAGGATTCATTGGTGGAGATGTTGCAATAGAAGTATTTGGTCAGAGTGGTCTGGAGAAACCTGACTTGGAACGTGTCTGGACACTTGCCGATCACGGAAATAAGGGCCGACTCAACATGGACGAATTTGCCGTTGCTATGCATCTGATCTATCGAAAGCTTAACGGATATCCGCTCCCTGCACAACTTCCTCCTGAGCTCGTACCTCCTTCGACTCGAAACTTCAGCGAATCTATTGGAACCGTCAAATCACTCCTATCCCAAGAGTCCGATTTCCGAAAGAATTCAGGAGCAAGTCTGCTACCTCAGAAGACTGGAGTCAGCTATCTTAAGAATCACTCTTTCCGTGGCGACTCGGGATTCGGCAACACTGGGCGAAAAGATGCAACTGTTTTCAAGAACAATGATGACGATGTAGGATACAAATCCAGTGCTCGCAGACGCTTGGGCGGTACAAACTCACCGCGTCCCTCATCGCCAAGCTCCGCAACCTCGAACGATGAATTGTCTCTTGAACAATTAAGAAAGAAGATTCGTGAAAAGCAGGTGCTTCTGGATGCCATTGATTTCAAGGATGAGAATGCCGCAGATGAGGACGATGCTCTTGACCGAAGAGACCGCCGCGAGGCCGAAGATCTATACCGCCGTATTCGTCGCATACAAGAAGACATCGATTCACATCCTGATGCATCTCTTCGTAATGTGGATTCTGGAGCTGAAAGTCGGATATTGAAGCGACAACTTCAATCTCTGACTGATAAGCTTCCTGAAATCGCGTCAGCAGTACGAAAGACAGAGCGCAATATTGCTGATGCAAAGCTTGAGCTCTTCCGTTTGAAGGATGCCAAAGCTCATCCTGGTAGCGCATCTTCTATCGTTGGGACAGGTCCTGGAGGATCCATTACCGAGTCAGATCGACTCAAGGCTCGTGCTAAAGCAATGATGCAACAACGCTCTGCTGCTCTTACAGGACGAAAGGTCGAGTCGAGTAATGAAGATCTCGATGCGCCAAAGAGATTGGAGGAAGAAAATGTCAAGATTAGGAACGAAAAAGAGAATAATGAGCGCATGGTCAGAGATGTTGAAGATAGTGTTCGTGACTTCTCTCGTGGTCTCGAGGATAGTCTGAAAGAGGGATCGTCCGATTCTACGAGCGAGCATGAAGAGCGACGATGGGAAGATGGTCTTGGTGTCGAAGATGAGGTTAAAGATTTCATTTTCGACCTCCAGAGGTCCAGCCGGTCCGCACGAGTCAGAACAGAAGACCGACGTGGATCGACTCGAGAAACATCTCGGGTCGACACACCTTCAAGATACGAGAGTCCCGCCAAAGCCTCTCCCCCGGTGGAGGCACCTGCTGCGAGATCGACTCCAACACCTGCGGCTGGAGGAACATATGCGCAATACAAGACGCCAGAAGACCGAGCTGCGTACATCAAACAGCAAGCTGAGCAACGGATGGCCGAGCGTCTTGCTGCCCTTGGCATCAAGGCACCTACGAAGCCAGGAGAAACAACTCAACAGAGATTGGAACGTGAGAAGAATGAGAGAGCTGCTAAATTGAAGCAAGCAGAAGAAGAGGACGCCAAGCGTGAGGCTGAGAGGCAAGCCAGAATCAATGAAGAACAAGGAATACCCCCACCAGCTCCAGCGGCTGCCCCAGCTGCACCAGGTTCCAGAAAGCCACCACCACCACCATCACGAAAGGCTGCCAAGAGTGACGCTAGTGAACGTAAGGCCGAGGAAGAACAGAGAATGCTCGAAGAACAGAAAGCCCAGATTTTGGCTACACAGGATCTTCAGTAAGTCATACCTCCTACTCAACTTTTCATTCCTAACGATTGCAGGGACGATGCTGCTCGACAAGAAACTGAGCTCGCCAAGGAAGGTGAATCTGCTGCTGCTCGTCTAAAGGCGCTTGAGGAACAAGTCAAGGCTGGTAAAGTCAAGAAGGAAGAAGAGAAGCGAAGGAAGAAGGCTGCACAAGCTGAGGCTAAGGAGAAAGAAGCTAGACTGGCTGCTCAACGAGCTGAGATTGAAGCTGCGCAAGCTCGTGAGAGAGAGTTGCAGCGTCAACTAGAAGCTATGGACGATTCCGACTCTTCCGATGATGATGAGCCAGAACAAGTCACTCCACAAGCTTCAACTCCGACACAAAGTAGCCAAGAATTTGAGAGAAAGGAAATCTCTCCACCACCTCCACCTGTACCAGCTGTTGTACCTCCGATCCCACCTGCGGCAACAACCACCTCACTGCCGCCTGTGTCCAGTCCAGATACTGAAACCAGAAATCCTTTCTACAAGAAGCTGCAAACTGGTGGTGACGTTTCATCACCTTCTGCTGCCATGTCCAACAACCCTTTCCATCGACTACCTCAAGAGACCAAGGCTCCAGAACCACTCATCACACAACCTACAGGAAGCCGCTCACGTGCTCGCCCTGAAGAAGACGAGTGGTCGGTCGTTGGATCTGATAAAGAGGACGATTCCTCTGATGACGAAGGTCCTGGTGCAGGCAATGCTCGTCACCTTGCATCCATTCTTTTCGGTACAATGGGTCCACCTCGTCCTCTGTCTGCCGCTGGTGGAGCAGGATCCACCCCTACAAGTCCAGCAATGAGAGATTCGCCGGCTTCTCCCCCGCCCCCACCACCTATGCCAAGTGGAGGCGCTCCTCCTCCACCTCCTATGCCAAGCTTTGGTGGTCCTCCACCTCCTCCGCCGATGCCTGGATCTGGAGCCCCTGGCGGCCCACCCCCACCACCTCCTATGCCTGCTGTCAGTGCACCTCCTGGTGGTGGAAGACCAGCAGGTTTGCTGGGTGAGATCCAGATGGGCAAATCTCTCAAGAAGACACAAACGAAGGACAAAAGCGCTGCAGCTGTTGCAGGCAGAGTTCTGGATTGACTTGCTGAGACCGAGGAATAGATTTCTTCATGTGGGGGCAGGACGATTACGACTCTAACTCGTGATGGAGATAAATGGGAGTGACTAGGATGGATTGGTGTATTATACTCGTGGCGGGAACGAACAATGAGATAGATATAGCACCCTTCATTAGCACATATGAGATTGGAGAATGAACTACACGTTGCTTTTCTGATTTGGCTGCTTTTCGTTGAAGTCTTGCTCCGTCCCATTCATTTTCTGGTACCTGATGTAATTTGTCAAGTGACAGTGGTTTTGTGGGTCCCAAATCTAAGCACCCAAAAGGATCTACAGTTGCTGATTTCTCGAAATGCATTCGATAATGAATTCTCTGTATATCCGCAAATTGCAAGGCGGCGTCATCGAAAATAAGAGCAATAGGATCACTTCCGAATTCCGATATGCTCAATCACACGAATCATCTGTTTACCATCTCTTTATCAATTTTGGCTGATGGTATCACAGGGAAAGTCTTGATGAAACCTTTCTCGCTACCAACCATACAACCGCGTTTGCTATCCCAAACGAAATCAGAGCATCTTGAATGCAGTTCTAGTCCGCATGATTACATCGATAATGACTGAATCTCGGTCATCAGAAATCTGAATTGCTGAAGGATTCGTTTGCAATCATTCGAAATCGTTCTGGATATACTGCAACCTCCGATACTCGACGTGAATCCGTCCTGTTATATTGATCTTCTATTCATTCATCTGTCCTGGCCATTTCTTTCACCGTTCCAACGCTCTGATTGCATAAATGTCGTCATAAACCTCCTCGACTTTCGATATGTTCGTTCCCGAGGGGCGTTTCAGCGGCAGCGGGTTGCCTATCTGGGTGGTTACACAAATCCGTTTGACAGAGGATGTCAAGCGAACAAGGAAATTTGTCAACTCAAGAGAACACGCACTACAGCCACCAAATCTCAAAAATCCCGTCAGTCGAGACGATCTCAGCTTTCGGAACTTCGGAAAGGTTATACTAAGGTTGTGCTCCATGTTCTCGCCCGAAACTTACACCGCAGCTGGATTCCCGAGTCTTGCAGGGGTTAAGTTACCCTCCTACACTTTGTATCATTCACTCTTTAGCCACACCGGAATATTCGACGTCAGTCATTATAAAAAGACGCCGTGTGACTGTACGAGTTCAGCCCCGAGTATACCCTGAAATCCTTTTGGGTTTGACTCTTTTGAATATACCTGCAAACTCCCAGCAACGTTGGAATGGTCAACAAACACAGGATAACTCCTACCTTCTCCGTCAGAGATGTAGAGGTCGCAAACATATCTGTGGACGACTCGAGTGGAGTCGACGATTCAACTGTTGGCTCAACATCTGAGACGAATCCTTTCCCAGATGGAGGACTGGCTGCATGGACTTGCGTTCTAGGCTCTTTCTTTGCACTGTTTTGCACGTTCGGATGGCTTAATGCGTACGTTGATTCCTTCTTCCTAAAATAACCTTTCCTTGCTGAAAAATCAGTCTTGGTCTTTTTCAAACATACTACGAGCGAACGCTGCTTATTACACAATCTGCATCAACTATTTCCTGGATCTTCACCCTACAGCTATTCTTCATGTGAGTCATCATCTCGCAACATTTGGGCTTCTTTAACAATTCATTCATAGGTGGGCAGGCGGTGCGGTCTTTGGAAGAATCATCGACACTTACGGTACGCACCATGTCGCCATTCCTTGCGCAATCGGTTGTGCTCTCTTCGTATTCATGATCAACATTTGCGACCAGTATTATCAACTTATTCTAGTCCAAGGTGTGGGATTCGGAGTTTCAGCTGCTGGTTTATTCTCGTGCGCAACCACTAGTGTGGGTCAATATTTCGACAAACGGAAAGCCTTGGCGTTGGGAATCGCTTTGTCGGGAAGCAGCACTGGTAAGTTCTCTCGAGTTGTGAATCATGAAGACTTATTCACATCGTCTTAGGTGGTTTTGTACATCCTCTCTACCTACAACGCCTCATCGACCATTTCGGATTCAAGCAAGCTATCCGATGGGCTTCACTCGTCATCGCTGTCTCAGGTGCGCTCGCATGCATGCTGATGAGTGCTCGATTACCGAGGAAGAAATGGGACAAGAATCTGAGTTTCATCGACTTCTCACTTTTCAAGCGGTCTACTTTCACTATGTATTGCATTGGTACTTTTTTTGTCACGTAAGTTGTAAGGGCTACTGCATGCAGAATAAAGCTCATGATTCAATAGTTGGGGCCTGTTTGCTCCATGGAGTTATCTTCCTTCTATGAGTCTCCGTCACGGATTTTCTGAGGGTACAGCGATTTATACAATAGTCCTCCTAAAGTACGTCATATCTCCCAGCACATCTAGTACATATGTCTGATACCATATTCTAGTGCTGCCTCAACGATCGGTCGCATTCTACCTGCTCATCTGGCCGACAGACTTGGTCGCTTTAACCTCGTCTCTATCATCACTATCCTCAACGCAGCCTGCCTCCTCGGCTTCTGGTATCCACTAGAGATTAGTACAACAACAGCCCACGTCCAAATTCTCGCATTCGGAGCGCTGTATGGTTTTACAAGTGGAGCTTTCATTGGCATCATGATGAGTTGCGTGGCTGAGCTTGGTCAAGTGGAAACTCTTGGCCAGAGATTTGGCACTTATCAATTCGTTGTTGGTGTTGGGTAAGTTGATGTTCTTTCCGTTGCATCACTGGATCAGGACTGACTTAAGATAGGAGCTTAACAGGTCTTCCTATCCAAGGAGCATTAATCCCGGCAGACAACCATGGATTCAGATACCTGATATTATTCTCGGGTAGTTGTATGGTCGTTGGAGCTGGGTTCATTTGCACGGCAAGGATGCTGAGGAAGAGCAGAAGCTGGAAGGCTTAGGAGTCTTAGGACGAACTACATGATTCACGACTTGAAATGGGGTTATTGGTTTCCTGTCCGCTTTTATTTGGGTAGCAGAACGGTATCAGGTTACCAAAGAGTTCTATCATTACCATTTGTACTCAATTTAGAGTTAGATGGAGCGGTGTGATAATGCAATTTAAAAATGAACATATGGCAACAATTCAATGATATCCTTATTCTCTTGTTTAGATTTCCTTAGTCAGATACAGTTAGATACAATCTGGTGCAGAGAGGATCTCACTTTGTAGAATCGTCAAAAATTCTTGCAATCCTGCGAACTTCTCTTGGGACTTTTCAGGCCCAATATCCCGTTGAGTGCTTCAGAGAATATCCAAGCGTCGCACGATATATCATTTTTTTTGGGAAACATTCGAAGACCTGGCCGGGCTGGCTCGAGTGGTGAAGTGCACGAGACTCGCTAATTCAGGGGGCTCGCTTAGAAGCCTGGGATTGGCTTTGAACTGCTTGCTATTTGGATTAAGATAGCACACGTAATCACGAATGGTCAGCAATATTGGGGTAAGATTTTACTAATCACGGTGTAACACCTCAAGGAACTAACATATAATCAAGGTGGTACACTGTGTATCATTCGCTGTCCACGTCTCGGCCTGAGTCATACCTCTCCGAGCATCGTCCATCCATACCATCCATAAAGTAGCGATGGAAACCGCGCATAGCGAAATAAACAAGCATATCGCACACATCCTGCGAGAATTCCACCAAAATCGAATTGTGAAAGATTTTCATACTAAACCCGGTTGCAAATCTCACAGGATCACGTTATCTTCACTTCTAGTTTCAAATTCTCATACATCATCATGCCAACCACATCAACAGCAACATTCACCGCCCTCTTCCAAACCCCCAACCTTATCTACCGTCCTCTAACTACTCAAATCGCGCACAAACAATTCATTCACACGATTTTGAGCACCCAACCAACGACATGGGCTCAAAGCACCATGAGACTACTGAAGCCTCAGACCGATGCAGACATCGAAAAATATGTAGAAAGATTAGCTGGTTCACTACTCGCCGTTATGATTCACAAGAAGAAGATGCAACCGACTGAAGAGAAGAATGCGGAATCGGATGAAGTTCCAATCGGATACCTAATTCTGAGCAATGACCCTTTATCCGCCCATCACCGTTGCTGCTCACTCGGAATCGTCATCTCAGACGAATATCAGAACAGAGGTTATGGTAGCGAAGCTATCAATTGGTCACTGAATTGGGCGTTTGATGTAGCGGGCTTACATCATGTCGGTCTGGGCTGTTACAGTTTCAACGAAGGGGGTTTGAAGTTGTATCCACGTTTAGGTTTCAAGGAGGAGGGGAGAAATAGGGAGGTGTATTGGTACGGAGGACGGTGGTGGGACGGAGTTATGTTTTCGATGTTAGAGGATGAATGGAGGAGTATGAGGCAAGCGGAATAAAGTGAAATGAGATGCAAGCAGGCATTGAGCTTCGGAATTGAAAACAATGATTGATATTCTATTATTATGATTACATTCTACCCTATTTTTCCGTTGACAGTTGCGTACTCAAAGAAAGATCGTCCCAAAACAAAAGACTATTATGATACAAGATATTTCCACGCTCCAACCACATTGAAAAGAAATGAAAGTCCTCGCGACTAAGGACAATTCAGCCAATAATTAGAACTCGAAACACGCTGTTCATGATGCAGAACCATCGACGTCGTCCAAGTAAGTGGCACGATGTTATTATCAGGACGTTCAAGACTGAGCAAATTTGGATCTTGCTCTGAGCTTAGCACCAATGAAGAAAATAGTGATCATACCAAAGATTCCCAAGGTACTCAGTCCCGCAAGAACAGAGACACCCTTCCCGACTCCTAAGTTCAAAAACAAAGGTCTCGCGAAAAGGGTGGATCCGGCGGCCATTGCAGATCGACACAGATCATTGCCAGCGAACAACGAGGCAGCGTACTTGGGATACGACAGTGGAACATAGACGAAGATACTTTGTAGAATGAAGAACATCCCAACTACGAAGATTACGACGCCGATAAGTGGGACAATCCAGTGAATGTTTGGTCGAGCCGTCCAAGCGAAGATAAATAGTCCTATCGGCAACATGAAGGATCCTATGATTCCAGGCACAAGACGATGTTCCTGAGCTCTGAGGCCATTCTTAATGTTGTCGGGTATCATATACCAGTGGAGGTAGCAGAAATATGTGATAAGACCAATACCTGCACCGACTTGACAAGCAAGGAAAGCCAGACCAATTTCCCCAAGATTGAACCCATAAATTGGAGCGAACACGATCGGAAACACTTCGAAGAACGTGTAATAGATACCGTAAAAGAGAGAAGTATATATGTTGACAAACAATATCGCAGGGTCTTTGAGCGTAATTTCGATAGGCTTGATAAGTGCATCGATAGCAACGCCAGAGACAGTGAGATGACGTTGATCAATCTCACTCTGAGCTTGAAGCCTGGAATCACCAGTAATCTTTCGAAGTCTTTGAGCTCGTCGCAGCAATATATTAGGTGTAGATGTCTCTGGTGTAACGGTGAGGAGGAGGATCAATATTGGCGCTGCCATCCAAACGATTTCCCAAAGCGACCACCTCCAGTTTTCAGCAGAAATCGCAAACCCAGCTATCAAGAATCCCAGAGCTGGTCCGGCCCAAGCAGAGAATACCCACCAACTGAGAGTATATGGGACGTACAGTAGCGAATACATGTCGGAAAAAGTTGCGCCTGCATTGGCCAGAGCAGGACTGCCAAAGAATCCTTGAAGGAACCTCAACACCAGGAGACCTGCAAAATTCTCGACTACAGCTGTTGGAAACGACAAGGCGAAGAATAGGATGAATGTGATGTAGTAGAGCGGGTTTCGACCGATAATTGGGATCTCGCTTAGAGGCGCAAAAAGGAGGGGGCCAACACCATACGCGAGGACGTACAATGAAAGAGGCAGGATGGCTTCGGTTGCATTGACGGTAAATTGTTTCATGACACCTCCCTCACCTGCAGCATATATCGAAGATCCGGTATAGACTACCCAGGTATAAGCGCACATGACGAATATGACGAAACCTCGCTTTCTAGGAGACCAGTTCTGCGGGTTGGCAGGGTCATCTGAAGTGTACCAGTCGACCAGAATGATACCATCCGTTGTTTTCTTCGGGATAATGGGTATAGTCTTGGTCCTCTCGAGAGCAAGCTGTTGTTCTATCTCGAATCGTTCTTGGCTGTATGGCATGCTCTCCGCTCGGCTTTTGACCCTCGACGTTGTATTATTTTCGAGATCGGTTTCGATATCAGATGAGGAGGCGGAAGTTCGTACACGGGTTGCTGCTTGCTGCTTTTCTTCTTCTCCGTTGAGTTGAGCCGTGTACTGTGGTGGAAGAACGAAGTCATCTCGCTCTTCTGGGTATTGAAGGAATCTGTTGCCAGACAAAAGACGAATGATGTGGCCAAGGGGCGCTTCTCGAATGAGATCCACCATGACAAGAGATGGTCTTTAGCTTATCTCTTGTGAACAATAGGTTAAGGAGCGCTGATGATACTGATTGAGGCGAATTGATATTGCAGAGGTGCTTTTTCGTTGATGTTGTGAGGCGGATTGAGTCGTTGGAATTGTAAAGCTCGATGAAATTGTCTTGATGTTGACGAAAGACTTTGAAAGATGGCGAGGTAAATAGAGAGGCCATGATGGAGATCTTTATACAAGTGCAGTGCTGAGCTATGCAGAGATGATGATAAAGCATCTCGCTCGAAATCATACCACAGTCGTAGAGGTTGATGTGCATTCGCAACAGGGACATTGTAAGCACGGATCTAATCTTGAAATTCACTGTGCAAACCCCTATTACTTCAATTGAAGCGAGGACTAGGAATTGGCTAGCATGCCCTTTTGCGTAGGGGTATGGTGGCGCATGAAATTAGCTTGCTCGTGCTGAATTCTTCGAATCCCCCATTCGAGATCACAATGGAGCAGCGCCGTCAGAGTCAATACTGCAACAAAATTTGTCCTTTTGGATACATCTTCTAAGATTAAGTCTTCTCTATTCCGTCGTGTCAAGTGTCAATTTGAGGTCAAAAACATTAAAGAAATGCGCTGGAGAAAAATACTTTGAGGATTCTGAAATAAAAAGCAGTGGCATTAAAAGCTTACTAGTCGGCCTCGCAGCATCATTTTGGAGCATATACTTGATTACCCCGACTCGGAAGTGCAGCGCGGGGAACCAAACCGGCATTCGAAACAGGTTCCGGGCTTTGCATGAGACCAGTCGTCACTACGTATTTTTTCATTACTGATCATACTAACTCCGACATGGTAATGACCAATCATCACGACCAATCACGAGAAGCTTGGCCTCAAACTCACCTCTCGTCAAATCTTTTGCCAAGACTTACATCTTTCAAAATAGGCAGTGAGATATGTCCAAAAGTTGACTAGTCGCATGCTTAATCAGCTGAAGATAGAAGTATCTCACTGTTTCAAAGGATCCAGATCACTAGAATTCTCAATTCGAATGCAGTGACTCACGCTGATGCACATTTGTGCTGAGAAATCATGTCCACAGAGTGCAAAGGTACGTCAAAAGGACTAATTCCTTCTTCTCAACACTTCGTCTCTATTCCTACTTGCTCACTTCTCACTAGCCGCCAACCAGGAAGCCTGCACTTGCGGCTTAGAAAACCTCAAAACATTCCCCACCATACCGCTGTCTCCGTTCAACTTCAACATAATACAACGCTCAATATAACACAGCTAGAATGCTCCTTGCCACAAAATTACTGTTCAATGCCGCAAATATAGCCTCGTAACTGAAGATCACATTTCATGCGGCGCACGCGAAACTCTCAAAGGACTCAAGCAGTGTGTCAATGGGTAGAAAGCAGTAGAAACAGGATTAAATTCAACCCAGACCCGATTGAAACACAAACAAAATTCTGAACTGAAAACCCCACCGTCTCGGGAATCAACTCCTCGAGCAACAAATGCAGCAAAGATGCCTTCCAATCAGTTAACAAAACTCAAAGACTCCTCTCATAATTACAATTAAGCACCGACGCTGACAGAACTATGCTTCCTCGTCTTACTCTTCCATAAATTCTTCAATCCCTTCTTCTCAGTCTCAACCTCGAAGACCTCCGGCTCGACCGTCTGCTGGAAACTCAATATCGACTCGAAATCCGCTCTGATAGCCTCTGTCTGTTGCGCTGTAGGGATGGGGATAGGTGCTCTTCTCGAAGGAGCCGTTGGACGGTACGATTCGTAGTTCGTAGCGGTTGTGTCGACAGAAGGCGTCCTTGTAGCGGGCCGGGAGTCGCTGACATAACTTGGAGGAAAGCTTCTGTTTCGGTCTGCAGGTTCCATGGTAAGTGTGTTGTGGGTGTAAGCTTGTGTTGAGCCAAATGTATCTCTTTGAGTTCGAGATCGGGATGAGCGCTCTTCCTTCGGTTGAAGCAATAGATGGTGACTTCCATGTTGTTGCACTTGTGTATTAGTGGCACCATAAGTCCCAAGAGCTCCACTCATGAACTCTTCTTTCAAGAAGTCAATGAATCTATCCACATTTGCCATCGTGGTCATGGCTCCCAATGACACACGGACCACTCCAGTTGGTCTGTTGCCAAGAACCTCTGAGCAAGTTGTTGCTGCGGAGCTGCAGCGATGACCGTCTTCCCATAATTTTTTGATATGAATTGGATCGTAACCCAGATATGTTGCGATCCCACCTGGATTGCAAAGAGTTCCTGCTCGGACAAAGATCTTCTTCTCGTTTGCCAGTGATTCGACGACACTGGTGTATGGGATATAGGCCCCCTGTGGAGTACGGACATTGAATGCGACCGTCGCGCCTTGAAGTGATGGGTTGCCATAAAGGAACTCGGGATTGTCGTTGTAAATCTTGACAACCGGTACGCCAGTCGAATACACAAGACTCGACATGGCGTCGTAGAGTTTCTTCCCAAGAAATGTTGCGTGCTTGGATATCCTCTTCATTGGTTCCGGTCCGTAAAGGCGGTCGTGCGTATCGATTTCTGCGTTGAGAGCGATGATTGAGTGAAACGGTAAGGTCCCATCCTCCAGACTAGAATGTAGAGTTTTTCTTCCCTCGTACCAAGGTTTGTTCCCCATGACCACTACGACCTCTACAGTACCACCACCGAAATAATTCCGTCCCCAACGAAGAATATTGCCCGATGACTTGCGAACGATTAGACCACCGAGGTCAGGATATCCGAAGATTTTGTAAAAGGATAGAGCGGTAAAGTCAGGGGCTGAGTCCGGATCCGCAAAAACATTGTTCAAAGGAGCTGTAGTAGCCAGTGCCGCAGCATCGAACAGTGTGAACGTATCTTGATGAGCATCATGTGTCGATCGTCTTAACCTCCCAGGCCAGCTGAGTGGAAGTCTTCGACCAGTCATATTCGATTGTCCAGGATAAGCAAAGAGACCTAGTCTGTTTCTTCGAGCTTGCTTCCCTCGTCCATCAACCCACTCTTCAACCTCTGCATCAGAGGGAAAGCAATGGAAATTGTTGTCCGTTGTTTCCCTCACACCTATGACGCTGTTGTGACAGTCAACGTGGTAGAAATATCGAAAAGCTCCATCCGATGATGCGTCATCTGCTTTGGCAGCATTGCCTATGTCTTTGAATGATTCCATGACTAGTTTGATAGCGGCTGTAGCGTTCGCAACGAAGATCAGATCAAAGTGTTCTGGATCGGCGCCGAAGAACCGAAGTGTTTTCTCTCTTGTTTCGTCAACGAGCTGTCCTGATAGCATTGCGGGGTCCGAAGCTGAATGGGGATTGCCGTATAGGTTGGATATAAGATCTGCAGAAACTGTTTCGATGAGAGACTTGGCGTAAATAGTTGCTCCTCCATGGTCAAGATATGTTTTTCCTATGATCGTCAACACTCATAATGATTGCGTGATTTCGAGATCCTGACCTTCAAGCATGGGGTATTCAGTGGCTTGAAATTCGTCTACATCGGAGTTGTATGCCATGGCAGATGAACTTGTGGCACAATTGTTGTACATGGCGTTATGAAAGTTACACAGAAATGAAAAAAATGCAGTGTTGCTTAGTCTGCAGGTATCTAATAAGCACGATAATGAAAGAGATAGTGAAGAAGGTAACACAGAAGGCGACCAACGAAGGGTTTTAAAGCAGAGTCAACTCGATACAGAAGGTGCCTGAAGTCCAATTGTAGAAACATATTCCCGATGCAATCGCGGTCATGCCGGGTTGAGAATAGAGGGTCCCGAATCGTAAGGCTGAGCAGGACCCACCTAGGTCTGCTGGAGATGGAGGGATAATCAGACTAGAAACTTCAGCCCAGCATCACCACAAGAAGAGACTTTCCAGAACCTTGATGAAGGTATGGTATCACTAGGCTACAGGGCGTGGTTCTCAACCACGCTTGAAAAAGGTACGCCTCGTCAGAGTATCTTCAGCTTGATGAGATAAATGTGGCATCTGTGGATAGGCATGTTGACATCTACACTTGTTAATGTACGCTGCGCCACAGATATACCACAAAAGGGTGTTTTTAGATGTTGAACTGGGAATAGGAAGCAGTGGTTGGAAGGATGCTGACGGACATGTCCAGGGATTGCGTTCATTGGGCTGATCTGTGCTGTCCCGGAAAGCTGGGGAGAGTGTGCTTCGGGATTCAGTTTTCAACTTCGTCCCATGTTGTAGAGGTTGAGGCTCTGCGGAGGACTCAGACACTGTATCATTGGACTGATATCACGTGTACTCCCCGCTTCATCGGCGACCTCGCCCATCTCGCATAAACTTCAATCTTTCAGCTTGCCACCAGCACAGAGAGGCGTTGTGGCTCATTGATGCAGTCAACCAGAAATGCTTAATCGTTCTTCGACAGCGGTGGAGAAGTCCCGGGGACCTGGATGCTGCAGGGAAATCGATCCTTGGGCTGCAGTCACTTATTAGAGGTGAAAGAAAAAGGTAAAGCATCGATGTGAAGGCAGGGCTAGACCGGCAGCTCATGGCCCGAAGTATCAGTGACATTCCACTTCGTAAAGATCATGATTCATGGCGGTGCTGGCGGTTCTTTTGAAAGATATCGGATACTCCGAGGACTGTCCAGGAAGTCTGCACCGTCTCAGACCTTCGACGAAAGTGATATGGATTTTGTTTTCCTGCTGGCGGAAGTCACCAGTATCTGAAATATAGCAGGGGAGAATGTAGGCGCATCAACCAGCTTGGCTCTTCTTGACATTCTTCAATGCTGATCTATTCCACGTGAGTGAGGTTCGAGCTTATACTTACATGAAACTCGCAAAGCTCTTGCATCTGATGTGGGAAAGACAGAGATGTGGGGTTGCATTGTGTGCAATGTGTTCTGACAACGAGAGTGAAGATCAGGTCTACCATCTCATCATCTCTTGAGGTCTCTCATACCGGGAGTGAAAAGACCCGTCTTTGATGCGGGATACTCACGATTCCGTGGCATGATGTACCTGCATTCAGCTCCATAAATGTCTACAAGTGGTGGACATTAACGGCTGGTCATCCACAGCGGTGAAATTGAAAGCCTCATATCTGCAAGGGCGGCAAAGTCGACCATTCAATTAGAGGACGGGATGAGAGCGGTTGCCACGCTACTGCGTCAACGAGAAGTCTCAGCATGTGGTCATCTCGGCGCTTCGTGGTTATTTTCCCTCTGCTGAACATGACTTTCGTATACTTCAGCGGCGAACTTTCAGCCTTCTAGACGGCTCTCGTCTGGAGATACGAAACATTCGACACTTGGTTGCCAAGAGTATCAAGGATATGGATAGATGCGTGTGGCTGACGGTTTCGAATGGGATGATGTTCGATGGTTGAACGACAGCAAATCGATGCCTAAGTGCTGAGACCTGAGGCCAGTTCGAGGGCTTGGTTCGGGACAAAGATTTTCCCAGGGCGAGATGTAAAGGCTTGCGTGACCTCGTCGTACGTTTCAGTACTTTTGTTCGCCTGCCTCTTCTCTCTCGGTCAAAAGACCAACTCCAAGTCCTGTCCAAGTCTCAGTACTAGGCCTTCTTCAATACAAAACGGAGACGTCGAACATCTCCAAATGGTTCCTTTGTTTCCATTTTGTGTCCTTCTGTGGGCGACTTTTCCCAGTATGCCGTGCCATTCGAGTAGCTCTCTCAGTTCGCAATTCTGGGTTTCGCGGTCCCAAGATTTTCGGTCGCTGGAATCAGATCGTATTCCTCCCGTTTGGTGTTCACGTCTGCTGGAACTTTTGCCTGCCTGCCACGTCGATCTAGCAGAGAGACAGATCAATTATGGAGAGCCTTGTCTGCGGAGAATAGGGTACACCTCTTCATCCCTTGACAACAAAACATTCTGTAGCTCGACCAGCGGCTTCAAGTGTGCTCGAATAGACGTCGTGAGAACACCGACCGCTCTTCCAGTACATCAACCAGATCTATTCTCTGCCAAACCTTGTACTTGAGTTACGTCGAGATGTGATGAAATCTGTGGATGGGAACATCTACAGGAGAGCAGGAATGAGTCGAGCACCTGGTCGAAAGCTACTTCTCGAAATCGGCAGCATCGCTAGCATTGATTAAGTTGGTCCGACATCGTTGGTAGTTCATCAGAAGCTCCGAACCTTCTCTGGAGGGCTGAAAAGCTGATGAGGCGGGTGGGAATTCCCCGGTGCATCTCCGACTCCAAGTAGGCGTAGGCATAAGCATAGGACAAGTGCGTAGCATGTAAGAGTCTTGGAGTTCGAAGTACAACGAACGATGAGGGTCGCAATACTTCTTCATCTCTCAACGCCCACATCGCGATGTCGTGGCATAGAACCAGCTCCGATTTCCATATGATCGAATGCGGGGTTTGACACTCAAGGCTGAGATGGCATTCGTACAGAGCCCACAATGAATTTGGAGCCTGATCAGACCGGTTGATTCGCAGGATGATGTATCAAAGAAAGAACAATAAGATGTCTGGTAGCTTGGAAGCAGCATCGAAGTCGACACAGTCGTGAAGACGTGGTCGGGATCCCGATATCACGCTAAGGTTAGTTCCAACCTTAAATCCGGGCCGGGTCTTGGCAGTCTCGAGCCGTGTTCTCACATTTCAAGAATAACAAGTTCCATGAGTACCTAGGTAAGCATGACTTTATATTATCCTACTTACCTAGGTAGGTAATCATAGAATATTTCTCAATCTATTTCCATGCGATTATGAAAAACAAAGCGACTATGGTAAGGCACCCCGAATCAATTCGTTAATAACATCAGGCCATGGTCATATATCAGACCCGAGCAAATGGGCCCCATCATGGGACGTAGAAACGCATGGGATTGTCACAAGATTTTACGGTATTACATTTTTCCGACGTCTCATTTCACGTTGGAGCTGCGCCTTCTGTATACATATTCCCAACGCCCGCCTTTCATGGTATTTCTGTGACCAACAAACAATCGAGAGAGTACAAATCCTTTCACGTCGACGCCGTCTCTTCATATCGAAGTGCATTCAATACAATTACGCAGCACAGCAATAATCTACCTTGATATCTCTCATGGAGATATCTACGCGTTTGAATCGATTGCAGCCTCTTCTGGAAGAGCTGTTCGACCTCAGTTCCTCGCCTGGAATCTCCATAGGCGTCCTCCACGAAGACGTTCCCGCTTGGACAATTCACCTTGGACGTCGTAGAATTTCAGAACCAACGCCTCCCGACAACGATACTCTATACAATGTCGCTTCAATCACAAAACTAATGACGGCCGGCGTCGTCGCTAACCTCGTTGCCAAAGGTCTGCTTGACTGGGACACTCCTATCCGCGAATATCTCTCGGAATTTGGGGAGAGAAGGGATGAAGTTGGACAAAATGCGACTATTACGGATCTTTTGTCTAATCGAACTGGTCTCTCAGCACAAAACACTTTCTGGGGAGTCATGAAGGAAGATATATTCCCGGGCGCAGAGCAAATCCCACGTATGGCATGTCATATCCCCGCCATAGGAAAATTCAGAGAAAGCTTCATTTACTCGAGCTGGGGTTACGGCCTCGTAACTTCCGCAATCGAGCGGGTGACTGGCAAGCCATTCAGTGCCTGCGTGGAAGAGTACATCTTTCGACCTCTCGGTATGGTTCGCAGCACGACGAACCTTCCACAAAGTGATAAAGTCGTCTTCAAACACTGGGTGGGCATTGATGGTATAGCTCATGAATTCCCGTGGTCAACTTATCGTGGTTGGTCTGACGAAACCGGATTCGGAGGTGCTGTTGGAGCACGCAGTTGCATCGAGGAACTTCTCACCATGTATCAGTCTCTCTTGTCTGCATATAATCACCAGACCGAGAGCAACGTCGACTCTACTCCCGGATCGCCATTCAAGTACGCCCGTCGTCTCCTCTCTCCACATATTGGTGTGGGAAATTCTACACCAGAGAAGCAAGGCTACTGCCTGGGAACTTACCGAACTCAACTTCCAGGAGACATGTCTTTTGCAAGTTACAACTCCATTCTTCTACAGCGAAAGAATTCCCGACAGTTTGGAGAGAATCATCCCGGTCGTGTCATCTTCCACCAGGCAGCGACATTCACAGGCTACAATGGATCGATGATCTTAGATCCGCAATCGCAGACTGCTATCGTTGTACTGGTCAATTCTCTACCACTTTTTGACATTACAGATGTTGCTGGACAGCTGATTCTGGGTGCTATCCTCGAAGAGACCAATCCACCAGACTACACTAGTCTCTCGAAATCAGTCCGACATGTTAACACTCTCCTCTATGACGCGTACACCGCAGGTTTGGAGAAGAAAAAGACAGAAGTCCCCACACAGTTCCCTCTCAAACATTATGAAGGAGAATACTTCGACAAAGCTAGGATCATTTGCTATTCTGTCTGTGTTTACGGGGATCGTCAACTGCAAGTAAGAGTGAAAGGGAGCTCTTTGACTTGCTATATCTTAGAGTCTTGGGGCGGAGAATTATTCTGTCTGAGGCCGGATCGAGAAGGAGAGCTTTCGCAGAGCATGTGGCCGTTCACTTCGCTCAAATCACGCATGTTCATGTTCAACTGCAGCCCAGAAGAAGTTCTCAGCTTCACCTGGCACCATGATATCACCCCTGGCAGTAAGCCAGAAACTTTCACGAAAGACTCGCAGAAGTCGATCGCGAGGCTGTAGGGTGTGCCTTTTGATCGCATGGTCAAAATACAAGGCTAAGCACGACTGCTTGATTGGGTTTCTACATTTAGATAGCAATGAAAGTCGCGGTATGGTTTTCTCGCATGCGGCACGAAATTTGCGATCTGCAATGTTCCACTTCTAGACCTTGGTCTTGAAGTCCTTGGATTGGGGCTGGTGCAGATCTTACGCAGTACAGCCGAATCATGATTGCAGCGTTTTGAGGTAGGCACGTTATCGGTGTGCTGCGGCTCAGCTTGGCAGGTTGCGTTGTTATGATTGCCATTATGCATTCCGGGTATCACCAATAATATGCAATCCCAACGTGAGGTAATAACAACATGCAGCTTGCTCCAACATTTTCCAACTACCGAGTCACACAAGATGCGGAATTATGGCACAGCAAGTTTGAGGCTAAATAGATTCATCCCTCCATTGGATCTACTACGCTCGGATTCTGTGACACCTTCCAAGCAAGTTTAGACATATACGAGATTTTTGCGAGTGGCGCAACTTGGAATGGTAGGAAACCCTGCAGCTAAGGAATCACAGGAGGCCGTTCCGTGCCCCTTCCCAACGTTCTGCATCAAACAAGGACACCGAAATATTTGCCCCATCTATGCAAGGTTATCCCAGTCACTCGGGCCGGACCGTTCGCAATGATTAGCAGTTGATTTTGTAAACGTGCAGGGTATTCGTATGCGCATTTTTACTGAAGTGGGTTCAATGCGATTTGACGCTCGTGGTTGTAAGAAATGAGGGAAATTGAGCAGGTGTTGGAAAGTCATAGAGTGTCAGTTGCAGATCAAAGTCCTGTGATTACAACCAGCTTTTCCCTCGCAGAATAGGAGAAAGAAAATATTATCAATTTGCTGAGTGGCATAGATCTTTTGTAAAGTGATAGCATTATTGACAGAGTTGTATATATATATATATATATATATATATATATGCAATTGCTGTCGGGCTTTTGCCTTTCAAAGTGGAAAAGTACTTTAGTACATAGTAGAGGTGCAACTTGTTGGCTGCTTGATAGAGCCACAAATCGTGCATCTCAGCTGCAGGGACGATATGAGGGGGACCTTGTAGGTCTCGGATCAAATAGTCCGAACAAGGGTGGTAATGCTTGCTTCTCCTAACGCTGTCAGTGGTGATTATTAACGAATCGAAGGCGGTACTCGTATCTGAAGTAAGATGCATCCAGTCAGCGCTACTTTATTACGTGTCGCTACTATTTTCCCCACAAGGTCTTCTCTCTGGCTTGATCCACCTTTCTCTGTTCTCCACAATTCTTCGCGCTTATACAGACTTTCAACATTCTTCCGCCTATACAGATTTCCAACGAGGTCGACAAGAAGTGTATCTCGGCGCAAATGGCTTCGCAGGCCGACTACTTTGCGGAGGTCAATCCCACGAGCCGGGAGATGTACCATACCGCCATGGCATTCATTGTCATTGATACCCTCGTTTTTGGACTTTTTCTTGCTTCTATGTATCGTCAACGCAAGCGCCAGCGTAACAAGAATGAAATCGGCATCTACTTTTTGATGAGTGTGGCTTACATATCTGTATTGGGCAACGCACTTGTTGGAGTTTGTAAGCAATATAATGTCAATCGTCGGATCTTTTGCTGATGTTGATAGTACTTGTGAAGATTGGTGGAGTCGGTCGCCATGTCGCCTTCTGGGAATCAACTGACCCAGACACGTTCACGAAGTTCTTGCAATTGCAAACAGGAATCGAGATTATCTACATGGCATCCATTACAGCTCCCAAGATTGCAATTCTCACACTCTACCTTAAGATCTTCACTGATCGCCTTGCTCGACAACTTACGTGGATAATGGGCGTCATTTTGGTAATGTTCCTTCTGTCTGGTTTGGTTCTAGCCCTCGCCCTTTGCAAACCATACGAATACAAATGGAACAAAACAATCCATGGGAAATGTGGCGACATTATGGCAGGTTATCGCTGGATCAGCATTCCCAGCATCATCACCGATTTCTTCATTCTCATAATTCCTATTCCTACTATCTGGAAGCTCCGCGTGGACACATACAAGAAAGTTGGTGTCTTGATCACATTCCTCACGGGAAGTCTGTAAGTTGTGTCTGTTAATTCGGTGGTTCTCAGTGCTAATAAACTCTTGTAGAGGATTCATCACAGCCATTGTCCGATGCCTCACATTCTACACTTCGAATCTGTTCTCAGACCCAACGTGGCTGGCCGGGAAAACTATGACTTGGACTATTATCGAATCGAGTGCATATTTTATCTGTGCCTGTCTTCCTCGCCTCCGGCCTCTGTTGCAGTTATTTTTGGAGAAGACGGGTGTTATTTCTGTGGTGGCAAATACTTGGGGTACTTTCACGAATAAAAGCAAAGGCACCCATGATGGCTCGGCTCATGATATGAGCAATGAAAACCGTGGTTCGAGACCCGGTGATAACAAGGTTGGGTTTGTAGAGATGGATGAGCTGGGACTCGTTTCTTCTAACGAACGGACTCAATGCTCTGGTGAGGATGAATTCAACTAATCAATGGATATGTCAGGTTGACGAGTTTACTAATTGATATCAATCACACTATGCCATTGTCGAGTATTATAAGCGAGGATTTTCTCTAGCATAGATTTTATTTGCGCGTGAGAGACTCCAATTCTCTGTCTTGAAATATACAAGCCCATTGACATGCGTGACAATGTTGCGACTCTTGACTCCTGTATCCTACATTTTATCTCTATCTTCATACCCAAGTTATGCAAGGTCTATGTGTAGAGATACATTCGACATGCTAATAGGCGTGAAATTAACAGCCTTGCGAGAATTGCATCAATCCTGGCTGCGCACTCTTTTGACACATTCCTCCTCATGATCGCCGGCAAGATCCTTCGGTCCAATAAACTCTACATTTTGGCGCAAGTATGGGTGCATGACTGGGGCGCCATTACGATCCCTGGCTTCTGAATGGCTTGCAATTCATTGTTGGATGGTTCGCCATTTTGCCATTAATGAACCCCTAGCAACCAACATGCATGTCCGAATCGAGCGTGCTGTGCATATTCGGCGTAATGTAACCACACTAACATGCATCCCGAAATGCTGTGATTTTCGAAGTCCTTTGGCTGCAAAAGCTTCTTGATTACGACACCAGTGCGAGTCCCAATTTCCACACTCTCAACGGACTCGCTTTCCAAGCTTTATGAACGGCATTCATTATGTCTATCGATTTCGTCAGCTGGACTTTGAAAAGCTGGATTGTGGTTGCCACTGCGTTGGTACTCACCATTGTAAGAATATTTGGTCAACTTGGAGCTGTGAATACTAACACGAGAAGACCATCTCACAGATTATTTACAATGCTTTCTTCCATCCTCTGTCCAAGGTGCCAGGACCATTTTTATGCAGAATATCTGGGATACCTTCGTGGTACTATGCAACTCGCGGCGATCGACATATTTGGTTATGGCAGCTATTTCAAATATATGGTAAGATGCTAGAGATTATGTAGGACTATTGGCTGATAATTCTAGGACCGAAAATACGCGTTACCCCCAACACAATCCTCTTCCGCGATCCCGCAGCATATCGTGATATCTATACACAAAAGGCTAATGTACAGAAGGCCGCATTCTACGAGGCATGGCAGAAGGACAAGGATGACATCAACACGTTCAATACAAGGAATAAGCAGGCCCATTCACGTCGCCGCAAGATGCTTAATCAATCATTCACCGAACAGTCTCTTCGGGCATCACAACCGTTTTTGATCAAGCATGTCGATCGCTGGAACGAGTTACTGGTTGCTGAGACCGGCGATGACCAATGGTCGAAACCCATGAACTTCGCTGATGTGTCGGACACGCTGGTCTTTGACATCATGGGAGATCTTTGCTTTGGGACCTCATTTGATATCAAAGAACGTGAAGAAAATCCGTTCAAGACGATGCCACATGTGGTTGTCCAATATATGCAGTTCTTCTACCCGGTAAGGCCCTGAATAGCCTGATACATCTGTCCTGTACTGATGTGAAAGATTCCAGTTGACACGATCACCTATGCTTAATCTGATCGTTTGGCTGAAGCCCCGTGGTCTAGACGCTCTTTTTAAATCGATCACTCCTCCAAACATAAAGAGCTACATCAGCTTTGTGGAAGATTGTGTGACAAAACGACTCGAATTGTATCAAGCACAAAAAGAGAAAACCGTGAGTGAGCAACGACAAGACATGTTTTGGTTTTTGTGTGATGCCAAGGACGATGCTGGTGATCCGGCATATAGTGAGGGCGAACTCCGTGCGGAAGCCAACATGCTCATTGTTGGCGGTACAGACACGACATCTGTTACTTTGGCCGCCGTCATGTTCTATCTCACACGCGACGCCCTCCGACTTCAAAAGCTCGTTGACGAGATTCAATCCACATTTTCCACCCCCGAACACATTGCTCATGGACCGCAGCTAACCTCATGCATATACCTCCGGGCTTGCATTGACGAGGCTATGCGCTTGAGCCCAAGTGGACCAAGCGAGTTACCACGAGAGATTCTCAAAGGTGGGGCAATAATCAATGGGGAGTTCTATCCTCAAGGCACAGTCGTGGGCTCTTCTGGCTGGGCAACAGGACACAACGATGAATTTTACGGTGACTCGGAGGTCTTCAGACCAGAGCGGTGGATTCCTGATGAGAGCACAGGTGTGACTGAGGAAGAGGTCAATGTTCTTCGTGCTAATTTTCACCCATTTGCTCAAGGTCCTGGATCTTGCCCTGGCAAGAACATTGCGATTCTGGAACTTTCTATAGCAATTGCTCGGACTCTACACAGACTAGAAGTGAGAAAGCCACTTGAAGGTGACAACAGTCTTGGGCAGGGCATCCCAACTAACGGGTGGGGCATGCGCAACAAAAATATCTTCCAGCTGCAAGACGCATATATTTCGGTGCGCAACGGACCAATGGTCCAATTTAAGAAGAGGCCCGTCTAGATTTAAGTGCTCGCATTTTTCTAGATAATGATGACTAGATAAACAGGGAATGGAAAAGTCTGTCAATATGATAGCCTTTGATGGATACCGCGTTGATGAAATTATTTGCGTACATACAATCTTAATCTGTATAACCGCACTGTAGTCAAGCTAAAGACGATCTCCTGCTGTATATAAATCTGAATTCGGATATCTATGCTCGTATATCGACCAATAAATTTTCGTGTAAGTGACGCAGCAGGGCAGTGCTGCTTCGAAGGGGCAATAGTTGGAGCAACGTCGGAGGGTTTTTCTTGTCATTACATGCCGTTACATGCAGGTGGCCATCGCCGCACTGAAGCATGTCCACTTCACTGACTGCAGTCTTCAGCATGTCCCCAGCCATCTGTGGACACCGAGCTCTCGGATCCAAATAACCTAGGCGAAGATCCTAGGCAGTGCATATTGACCGGTAAGCAGAATACAACCATTTCATGTTGGACCCAACTTCAGCCACAACTATAGGCTAGCCTGTCTTTAACTAGTTCCATGTCTAAAGACGTCTGTGGGGATGAACTGCCGGCACCCTTGGCTCACGGACCTGCGAGTTGGACAAGACGTTCTCTCTGGGGTGTAGTCTCGTTATTTTTGGAGTCCAACTTGCCGTCTATTCCCCACATTCGCATTTGAGTACCAAGTTTCATAGACTTTGATCCAAAAATATTGAATCGATCACATTTATACTGTACAATCCTCTTCCAGATCCACCGCTGATCGTAATCATGACGTCCATTGAACAGAGCTTGTCTCTAGAAGGAGAGGATCGAAAGGCCTCTGTTGAGAAATTCACAGTTGATGAAGTTTCCCTGCCCTCAGAATGGATCCAAGGCTGGCGATTAGCAGCTATTGCAGTAGGGTATGCACCCGTGCTCAATGTGCTTGTATAAAATGTTAAAATGATCAAGAACATGCATCGCTATTGGTATGAGCCAAGCGGACTCGACTATTGCAAGCACAGCAATTCTGGTCATCACAAATGATCTTGGTGGATTCGACATGAGTTCGTGGGTTTTCACTGCATATTTGATCACGTATAGTGGTATGTTAATAGAGCCAGTGTGTATCTTATGGAAATCAACTAATGAACTCCAACATTCAGGTTTTCCAATAATAATTGCTCGTGTCTCCGACATTTTTGGGAGGAAGCAAGTTTTTCTCACTTGCTTGCTAATGTTCACGATATTCTCCGGTGCATGTGGTGCTTCTCAAACTCTACTTCAGCTGTATGCATTTCAATCTGTCCTCCGTACATATGATCTGACGAATTGCTTTCAGGATCATGTTCCGGTGGGTTCAAGGAATTGGCGCAAGTGGCGTACTGTCGATTGGTACTATGTACGGTTTTGAGCTCTTGCCAATGGACAAATGGCCTGCATATTCAGCATTGTTATCTCTCTCTGTGGCAATCTCCTTATCCATAGCACCTGTAATCGGAGCAGCCCTGACTCAGTTAGGACAATGGAGATGGGTCTTCCTAATTAAGTGAGTTTAAGTGTGACTACGACGAATTTGTAATTGACTAACTTTCACTTAGTGTTCCAGTTGGAATTACAGGATCTCTGCTGCTCATATTAGGAATGCCTAAAAAATTACCACGCGAGCCTTCATACGTCTTCCACAACAATCGATGGTTTCAGAAGTTACGAAAGCTTGATCTTCCAGGAGTACTGGCACTTGTTGGTGCTTCAGTACTGCTGACAGCCGCCTTGCAGCAAGCAGCTAGAGGAGGCTCATTTTCCACTCCTACTGTGGCGTCATTGCTGGCTTTGGCACCCATATTCATTCTAGTATTTCTTTTTTGGCAGTGGTTTTCGACCAAAACGCAAGGTCGATTTGTTGCAGAGCCGATACTTGCCTGGGATTTGCTATCAAACAGAGTATTTCTCGGGGTGCTCATGTGAGTGCGGATACCTCAAGTTGGTAGGCTATGATCATTGCTAACCCTAATCATAGTAATGCCTTCTTTTCTGGAGCCATAATTACTACCTCTATAGTGGAGATCCCGCAACGATTTGTTATAGTCAACAGTCTTTCCACAATAGAGGGGGGTGTGAGACTTATTCCATTCGCTGCTGTGATGGCTTTCACGTCCACGATTATGTCGCTCGTCCTGACTAAATTGAATGTTCCAGTCTTGTATTGGCTCCTTATTGGGGGACTGCTGCAAGTTGGAGGGGTAGCCGGATTTTCCCAGGCATCCACTGAGAGCGCCATCAAAGCTTCTCAATATGGGTTTCAAATATTGGCAGGTGTTGGCGTCGGTATCTTCAACGTTGCGTTGTTACTACTCACTCCTCACGTTGTGGAGAGAAAATTCTTGGGTATGTATGGTATCATTCACCACAGAATGAGAGTTGACAGAACGACAGCTGTCGCAAATGGAGCCATAAATCAATTTCGACTTCTTGGAGGCTCCGTCGGGCTTTCCCTCGTTGTCAGTGTTTCCAACTCACGTCTTAGGAATGATCTCGCCTCGGTCTTGACGCCTTTCCAAGTTACTATGCTTATAAGTCGCACGGAAACAATTTCAGAATTACCAGCGGCCACACAGACTGTTGTCCGGAAGATTTTTGGTGAGAGTTATAACCTTCAGATGCTGATCTTGATCGGGATTGCGGCTGCCAACATCCCAGCAACCTTGTTGCAGTGGCAAAAGATCCCGATAGTGTTCAAGAGATGATTTCCCCGCCAGGGATGATACTGAGTGTCATACAGTCGAAGCGAAACAACTTTATGGTCGAAGTAGCTTGAAATTCAGGGAATTGACAACGCGAGTGAGATCAACATGCAGCATTTCATATGTTAGAATGGTTCAGCTTCACTCCACTATCTTAACATTCTGTCAGAACACTACCAGTGCCTCAATATTCGTGCATACCGTGTCTAGTAAGGGTTATATCCATCCGTTTATACAACCATTCTAGAGTATTACTAGCCAAATCAGATCAAAACCCACAAAGAAATACTTTTCGAACGAATCATGTGTCTAATAATTCCACTTGGTTTGATTTAATGGGTGCGAGGTGAAAGCTGTGCCAAGTAGATAACCCGCCTAATTGTGTTCACTGTCCCAGCCAGTTCGGAACGAAGCCCAATTCCAGCAATCTCATGACCTCCTTTCTGCACTAGCACCGACAGCTTAGTTGGATCGCATGAAGACACCAATCCCTCGCACTCATGTCTCCTGCTATCTTCTTCCCCGTAGATAATGGCAGTTGGGATTCGAATTACATATTTCTGGTCCACAGGGCCGTCCAAGATCTTGACTTCTCCACTCTTCTGATATGCCACCGGATCATAAACAGACACGGGCGAGAAGAAAATGGCCAATTTGAATGGAGGTGTCGCCAAAGGATCTTCGTAATATCTTTGCACCAGGAACATGGCAGCCAGCCCTGCTCCCTGAGAGAATCCTAGTACCCCATCAAATGGCCCTTCGGCAGCGAGGTAAGCTTTGAGCTGCTCCAGTGCCGTGGCGAGGCTAGAAGCAACACCCTCGCCAATGTCGTAATAAGCCCAATGCTCTGCTGACGGATCGGAAAGCAATTTTAGTCCTGCAGCTTGTAAGCAATGGGGGCCAAAAATGGCAATTGTGCATCAGTCACAGACCGGATGCCATTGGCCAGGGGACGACACCCTGGACAAACTGGTACGTATGTTGGTCGGCGAGTTCATAGCGAATAGCAGCTACTAGATGGTCAAATGCTTTCCATGGGTGAACGGGTTTATCTTGTTACCTGTCTGCATTTTCAAAATCTAAGAGACTTGTTAGCGTTGAGTTTCGTTCATGGCCTTCGATCATGGTATGCTGTGATTGAAACTGACCTGACTGCTCGTACCAATGCCATGCAGACAAAGAAATCGCATGGTGAATAACGACCAAAGCTAGTAATAACGAAGGAGGAAGGGCTCGAGATCGTGTGAATCGATGTTCGAAGTTGAATGAAGAGCTGAAATTGGGGTCGATCAACAAGTGCCGTCGTATATGCAATCATACCAAGCATATTGTGGCGCAGGACGCACCAATCCCGATGTACATAAAGGCGCAGCAGGATTTCGCGGCGCAGAACGCGCAGTGCCGGAAGTGGAGCGTCCACGAAAGCATCGGAGCTGGCGATGTTGGTTACCTTAGTTAAGAAGCAACCATTGAGCCTATGAGGAGCAGGGTTCTGAACAATTGATGTTGCACCATCGGTTACAACCTACTTTGGGCATCCAAAATGCATATCGTTCTTTATATAGATCCTGATGGTTGGTACTGGAGGATTAAGGGGTAGTATTACTAGTAAGTTGGGAGGTGTCTGGAATAAAGGATTTGTGCTAAACGAATTGTATAGATAGATAAAAGAGACTTTCACAGAAAATCTGAGCAAATGGTTCAATGGAGCCTGATTGGTAGGTAGACAACACCTGTCTCCTCTGCATTCATTCCAGTGCACTTTCTCGAGTCTTGACGCCAGATCTTCGTGTCAAAGGATACTCTCTCCCAGGAATTTGTCAATCGTATTGCGGTCCTGTCATGTTTTTTAATTATGGCACCGAGCCTCGAATTGCCACAGGTGAATTCTGATCGTGAGAATAGTTTCTGTTATGGGGAGCCTCAAAACACAGCAAACAACGAAAAAGGAACTTTTGTCGGAATGGACACTAATACGGAAAGCTCTCGAGAAGCATCTTTTGAGCCCATTGCCATTATTGGGATGGCTTTCAAATTCCCTCAGGGAGCAGAAAGCTCCGACAGTTTCTGGAGAATGCTAGAAGAAAAACATTGCGCTGCAACCACGTATCCCAAAGAGCGCTTCGATATCGATGCTTTTTGGCACTCCGATTCAACGCGCCAGAACATTGTGAGTGGCCTAGCAGTTTGGATTGAGGATGAGTCTAATACTTTCAAAGATAAACCCGCGTGAGGCCCACTTCATGAAAGGCAACATAGGAGATTTTGACGCGGGTTTCTTCTCCATGACGCCACAAGAAGTAGGCGCCATGGATCCCCAGCAACGCGGCCTCTTAGAGACAACGTACCACGCCTTTGAGAATGCTGGTTTAGCGCTGGACAACATCGCTGGCTCGGATACCTCTGTCCATATCGGATGTTTCACTAGTGACTTTTCCCATCTTTCACTCAAAGACGCACAACAGATCCCCAAATATGCGGCCGTTGGCTCTGCTGGGTCTGTTCTTGCAAACCGCTTGAGTTGGTACTTCGATCTACGAGGTGAAAGTGTATACCTTGATACTGCTTGTTCAAGTGGTCTCATAGCAACAGCGCTGGCGTGTGAACAATTACACTCGGGAAAATCCAAGATGGCAATTGCCGGCGCGGCCAATATCATACTCAACCCGGAGTTCAACATAGCGCTGAGTAACATGAATTTCCTCTCTCCAAGCGGAAGATGCAAGAGCTTTGACGTCAAGGGAGACGGGTATGGACGTGGAGAAGGGTATGCTGCTCTCGTCTTGAAACGTGTCTCCACTGCACTCGCTGATGGTGATCCCATTCGGGCTGTTATACGTTCCGTGGGAACGAATCAAGACGGGTATACCAGTGGCGGCATTACACAACCAAGCAAAGAGATGCAGGCAAAACTTATCAAAGACACATATCGCAGAGCAGGTCTTAGTCTGAAGCACACTAGGTTCTTTGAAGCGCATGGTACAGGCACTACAGTTGGGGATCCAATCGAAGCGAGGGCAATTGGTGAAACGTTCTTACAACATCGCTCAGAACAGGACCCTATTTACGTGTGAGTGTCTCAGCCACCATGCAGTCCGAGATTCGTTTATTGACTGGTAGTGTGCCAGAGGGGCCGTGAAATCAAATATCGGGCATTTGGAAGGTACTAGCGGCATTGCAAGCATCGTCAAGACCGTCCTAGCACTCGAACACGGGGTGATTCCTCCAAATGCCAATTTCAACCAGCTCAACCCGCAGATTGATTCAGAATTCCTGAGACTGAAGGTTGTATTCGTATCCTGAACGACCTGACTTGAACTTTCGACTGATTGGACTAGTTTCCAACGAACTGCGTTCCGTGGCCAGAAGGAGAGATTCGTCGGGCCTCAGTTAACTCCTTTGGCTTCGGGGGTGCCAATGGTGATTTAACCCTTTCTGACTGTAGAGTTGTACTTACACTGAGTAGCACATGTGGTGATTGACTCAGCCGAAGGCTTTCTGAAGGGCCGAGAATGTGATACTTGCCAGCGAGAGGTTGCTGTCAGAAGCATACCTTGGAGCAATCAACACCCTGTACATCATACACCACGAATTTTCGAAGAGAACGGTTTCCACCACAACAGCATCGAGCTTGATAAGCTTCTAAGTAGAGCCCATTCGAATGGAGTCCAGAATTATGACAAATCTATAAGCGAAAACGGCTTTGCCAATGAACATAACGACTACCTAGGGAAACTGAGCATCTGGCCCAAACTCTTGGTACTCTCCGCGGCGGATGAAGATGGCCTCAAAAGGCAAGCAATGACTTTGTCTCAATTTTTGCAGTCTCATTCGCGGAGATGGGATCCGCAATTTCTCTACGACGTCATCGAAGTATTCAACACGAGACGTACGTTGCTGAGCTGGAAGTCGTACATGGTACTAGACTCGGCCTCCGCATTTGAAATGCTAGAAAGTGGCCTCTCAAAAGCTGTAAGACGTCCTACGGCGCCAAGCTCGCGTCGGTTAGGGATTGTATTCACGGGACAAGGGGCCCAATGGGCGGGTATGGGTCGGGAGCTCCTCCAATGGCCAGTTTTTGAGAAAAGTATAGAGCGTTCTCAGAAGTATTTGGGCATGTTAGGATGTGGTTGGAACGTGGTCGGTAAGCTGAAGCACTTTTGAGACTGACTTGTACTTGACATAATGCTGAGGACTCTTAGACGAAATAAGCAAAGATGCTGAGCGTAGCCGCATTAACGAGACTCAATTCAGCCAGACGATTTCGACCGTACTTCAAATCGCTCTAGTTGATTTGGCTCGTCATCTCTGCCTCAACGTCTCAGTAGTCGTTGGCCATTCCTCTGGGGAGATCGCTGCAGCTTACTGTGCAGGCTTTTTAAGCCACCAATCAGCTGTCAGAGTTGCTTACTTCAGAGGACTCCTGGCGTCTGAATTGGCTGAGAGCTGTGGCCAGAAGTGCGGTATGCTGTCCGTGGGAGTTGCAGCGAGCCAGATGCAACAAGAGTTGTCGCGTATTCAGTCGGAACAGCAAGGATCTGGTACACTCTTAGCGGACTCGATCACGGTGAGTTGCATTAATAGCCCTACTAATGTCACCATATCCGGTCCTCTCGATAGTCTTGATATCATCATGACGAACCTCCAAGCGCGAGGTATTTTTGCGCGAAGGCTCAAAATCGATCTGGGATATCATTCTCCGCAAATGAGTACTATTGCCAAGGCATACTCAGCCCACTTGAAGGACTTGAGGCCCGGAAACGTTAGCTGTGAAATTCGAATGTTCTCTTCTGTTGTCCTACGCATTGTCTCAAAAGAGGTTGTTTGCACTCCGTCGTACTGGGTACAGAACATGCTTTCACCTGTACGTTTTGTCGAGGCGATGGAAAGCTGCTGTTCATGTCCCAATGAGGACAGTATTCTTCACAAACTTGATCTGAGTCATCAGGCTCAGATTGTCACGGACGGCTGGCTTGAGGTTGGACCCCACGCAGCGCTCAAAGGTCCACTCAGGGAGATATTTGATCTCACCAATCGGAGCGACAACATGTTCTACGCTTCCATCTTGATGCGTAACAAGTCCGCTGTATATACCTTGCTCGATACCGTTGGGCAATTACATTGTCGTAACTTCCAGGTAGACCTTGGTGCAATAGCCCGAATGAGTGGTTCTCCATTGCGTCTTACGCCCGGAACAATCTCCACGCTTCCGTCCTACCCTTTCAACCATTCCACCGTCTACTGGGAGGAATCTGCACGTTCGAAAGGCCTGCGGTCAAGGAAGCATGCGAACAATGAGCTGCTCGGAGCTCCAGTGATAGATTGGAACCCCTTGGACGCACGGTGGAGACTTGTTGTCAAAAAAGAAGACATGCCTTGGGTCGAGCAGCATAAAGTACATGGTCAGATGCTCTACCCGGCCGCAGGAATGCTTGTTATGGCTATCGAAGGCTTGAAGCAACTCACAGAACAGAAGATTATTGGATACGAGATCCGCGACGTTTCATTCGTGGCCCCCATCGTGCTGAATAGCTCGTCCGACGGCACCGAGATCCAAACCACCTTAACCCCTACCTCGATGCAGAATATCGAGGCTGAGTACAAGTTCCGTATACTTGTTAAGGCAGGTAATGACTCTTGGCAAGCAGCCTGTTTTGGAACGATTGCAGCAGACACAGGAAGAGGCAGCCAAGACGTCAATTTCTGCATGGAAGAGGAATACAAAAAGCAGGCTGCACGCAGCAAATACGAGCATGCGGTCCAATCATGCCTGACTTCCATTGAGACGGCAGAGCTTTACAAGAGGATACGCGATAATACTGGACTTGAATATGGTCCAATGTTTCAGCCTCTCACAGAAATGTCATATTCCTCAGATGGCCAAGGCTGTGCCCAGCTGCTCCCCTGCACAGGTGTATCATCAAAGATCCGGCAACCTTGGACTATACATCCGTCGACCCTCGACGGCGTCTTTCAATTCACGTACTTAGGACTCGGGAAGGGTTGGAGTGAGACAGTGCCGACTATGGTGCCTTCGCATTTGATGCGGCTATGGATATCTACAGCTGGAGCCGGACATGCAGATCTCGGATCAGAAGTGTCGAACAGTTCATCCAGCTTCTTAAGTAAACGGGCAGCCATAGGAACAGCTACCGTCTTCTCTGAAGATGACATGAGCATCCGGCTTGAAGTCGAAGGACTAGAAGTTACGGAAATGGGCGGAACTAGTGTCCCAGAAGAATCCACTCTCCAAGCAACGTGCCAGTACATGGAATGGAAACCAGATTTTTCCACTATGACTACAATGGAGATATCAGAATACTGTGGAGAGCATCGAAAAGACCATGCTGAGCCTGAAGAATGGTTCCAAGAGCTAGGACTAATGATGCTCAGCTTTACAGCTTGCACCTTTGACAAGCTATCCAAGCTTCAATTACACCCGATCGAGTCCCAAGTCCGATATGTCGCTTGGTTACAATCTAGACTTGATGAGTATCTGAGTCTAGCTGGACCTGGTGCTGAGCTCGACGTACTTGATTCAGGGAAACTAGAGAAGATGCGACAGAAATTCTTTGGAGACAGCAAGCGCGGCAATTTGAGCGCGAGAACAGGAGGCCAACTTTTTCAAATTCTGACAGGAGAGGTCAATGCGCTGGACTTTATCTTCGAAGACGAAGCATTTGTCAGCGAATACTACCACGAACTGAATCAGACGGGGAAAGCGTTTGACATGTTGAGTGCATATCTTGATGCAAGAGCTCATAAAGATCCAGGACTGAAATATCTTGAAATTGGTGCTGGCACCGGTGCTACGACCACCCAGATTTTGGGCAGCATTGCAAGACCAGAGATAGGAACACGATACTCGGAATATCACTACACCGACATCAGTCCTTATTTCATAACTCACGCCACCGAAAAGTACGATAGGTTCCCGCGAATGAAGTATCTAATCCTCAACATCGAAGAGGATCCAACCCACCAAGGATTCGAGCAAGAAAGCTACGACATCATTATAGCTGCCAACGTCTTGCACGCCACGAAAAATCTCAGTGTAACACTTGCCAATACTCGAAAACTCCTCAAACCAAACGGACAACTCATCATGATGGAGATGACTACTCCTATGAAGATTGAGACTGGCTTCGTGTTTGGTCTGCTCCCTGGCTGGTGGCTGAGCTCCGAGGAGTATCGGCGCAATGGTGCGATCATGCTGGAGGAGCAATGGCACAGCGTCCTCAAGGAGCATGGATTTTCTGGATGCGAACAGATCTTCCGCGACTGGGACTCTGATCAATGTCACGGATGGAGCATCATAATAACTTCAGTCTCAACCCCAGATGTACCGATACTTGCAATTGGAGTCAAAGGCAAAACTCGATCGCTGACATTGGTCGCTGATATGACATCCCAGATCCAAACGCAAATCGGTGAGGGCCTCCAGCATGATCTTGGCGACTCTGGAACTTCGGTAGATCTTATCTCTCTACGAGACCTTTTTCTATTTGCAGATCTTCGAGAGAGGGATGTGGTACTCCTCGCTGGCTTGGAAAAATGTTTGCTGGACGAGACTTCCCAGCCAGCCTTTCAAGCTCTGCAGAGAATCCTCACATCTTCGAAGAGCATCCTTTGGGTGAACAACATGGGCTCAGCCCCGGACGATGCTCCGTACTGGGCCATGACTGATGGGCTCACTCGAGTTTGTCGTAACGAAGACATTTCTATTACCATGGCCACTCTTGCTCTAGAGCAATCAACATGCGGAAATAAAGACAAAGTTGTTCAACAAATTATCAAAGTAGTGCATCAAATCCACACAGGCAGTTCAACAGACACAATGGATCTGGATTGGATGGAAATTCAAGGGCGCCTCTGTATCAATCGTTTGAGCAAGGCGGACCTTGTAGACAAATATGTCTTCTCGCGAACAACAAAGCCGGTGCGAATGCGACAGTTTGGATCTAGTCCACCTCTCAAACTTCAGATCAAGACTCCTGGGCTATTGGATACTATCGAATGGATTGAGGATGGCGGAGCCTACTTGCCGCTGGATCCAGACTATATTGAAGTGCGCATTCAGACTGTCGGCGTGAACTTCAAGGAGTGTCTGACCCTCCTCGGCCGTGTGAATGTAGACCAGCTTGGCAGCGAAGCAGCTGGTTACGTCCATCGAGTTGGAGCCAGAGTCCAAAGGTTCAAGGTTGGTGACCGTGTCGCAGTAGCCACAGCAAACACATATCAGACCCTCGTCAGAGTCAGAGATGCTGTTCACTTGCCAGACTCCATGAGTTTCGTCGAGGCCGCTTCGCTACCTACAGCCTTTTGTACCGCCTATGTCAGTTTGATACGGACCGCGCGGCTCCAGAAAGGCGAAACCATCCTCATCCATGCGGCTGCTGGCGGCACAGGACAGGCTGCAGTTCAGCTTGCTCAGAATCTTGGCGCGGAAGTTTTCGTCACTGTAGGCTCTCATGGGAAGAAGAAAATTGTCATGGAGCAGTACAATGTACCAGAGGATCATATCTTCTATAGCCGCGATTCATCTTTTGCGGACGGAATCAAGCGTATGACTGGAGGTCGGGGTGTTGATGTTGTCCTCAACTCTCTTTCTGGCAAGTTACTCATTGCTTCTTGGGAGAGCATTGCCCCATTCGGAAGGTTTATTGAGATTGGGCGAAAGGACATAGATAGCCGCGGTCAACTTCCGATGTACCCATTTATCAAAAACACCATGTTCGCTGGTGTCGACCTCGCTGCATATATCATGGGCGAAGCTGATAATAGGGGACAAGAACAAATGCAGGAAGTCTTCCGGATGGCCGAACATCACATCATCCGTCCTCCCTATCCATTGACGACGTACTCACTCGACCAAGCTGAGGACGCATTCCGTATGTTGCAAAGCGGTAAGAATTCAGGCAAGATGGTCCTTGAAGTTTCTAATGAAGCTGTTGTCCCGGTCAGAGAAGGAGCTGATGGTGATTATCGGTTTCGCCCAGACGCCACCTATGTCGTTGCCGGTGGATTTGGGGGCATCGGACGCCAAATCACTCGCTGGATGGCTCGCCGTGGAGCTCAACACATTCTCGTTCTCTCTCGATCGACTCCCGAGCAGAATGCTGAAGGTGGTCGGATGATCTCCGAGCTTCGACTGCTGGAAATTGACGTGCAGCATGCTTCTTGTGACATATCCGACCTTGCTTCACTTCAAAGTAGTGTCCAAACAGCGATGACCACGAGGGCAATGCCGCGGATCGAGGGATGCTTCCAAGCCTCAATGGTGCTCAACGTAAGTCTGCCTCGTAGAAATTGTGCTGCAATTTATGATTGATCGTCCCTAATCTTGGAATAGGATCGACCGTTCAGTACAATGCAGTATTCGGAATGGAACGCTGCGATTCGACCGAAAGTTCATGGATCGTGGAACCTTCACAAGACGTTGCCCAACCAGATGGATTTTTTCGTCATGCTCTCCTCTGTAACGGGTATCGTTGGTAACCCAGGACAGAGCAACTATGCCGCTGGAAATACTTTCCAAGACGCCCTAGCCAGGTATCGTGTCTCTCGTGGGGAGAAGGCAACGGCACTTGATCTGGGCATCATCCTCGGAGAGGGTTTTGTGGCTGAGAATCAAGACATCCACGACAAGCTTGTCCGTCTCAATATGCTAGACATGATCTCCCAAGAGCGTCTCTTTGCCATGTTCGACTACTTCTGCGATCCAAGCATCTCAAATGGCACCAATGCAGCCAGCCAAGTTGTCGCAGGCCTCACCTCACCTGGTATGCTCCTTCAACGAGGTTCAGAAGTGCCGCTGGCTCTCCGTCGCAGCATGTTCCGCGCGATGCATCATGTTGATAGTGTGCAAGGTCAAGATGACGCGAATGGCGCAAATGAAGTCCTCTCGTCGAGTCTGGACGTGGTAAAGCTCTTTCAAGAATCCGCATCGGTGCAGGACGCCGGCGCCATGGTAGCGGAGGCGCTGAAGGCTAAGGTCTCGAAACTCGTCGGGGTCAATGTCGAGGAGCACACGGTCGACGATCGCATGGAATCATTTGGTGTGGACTCTCTCGTCGCATTGGAATTGCGGAATTGGATTTCGAAGGAGATGCACGCTGACATCGCGGTGTACGAGATTTTGGGTGACGCCAAGCTAAGCGATATTGGGTTGATGGTGGCAAGGAAGAATCAGCAGCCGCACTGGCATGAGAGTACCTAGAGTAAGGGGAAAATTGTAGAACAGCAATGGTTAAGATGATAAATATAAGAGCGGATAGAACTTGAGGATATACCTAATGAGTTCGGATGAACACGCTAGTGTCAACCTTAATTCCGGGCTTTAAATAATATCCAAGTGGAATGGCGACAACGATCGATCATGGACCGCATCAAAGGATGTCAAATAGTGACAAGGCTGCTTTAATGTTATTTCGCCTTGTGCCTAAAGCCAGGAGCCTCGATTTCTGACCAGAGGATTAGAATGAGAGCATGCGTTGAGATTGCCACCTCAATAGAGCAGTATACTTTATGAACTATTGCAGTTCTGGGGCGCTAAAGAAATCAATATTCTCTCAAGTGTTGAGAAAGTTGTCGCCATTAACAAGAGCTGACGAATAATTTGTCAGCGATTACGGCAGGAACTTGGGACATAAAGGGCACAGGTACGATAATATGATAATGTGAAGCATTTGAAGTGCAAAAAATAAGTTGAATTGCTATGATATCACTACTTGCATCCTCTCTGAGCTCCCTCAGTCACCTCTTGTACTCAATAAAATAGCTATCTTCATGCATTTAGTACGTTGGTACCATGAATGCACCGGCTCTCAGAATTTAACAGCTCTCTGAATCTCTCAACATGCACCGGCTCTCTGGATGCACCAGCGCTCAGCAACACAGCAAAACTAATAAAAGAAGAAGAGAAAGCGAAGTGGGAAGGAGCAGGATCTTATTCTCAGGGGGCTGTGGAGCTGTTCTAGCCTAATAAGGAAGCGCTCGGGTGCTCGGGTTTCAAGAAATGAGGGTATCCACAACTCAGCCCGCCCCCTACTCTACCCACGGGCGTTCCTAATTAGGCTTAAGTAGCTCCACTTTCTATTCCCCTTAAGTGGAAACTTTTGCGCTGTCAAAATCCTCTTCCTTTAATATCACTTTTGGGCATGCTGAGAGCTGGTGCAGTCAGAGAGCTGGTGCATTCAGAGAGCTGGTGCATTCAGAGAGCTGGTGCATTCAGACAGCCGGTGCATTCAGAGAGCCGGTGCGGTCAGAGGTAGTGCATTGAGTGCAAAAACTAGTTAGTTGAGGGAATTGAGAGGAGATGGCAGTGTTTAGTACTTCAATTTCATAGCAAATCAGAGCTTTTTTTGCGCTTTCACTACTTAAGACTTTCATATTATCATGCCTATGCCCTTTATGTCCCAAGTTCCTGCCGTAAGCGATGTTGTGCTACACAATTAAGAAACCAACATGCAGCCAAGGTACAGGGCAATCTATTCACAAACTTAGGATAGGAGATCTGGCAAGGTGGCTAAAAACGCAGCATGCAGCTTTGTACTTCCTTTATTTTGAGGACATCAAGCCTCGATTCACATTCTTCTTCTAACTAGCCTTCCTTGCATCCTCGTGGTTCCGCCCTTTTCTCTCGCAACCTAACTTATTAGTAAGACTCTCATCAACTTGAGCATGTCAACGGACGTCAAAACGCCACTGGTCGAGAGCAGTACACCTTAAATTAAAATGCCAGACCAACTGCCACCACTCCCGAAAAGGGTCGAAAATATACTTTTCCTAATGCTAGGAGATGCCAAGATGAATTACAGACTGAGAGAATTGGTATGCGAACGTAGCCTTTCCGTTCTACTCGGTGCTCGCACCTTCAAGGTCAGAAAACTGACAAGTATGGCACAGTACGAATATGGATCAGTCGGTCCCGACTTTTACGACCCTACCGCAATGAATGGGAAAGGCCGCGATGATCGTCCAAAGTTGGTCCAACATGAAGACATGTGCTACCGAGTCCAAGGAATGGAGACCGACAGGTTTGAGTCTGGCCAATTTACTGAGTCAAACAACTTGGCTACGAGCCACCCGACGGTATTCCAGTCGTTGGCACAAGTTTTGATCTTTACGTACGATGTGTCTTCTAAAGATTCGTTCCTGAACATGTGCGAGCGATATGAAGGATTGCCGACTCCTCGCGAAGGCAGAATCGAGATCAAGCTGATGAGAATCGACAGAAATATCTCCAAAAACGGCGATGTCCAGGATAAATTGGTGCATGAGGAAAGGTACATTTCAATGGATCACTTCCCAGTAGTCTTTGCTGGTTGCAGATATCCAGCTGAAAGTGTCAGAGAGGTTGAGAAGGAAGACGTTGAAGCTTTCGCTCATCATCATCCGGACTGGAAATTTGCTGGCGAATGCATGCTAGAGGAAGATAGACCCGAGAATGTTGATCAAGTGTTTCGAGTTGCTTTGGAGGTGTATCATAGCATTCGAAGAGTAGCGCTACAACAGGGAGCTCTGGACCACATTGTGGACTCTCGGCCGCACAAGCAGCAGAGGTCTCCTCACTGCTGTGTAGTACTGTAATTTGGTCGCAGGGGTTAATATTGCACACGAACATTGCCACATTGTTGCAGCAGGGGCTGGCAGAGTCGGTCACAATCTTTTAGTTCCTTTATCTTAGGGCGATCTTAGCCATACTGTGCCGGCTATTCATAAGTGTTTTCTTGCGGACGTAGACTGACGATGATTCGGCTCTTTCTTTCCAAATGTTGGAAATGCAGGCCAATTTCGGCACCTGCAGGTCCAAACATATCATCCATATGAGATTGTAGTACAGACACTGGAATACGCGGAAATTTTGAGGCAGCTTCAATTGCATGGTAAGTTATTGCGTCGGGATGTGCCAAAAGTTCTTCGATGGTAATACTGGCACGTCCTTCATACATTAAGGGGTATATTGCTAATTTTCTTGCGAGGGAAATAAACTGCAGCAGACTATCTTGAGCTATTAGCCATATCAAGAGATGTAAATTTGAAATCCCGATACCACGGTACGATCTTCTAGGGGAGATGCGATATCATATCTCGGATGGATATACTGGCGGCTGCAGTAGCCGCTGAGACTTTACTTCCGTTGGTCCCTCTTTTCTAGTCGTTGACTTCTGTGTATTTCAACGGTTGTGTCTTCAAACTCCAGTCTCACTTCCTTTTTGACAATACTACTTTTGTCAAGCGTTGTTTAGCCATGGCTCTACTGAAAGGGCGGTTCCTCCACGTGAGTCTTCTTGTTCTACTCTCTGGCACCATCGAAGCTGCCGTCCGCAATTCATCGACCAATACTTTATTACATCGTGGTCCATACCAATCAAAGCGAGTTGCAAATGTCTCATCTTCATCCGACACGACTTTCAACACAAGCTCTTTCCAGGGAGTGTCCCAGTCTCAGCTTGCAAATGCTTATGTTATTGTTGACAATGCCGTCACAGAATGGAGCGTCTACAAGAAAGTTCGATTTGAGAATCCCAAGCACAACATCTACACTTTGAAAGGCGCAACGGCACCTGAGTCTAATGCCGACGTGCCAGTCATCACTGAAGAAGTGGCAGCGGCGGCAGCTCTCGTAGCCGAGGTTGAAGTAGCACAGAATGGTGGCAACACCACAAAACCAATGCGGAAGGGACAAAGCGGAAGCTTTTGGATGGAAGATATCGAAAGATTTGGATCACAGCCCTATGGAGGCAACTCATCGTACCCAGTAAGATTAAAGTGAAACGACACAAACTTGATCATCTCTGACACTTGACCTAATAGGTCTTTCGAAATGTGCTCCATTACGGTGCACACGGCGACGGTACAACAGTAAGCTTTGCCTATAGTTCTATTTTCCCTGACTAATTTGTTGGAGGATGATACAAAAGCCATCAATGCTGCAATTCAAGACGGAAACCGGTGTGGTCCAAAGTGCTATGGTTCATCGACAAAGAATGCAATTGTCTACTTTCCAGGAGGGAGTAAGTACTATCGCACAATTCTGTCACTTCGCAGCACAACAATTACATGCTGACTTCCGCCAGATAGGACATATCTTGTCAGCAGTCCGATTATAGCACTCTATGGAACACAGATGATTGGAGATGTTGGTGGATCATTTCAGATGCAAACTTAGCTAACTACGCTAGCCGAATGATAGGACCATAATCAAGGCTACAAAGCGCTATCTTGGGCTTGGAGTAATATCAACTGACGTGTATACTGGCGCTGGTGGACAGGGAGTTGATGGTCTCGATCCAGAGTATTACATTAACACAGTACGTCTATTGGATGGGCTGATAAGGTTCGAAGCTAATCAAGAGCACTTACAGGCCAACTTCTACAGACAAATTCGAAATTTTGTGATAGACATTACTGATGCCACATTCGACCGTGAAGGCACAGCGGGCATTCATTACCAGGTCTCTCAAGCAACAAGCATGTTTAATGTTAGATTTATCTGTTCTTCCAATGGTAACACCAAGCAAAGAGCCATATGTAAGTTTTTCATTTTCATGATATCAGTCTTTGTGTCATTGACTAATTATATAAAGTCGCAGAGAATGGAAGTGGTGGCTTCATCAGTGATCTAACATTTGAAGGGGGAGCATACGGTATTCGTGAGTCTGCCAAGTGGACGAGTTATAACCTTTGCTGATGGAGTGCAAGAGGGGGGAAATCAGCAATTCACAGCTCATCGATTGACGTTTACGAATGTCAGGACGGCAATCTGGGTGTTCTGGGACTGGGGATGGGTAGGTCATGCAACAACGCCGCCAAGAAAACTTACCAACGATGACAGACCTGGAAGAGCATTCACATCACGGGAACGACCACTGGCTTCAACCTTACTTCTGAAAATGGTATTGTAAACCAGGCTGGATCTATTCTTGTGCAAGATTCGATATTCGAGAATGTCCAGAACGCAATTGTTATTTTCCCTCCCACGGACCAGCCAGGCCAGAATAATACAGGTGTCACACTCGATAATGTCGTCTTCAAAGGAGTCACAAACGCCATCATAGATAACAAGGGGAAACAATGGCTCGCTGGTAGCATAGGCTCCGTTGATATCTTTCTTATCGGGCCAGTGTACAATGAGCTCCAGCGAACCTTCTCCTTTGGCACCCAGATCTCAAGTACACGTTCCCCTGGCCTGCTTGGGTCCCAAAATGGACTTCCAAAGCCCGCTTTCCTGGAGCATGCCAGATCTCAATATGAGAAAGTTCCCGCGTCTCAGTTTGTTAGCGTCAAAAAGAATGGGGCAAAAGGTATGTGATCTTTAGAGGAATTTGCTCGAGACTAGTAACATCAGGTTTTAACTCAATTGCAGGCGATGCCTCCTCTGACGACACCTTGTCTATCCAGGAAGTTATCGATCGATGTGCTGAGACGTCAAGTATCGTATATATCGATGCGGGGTCTTACCTGATCACAGATACTCTGCGAGTACAACCCGGAACGAAGATAGTGGGCGAGCTATGGGCCCAGCTGGTCGCTTCGGTAAACCTCCATCTTATAATCTGCTTCTCTTTTTTGCTAGGCTCATTGTCGTTCACTCTGAGCGACCAATTCCATAAACGGATACAAGACTAATACCTTCTAAACACTTTGGGAGCAGCATTTTCGGACGATGCAAACCCGATGCCAATGCTTCAGATCGGAGAGAGCGGTCAAAAGGGTTCCGTCGAAATTCAAGACCTCCTCTTCACCACCGTTGGAGAGACAAAGGGTCTGATAGCTGTGGAGTGGAACCTTGAGGCAGATGAGCCTGGATCCACAGCTATGTGGGACTGTCATGTCAGAATTGGAGGGGCTACTGGTTCGCAACTAACATCACAACAATGCCCACCCGTAAAGTCTGGTGTCAACTCAGGCTGCACAGCCGGGTCCTTGATGTTTCGTATCACCTCATCTGCTTCTGCATATCTCGAAAACGTTTGGGTGAGCAATAAATCCGTGTCGAAAGGGTATTTGAGATTTATGCTAAAACGTTCCAGCTTTGGGTAGCTGACCATGACCTTGATGATGCAGATCTCAACAACGCGAATAACACCATGACACAAGTCAGTGTCTATGTTGCAAGAGGGATATTAATCGAAAGTCGGAAACCTACATGGCTGTACGGAACGGCCTCAGAACATTCGGCCTTCTACCAATACTCATTTTACAAGGCTAAAGAAATTTATGCCGGAATGATACAAACCGAGTCGCCATACTACCAACCCAATCCCAGACCTCCAGCACCTTTCAATTCTTTGACAAAGATCTTCCCTGGTGATCCTAGTTTCGAAGTTTGTACAACAAGTAATAATATCTCAGGGTGTGATTCATCAGTAAGCAGGAAATAAGTTTGCTTGTTAATGGTGGTTTTTAGATTCTTCATTGAATCATCCCTACCTCTTCTCTATCCTTCTAATGATATCTTTCTAACATGTTGTAGTGGGCAGTTCGGATTGAGAGATCGGCTAACATCTCGTTTTCCGGTGCTGGCCTTTACTCCTGGTTCAACACATTTGACGAATCATGCGTGGATGGTCGCACTTGCCAAAATTCAATGGTTGAGATGAAAGAAAATGGCAAAAACATTCAATTCCTGAATTTGATCACAATAAGAGCAAAGAACATGGTGACTACGGAGCAAGGGGAGATTGCTGGAAAAGATAACGAGGACTCGGGTGGGCATCCGAAATGGACTCATATCGCGGCTCTTCGAATGTCGGGAGACGGGGGTCCTGATGACAACATTGTTTATATTGACCCAATTGTCTGGACTCAACCCAACCCGCATCTCAATTGTACTCCACCTTGTATTTTCGTCGTCCCACCACATTCTCTACCGACCCGAACAACAATCCAATTCCCTCGATTTGTCACAAGCTTGGAAGTTGACTGGTTGGGGTCAAAATCAGGCGGCGGCTCAGAGCTCTCGTCTACGATTGTTACAACCACTCTGACGTTCTCGGATGTCATCCTCAATTCCATCGATTACTCAAACATTCACATAACAGGTAGTGGGACTATTTCAGACATAGTACCTAGAATGAGCATCGATCCTGGAACACTAGTAATCACAGACAATTACCCAGTGGGCATTACTGCTACTCCAGTTCTGAGAACAATCACTACGCCGCCATTTCCATGGTTTGGAATAAGTCCAACTGGTCAAGCATCGGTTGTGAGCTACATGTATGACGGAGCAATCATCCTCGTTACTAGCACAACGACCATAACCTTCGTAAGGACAGATGGCCATACGGTGTTATTTGGTCCCACCGGTATTGTCATTGATGGGAATCCAATTGCAAGTCCCACGACCACAACCACGACCAGTAATATCACCATCGGCCCTCTACTTCCTTGGTTCTCTATCTTCCCTTCGCGGACCGTATCTTTTGTCACCACTGATGTTCCAGGACCAACAACCGCACAGATTAATGGGACACCTGTTCCAGTGATTCCATGTAAGATCTTACAGCGTGGTTCTTCTTTGTAAGTCCTTATGCACATCTTCCAACTCCATAAGAGGGGGACAAAATTTGACACACCTACGATTGGATAGATTTGTATCGATCACAAATTAAAAGGTCTAATCCTATTCGGATTTGAACTTCCTGGTATATACTTTGGGTATGTGGCTCGCTCAAAGACGATGATGAGAGAATGTGCTGCTTATAGAGCAACCGATGCGGACTGTGGTAGATGGGGAGTGGTCTACCCAAAGGACCACACTAATGAAGATATGAACAATCGCATAGACGCTGCTATAAAGGCAATGATAACGACCGGAACGGTTTATAGGTCTCAGCCCAAGGTAAAACCAAAGGATGGCACACCAATGGGAACAATGTATTGGGCAGTCGAACGAATATCGGATGACCAGATTCAAAGCCTCAAAAATATGGTGGAGGTAAGCACATAACAGATTGACAATGTACTCGATTCCTGTACACTGCTAATTTGACAAAATTGTAGCTCTTATATTCGGAAGATGTTCCCAACGGGAATGCGTCTTGGGTAATGGGGCCAAATGTGACCATCCAAGTTCAAGAGATACAAAGAAGGGCGGATATCTTTCAACACGATGCGACACCAGAGATGATTACAATTTCTATGCCCCCTGAAGCCAATATGGGACAAATGGAAGGTCGATATATCTATGATGATTCCGCTGGCAAAGACCAAACAATCTACGCTGTAGAGATTGGCTTCGTGCCAAGCGATGTAGGTTCTTAAATCCAACTTTTTCCTTCTCAAGAGAGAACGCTGATAGGCTATAGGAACTCTCAAATCTACAACTACGACTTCTATATGCGGAGCCATGGTTAAGCGCCACTAAAACGGCTAGTGATTGGAAAGATGGCCATGGCGCCTGCGTCGCTGCAAAAATTGGTGGGAAAACAGTTGGGATCGCTAGAGCAGCGAAAGAAGTTGTTTTGACTGTGCTAAATGCGCCCAACGACTTTCTTCAAGATAGCTATGTTGATGCTTTGATCAAAATATACGATGATATAATTGGTGACAGTGAAAACGAGATCCCCAACAAATCGAAAACATCAGTGGTCAATATATCTCTGTCGAGAGAGCTATCGACAGACAAGGAAGTGAAATGGAGCCAGGCCATGATAAACAAGATGGGTGAGAGCTGACGAGTTGGATGATTGAACAATAAGGCTAACAAGATGAAGGGGTTATCATAAGGCAACTAGTTGCAGAAGGGGTGCCTGTTGTCGTCGGGGCCGGGAATAGAATAGGTCCTTTGGAGGGGTGGCCAGCGAGGTTCGGCATGAGAGATGCCCCCGACTAACTCGAAGACCTCATAGTTGTTGGAGCATCCATGCCCAGGGATGGAAACGAGAATGCGTATTTTTCTTTGGGGCGCCCGGCACTAGACGGGGGCTTTGGACCTGGGAGTGATATTACCGTTTACGCACCAGGCGCAGAGCTCAGGTGTCCAAATGGAATGGGAGGAATGTTTCTTGGAGGACCAAATGAAGAGGACGGTACCCGCAATGGCAAATGGGGTACATCATATGGTTGGTTGACGTTCCGCCCGTCCTCGTTCTAGGATGCTAACTTTAGCAGCTTCACCAACAGTGGCAGGTTTGGTTGCCTACTTCAAAGCTTTACAAGGTGACCAAAATGACGCAACAAAATTTCTCAGTCCCAGGGCAGTGAAAGAAAGAGTAAGAGATTTCGCGTGGAGGAGAAATGAAAATGCAGATTGGCCGTTATTTCCCCCAGTCATTTGGAACGGACAAGCAGGTCTATTTTGTGGTACATCCCTTTCGAGAGGATTAACTTCCATGGACCTGCCCATGAGCGCCGATGCCAACTTTTCTGCTCACGCCGTCCAGAAGAGACAGAGTTCAGGAAGCCAGTGCACCATCGACCCCTCAAAGACAAATCCTGCCAACAATCCCAACAAGGGAGGACCAACTTGGACATATCAGTCCGGCCCTGAGGGACCAACGTGCACTTCAGGGGGCTGTGGTAAACTTTGCCCAACCGGTTCTGTATTCTGCGGAGATCTGGGAGATAATCCTTTTAATCCGGATTTCTGGGACCCTCTCGACCCTCGAAGTCCTCAAAACCCTGCGAATCCTGATTATGTTCCACTAACAACAAGCAAGACAACTCAAACCCCAACATCAAAATCCACCATGACAACTACAACCGCTTCACCTACACCAACTGGTCCAGCATACGTGCTAGAGGTAAATTTAGATACATTTCTGAGTGAGCTAAACAACATCAATTTGTGGGCTTTCTTTGACGCAATGTCTAATCAAACTCTCCACATATGCGATTCGAAACCAGTTCTCCAGGCCAACGCGCCTAGCAGTCTGGCCCAAGGTACGCGGGTATACCCGAACGGTACTTTCAACGTCAAAACTCACGGGATGAATTGTGTATGGACGGGTGATGGCAAGGGAATTGGTATCCGTGATTTGGTCTGTCCTGGGAAAGATGTTACTTGTCGGGAAGCAGGCACAGTGTCTATACAGTGTCCTACCATCACTGACTTTACTGATGCCTATACCGAGAGGGCCTATTGTTCCTGGTACTGAGGTAATGAGTGGGAGTACTGAATGCATCTCGGCCATACAAGGCCGCTCAAATTGAACCCCCATTTTCTTTATAGCGCATGCATTGAGAATGCTATCTAATTTGAGTGATACATCTACACATGCATCTTGTTGCATTTTGGTACAAGTCCTCCACTTTAATTCTTTTGCAGATGGATGTAATACGGTGTGCTTCCTATTCTGTTCAGCGTCCGAGAACGCATTAATAAACAATTGAAAAGACAAGTATTGGTCTGTTGCCCCCTCGAGTGGATCGCTATCACTCAGTACGTCAAGGTTCCTTCCGTGCTCGCCTCGCCGCCGAAATAGGGGCCATCTGAAAATCTGATTGGTTCTATGAACGAAGCGGCTACGCCGCCCGCATCTTACATCAGATCAACTTTAGTTCCCGTTGGATCTTCTCCTTTTGGTAGCCAACAGATTTCCGATATCCGATATGCGCGCATCCAAGGTCAAGCAGTTGATATATAAAAGCTTCCTTCTTTCTTGTTCTCTTTTTTCAAATATCCGACCACAAAATGTCACAAGTGTATAGTATCCTCGTCGTTGGCGGCGGCATTGGTGGTCTATCTGCCGCAATCGAGCTCACACTCAAAGGGCACTCAGTCACAGTTCTTGAACGTACTTCTAGTTTACAGTCCATCGGAGGCGGAATCTTGATTTCTCCTCAAGCTTGCAAGATCATTGACACTTGGGGATGTTTCGACCGCTTCTTGAAACTTGATGTTATACGAGACAAATTGCAAATTTGGAGGTACGCTGATGGGAGTTTGATTGGAAGTAATGACTTCGGTTGGCAGAAGAATGTTTATGGATATCCGTATGTTCATATATCGTGCTTCTTGTAGGATTGCGCGAGTCGTTAACATCAACAGGACCCTCAACATCACGAGAGAGGATTACCAAAGACTGTTGTATGATCGTGCTCTAGAATTAGGAGTGACAGTCAAGTTTGGATGCAAAGTCGATACTATTGATCAAGCAGTCCCATCAATCACTCTCGCAGATGGAGAATTGTGGAAAGCGGACCTCATTATTGGAGCTGATGGTCAGTTTCCCTCGTATATATTGCAGCTAAGTCTCATTACGAATAGGAATCCGATCAAAAGTCCGCACAACCGTCCTAGGAGAAGTTGTCGACCCTCGCATCTCAGATACTGCATACATTTGCAAGATCTCAGGAGATGCCATGCGCGCAGATCCTCTCACAGCAGCAATCATGGCGCAACCGGATCCTCATGGATGGCTTGCTCCAGGTCGACATGTTGTCGCTTCTCCAGCTCAATGGGGAAAATCGTACTACATAATTCTGATACTTGATAAAGAACATGATCGACACCCTCCTATTCCCGAGGATGCTCGAGACTGGCAAACGAGAGGAGACATCAAGGAATTGAGAAAAATATTCGATGATCATGAACCCAAGCTCAGGAAGATACTGGACATGGTAGATGAGGAAAATTGCAAGTTGTGGAGGGTTGGTATGTTGCCAGACTTGAAGACTTGGATTAGTGAAAGCGGAAAAGTTGTCTTAGTTGGTGATGCTGCTCATGCCCTGAATCCATATTTGGCTCTGGTAAGATCACGCACTTCTCTTACAACCATCTTCAGAGGAAGTCGAAAAGGTGCTCGCTTACACGATGATAGGGAGCGGCGATGGCAACCGAAGATGTCGCAGTGCTGTCCGAGTGTCTGTCTCGCATCATCTCTCCCTCACAAATCCCAATTGCTATGAAAGCTTACGAAACAATTCGCAAACCCCGCGCGGAGAAATTGAAAGCGGCGTCCGAGTTTTCTGGACTAGAGAAGCATTATCCGGATGGAGAAAAGCAGAGGAAAAGAGATGAGTTGATGATGAAAAGTGCAGGTAGTCAGATTGCTGTTCCAAAGAAGGGAGAGAAGAACATGCATCCTAGTGCATGGGTCCATGGTTATGATGCTAGAGGGCATGCAAATACGGAACTTGATCGGTTGTTTGGAGATGATGGGACAGCAACGTTCAGGAATACTGTTCCGGATTCTTTTGGTGAAGGGTTGATTGCTTGATTATTCAGTGGAAAACAAAACCTCATGCTAGTGCAAAATAATCATCTTCATTGAATTCTAGAAACTACATCACATGCAAAATCCATCACTTTGATCCCTTCTCAATCTCCAACAATTGCTTCCCCAACTCCACAAAACACTCTTCATCACTTCTGAACGTCAAACCCAACATTCTTTTCGCCTTCTCGTTCGACACTGTATACGCTCCCTCAGGCAACGAGATTGTTCCCGGCTTTCCTACCGGAGTCCTCTTATCAAGTTCTGGGAAATTACTCCTAAGCAAGTCCGAGATCTCTTGAGAGGAAATTGCCTTCGAACTAACAATGATCCTCTCACTACCCGCCTCCTTTGTTGTCACAGCCCTCACATGCGCAGTGGCAAGATCCCGCACATCGACGTACATATGCACACCTCCTGGCGGCAATTCCGCATCCGTTGTCGAATTGATAAAGTTGTTGTAAATCCTCACATTACTCTCATTAATCTCCGCAACGGTAGCAGCAGGAGAATGCATCGGCCCATAAATCATAGGAGGATTGATGGACACGAAATCAAAGTTCGGTTTCTCTTCTTGAATGAAGTTCCATCCTGCTAGTTCAGCGAACTTTTTTGATGCTCGATAGGCGATTGCTTTATTGCCTTCTATGGCTTGTGTGTAGGTTACTGGGTTCCAATCGGAATCTGTGTATACTTTTTGAGGATTTGTTCCGATCGGCGCTTCGAAGTTGAGGACTGCGGCGCAGGAGGATGTATAGATGACTCTTTTAACCTCGGGTGCGTGCTCTTTGACTGCTTTGAGCAGGTTTGTGGTTCCTTCTATCGCAGGCAGGAGAAAATCTTCGTTCTTGGAGATGGAAGCGAAGAAAAATGGGGATGCTTGATGAAGGACTGTCGTGAATGGTGGATTGGCTTGAACGACTTGATTGAATGCTCCCGGGATGGTCATATCTGGTACGATACCGAAATCCATTTTCGAAGCGTATGTAGGGAAAATCCTTGACAGTTGGTCGGCTTTGGATTGTGAGCGGACGACGCTACGGACTGAGAACCCAGCCTTGAGAAGTTCAGCGAGGATGTGGGTTCCTAAGAAACCATTTGCGCCTGTGAGGAGAATACGCTGAGACATGTTGCTGCAGATTTGAGATCGTGGAAATGCTGGCAATGTTTCGTTTGAAGATGAAGAGATCGAAATTCTTCGATTGACATAGATATAAGATGGATGAGGAATGAGGAATGAGCAATGGATTGAGGAAATGAAGCACAAGATATACTTATCTTTAAGCCGGTGATACTGTTAAGTCCATTCTATACCCGTTCATGATGTGGATTAGATCCCGAAATTGATGCTGTTGATGACTGAACTTGACGCTTAGATTGAGGGAAGATTTAGACGCGAGCAGACTGAAGGTTACGTATCATGCATCCGAGACTTTGAAAATTGTTCAACCAATAAAAGTTGAGAATATATTAGCTGCGTCAGCAAGTCTCTTTACTCCGATGAGAATTCGGAGATGAGGCACTTCGCCGAAATCATCGCAGGGAATGGACATAGCGGATAAGACACGACTCCGAAGAGGAATTACTTAACTCATACGCTCGATGTAATGGGAACAACGTCCAACCATAATAGTGGATTAACTCCTGAAGTCTTTCTATACATGCAGGAGGAAATCTTCGACGAAAAGTCGGCCTCACCCACGTGACTAACCCCGCCCCCTTTTTGGCGGGGTCGCTCGGCGGAATCCCGCTCCAAGTACGTTCGCGACTTCCCGCTCATGTATCCAAATATAACTTAGAAAATCGATTGTTCGTTGCTGCGACTTTCAATACTTTGATCCTTCCTTACACTTGTACAAAGTCTGGAAATTTAAGCTTTTGAAGTCGACGTCACTGCCGCTCCAATTCTCATGTCGTCATCTTTCCGATTTCCCTTTTGACTTATTTAGTTCCTCATGCTGCTTCTTACTTCATTCCACAATTACTCTGATCGACTCAATGTACAGAAGTCTGCAACAACTCAAGATGAAAATTGCCATCACTGGAGCACGAGGAACTGTCGGTAGATTGGTAGTCAAGATCTGCTCTGAAGCAGGTCACCAGACTGTCCAAATAAATCGAACAGATCAGGAATATGACGGTACCAAGAACTCCGAAATGAGAACAGCAGATGCAGCAAACAGCTATGACGATACTCTCAAAGCGTTCATGGGATGTGATGCTGTAATTCACCTTGCCGCGATCCCGAATCCAGTTGATATAGAAGACTGGAAAGTCCACAGCAACAATGTCAATTCTGCATTCAATGGTTTTCGTGCCGCAGCCGACCTTGGTATCAAGCGATTTTGTTATGCATCATCTGTTAATGCAATCGGATTAGCATACGCAAATCAGCCATTGTCTTTCGACTACTTCCCTATCGATGAAGACTATCCTCACAAGCCAACGGATGCCTATGCTTTAGCGAAGCAAGAATCAGAAGTTCAAGCCAGAGCACTTGTGAACTGGTTCCCTGGAATGAACATTGCGTGTTTGCGCATCCACGAAGTTGCTCCTCTCAAGGATGTTCAGAAAGAGCATCAAGAAAACTGGGATAAAGCAGCTGTCATGCAACTTTGGGGTTGGGTGAATCCTGAAGCTACTGCGAGAGCTTGTTTGTTGGCTGTTGAGACGGATAAAGTCAAGGGATGTGAGATTTTCAATATCATTGCACCTACGATGACGCAAGAGACGAGTTCGCAAGAGTTGGCAAAGAAATACTTCCCGAAGGCGGAGATCAGGAGAGATATGAGCAAGAATCAGGCATTTTGGACGACTGACAAGGCAAAAAGGTTGCTAGGGTGGACTCATGACGAGAAGCAGTAAAGTACCGCAATAATTAGAACATGAAAGAATATCATTCCAGGGCCTGTAGGACAATATACGTGGGAAAAGTGAATCTTTCGAAATTCGAGATAAGAAGACTTAAATTGTCCGACAAACTCTGGAACAGTATTATATTGTATCCCAGCTTCGATACAGTCTAGCTATGAAGTGCGCCTCAAGGTCCACTTTGTGGCATGTCTGGAATGTGGGGTTACATTGCGAAGCATCGCATGATGTTGGCTATACGAATTGAAATGCAGAATTCAACACGTGATAGAGCGCAACTTCAACAATATCTATAAATACAACTTCTTCCCCTGCTCCATGCTTTGCTCTACTCAAGTTCAACAACCATGTCTTTCAATCCCTCCATCACAGATGTCCAGAAGTACCTGAAAGCAGACTTCCAACCTATTCATGAGGATCTCTTCTGGGAAGCAGCTGAGTCCAAAACGCCCGAGAAATGGCAAGAGGAGCTGCAATCATCGATTCGAGATCGTCTCAAAGATTTCGATCCTATCAAGCAAGGCTGGAAATTAATAGTTGAGAAGGCATGCATCACGGTCTCAGACATCCGCCTCATGCTTCAACAATACCCTTCCGAACACAGAGAGCAGAAGAAACAATATGTCGTGGCTTCAGCCAATAAAGCCAATTACCTCGTGAATGTACTATTGGGTCGAATTTCAACCAAATGGTATCCAGACGTCGAACATCCCGCTTTCGACGAAGATGATGAGGCGTACAACAACTTCCTCATCCAATCACTCCACGAACTCATGAACTCGAACCCGAATACAGCGATGTACAATCGATTCTTCTTTGCATCGAAACTCAAATGTGTCAACGACCATGGGCGACTACCGAAGAATATCGAGCTGCAAGGAAAAGAGAATTTGCCATTCATGGAACACATTCAACAATGGAATGACAAATACGGATTCATCCTCGTCTTCGGCGACTCGCCTCTAGATTGGGATACCAAATTATCGAAGATGGCCATCGAGAAAGCCAACAAATGCCTTTCCCACAACAGCCCTCAATGTTCCACCAAATTCATCACTTGTGGAACAGCAATGCGTCCCTTTGGAACAACAATCGTTGAATCATTCGAACTCAAGCAATACCTTCTCAGCCATGGAGTCTCTGAAAAGAATATCTTGATCGATACATGCAGCGAGCATACCAATACCAATATCTGGAATGCAGCATGTCTAGCCTTCGAAGCTGGGATGCCGATCGAGAAGAAGATGATTGCCTTTATGCTGGGGGAGCAGTTTGCGTTTGTTGCAGGGAACAAAGATGGTGGGATGAGGCAGAGGACTAAAGAGGAGGTTTGCCCGGATATGTATGATTATTTGACAATTGAGAAGGGGGATATTGATGGGAGTGTTGTGGTGGGATTCAAGGAGAGCTTCAAGGACTGTCCGAAGTGGAGGTTGCAGTGGAAGAATCACGTTGGGAAGGAAATTGAGGTTGAGGATATTCTTGAAGAGGGGTTTGAGTATCTTTGAGGATTGTCGGGGTTCTTGAACTTCAAGCTAGCGTTTTCTTGGTTGCTTTTCTGGAGTGGATCACTGAATAGATAATTTGAAGATTTCCACGGCTCTCATTAAGGATATAAGTTTGCCTGCGTTGCTACATAAATATTTGCCGTGTTGTATGACTCGGCTACTTTTTCCGCACCCAACTGTGAAGATAAGCAGATCCCACTGTTGCTAACCATAATCACTTCCAAACTGCGCAGGAATCAAGGCCTCCTCTTCCTTTCCACCAGCTAAGGATAGAACAATGTTCAACACCAAAACAAAAAAGCAGTACAAGTGCTGACATGATTACCACATTTTTCTTGTAAAGAAATGAAAGCATAGCCATGGGGACGTCCCATCACACAACCAGCTCCCCATCAGCAACAACATCCCAAATACCTTCAACATCCTTCCAAGTACTCATCTCAAACTCCTTCTCCCAATCCAAATACCTCTGCCACGTCGAAATCACCGTCTCAAGAATCTCCTTGAAACTCGTCACATCATCATCCTCCCTCGCAATCCTAGCTCTCTGCTTCAACTCCGCAAAGTGCTGGAACCCAGAATTGAGATCTTGGTTCATTTGCGTAGCCACATGATTGCAGTGCGCTTTGATTTTCGTGAGTAGCACTTCGAGTCGCCAGTAGCCGTCGAAAACTGGACTGGGAGGAAGTGAGGGGGTTGATGCAGCAAGTTGCCGAGACCATGATTGTAGAAATTCACTGAGGTTTTCGTTTCTCTGTCCTGGGTCGAGGAGCTGTAACATGTAATCTCCCCCGCTGCCGGCTTGAGACATGAATATTGTGATCGAATCAACACAAGCTCGTCCGATGTCACAAAGTCGTCTGGAGGGACGGAGAAGCAATTCTATAACGGAGAAGACTTCGTCTGGATCATTGTAGGCTTCGCCGAATTCGAACTCGATCTCTAAGCAGTTGATGCGTCGTCCGGTAATTCGGAAACGATTCACCAGTCGATGAAGGTGATCGCTGAACTCGTAGAGTCGTTGCAACCGAGCTTGGCCGTTCATTGTACCATCATTTTCATTGAGAACAAACTTTCCGAAGAAAACGATTTCGATCCGGAAACGTTGGATTAGGTTGAAATACCTTGGGCTCAGTGGTGCTTGCCAAACAGGTTCCAGTTGAGTTGGTGCTTGAAGGGCATCAGGGAGGTATGGCGGTATCGAATAGTTTGCTGGTGCAGGATGGGGATATGGTGTATTCTGAGGTGGAATTATATGATTTCTTGCCATCATAAGACGTCTCTTGTTTTGTTGATCAAGTAACATAAGTTGCATCTGATAATCTTGCAGAGCATGACCATGATTCCCATAATGAGGAAGGGGCAATTGTTGTTCCGAAGCAGAATTGCACATCCTTAACCCATGTTCGGAAACTTGGATAGTAAACGTATTGGATGAATACAGAAGCCTGCTTGTCTCGTCATGTATTTGTTGGTTGACACGAAGGATGGACATATGAGTTTTCTCATTGTCAGTCCTCCGATTGGTGTGACCGTAACTAGAAGGGATGGTTTTGTTCGGCAACAGCAGATCGCTACTCAAAGAGTTAGTACTGTAAAACTGACATGAGCTCTGAGAGCTCGAAAATCTCTCGGAATATTTCAAAAGACTTTGTCTTTTGCCAGGACTCCTCGGGCAGCTTCCAACTTCAAAACACAGATTATGAACAAACTTACTAAATTCGATTTCTCAACTCGAGTGGTATCTTGAGGAAATAACAAGGCATCGCATGGTTGGTGTGTGCCGCGCAACGTTGGAATGAATGCGGAATCCACTGGCAGATTCTTCCACAATCAATTCCACACGCCAATGGCACCTTGCAGTATGCAGCCCTTTTGAACTGATCTTGATGAAGACGGCAAGTTGGCATCATTGGTGGTTGAAAGGAAGCTGCTTTCTTGATGCACTGAGAAGTTTTGTTCCTTCTAAGGGTCCCGTAACATATCTTGAGGCCAGCATCATCATGGAGTCTACACGATTGGAGATGATCGATGGGTGTATTTCCACGATTGTGGGTAGGAACTGGTGGAAGTGCGACAACTGGTGAGAGTCCGAATGTGGTGATTGGAGAAAGCGTAGTAGGGCTCCAATTGTCCGAAATATATTCCATCATGGCAGTCTTCTTACATCATCCCGCTGCAAGGGTGGACTGAAACCTCAAGAGGTCGATTTGTGCTCGAAGAGATTGAAAATCTTCTGCGACAACCGAATCCTGGATGGTTCAATCAATGAAGAACAGCTTACGAAGGAAGATTTGACTGTCGCAGACAATTGTATCGAAGAAAAAAGAACCAGATATTAAAAAGAAAGAGAGATAAGCAAAGGGAGAAGAAAAGAAAGTTGGTTTTATAGACGAAGCGGGAAAAGAAAAGACGCCCGAGTGAGTGAGCGAGAAATCACAAAATGATTTGTTTGCCTTGTTGCAGCCTTCCAGGTTCCCCCCACCCTGTGACACCACCCCTCGCTAAGCGAGCCAATCCAGGGGGGCGATTGGCGACTGTCTGTCTTGCTGCAACGCACCACTTTCGGTTGCCTGCATGCCGCCTTATCGCCGCCTCACAAACGCCCTCTCTTGTACGAAAATGAGCTGCGACATCCGAACCATCTCTCCTAGTTGTCAGGTAGTCCCAATGCCTCCCTTCTTGTGGGTGCATCAGTGTCAAAGTATGGCTTCTCGGCTAAAGAGGTGACTCTTGTTCCATGACGAGGCTCTGATCCCTCGTAATCCCATGAGGCATTGTGGATCGTGATGCGGTTATCCCTGAATTGTCAGTTTGTTCACAATATACCTCTGGAACTCACTTACCACAAGGCACTTGTTCTCGGGGTCCACTTGAATCGAACTTGAATGTCGACATTTTGCTCATACACATCGTACAGGTAATTCAAGATTAAATCGCTCTCGGCTTTATCCAATCCCACGATTTCTTTGGTCATGGCTCGATTAACGAAGAGAGACTTCCACCCAGTGGCCGGATGAACTCGAACAATTGGATGAATGCGCTCGATGCGCTTCGGTCCTGCAGTTGGATCGTTGCGGTCGAGATAAGTGTGCGCGCTGACATAGACAGCTTTTCTGCCATCAATAATTTTGCGGAATTCAGGGCTGAGCTTCGAATAGGCAGCATAGCCGCTCGCCCAAAGTGTATCTCCACCAATGGAGGGAATCGTATCATTATGCAGGTGAGTGATGCCTGCGGGATGCTTCTCGTGGACAAGATCACTGCGAAATGTTAGACTGGATAAGGCATTTTATGAGGCGGCATACGTGTGCCATTTGGAAGCTCCTCCTGGTTGTCTGAACGATGCCTTCCTTTCTGTTGCTTGAAGTGCAGGCCAAATGATAGTGACTCCAGGGACGCCCGGAACATGTGGGACTTGAGGCTGGAAAGTGTCAGTCATATTCTGTAAGGCTGAACATCCTCTTACATGGATCTCGACTTCTCCAAAATGTTCACCGAGCTTCTTCTGTTCTTGAGGGGTAAGATCTTGGTCTCGGAAGAATACCACAGATCTTTCTGCAATTAACAAAGCCAACTCGTCCCTTTGTTGATCGGTCAAGTCTTTTAATTGCAGACCGACAATCTCAGTCCCAATGTGCTTGGTCAAGTCAATGACTTCCTTTGCTGCAGAGAATAGAGCGCTCTTGGACTTGTCAGCTCGCGCACCAGCATCCACATGTTCGCGATCCACATTTCTGATTTCAATTGCATCGTCAAGGTAGAGAGGCTTGGCAGGACGTTCGGGATAGCCGTTGCTCAGATTTATGCCCGCTTTCTCCAAGCGAGCGCGTGCTGCAGCTGGCAGTGCAAGAGTGTCTTTCTTTTGTACGACATAATCCTTGATTCGAGAATCAATTGGGAGAACTTCAGTTGCGGATGGAGCCATTATGATTTTGATTTCTTGTTTGAGTAAATTTGATACTTTTGAGATTAACAAGTGATGGTCGCGAGTACTTGTACTTTCATTAACCTCGTTATCGAATAATCATACGAGACAGATCTGATTTCTAATTGTACGTATCTCGTTTTCCGCGCCTGCAATTACGTCTTACAAAATGAGGGGTAGCTTTGTTGACGATCTCGCAATGGATCAGCGTTGAGTGGTCGCGAAGTGTGGGGTTGAGTGATTGCGTGCTCCAACCTTAAGTTTACGACACTCAGAATTATCACCACCCTCAGCCTACCTTCTCCTATTCTAGATCTTTGATTGGCGGGTGAGATATAAAATGCCCGTTCTGTCCGCACTTGTGAGCACATGCATCTCTTATCTTATCGAAGCTTTCCATCAGCCTGTGAAAGCATTCCACTTTCAATTATACGTGGCGCGGACGATAGCGAGAGATATGCGGTAACGGGATTGCAGTTCTGGTAAGCTCGGATCATTGTCTTGGGGTGTGCTCGGAAAATGACCGTTTTTGGACTTCAAAGATCAGCACGCCATTTTAATTCTGACTTGATCATTTTGTACCCAGGTGCGAACATCATCCACTTCTTGTTCTGAGATGAGTTTTTGGTCATCAAGGGATACAAGATGGATCTCATCGTCAATCATACCTTCTCGTCAAACTCATCGACCAAGACAACAATCATACTTGTTGGTAGCTATGTCAGATGATAGAGAGGATGTCAAAGCGGGCAGTCCAGATGTAGCTGCTGAATTTGAGTCCGAAGGCAGCGGCTCAGAGATGTTGTCTGAGAAAAAAGCACCATGGTGGTCTTATATTTGGGTGAGTTATATAAAGAATTCTCAGATCTCACTGACATGAGTAGGATTACGGCCCAGGTAGATCTTTTGAGGAGGTCAAATTCATCCAGAAGCTCGACATCGGACTTCTCACCATTCTTTCCTTGGGATATTTTATCAAGAACCTAGACCAGACCAATATTTCAAACGCATACGTCTCTGGGATGAAAGAAGCTCTGAAGATGAATTCCAACCAATTAAACCTGATCGATATCGCTTGGACAACAGGTTACGTTATCGGACAGCTTCCATCACAATTCATCCTCACCAAAGTCCGTCCATCGATCTGGATCCCGTCTTGCGAACTTGTTTGGACGATCCTCACTTTTTGTTTGGCGGCAGCAACTTCAGCGAATCAGGTCATCGCCATTCGATTTTTTGTAGGCTTAGTAGAGTCGATTTTCTATCCTGCAGCACATGTCTTGATAGGTTCTTGGTACAAACCTTCGGAACTTGGCAAGCGAGCATGTATCTTTCATGCTTCAGCGGCAGCTGCTGGTATGTTCTCGGGGTATCTGCAAGCAGCAGTGTACAAAGGTCTTAATGGTCATCTTGGGAAAGCAGGATGGCAGTGGCTTTTCATCATGGACGGAGTTATCAGTACACCGATTTGTCTGGCGGGATTCTTCTTGATCCCGGATCTACCCGAGAATACTCGGGCATTTTATCTCAATGAAGAAGATTCTGCATTGGCTAGAAAGAGAATGGATGATGTTGGACGAGCCCCTAGGAAGAAATTGGGCTGGTCAATTTTGAGAAGAGTTTTTACGAGGTGGCATGTTTATGCTTTGACGGTGCTTTACATCATCTTCATTAATACAGGTCCTTCATCGAGTGTTTCGCCAATGGCTTTATGGCTGAAGGCAACCGGTTGGCCTGTCACACAAATTGTAAGTCTCAAGCTCTATAGCATGTCCTATGCTGACGAACGAGAACATCATTCCAACGGGACAAAGCGCGGTCCAGCTTGTTACGACAGTCACTTTTGCTATGCTCAGCGATTTTCTTCGCAATAGACCAGCTGTGATGTCCATTTCAACAGTGCGTCTTCCACTACTCTTACTAACGCAGCTAATTGTCTTAGTTCTTTGGATTCCTCTCTGCTCTCCTTCTTGCGATATGGACCATCCCAAGTGGTCTACATTGGTTCGCGTACTTCATCTCCAAAGCGGCCGTCCCTTATGGTCCATTGTCAATGTCCTGGGCAAATGAAATTTGTGGTGCCGATGCAGAAGAAAGAGCAGTCGTGCTCGGAGTTATGAATGCGAGCGGGTATGCAGTCAATGCATGGTTGCCGCTGTTGACTTACCCCGTGACGCAAGCTCCAAGGTTTAAGAAGGGGTTTGTGTTTAGTACAATTGCCTTTGTGGCGCAGTTTGGAATTACGGGGCTGGTGGCTTGGTTGCATAGGAGGGAGAAGGGAAAGAAAGTCTCAATAGAAGAGGGAATCTGAGCCTCTCCAGAGGTGACCTCTTCGAGAGGTGAATAAACGATATTTTCTACTACTAAAGGCTTGCAAACGCGCAAGAGATCTTCAAGATCTAGGTTCGTCACGAACCCGGTTCAACATCAACCAATTAATTCTGTTCTCGGAACAGTACTGCTTTCAAAGCAGGAGCAACCACAAGTTGCCTATCTCAACACGAGATGCTTGCAAACACGCAAGAGATTCTTCAAGAATCTGTACTATCTACAAGGTTCGACACGAACCACTGTTCCAGAACAGTACTGCTTTCAAAGCAGGAGCAACCTTAAGGTGCTCATCTGATGTAGATGGGTGCGTTAGAGATGTGAGGTGTGAGATGGAGTGAAAGATTAGGCACATCAAGGAGATCCAGCCAGACCGTACCACCTCAATTCTTCATCAGAGTCCATGTGGTCATCAGTGTTCAGGCCCTCCTCGATAATCTTCTTTTCACCCTCGGCCCTCTCTGGTGGAGACTCCTGACCACTGCCTGTCTTCTGGAAGTTGCCTCCATCTTGTGCAAGCAATTGCGAGTATTGGGCAAAGAAACTATGTCCAACGGGAAGATTATCAAAGACCTCCATCATAATAAAACGAAGTTTTGCAACGGCTTTGTCGACCTGTGATAGCATATGGTCTTTGGAGAGCATCAAACGCCCAGTGACCTCCTCGTCTACAAGGCGGCGCTTGATTTCCTTCTGTGCATCGATCTTGCTAGCCTCGCTCTGTGTTTCCGTGGCTTCTACAAAGTATTCCCACTTTCTCTTATTTCCTTTCGGAGCTGTAGGAGCTGTAGGGCTCACCGTCGCGGTATTTGTGTTATTGTTGTTCGCCAGTGAAGGTCCAGAAGTCTGCGGCTCTAAAGTGACACCTTGGTGGTATTGCGGTCCTGCATTAAGTGAAGAGCTTGCGGTGTGTTTTGTCACTTCTGCGAAGATGCGATCTGGGACTGTGACGTAGCCTTTCTGATTGTATTCGAACAAGAAATCGTCGATATATGGACTCAGACCATTGCGCTTGTATCCCCAACGGAGCTGCTTCTCGTACTCAAGCAGAAATGCATACGCACTCTGAGCTCGATGATACGGAGGCGACTCAGACTGCACTTTCTCCTGCGCCTGAACCCATATGTGGAAGAAAATTTTATCGTCAGCGACTGGATATTCCCCTTCGATGGTGACCTTGAAGTACCCCTCGACAGCACTGATCGATTTTCGATCAGCACCGTACAAGTAGCATTTAAAGACAGTGTATATGGGAATCTCGAATTCGATATCTCCGCTTTCATCCCTCCACGGCCAGTGAAGATGTCGTCTGTCAGTCGCATGGGAGCTATGGGTTGGTACCATGCCTCCACCTCGACCTCCACGTGATCCGCCGCGACCTCTGCTAGCCGTTTGTTGCGGCTGCTGCTTCTGTCGATGTTCGTTGTCACTGGGTGAAATCCCTAGAATGGTAGAGTGTGGTATAGGGCGTGGTCGATTTGATCCTCCAAAGTGGCCGCCGCGCCCATGAGCAGACAGCGTACTGCCGATCGGATTGGTGGTAAGGTCCGGTGGACCAGCAAGTAGAAGCGTCGATGTATTTATGCCCTAGATTTCAGGAGTCTGCATCTGGGGAACGACATTTGGATCTGATGGAAGACCCATGTTCTCGAACGCGGCAAGTAGAACTGCGTGACCCTTTGCTCTTTGGGGTTCGGAAACTGGGAAGGCTGGGTTGCCTGGTGGGACTATGGAGTCATTAGCCAGAAAATACACGCCCGAATGATCGATCTATCTTACAGAGATGCTTCCAGCCATACCAGTCAATGTGCTTGTTAGTAAGCGGTAAATTGAGCTCGTCCTTCAAGATAGCCTTGTGGCGAGGCATTGTGATATTGCGGATTGCAATTCTCATTTCTTCTGCATGCCCCGGCGGATAACCCGCCTGTCGGGCTTGTTCGTCAAGAACAGGACCAAGTTTGCAATATTTTGACATATCGCTGAATCGAAATCGTGGTGTTGATGTTGACTTCGTTGAAGAAGAAAGAAAACGCGAAGCGCGAGATAAAGTTATTTTGATATAAGGTTTCTCGGTAGCGTTGTTTCACGTGAACATAAAAGTGAGAATTTAGAAGAGGCTAAGATTTTAGGGCACGAAACCCGTGGTATAAAAGTGAACGAGTTGTAAGCAGACCTTTTCTAATTTTCGTCCAAAAACGCAGCAACAATTGCGCACCACAATGGACGGCAACGAAAAGAACAAGAATATAGATGCCATCGGGCCACCTACGATCAAATCATCGACGAATATCGAAAGCACAGGATCTGAAAATTCCCAAAGGTTCAGTGCTACCATCCTCCCCGGATCTGGTGTCAATACCACGCAGGCCGCGCAGGCAGAACGCGGTCTCAAATCGGGAAGATCCACTATCATCAATGCACCGACTACGATTCCACAGCCGAATGTGATTTTAGATGGGCCGCCTGCTACAAGAGACAGCAGCATAGAAGTAACGAGCCAAATGATCGAGCAAATGGCTGCCCAGTCGTGCGCGACTCCTGTTGCTCCCCCGAACTCAGCAACAACCAGCGGCCACCTAGCCTCGCTGTTGGATCGCTTTGCGACGATGCACAAGGAATCGATGGACCTTCAACGAGAAATACTGGCTGCTATAGTTACTTTCAATGACAATGATACTTCTGCAGACTCGCCTGTCTTTATTGCGCCCTCGAACCCACCAACTGCAAAGCGTAAGCTTATAGAAGAGGATGATTCTGCCGCCCCTGCGAGTTCTAGAGTCAAGCTAGAACCGACACGAGAAGAATTCGTTATTGCGTCTCCACGCGAGGATCCAATGAGGAATCATCGACGAGGACGAGGTCGTCGGCGCCGAGGAGGTGGTCAGGCTCAGCCGATAGACAACAACACGAAAATGGCAATCTCAGGTCATGTTTTCGGACGCCCGAAAGACAGGATTCGTCTGCTATCGGGTGCGTGGGATCCTTTACGAGAGGTTCCACGACATGAAACAAAAGTCGGCAGACGACAGCTCCTCCAAGACGATCTCGAGATGGTAGCGAGCAGTGCTCCCCGACAATCACAGCCAGCCAACCCTCCACAATTGCGTCATCGATTTCGATCAGATTAGTCTAGTCTTACACGCAAGGAGGAGGAGCTAGCTGATGATATCAGACAGACGCTTGCCACCGACTACTGCAAGAATAACCGCGAACTCAAAGCTCGGGATATTCGACACTACACCAAGGAAGATTGCGGGAATTGCGGAGAGAGACACCCAGAAGCTACCTGTCCGGTCAACTTCTGCGGGACTTGTAGTTCCCGAGGTCACCGATCCTCCAAGTACCCGAAGTCGCAAAAGGTTTGCACCTGCTCGCACCATCCAGGGCACTTGCTGAAGGAGTGTAAAGAGCGCTGCCTCTACGAACCCTGCAACAGAGCGCACTCGGCAATAAACTGTCCCAAGCGATGTTGCAAATGCGGCTCATTCCAACACAGCGGCCGGGATTGCAAGGAGGTCATTCACTGCGGATGCGGTCGAGGCATTCACTTCGCTCAAAAACACGGAGGTGGATGTATGACCAAAGGTTGTGGCTTGTACTTCTGTCACTTGCATTGCGATACGTGCGGCCTTTCTCCTGCATTGCACCCGGCCGGGCGATGCACTGCCAGTGTTGTGCAGGACTTCGTGAATCCCGTTGCTGGTGACTTCAACACCGACCCTTCCATCCGCGGCACAATCAGAACCCTAAAGTGCCTCCATCACGAGGGGACATACAACTTCGGAGAATGCTGTCTGAGTTGTGACAGGGAACTTAAGTCTCGAGAACTGCAGAAGTTGATTGATATCGCCACAGATGCCGAAAACCTGGCAGTCATGGAGCAGCAAATGTATGATGGCTGGGAGAGTCGTGTGATGGTACTCAATGGCATTGGCGATGAGGCCCGCGAAAAACTTCTCAGACGTCTCGACGAAGAAAGAGAACGAGAACAAAAATATCTGGAGTCAATACAATAGACGGATTGCACATCCTTCTGGCACTAATAGTGTCAACTCCATTGAATCTCATCTTTCCGATCTCTTCATGCATCGATTGATGCAAAGTAACAATTGTTACCTGTGCAAATGGCACATTGAAGCGTTGATTATACGCTACACTGTCTATTGACAACTGTGAGAATTTCACATAGCTGCTATTGCATGCACCGTGTTGATTATTACACGCCCCGCGTTGATTACACGCTACTTTGTCAATTGACAATTGTGACAATTTCACCTGGCTGCGATTGCACGCCGCGGCATTGTCTTAATGCTACTTGGTATCATGCATGCCGCATTTAAAATGAATGGATTTATTTCCCTTCAGCTCCAACGACCATGACGAGAAGCGAGGTTTGCAACATGCGTGAAAGTCACCGAATATTTCTTTCATATATTCATTTCTGTCCCAAGTGGCGTGATGTCTAAATATAATTAGATCCCATCCATTATTATCCAGATGGTATCAACCTTAAGATCAAAAAACCTGCCATGGAACTGTTTACATATTTGTTTTTGGATTAGCGAAGCCCCCCTATTTCTACGGCACCCTGAAGTTCTTCGGTCGCTAAATTCAGGGGGCGGGGTACTGAATGTGGGGCTAGCAAAGGCTGCACATCAGCGTCAAAAGCAAGCCCATCACAAAATTTCAACAATCAAATGTAAGAGATTATTTTTGATAAGAGATTTCGGTCATTATTTTGTACGCAAACTTTACATGATGGGTAAAAGCTCAAGCAATCCCAGGAATTCTGAAATTCGCTGCCGACGAAGCTAGTGCGGTGCGGGGTCCAAGGGGGAATTCCGATCATCTCTCGAATAGAGTTTGAGGGGCTCATATATTACGACAGATTTCAAGCCAATCTCATTCGACATTCAATCCTGTCAATTGAGAGAAGATGAAGGCCTACCAATTTGAAGATGCATCAACCGGCCTCCAGCTCCGTGACATTCCAGTCCCAAAAGCAAAAGCGGGTGAAGTCCTACTCCGCGTCGAAGCAGCTGGACTATGCCACACAGACTGTCATATCATCGGTGGTCATGTCGATGACTGGATTCGAAAACGTCCAATTACTCTCGGACATGAAGTTGCAGGAGTCATCACCGAACTTGGATCCGCTTCCGAGTTCAAAGTTGGAGACAGAGTAGCAGTCAGCCTTCCAGGTCACTCAACAGAAGAACCAGATTGGAAGAATGCCGTGGGGATGGGATTTGATGGCGGCTATGCAGAATTCATGACCGTATCGACAAAATACGTCGTCCCAATTCCAGCAAACGTGAGCTTCGAGCAAGCAGCCGTGGCAGGAGATTCAATCTTGACAGCTTACCACGCCGTAGTCCACGAGGCAGAAGTAGATTCCACAAAGACGGTGGCTGTCATTGGACTAGGCGGTGTTGGAATAAATGGTGTCCGCATAGCTGCTCTTCAAGGCGCAATTGTATACGGCATCGACATCGATGAAGGGAAGTTTGAGGGAGCCATGAAGCAAGGCGCGAAAGCTTGTTTCAAAAATTTCGAGCAGGCTTCAGACATCAGATTCGATGCAATCCTTGATTTTGCAGGAGTAGGTACGACTACTGCTGCTGCAGTGAAAGCTGTCAAAGCTGGAGGTCAGGTGGTGCTGGTAGGCATGGGTGCACCCATAATGGAACTTTCTACATTGGCAATCGTTACTCGAAGGATCCAGCTTCGTGGGTCGCTGGGTGCCAGTATTCCTGAATTCAGCCAAGTTCTAGCGCTGATCTCCAAAGGAGATATCGTACCTGTGCTGCAGGAAATTCCTTTCGAAGATGTCGTGGAAGGATTGAAGCGAGTGGAGAGGAGTGAGGTCAATGGAAGGCTGTTCACCAGACCAAACAAATGAATTAATTGTTCGTCATGCTTCTGGATCATTGATTTTCCATTCTCATCTATCTATATTATGACAATTGTGGGGAACCTTGATCCAATATATTTTATCAAGTACCGGTCTTAGCCGAAGATATATTGCGTGCCTTTACCAGATCTCGGTAGATTGCAGAAACAGCATGACATCAAAGTCTAGGCATGTTATAATTTAAATTATTCAAACCTCGAAAATTGACAGAAGATTCACTGTGATCTTATCACGATGATTTTGCAGCAATTTTTGTTCGTTACCACGAGTCTGTTCTGCTTCTTCATTTGTACGTATGCGCAACGACTCACAGTTGATGTTGGCTACGGTGTTTATACCGGGGTGACCAACAGTACAACTGGATTGAACATCTGGAAAGGGTTTGTCGTCCACCATCCTCAGAAGTCTAGAATGCTGAACCACTTTTTCAGAATTCGCTATGCGGCCCCACCAACAGGAGCACTTCGATGGCAAGCACCACAAGCTCCTACCACAAACCGAACCATCGTCATTGCCTCTACATTTGGACCGGCATGTCCACAATCATTCTCACAATTTCAAGGAGCTCCATTCTGGATTGGGAATGAAGATTGTCTCTTCCTGAATGTTTACGCCCCTTCGAATGGAAGTAAATTGCCTGTGCTGGCATCCATTCACGGTGGTGGCTATGGACAAGGAGATGCCTCACAGGATATGTCTTCGTTTATCAATACAAATGATAATGGCCTAGTAGCAGTGACGATTCAATATCGAGTATGATTTTTCCAGCGAACCTATCCAGTCAGCTAACTTTCAGATAGCTCGGTGCATTTGGTTTCCTATCCTCAGCTGAGATCAAAGCTCGAGGGGTCTTGAATGCTGGTTTGTTGGACCAGAATTTTGCTTTCCAATGGATACAAAAGAACATCGCTCAGTTCGGAGGCGACCAAAATCGAGTCACCATTGCTGGCGAATCAGCTGGTGGCGCTTCTGCCATGCTCCATGCGATTGCCCAAGATGGTTCTCTAGGAACAAACTTGTTCAAGAATGTGAGTCAGAAGCTTGAGCTCCTAAATTACTGGGCTGATGCTGCGTTCCAGATAATATCAGCTTCTCCTTTTCTTCCATCGCAGCCAAATTTCAGTGATCCTATACCAACACAGCATTATTATGACTTTTCTAAATCTGCTGGTTGTCCTTCATCAGGAACTGTGTTTGATTGTCTAATTACCAAGGATTCTTTGACCCTACAATATGCCAGCAATTTGGTATCGACAAATCTACCTACACCACATGGAAACTGGCAAGTTTACCATTCTTCATTCAGAATTAGCTGATGCGAATCCAGGGCTTTCATTCCAGTTACAGATGGAACTTATGTCACTGGATTACCAAGCGTGCAGCTAAACCAACGACGAGTGAATGGTCTGAGAGCACTTGTTGGGGTTCGACACTTATCTCCTTAACTTGAACGTTTACTGAAATATAGCAGAACAATGCAAATGAGGGATCCCTGGTAGTTCCAGCCACAATCATTACAGAAAATGATCTGATCACCTGGATCAAGAGCAATTTTGCCAACTTGTCAACCACCAACATTACAGCCCTCCTCGCCGCATATCCAAGCACTTCAGGTCCTGTCAATTCGGCTGATCCAAAATACGAGACTAATGGCTATGGTCCAGGGACAGCCGTCAACATTAGCCAAGTTGGCACCGGACAACAGCAACGAGCATATGTACGTTCAATCTACATCTCAAAAGAGGTACTGATATAAATCAGGATATGTACGCCGAAGCAGCAGCAGTATGCCCAAGTTACTGGCTATCGACTGCGTTCACTAGTTCAAACAAAACTGCGTACCACTACCAGTATTCCGTTCCTTTCGCCGTTCACGGTTCAGACGTTTCCGCATATTACGGTCCGCCTACTGATAATCAAGGTCCGGAATTCGTGACTGCTTTCCAAAGTATGCCCTTCTCAATTCCCCAGCAGAACATGAAATTAAATCACCATGGTAGAAATCTACGGCAACTTCATCACAAAAGACGATCCATCAATCCCCAATGAAATCGCAAACGGTCCATCTTCAGCAGATCCAAGCGCAATCAATGCAGCAAGCAAATGGCCAAAATGGACAGACCAAAACCCTCAGCAACTCAACCTTAATGAAACAGGAGGTACTGCTTATACCGTCGTCACAGCGCAAGGCATTCCAGTCACCCAATTCAAGGAGCCTGGCTTGAGGAATAGCATTACAGTCGCTGATGCGTCGACGTGGGAGGGAGGGCGAGGAGAAAGGTGTGAATTTTGGAGACGATTGAGTCCGTTTGTGCCTCAATGAAAAATGTTGCAGCTGCGATTCGTTCTGGAGGAGAAGCAGTCATGTTCGAGTGACATCTTGTAGCACCGCCGCTCTTGGGGAGACATTCGGCTTGATATCCCGTCTATAATTGGACATCGCGGCGCTTTTCGTGACGGTGCTGAAAAAGCAAAAGCGCCACCTCATGCCTTCTTCGCATGATCTCAGAAAATAAATACCATCCTTCTCTATATTCAAAACTCTACTCTTCGCGATAATGTCAAGCTTCACTTGTGATGATGCAGCGAACAGATCCTCCCTCAAAAGGTGCGAATGCACTGCCAGACATGTCTCGACTATGAGTCTTGCACGAATTGCTACGTCTTGGGCCAATTCTCAGGTGACTTTGATCAGGAATAGTGGTGTAAGCAATGCCCAACGAGGTGTACATGTACCCCCGCAGAATAAATATGGACAATCAACAAGTTGGACACCGCTGTTCAATCCTGATGCGAGACCAGCTCCCGTTTTCGTGACGAAGATGCAGCAGATTTTTGCTTGTCTGGATCCAGGTTGGATTGGATATCTTAGTCCAGAAGCGGGCTCAGGAGTATCCTGCTCAGCAGATCATTTGTATGGCAGCTCCGAATCTTCGGAACATGGCCCTCGAATAATCGAGAACTTGACGCAGAAAGGGGTCTGACGTGAAAGTATCAAGTTCCCATTTGGAGAGAAAATGCTTTGAGACGCGCACAGAATCAACTTCAAACAGCAAGAATGGCAGCAGATATTCAAAGAAAAGGTAATCTAGCAGCTGTGAATGCAATTGGAGGGACGCAATATGAATACAGATATTAATTTATATATATTGATGCAGCACTAGCGACCAATGAAGTGCAATTCCAAATAGCGAACAGGTATGTAGGTGACAAGAGTGAAGACAAGAGCCAGCTCATTGCCAACATCTCCACCGTAATCTCCAATCTTGCGAGCAATAGGTCCAACCCACCAAGTCTCGTCCATTCCCACGACCGCACCAGCAATGCCTGCAGCGAATGCACTCAGTCCAGCAATACCGATCGGCATTTTTGAAGCAGTATTCCAAGCGGCAAGATCGTAATTATGGAATCCATTCCAACCATCACGGAACCAGTAATGCTCGGTAAATAGGATGACGAAGAAGGATGTGTTCCAATATCCAAGAAGTGACAAAAAGTTTTGCAGAACGGTCAAGAGATGGTTCCGTCCTGCGATGGCGATTAGAAGGATAGCCACGAATACGAGCAAAGTCCAGACGAAGCGAGGTATAAGAGATAGTGGTTGAGCGAATTGCTGAATCGAAAGAGCTCCACTATAGATCGCAATACAATTCATACCGATTCCAGACATGACCAAGAGGACCAGGAGGAATTTTGCAAAGCCGCGGGGAAATAGGATATGCTGAAGAAGAAAGCCGACTCCTTGATCATCGTAGACGTCGGCCCAATCCGAATTAATCCCCATGGTACTTCCAACACAACAACCCAAAATCATTCCAATGCAAGTCGGTATCGCAATGCCGCATGTAGTGTGTAGGAAGACCTTGAATTTCGAGGTGTTGACCGGATATTGACAATAGTAATCTGAGACGATGGAGCACCAGGAGTTCGAAGAACCGTATACGACAGCGAAAAGTGTTAGGCAAGCACCTGTGTTGGTCAAGCCAGTGGCGACGGCTGGAGTTGAGAGGGAAGCGCTCGGAGCCAGTTCTCCGTACATCACCATGAAAATGATGAAGAATACAGCCCAAGCATACTTTTCGTATGACAGGACAGCTCGAAGCCCAACAAACGAGAAGATCACTCCGATGACTGCAACAATAACCACACCCAGCACGAGGTTGATGCGGCCATCCGAAACAGCAGAGAGAGCCAGCCCTCCAGTTATGCATCCAACCGATGACCAGCCAACTTGTTCGATAACGTTCAAGAACGCAATGATCTTTGCAGGCCACCAACCCATACTATATCGAGAAATGCTGACCTGTCTCAAACCCATTGATGGTCCCATTGTTGCACACCAGCCCTAGAAAATGTTAGAGTCTGAACATCAGAGAAGAAGACGGTCTTACAGTGACAGCGCTTCCAACGAAACTCGCAACAATTGTGATCCAGATCGTTTGGGACAACGACAAGCCTAATTCCCATCCTAGGAATCCAGTCGTGAAGCAGCTCAAGTTCATTGTACCACTTGCCCACATCAAAGCCATGACAATTTGACTACTCCATTTGCCATAAGCTGGATCCCGGTCCTCTGGCAGCATTCGTGCGGGACCGTGAGCTTCAACACCAATCTTCTTGTCCAGCAGATCCTCATAATGTCGAAGAGTACCCAAGAATCCTTTGTGAGCTACAGCTTGAAGATTGGGAGGCAATTCGGGATCCTCGCTGTAATCCGCATCGGATACGTAAGGTTTGATATCCTTCTCGAGGTCTGGGCTCGACATGATGGCGGGGAAGAATACGATCAATTGGGAGGGTAATATTGATCGATGAAGAGTGTCGTCGACAAGAATTGAAGCTTGCAGGAAATTTCCATTCTTATCAATTCCATGAAGATTCTCGTGGCAACGCAACCTGTAGTCCCACAGCAGCGGGGTGCGCAAAGGATAGTGGGGACAGCTTGAATCTCTTTCCTCATTAGGAAGGTGGCTAGAAAGCTTATTGTTGCACTTGCCCAGATCCTGCAAATTCTAGAAGGGAACTCGCGTGTCAGCCATCAGCTATGTCTGCTATTGGATAAGACGAGGACGATCTCGGAGAGCCCGCTACAAACGTTCTCGTCCCCAGAATCCTTGTGCTTTGCATTCTGTTGGTAACGAATACTCGACAAGATGAGGATTGAGGTACCGACACTTCGAAACAACTTTCATCTATCTGTCAGACTTTTCATTCAAACAATTCAGAGAAGATTGCGCTGGTCATATAAATCGTTTGCTTCTGTGTTGTTATCGCATCCCACACTGCTGAAGGACCTCGGTTCTATGGTGGGCATGCCAATCTCGGCAGTTTTGTACCTGCATTTTTGATCGCACATATTTTCATTCTCCACATAATTACCGAGTAGATTGATTCTGATTGAGTCTCGTACGGAAATTAGATTCCAATGTTATTTTTCTTCAACTGCAGATTTATTATATCCTCAATCGCCCTTCATTGCATGTCCTCGGGTTTCCCTTCTCGGACGGAATCGCCACATGATTCAGCGTCCCACCACAACTGAAGCTGGACAAGATCACCTCGATCTTGGAGGCTGAGTCCGGGGAAAGTGATATTATATATCTCCCGTGCTCATAGCCGACTGGAGTTTTGAATATCTTGCTTACTTGCCTGAATTTGCCTGAAAGTTTTGGCAATACATCTCGGTAGACACCCGGATTTGCAGATTAGGCAATGATTATTTTCCTCAGCTGGGAACGAGTAGATGACCATCGTCTCCTTGCGATTGTGTTACATCCCTCATTCGCTCATGGAAATGTTATCTCGCTCTGGAAGCTCTGCCCCACGTGGATAATTCAACCCAAGGTAACATTCCTATCGACAGTTCAATTTTAAAAAATCCAGATGAAGGACAAGATGCCATTTTTGTTTCTCCGCTGTTCAAATCGTTGCTTCCATTCCCGCAAACATGTTCTTCTTGTACGTCTTCTGGATCCTCATCCAGTCTTCCATCTACGTACAAGGGTACAATTTTCCGTATGAAGGCATCCAATTAAACGATAGCGACGTTCGAAACTATTCTCGAATAGCATTCGGTGTCTCATCCACTATTTCCTCAAATCCCACAAACTCGACCGGATGTAAAGTCTATCCTGGTGATGCACAATGGCCAAGCATTTCAGAATGGAACAAATTCAACAGTACTCTTGGTGGAGTTCTTATTAAAGGAGTACCCCCAGCTAGAGTTTGTTATCAGCCAGGTTATGATGCCGCACAATGTGCTGTGGTCACTTCAAATTATTACTACTCGAACTTCCGAAATGACGATCCTGTTTCCATTGTGAATGAATGGTTGGATGGAGATTCATGCGCTCCGTCTACGACTTCCAATGCTACCGCAACCAATTCGACATGTAATGTTGGAGCATATCCAGCGTATGTTGTAAATGCTACAACTGTGAAGCGTAAGCAATATCTCAACAGAAATTTCTACCACAAAGATTGTCCCGAACACCCTGCGATTGACAAACGCTAACCTCCAACCAGACATTCAGATGGCAGTGAATTTTGCGAGAAATTCGAACATTCGTCTAATAATAAAGTACGTCAATCTCTTTGACATTCGGCCTCGACTAACATCAATGTAGGAACACAGGCCATGACATGCGCGGACAATCAGCTGGTGCGGGCTCCCTGAGCATCTGGACGCATCATCTAAAAGACTTCGAGTACCTTCCATCTTACACCATTGGCGATTATCAAGGAAAAGCCGCCAGAGTTGCAGCTGGTGTTGAATCTTTGGAATTGTCGGCTCATATGAGAGCTGCAAATTCGACCATTGTTGTACCTGGAGGAGGTACTGTCGGTTCCATGGGAGGCTTCTTCCAAGGAGGCGGACATTCAAGCTACACTTCTTATTATGGCCTGGGAGCTGATCAAATTCTGGCAATGGAAGTGGTGACTGCTGACGGACGATTTGTGACTGCTGATCCCAACAATAACACAGATCTCTTTTGGGCACTTCGTGGCGGCGGGGGAGGTGAGAGACCAAATTCACCATGACACTTGATGCTTATGGTCTACAGGAACTTACGGTGTAGTGACTTCAGCAATCACCAAAGCATACGACGCGATACCAATGGGTTTCTCAAGTGTTATCTTCACTACAGCCAATCTGTCAAAATACGTCACCACAGTATCAAACGAGACATTCTGGACCGGTATTCGAGCTTACTTGAAATTTGGACCCCAAATATGCGACGCTGGAGGCATCGGTTATAATTTTATCAACCACGGCCCCAATGGTACATTGACATTTACAACCTCCATAACAATTCCAGGAATGAACTTCACAGAAGCAAACGACTTTGCCTCTGGCCTCTTCACAGAACTTAATGACGTCGGAGTAAATATCACAAATCCATTCGCAACACCGGTATCCGCTTCCGAAGTATCAAGACTAGTAGCTGCGGCATATCCATCTCGTGGACCAGGAGAAATGAACACCCGTCTCGCCAGCCGCCTTTTCCCTCGCGAGAACTTCGAGGACGACGATTTACTAGACGACACGCTGGGCGTAATCCGAACATTCGTCGAAGAAGGTGGCTATACCTTCCACGGAGTCAATCACTGTCCGACGATGGAAGTCGCAGGCAACCCAGACAATGCCGTCAACCCCGCATACCGCAGAGCAGCCATGCACGCACAAGGCTGGAATTCCGGCCCAGCAGTCGGTCCAATTGAGGTCCAGAAAAAGGATTACGAACGCTTTAGTAGGTATTTTCAGCCGTGGAGAGATGTGAGTCCGGAGGCGGGTAGTTATATGGGAGAAGCGGATGCGGCGGAACCAGAGTGGCAGCAGAGTTTCTATGGGGATAATTATGAGAAATTGTTGGGGATTAAGCAGACTTATGATCCTTGGGGTTTGTTTTGGGTGAATACTGGGGTGGGGAGTGAGGGTTGGGAAGTGAAGACGCCGGTTGCGGGATGGCCGACTCAAAATGTAAGCGATATGTCTCTCTCACCTGTGATCGAGGTCATACTTGATTGATTATTGGCTTCTTGGATTACACGTACTAATTAAAAACGTAGGGACCTCTATGCCGAACAAATGCCACTGTTAGAGGATAGTCTGTGGGACTCGCTAAATGTCAGGGGCTCGCTTATCTAGGGGGAATGTGTAGCAAAGGATCAAAGATGCATGCTCAAAAACATTTGTTAGCTTTGAAGAATCAGGATCCCGGAAGTCTCAACGATATCAAAGGGTGGCATGGAGAATACAAGACAATGGTCTAAGCACGATTTACACAGCTGGGAACATTAGCGCTTAAACAAACCAAACAGATAAATCGAACCTTGCTGCAGTAAGAGCTCTACTTATGCCCCTGCAAAGGACTAACAAGTCTCAAAAGGCTCAGCTCAGATGTCCTCCACTTGGTTCTCTCATGAAGTCGATAATCCAGACTTAATTCTCAATGATTAATTTCAAAGTCAACGGTGTTTCCTCTTTTCCACGTGTTCCCCTTATTGATTCGTCTTACATGAATGGCTATTCATATCCACATTACAGCTAAGCATTATCATCTGCTTGAAACCGTCCGGGACTGACTACCAATCCATTATTGATCAATCGTACTTTCATGCCGCCACTCCTTTTCGTTGCCTCCTCAAAGTGCCCAATGTCCCCAATCTTATCCCGAATTTCTTCAGCTGGAGCTAAGAGCATAGCCAAAGCCGAGCTTTTCATTGCTGGTATTCTCATCCTATATGTGGAGATTACGGTAATGAGAAGAAAAATGATTGAGAGAACGAGTTGGGAAGCAAGAAAGACGAGCCAGCCCCATTTGATCTCAACGAAAGTTTCGTCTTTCCAAGCAGTGCCGTTGACTGTTGTACTGGATGAAGTACGCATACTACAGAACATTTTATCAGTATATGAGCTTCAGGAGAATGAGGGAAGAACTTACAGATTGGTCAGACTATTTGCAGTGCTATTATAAAAAGTGCCCACTCGCTCAAATTGCTCCGCAGGGTCGAGGAGGAGATCATTCTCGTAGTCGTTATATATGACATTTGCAAGAGCAAGGCTTTGGGTATCGGTAGCATATATTCCCGGGTCCATGTTTCCATTGGATACGAACGTTGCAAGATCTGCCTCCTGCAAGTTAATATCTATGCTATGGAGTGCCTTGGCATCCGCCGAGTAGGTTGTCGATGGATCATCTGGATCAACAAGAGTCATATTTCCATCAACATATAGTCCGGTGTCACAAAATTTCTGCGTCCCAAAAGGTGTGCCTGGAAATTTCTCGAACCAGCAGCCGGCTAGGAAGTTTCCTACATTATTCGGAACGTTGGCTGGAACATAACTCGACTTGACGATGTTGGTAGATGGTTGTGACTGAGACATTTCGGTCTCGTACGTATTCAAACAAAGGTAGATTGCTACTTCAACAGCTTCAAATTTCCAAGGTGTCTGACTTGTCAGGTTAGACTCGAAGTTTGTGATGTTTCCAGCATTGCTCCATATGAGTACCATGTATTCGAACGCAGTGAAAGCCATATTGGTGTCATTAGCGAATGCCATTGTCTTGTTAGACGGCATAGCCATGTAAGATACCGAAGCCGGGGTAACCCATGAAATACCGCTATCTCAGTAAGCCCAAAGACCAATAGAGGACGACCACCAACAAGACCTACTTGGGTAGACTAGCATTCATCGCAGTGGATCCATTTTGAGCAATCATTCCTGTCCAAGCCGGATAGGGCCAATCATCCGCATTGGAATTTGGAATTACCTCCACATTCAAAAGCGAGGTAATGTTTACTGCCTTAGCGCACATTCCAATCGATTTGTACTGGGGGAAAGTGCAGTCGGGAGTAGAACAAACAGGGCTGACAGGCAAGATTGGGTCATCGAAGGTGCTGATAACGCCTGCAAAAATTGCATGCCAGACATTGAAGCCATTGTTGTCCTCGAAATGACTAGACGTTGGCACAGTGGCTATGCCCTCAACTTGGGCTAGACGAAGAGGATATGCAATCATTTGTTGCGTTACAGGTGATGTGGCCATTCCGAGAAGAGATATTACAGCTCCAAGTATGGCTACATGGCTACATCATTGAATGAGTTAAGGCACGAGGACATACTGCATCTCGAGACTTACTTCATGCGGAACCTGCCCATAATCCAAAAAGAGCCCCACATGCCACGACTCGCAGAATCAACGGCGAGAAAATCTGTCAAAGGTCTTTCTTTGTTCTTCAGCATGTTCCATTTCCATTGGCTAATGGCTTCCGCGACTGAGAGCATGAATGTCGCTTTGGTCAGAGTTGTGAAGAAGGCAAGGAAGGTATTTAGGGTAATGGACATTGGCAAATTTGGAAGTGCCTTGCCATCGTAGGCTCTGAGGACGGTAGTGATCACTACGGCGACTCATTAGATCCCATCTTCCTAACAAACCTTCATTGTGTAAGTATGACTTACCAATAAGAGATGATAAGCTCAAGACACAGAAGAAAATTTCGGTCATCCAAGCGTAGAAACCAAAATACGATGCTTCTGGATCATCTGTTGCGGGAACTTCAGTTATATTTTCCAGTATTGCAGACTTCAGTATCTCCGCTGTAGGTGAGACTGGAGACTCGGATGTAGTAAACTTGGTCACAGCTTTTGAAGTCTCTTCCATCCATCCGATCTCCGCGTTCGAGACCACATCAGTAATTGATGTTTCAGCCTGACTTCCAATTCCAAGGTCAGTGTCATGAGTAGATTGATTGCTTGTAGTGGCACTAAGAGTTTCAGGTTCCAAACTCTCTTCAATAATAAGTGAAGATGGAGGGCGATGGGAATTATCCATGCTTGGATCTTGACTGTCAATTATATTTAGGTATCCGATAATCGAAGTATGTTTGCAAGAACTCAATGAAGTGTACTGAAAATGTGGCAAGTCGAAAACTGTTCGAGAGGAACTCGATATTTGACCGTCGGTCAGTCTTGCATCGCTGCTACCACGAGGCATCAAAATAGAACACAGTCAAATAGACGATGCTTAACACATCCCACAACCTTGCTTAAGCCCCCAAGCACGACAACCTTTCCAGCAGAGATATAACAATTGACCGCTACCCAGAGAAGTGTTATCATCGGCCAACATTTTAATTATATGGTACGCTGCACGTTCCCAGCTTGTGCCGCAAAGGCACAGCGAAGACTGTGCCATCGAGTTCTGGTCTGGCCAATCAATTACGGCCCCCACAGTTCAAACGGACAGGATCTAGATTGCACTGCGTTTTCTAGAAGCGCTACTTTACTGGTCGATGCAATGATACTTTCGAGGCGCCTAAAAGCGACCACTCGGAACTGTCAATCTGTATGCATGTCGCCCCTTGCGGGTACACCTGCGTATTTCAAAGGCACAATACCTAGGTATATTTATAAACATGAACGATTACAACGAAAGTTTGGCACACAACGCCGCAACTTGATGTCTGGGAGCTCTTGTTGGATGCAACCTAAACGCTTACAACTTTGACCGATACAGATATAGCATCTTTCGAGGAGATGAAAATCTGTCGAATTCGCAAACAACATTGAAGCAGAGAAGCAAGGTGGATGGTCATCGAAAACATCGATCTCGACGTGAGACTTGAATGAAACGGTCTATTCTCAGAACAGCAACGAAAATCAAGATCAATGCGAACTTCGTGGGCTGTCGAGAGACAGGATAAAGGTGAAAGATGGTGTGTTGTAGATTCGGACGTAGAGTAATATTAATGACAGCTATCTGACTAAGCTTGACTATTTATAAGACAGCACGTGACCCCACATGACCTAGAGTCCATCGAATTGCCCGCATAGAACCTTCTTCTCCTCCAAAGCAAAGATCTCAGTAAGAGGATAGAGATTGTGAATTCAAGGCAATTGTAATGGCAAATCCCACCTATCCTTACATGCATTTTCCACATCCCACATCTCGCTTAAGCCCGGACTGTACGGAGTACAGTACAACCAGCAATCCTTGATCTCCGAACACAGCATCATCCATTCGATTTTGCAATTGTGTATTCGAGATACAAAGTCTGTGAGAAAGGCGGTCTCTTCCATCGCCAGAAGTGAAATCAAAAATACTGTCATTGCCGTCCTCGCCCAAAATCATGCATAGTAAGAATCAGATCCAATTTCACTTTCTCTTTCCCGAAAACTAACTTTCAAAACAGATATTATAACTACTTGAATAAACAGGAAACATCTACGACAAATACTCCAAGAATCTGGGGAATAATTCGAGTTTACTGGCTCCACAGAAGCACAAGTTCTGACTGGAAACAGGATTGGAGACTAATGAGAGCGGAAGACTTTCTTGGAAGACAAGTATTTGACGTTTTCGACAGCTCGAGAATAGATGTGAAGATCCCAACAATACTTTTTCATCGGCACAACTGCCAACTCTTGGCTCTGGGGAGCAGAAAATGGTGTTGGGTCGCAACGGTCGCCAAACCTCTTGCCCAAAGATCGTTCGAAATTGGGACAAATCACTACAATGGTGGAGGCAGCACGAGTAGAAAGAAAATTTGGCTTGACAGTTTTTCTACAAGACTCATATTAATGACTCTAGGCTCTGAATGGTGCAAGTGTTGGGGCAGCATTTAGGGAGTTAAGCGTAAGCGAGTAGCGCCATGGGGACAAACTCAAAAACATAACAACCTCGGGATCACGAGCCACGTAGCAAAGGTAGTGTATCTTGATCAGGATTGACATTCATTGATTATGTAGCTAGAAGCGAAGCCATATGCCAAGTTCCAGTTCACTTCAGTTTCATCCGCATCCAATTCAGGCCCCCGCGCTATTCATACAATCATCAAAGTTTTTCCGCACTCCCTAAGTCAAAGTCTCTACTGCTTCTGCCCAGTAGCACATCCAGCGAGTCCACCAGCAGTGTTCGTCAATCCACCAGCAAGCATTCCCAACACCTATATCGTCTTGCTAGTTGTATCCGCAACGCCATTCGTGGTCTATCCAACAGTGTTCCCACGTCCATTAGTAGTCTATTTTACCACATTTCCTACTCCATCAACAATCTTATTAACGATTCCTCCGATTGAACCTAGCAGACCGCCTTGGCCCTACTCTTTATCGCCGCTAGTAAGAGTATTGTCAAAAAAATTTGTGAAGTTTCCTAGAAAACCGGCCATTATGATTTATTTTAAAATTATAAATGAAAAAAATGGAAAATTAAAATTTATTTACTTAAAGTTTGACAGAGGTAAGTTATAATATTGGTATGATATGATATAAAATTATGTTTACATGGCAAGACTTCTCAATAAATACCCGCTTCCATCTCAAACCAAGGAAGTTTCTGGATCTCAAACTTGTCCAACAAAAAGTCGATGATCTCAGGGCCCCTGACCTATCCCCGGGAGATCACTGCATCCCCGATCCAACTCCCCGTCTTCCTTGTCTTCAGCGCTCATAATCTCACAAGGCGACTCACCAGCCACAAGCCTCGGATCCTGAAAACAGGTTCGGGGCATGTGAACTTGGGGTCTGATACAAGATATTACGTCTCTTGGTGCCTGGTGGAAGTATATCAAAGTGCTTGTCCATGTCGTGATTCTGAGAAGGAGGCCAATATCCAGATTTTTGGGAGAGGGTCAGTGGGGTGAAGCTGCAAGCGATGAAGATCTTTGTGGGTAAGTGCCACAGTTTAATCTCGAAGGTTGCTTCAAAATGACGCTTTCGCGATTACCACACATGTCTTCATTCGTCGGTGTTGCTTGGACACTCGTTCCTGGCACAGCCTCAAAATCAGTGTGGCAGTGAAAGTTAGCGAAGCTGCGCCGCAAGTACGTCAAGGACCTCGTGACCAATTTTCCTCACTTCTTATAAGACGAATCGATTTGCTCTAGACATAAAAGGATATCAATTTGACTTTGTGAAACTGGCTTTTATATCTACATCCTAAAAGCTGTCAAGCTGCACGGGAACTTCAAGTCAATAGTCCAAGATGGCAACCTCGCAAGTCACCAACGAGGTGAGCTCAGCCTCAACCACAGCCCGGAAAGAAAAGCGATCTCTAGGCGAAAAGATACTGTCTTTCATGTTCGACGGACCATCTGGCACAGATTCCTCCAAGCTCGACCGTGAGCTTCGTGAGAAATACGAAGAAGACAAACGAGACGACATTCCTCCCTCGAACAGAGAAGGAAGAGAGAGGACGGCAGGCTAGAATCCGAAAGCGAAATGATTATGGGAGGCGGTGACGGTGTAAGGACGAATGATATGCAGAAAGGTGGATGGGGTGGGGCTAATTTGGCTTTGAGCCATGCTTGAAATTGAGAGATGTTGTAGAAGTTGTAAGCTCAGTGCGAAACGATGGATGTTAAACCGCACATCTTCCTCGGTTTCTCGTGTTGTTTCCCCGCATGTGTGTTCCCTTGTCATGCAATATTCTGCTTAGTTGTCCGATTGTGGATCCGGGTACGCGGCACTTGACCCTCTCCATCTCCCGGCATTCAGACCCAGCGAGCACCGAAATCCGAATCCGAATCATACACTTACTAGAACGATTGCGGGCCGACCCCTTCTTGGTGATGCGCAAAGGCGCATGTCATGCATGGGGTTACACAAGAGGAGATAAAAGCGGACTTGGAGCCACTTCGCGACCACACTTCGTTCGCACAACCAATCCATGGTTCGAGTAGTCCGAACCGGATGTTTAAATTGATAGAGTGGACATTAGCCAATGCATGCGATTCGTGATATGCATTTAAACCTTGGTAGAGAAGTAAGACGATTCTCCGAACCTGGAGTGTCAATCTTTCTGCAGCACGAATTTGTATGGTCCTGAAGCACCAACAAGAATTAGTGTGTCTTGTGCCAGCATCACCTATGGTATTCCAACTTCCACCCATGCTAGAACTTGCCATTAGCTACCCCGCTCACGACCTTATTCCCATCATGTTTATATAAGACTTCTGTTTTGCTAGTCCACCTTCTGAACCGAATCCCAATCGCATCTGTCTGCCATCATGTCGTCGGTCAAAGATGCCATTCCAAACGGCAATGGCCCCTCAATTTCGATCTTGGAACAACCGATATTAACACGCCGAAAGCTCAGACTCGTTTGTGTTGGAGCTGGATTCTCAGGACTAACCCTTGCTCACAAGATCCAGCACGAGTTCAAGTTGGAGGAGGAAATTGACCTGACAATATACGAGAAGAACCCTGAAATTGGTGGTACTTGGTATGAAAATACCTATCCTGGAGCGGCTTGTGATATTCCGTCTCGTGAGTCAAATCCATACTTATAATAGCCATTGACTGATCTTTTGGAGACGCCTATACTTTCTTATTTGAGCCAAATCCAGATTGGTCTAAATTCTATTCACCGGGTCCAGAAATCCATTCATACATCAAGCGTACAGCCGAGAAGTATAACCTTACCAAGCATGTACGGTTGAATTCGAAGGTTCTTGAGACAATTTGGGGTCAGGAGGCTGGCAAATGGAAGATCAAAGTCGATATCGATGGTTTTATCAAGGAAGATGATGCTGATATACTGATAAATGGGTCTGGATTTCTCAAGTCAGTAACCTTGAAATGGCTTGCGATCGGTTACTCAACGAAATAGTAAATGGAAGTGGCCAAATATCCAAGGACTCCAAGATTTCAAAGGGAAGCTAGTGCATAGTGCCAATTGGTAGGTTCCCAATCTTTGACATGTCGTGTCTCACAGTTGCGCCAGGGATAATTCATATAATTGGGACGACAAAAAGATTGCAGTGATTGGCAATGGCTCTTCTGGTCTTCAAATTGTCTCTGCCATGCAACCCAAGGTCTCAAAATTGGTCAATTACGTTCGAGGACCCACTTGGATCTCTATCAACTTCTGTGCAGCCAAAGCAAAAGATGGCAAAAACTTCGAATATTCCGAAGCGGAAAAGAAGACTTTCAAAGAAGATCCGCAAGCCCTTTTCTTGCTGCGTAAAGAGCTTGAAGCTTCGTGAGTGTTGTTTTCATTTCTTAGGCTCTTTGCTGACAAGATCTCTAGAATTAATTCCTTCTTCTTTGGAATGTACGTCGATCATCCGTTTCAACAAGGCTTAGAAGCAGCTTGCAAACAGCAAATGCAGAGCATCCTTCAAGATCACCCAGAAATATTATCAAAAATGATACCTGGCTTTCATCCTGGCTGCCGTCGTCTTTCGCCGTGTGATGGTTATCTCGAAGCCTTAAAGCAGGAAAATGCTTCAATAGTATGGACCGACATTGAGACCATCACAGAGACTGGTATTCGCACCGCTGATGGGCTTGTGGAAGACTTCGATATGATTGTGTGTGCAACAGGTTTTGATACCTCCTTCGTTCCGCCCTGGAAGTTGGTTGGATTAAACGGCGCTACTTTGACTGAGCGATGGAAAATCAACCCAGATGCCTTCTTCTCCGTCCAAGTTGATTCTATGCCAAATTACTTCATCTTCAATGGTCCTAATTGTCCAATCTCACATGGGTCCGTATTGAGCCAGATCTCATGGACATGCGGCTACATCCTTCGCTGGGTCAAGAAGATGGCCACCCAAGACCTCAAGTCCGTCACTCCAAAACCCAAATCAGTTGCAGACTTCAACGCCTACTCACAAAAATTTCTTCTGCGAACAGTATGGGCAGACAAATGCCGCTCTTGGTACAAGAATGGAAAAGAGACAGGTATTGTGACTGGAACATATGCTGGGTCTATCCTGCATTTCAAAGACGCTTTGGAGAACATAGGTAGTGAGCATTTTGATATTGTATCGAGAAGTGACAATGTTTTTGGTTGGTTGGGAAATGGACAAAGTCTTCATGACAAGGATGGATATGGAGATTTAGCTTACTATATGGAGCAACCCACTATCTGAGTTGTGGATCATATTCGATAGGTTACAGCTCCTGATGCTGTTATATGTACTCAAAAGTTCCTCACTTCCGAATTCGACCTTACCGTTCAAATGTTCAACGAGAAAACTTCAGTCTCGGATGTACATTACGAGCAGAAGTTGTATCTTTGAAGAGTAAACTAGTGACCTTTCAAATTCCCAAGTTTGTATCACTGATATTCGAAACTGTCTACATCAATTTGGTTTGATGTCATTGACTGGAGCAACTGGCCTCCCTGTCTCATAGAGTGCGACAATATTCGCAAAACATTCACGTTCTGCATCCCTCCATGCTCTATTTGTCAACCCACCAAGATGTGGTTGAATCACGACTTTGTCACTCTTCAAAAACCACGGGTTGACATTTGGTTCTCCTGTGAAAACGTCTAACCCTGCTCTTGCCACCTTGCCACTCTCTAAAGCAGCTATCAAAGCCGCCTCGTCTACGATGGGTCCTCGCGCGGTATTGATGAAGAACACTCCATCTTTCATTTGCGAGAATTCATTGCGAGAGATAAGTCCTATTGTTTCCGCATTTTGAGGCACGCTCACTGAGACCACGTCAGAGGTCCTCAGCAGCTCTTCTAAGTTGGGACACCAGGTTGCACCGTAAAGTGCTTCAATTTCCGGAGAAGCACGAGTTCTGTTGTGATATTGAACTTTCATGTTGAAAGCATTCACCTTTCTAGCATAATGCTATGAAACATTAGCACCATCTTCAAAAATCTATATAGATTTATACCTTTCCGATTGCTCCTAGTCCGATGATTCCAACAATCAGATCGCTCGGATCGGTGCAGGGAACATGATTGTTCCTCCAAAGACCATTTCGTACAGAGTTCTCTGCACGAGTTGTATCTCTACAAACGGCCAAGGTAAGGAACAGTGCCATGTCGGCCGTTGGTTCGGAGACAGCATTGCGAGTGTTGCAAAACCAGATTCCTTTGTCGGTCAACCAGTTCACTGGGAACTCATTATAGCCTGCGGAAGCAGAAACTACAATTTTGCACTCAGGAACCAGGGGTGTGAAGAATTCACCATCAAAAGGTTCGAAAGGCGCAGTTCCCATCAAAATGATGAAAGCGCTATAAGGGCCCGTCTTAGCGACGGCTTCTGCAATTGCGGGTACAGCCTCTGCTCGGTTCTTGACAGAAAGGATCTGCATCACATGTGAGTAGCAATCTCGATTCCTACTGGGATGCTCACATCTAGTTGGAATTTGGACTTGAAATCCTCGAGATAATCAGCTCCACAGGCTTTCGGCGGTGTCAATGCAAGAACCTTCGGCTTTTCCGAAGACGAGAAAGCCATGTCGAGTCTTCTTTATCAATAGAAAATTGCCAAGCATTCGTATGTCTCGAAGCTAGAAATAAATTGACTAAACATACCTTGTCGCTCTGTCGGCATAAATGATAACTTAAATGTTGAATCGAGACCCCCATCTATCTGATTTCCCAATTTCGGTGACGTAATGGCTGCATTTCCCGATCATATGCGGAGAGGCACAATGCCAAAGGTGGGATACGCCTTATTATTTTTTTTGCGCGAATATAATTGATAGCTGCGCGAAGCGAGCACTTTAGATCAAGAGAAAATAATACCGGAAAGAAAAAGCAAAAGGCCGAGCATTGAGAACTAAAATTCTAGCTTAGAATTCAAGTTTAGAGGTTCGTTAGTTAATATATCTTCCCTTCAAAATGTGAAGTACCATCTAAACCAGCATACAACGGCCACCGATAATATTCACTCGGATCGTTGAACCTTGCTTTAACATCCATCGTGGCAATCTTTTCTATATTCTCAGCATCAAGCAAGAAATCCGCTTCGAGATTTTCCTTGATCTGCCAATCAATCACGCTCTTCGGAATGACAGTCCGACCAGAATTGATACCCCAAGCGAGTGCTATTTGAATCGGGGACTTCCCATATTTATTTCCAATTTCCTGGAGAACTGGGTGATCTATTACCCGCGGCATGTGAGATTGGGATTTGCTCCAGTGAATGTCTCTGTAGAACGAGTTCATGTTGCCGAGTGGACTGAATTGGATCACATGGACGCCCTTGGATTTCAGCCAGGAATTGAATGCGGGTTGTTGAAGGTATGGATGGACTTCCATTTGATGTGCTGCGGGTGTCTATGAAAGAGTAATTCTTAGTATAAATTTGTTCTCGAAATCAAGCTCACTCACTGTATTGCTGTTGTCCATCAAATTCTGAATTTCAGATTGATTGAAATTGGACACGCCAATCGCCCTAGCCTTGCCTGACTTTACCAACTTCTCCATTGCTCTCCATGTGTCGAGATAGGTTGTCTCACCCATAATCATCTTTCCGTCTTCGCCTTTTGGGAATCGTTCTGCTCCTCGTGCGAAAGTGCATGGATAGTGCATTAAGTATAGATCGATATATTCGGTATCGAGATCTCTTAAAGATGCATCCAATACTGTCTTAACATCATCTGGATGGTATGAATTGCACCATATTTTGGTGGCAAGAAAGATCTGATCTCTAGGTATACCACTGCGTTTTATTCCCTTGCCAACTTGTTTCTCGGTGTCGTATCTATTTTTGTAAGCTACTCTTTAGATCATTTCGGAGGATAGAATTCTTACACTCGGGCTGTATCAATGTTTCGAACTCCTGTTTTCAAAGCGAGATAGACCGCATCTTCTTGAGCATCTGCATCCTGGAAGGTTCCGAACTCCACGGCAGGGATTTAAGCCCCAGTGTTTAACACATGTTGCGTCGACCGTGTGGACAGAGCACGGACAAATGGAATCTTATTTTGCGCTCGAAAGGTAGTGAGATATCTTGTCGCTGGTAGGCCAGTGCAAGAAAACCGTAACTTGAAGACTACTTTAGCCGCCATCTCTGAGATGCTGGGAGGTGTGGTGAGATGCCTGGGAGTCGAACGATTGATATCGAAGCAGAATTAACATATAGAGGAATCTCGTTCTATTCAAAAATCCTTTTGCGCCGAAATACTTGCCTTATTTGCCATTTTCTCGTATGAGTAAAGAACCACGAGAGGTTTGCAGTGACCTCGCATCGAGACCTCCTCGGCGCTACTGTATGTCAGCCTAAGCGAGACCCCTAGGTTCTGAGCTTGCCTCGTATCGAGGTCATCTCGGAATCTTATACCCGTTTCCTTTCCCCACAGTGGATCATAAAGCTACCAGCCCTTGGAATTTTTGGACAGACAGGTTTGAAGACCTTGAATAATGTTTTAGTGCTCGTTGAAAGTGGGGAAGGATGGGGTAAGCCGGGGTAACAATCGGAAATGTTTCTTCGAATTCGTGTTGGCCTCAAATCCTGTTCTTAAGGAGGATTCGTTCCAAAAGGAATATACTTGACGTTACGGACCTGCGTCTCACGATCCCAGGCGACTATCACCAACTGCATGGTCCTAGCTTGATAGAATGTCCTCGAGCCGGACGACCTTGCCAATCTGGGCAAGCAGGCATCGTGCCAAGCTCTCACAGGACCAAGGATTTAGGTTCGCTTCGTGCACTTATATATCCGAGCATTGCACATTCCATGAGCCTGCATTGTCCTCGAGACGACCCCACCAGATAGAAGCACCCAGTCGCTTCTTTTCCGTCTTACGATCCTCACTACCCCAGCTTCTAACTTCATTCTGGTGCCACAAAGATGGAGAACCCCAAGAATGCATTGCGGGGTGTGGGAGCTCCGCAGAGAGCCTGAGTATTTACTGTAACGGAAAACTATAAATATGGCTATTGCCGGATGGTCACAGGTAGTACTTATCTCTAGCTTCTACTCATTACTATCTATTAAATTGCTCCAAGCATCGTTGGCCTCTTTGTTTCTAATTCCTACATCATTTTGCGACCATGGATCAACGTAAGGGCTGCATGGTTGCAGCACATCTTGAGAAGCGTAAACTTCTCATTGCGATCAACTCAGTTGCAGCGCTGTCCATCTTCTTCTTTGGTATGTGTTCCGCAAGAGATCGAGCCCATTAACTCGAACTTATGCTGACGGTCGAATCAAGGTTATGACCAGGGAATGATGGGTGGTGTCAACAGCTCTTTCGATTATGTTCAGACAATGGGGTTCGGTCATGTTGAGAACGGAACAATTACAGTTACCAATACTTTACTCCAAGGTGGCATTGTTTCAGTGTACTAGTAAGCAGCAAGCCCTCTGTCCTTCGCCCTTGCTTGTTGTGCTTTTGTTGTATTGTGTACCCGCGAAACATTTTACCTAAGGCTCTGAAATTCAAGAGAAGCCCCAATACTAACCTGCTGTAGTCTAGGCACTCTCATAGGATGCCTGTTGGGCGGATCTTTCGGTGATCGATATGGCAGAATCTACACCATTGCTCTTGGGTCCGTCTGGGGCCTCGTTGGAGCTACCCTGCAGACTTCAGCAATGAATTCAAACTGGATGATCTGCGCTCGCTTGGTCAATGGTATTGGCACCGGTATCCTCAACGCTATCGTTCCCGCATGGGCATCTGAAGTCGCCGAATACACTACTCGTGGGAAGTTCATCGCCATCGAGTTCACGCTCAACATCTTCGGTGTCGTTGTCGCTTACTGGCTTGCCTATGGTGTTAGCTTTATAGATGGAGGATGGTCACCCGTGCGCTGGAGATTCCCTATTGGCTTTCAGATCATCCCACTACTTGTTCTATTAGGGATCTGCTGGTTCTTTCCAGAATCTCCTCGATGGCTATGCAAGGTCGACAGGGACGATGAAGCGTTATACATTCTGCAGCGTCTACGAGGTACGGAAGGTGAAGATGCAGGAAAGGCGCAGCTCGAGCTGTCAGACATTCGAAGCATCGTCGAGTTGGAGAAGGCAACAACACATGGCAGTACCTATTACCATATGTTCTTTGGCATCGGGTCCGGAAAGCTTCACGTAGCCAGGAGGGTACAATTATGCATATGGCTTCAGATTCTCCAGGATTGGAGTGGCATCGCAGGCATTACCATGTTCGGTCCGAGTAGGTCATTCAGTGTGATGTGATTTGCTTGAGACTGATCTTCGCTAGCTATTTTTGGAATTGCTGGTTTCACTACGGAGAAGGCTCAATGGATCTCAGGACTGAATAACATCTTTTACATGTTTGCTACGCTAATTTGCGTCTATACACTGGATCGAATCGGGAGACGATGGACCTTATGGTGGGGCTCGGTAGGTCAAGCTTTGGCAATGTTTCTCGTTGGAGGCTTTTGCAGACTTGGTCTCAACTCAACTGCCAATGGGGATATTTCTGCGGCAAGCAAATGGGGAGCTGCTGCTGCATCTATGGTTTACCTCTACACTTTCATATTCGGAGCTACCTGGTTGACTGTACCGTGACTTTACCCAGCTGAGATCTTTCCTCTTCAGGTAAGAGCAAAGGGTAACGCTTGGGGCGTTGTGGGTTGGAGTGTGGGTAATGGGTAAGATACTTCCTTTCAGTGATGATTCAAAAGTCTAACGCACAATCAGAACGTTAACACTAGTACTACCATACATCGTCTCCGCTATCAACGAGAAGTTGCTTTACATCTTTGGTGCATGCAACCTCATTTCCATTCCCCATTGGTACTTACCCAGTTCTTGCACTTAAATACATCGCCTCTAACGACTTATAGTGTGGGCATTTTACCCCGAGTCAAACCAGCGCACACTGGAGGAGATGGACATGCTTTTTGCATCTGATTCATTATAGGTATGGGATGCTGAAACGAATTTCAAATTGTTGAAAGAGCAAAGCCCAAATAATCTTGGTGCCCATCCAAAGGATATTTTTGATCTTGATATTGAAGCAAAGATGGCCAGTGATCATGTAGAGTCACATGAATAGGATGTGGTAGTAGTGATGATGATTACCCAAGTTTCGTATCTAATATAGTGATAGTGAACAACCATGCTTTCTTTATTGCACAAATACTAAATCTGAGTTCCACAAGATCTATGTGTGTAGCTTCGTGTGCTTTCTCGAATCTGTGTGCCCGCACACCGCCTGACAGCAATACCGGATATTCTCGCGAGTGAACGTGACCCTTAAGCCCTGTAACTAATGTATCACACCTCGAAACAGAAGACTACAAACACTTTTACATGTATTATATATTGCTCCAACTATCATTCATTTCTTCCAGATATTCCGAGACATGACTTGGTATTGCTCTAGGCGCATGTGCATTTAGGATCGATGCGTCTTTGCGAGAGGACTCAAGCCTTCATATCCTCAAGACGGTATATATCACAGTGTACAATCGTGGAATGAAAACAACTGCGAATGCTAGCGGACAATTGAGTGCGCTGGAAAGGTGAAGTAGCGTCCTTAATCACAACGTCTCGTCTATAAAAACTCCCGCCCGCATCCCTTGTCTTCATCCTCATTGCAACAACTTCAATACAGAAGCGCACATCTTCAATTCATCTACAGCCCTAACCATCTTCTACAATCCTTCAACACTACATACCAACAAGCCTTCCTGTATTTCAGATACCATGTCTACCAACGGCGCAAACGACGCTCCCGCCCCCGCCTCTACCCAACCCGATCCCACCCATAGTGCATACTACTGGGCATTGATTGAAGAGCTCGAAAGAGTTCATGATGACAATGACGCTTCGATCAGTGCAATTGTCAATCACCAACGTCACGATGATGACTTTGTTGCGCTTTTGAATGCGAACCCTCGTATGAAGTGGTGCTTCGACAATCAAGCAGCCATTCTCAAATTGCATTCCTCAAGCACACCGACCCCGGTATTCCGGGTGTGAGTTTCCCTACCCAAGACATAGAATTAGCTCAACTGACAGTATTTCTCAGCTGGTGTGATATCTGTCGTCGATACTTCAAGCATTGCATGTTTTCAAAGAAGGAGCGCAAGGGCTGGGGTGGCTCTACTGTAAGTGAACACGACGCTCGTTATGCTGACAACTGCTAATCCCACTGTTAGAGCTGTCGGTGGTGCCAAGCTGATGTCGGTATCTCGACCGACAATCAGCAATTCGAGGTTGATCAACATGTTCACTGCAATCGAGGTGGGAAGAAAGAATGTGGCACTTTCCCTCCCCAGAGCCTTGAAGTCCCGCCAAATCGTCGAACTGTCAACGAGAGCAGAATTGGAGAAATTGCGGCTCCGGAGGTCCAATTCACCATCAAGAAAAAGATGTCGCAGAAGGAGCGTAAGGCTAGGGAACGTAAGCAGCGGGAGGATATGGGCATTTAATAGCGCACCAATAATTGGCGCATCATGGATTAGGAGTTTGGGCGGAGGTCATACATGGTTTTCGATAGGCACGCATGAATGGACGACGATGATTTTGACATTTTAGCCTATATGAAGCCTACAAGAATGGTCCATTCAATTTGAAACTCTTCACACGACAAATTAATTATTCAAACAATGTGTTTCTAATGTCTCAACAGTGATATCAATAGTCTTGGTACTTCTCAGGTGATCACCCCCTAAAGCTAGCCGAAGCCGCTAAATTTAGCGAGCCCCTGACCTCAAAGCGGCTTCAAACTCTTTGACTAAATCAATGCCCAGTACAGACAGCAATTTATTCCCTTTTCAATTAAAGAGCGATGCCAATATTGTATCTTGAAACCACTCCTTGTCCTTCTCCCATGCCTTCAGCATAAAGTTCATCCCGATTCTAATTATCCCTGACATTCGCTCTGGAGTATCTTTTGCGGGACCACGAATACACCAACAGATCAAATGTACGCCTGTATGTATCGCGATTCGAAATGCCATGTCATCATCTATAGGACCATATCCGTCAATGAGCGCTCTGTTGACAAATAAGCATGTGTTATACAAGAACAGCAAGGATACGAGGTGGATTCTGTGTCCGCGCTAATTTCCCAGAGGCAAGGTTGATATTGACGTACTGAATAATCCACATCGCTGGTTCGGCATCTCTAAAGTACTTTCGCTCATACAGGTCCCCTATCATCTGGCCAAGATCGTACGATCGGTGACCGAAATGCGCAAGTTCCCAATCAACGATGAAAAGCCCTGGTTCGTTGTTTTTGTGGGACTGTGATACAAGAACGCTTTTCTTGGTAAGGACTCATCCATTGTTTGGGAACACACGACTTACTTTCCAGACCAGAAGTCCCCATGGATGACGCCCCAATCTTGAAGACCATCATCTGCCAATGTCTGGAGTTCTTTGGTCGATCTAGCTTCGATCTCTTCTAACGTTGCTTTATGAGTTCCCAGAACTTCGGGAAACCTCTCAAGTACTTCGATAAAACTGCCATATGTTATAAGATATTTCAGCTTTCTCATTGGCTCATTCTGTTCGGCGTATAGTGTTCGGGTTGATGCCCAGGTATGGAATGACCGTGTCCAAGTGCCTAGATTGTATCCGATGAACTTTGCGACTGAGTGAGATAGACTTCCAGAGAATATGACTGCTTTTAGATCTATGGAGTCGGAGAAGTCTTCATGAACTTGGGTGTATGCGACCTGGTCGAAGAGAAGCAACCGCGGTGTCTTCACCAAAGAGATTGGAAGGTCTTGAAGGTAATTGAGCATCGACTCTTCAAAAATCTGTTACGGTCAGTTCAGAAATTTATGAGGGTAACGTACGCAACGTGAGATATCTAGAGGAAAGTCACGGTTACAAGATGCGAAATTCGTTGAGTGTTTGATGATAATGGTTCCATCACGGTGGATACCACGGAAAACAAAGTTGGCAGTGCCGCCAGAAATTGGAATTAAAGAAGAGCAAGCATAGGCAGTTTGAGATAGATCGTGTAAGATATTAGTAGAGATTTCGTCTTTCTCCTCATGATTGAGTGCCATCGTTGAAGCTTGTCGTGGAGACTTCAGGATGTGGATGTGATTGTGGTGTTGGAGAATGACTCACACGAAATGTCGTGCTTATCACGACTTGGCAGATCGAGTCATTGGCTGATGGAGCATTAATAATCAACCTCATTGTTCGAATGTTCAATGCCGAATTTATGTGCCTGTTGAAGGCAAGAATGCCTATGGTTGAATCATTTAGAAGTCTAGCTCTACAAATTCAAGTGGCAGCTGATTTTCTCGTGGCTCTGAGAACCGGAAGTCCTTGGTCTCAAATTGTGCCGCTACTATTGCGGGGAGAAGTGGGCCCCTCAAATCGCACGAACACTTAAAGTATAGATTATTCAATCTTTAATCTCAAATTTGATGGCTCCTATTATTCTAGAGCTCAAGATGAAACGCCTAGCAATCTAGGCTCTACCCACTGCGCTCCTGTGTAATTTGCTAAACTTCATGAAGAAATAATGGAACTCTACTATTTCAAAACTTATACAGTCGAGACCTTTGGGTCTGATTCCATTCCGTAGGGTGGGCAAGGAGTTTTGTACTTGAAAACTAATCAGTTTGCATCCTTCATGCTTTTCTTGCGATATCGAGCTTTTTTTCTTGTATCCTAAGATGAGGCAGGATTTTGAGTAATCCTAGATCGGAGCCTGTGGTAACACTGTCTATTACTGCGGGACTGCATGTCAATCGGCATTCGGAAATCGTGTAGGTGCTTTTCCACCGTCTTCTGCCGTGGTCGGACTCGCTCCAACTTCTCCTACTGCGATTGCTCTGTTACCGTCCTCAACAGCAATAACATCTATGGCGGCTTCACCGTGAAAATCCACCAGCGGGTATTTGAGAAACAGCACAGCGGTGAATCTTGCCGAATTTCAAAAAATAAAGCTGACACAGATTTCACACCGGATCATCATTTGACTGGAGGTCGATTCAATTCAATGAAGTGATATATCTTGTGCAGCTTGCGGCTGAACCTTCAAAGAGTGCTTGAAGGTTGGCTGGATTTGTTGCCGATCGAAGGAGCTGGAAGTGGTTGACTTGACTTCGCGTCGTCGATCTCGTTCAATGTCAGATTCCCACGCAGACCGAACGTGATTCCTTGGTCCGCAGACAAGCGGGGTCCTAGTGAGATGTGCAGGGTCGGTGTGTTTCGAGGCCACCGTTTATTAATCGCGTGTCAAGGCTTTGACTGACGAGGAAAGAGAGGAGGAAAGGAAGGAAGCAAATCACCCGGATTGTTACCACCAAGCTGACGTTCTGAAAATTGTTGATGGCACTGTACCAGTACTTCCATTAACTCATTGTATCCGAGCTAAGAAGCAAGTTGTCAAACGCAACGCAATCCATGCCCATATCAAATGCGATCCTTCTCTAAGCTCTGGCTACCTACCGACCAAAGTCTTATGATCTCAGATCCCCCGTCCTTAAGGCCATTGTCTGATGATGAGATCAAATCCGTTAACATCAAACTGCTGGCCACCAACCATCATGAGATCGGTTGCTGCATCATATCCACCGCAGTTATTGAGAATCTGATAGCCCAGGTCACCATACCATTCAAAGGGTGGATTAATAGTGTGTAAATTCTATGCATTATTAGAGACAGTTTTTGCGTTATAAAAAAGGAGCTGTTTGGACGTAACTTGCATCGTTGCATACCCACACCTGTGCGTTTCCGTTAAGTACGATCGGTATACAGGCAAAGGCGGGGATAGTAAGTTGCAGTGGTCCCAATTGCATGAGGAAGTTCATTTGAGACCAGGCTGTGTTCATGTTGACCGGAACCCAACTCCATCCAGGAACTGGAATACAGTACAGAGCGCCCTGTGAATGTTCAGATATGTTTCTCGACTTTCAAGTAGAGAACCATACATATCCATAGCGACGTTCAATACCTGAATTTCCCTTGGTTGAATTGTTCCGCTCGGGCAACTTGAAGCCTGGATGCTCGACGAGGACTTTGGCGAATATTTCCTGGTTAGGTTAGTTGCGGCTCTTGAGAGCTGGAAGGCCGCTTACGTCAAGACTTCCTGTTCCCTCGATGTGAACACCATTGTAAGTAGTATTGAGATAGAGCGGGACGATGGGGTGAGGCAGGTTGTAATCAGTGTGTTCAGCGCGCTCAACACCGTGAAGTGGAGTAGCTTCAACGAACATCATACCAGCAAACGCGAGCGCAGCCAGAAGAACGTCGAAGAGCTTCATCTTGATGGAAGTGGAGTGTTTTTGAGGCAGTTACGAAAATAAGTCGAGATTTGTTGCGGTTGCGGTTCTTGTTTGGTGGTAGGATGGTGGAGGGAAGTTGAACTCTGGAGAAATAAGGAGTTGATACCTGCCAGACGAAAGTGAGTGTCTAGATTAAGGTGACGTAGAGGCCTCTTACGGTGGTGGGAAGAAGTTGAAGTTGAAGGTATGAAGGGTGGATACTTGTTGGGTAAAAGCGACGTAGGCTAAGTATCAGTAGCATTTTGGAGGCATTGGAGGACTCAGGGGGGAATGATGAATCACTGATCTTAAAGGTGAATGTATTTGTGACTCTTGTTAGATCGGCATAGAGGTTTTGGGTGAATTAAACTCCCGTGTTCCGTAGCGATAATTAAGTAATA